AATCCCCATAGGTCTCCCTATCTTTGAATCAAGGTTTTTGGATGACAATCTTTCCGTTGACCTCTGGAGCCTGGCGCTGGGTTCCCAGCAATGATGGCCGCAACGAAGCTGGGACTTCGGTAGTTCCTGAAAGGCACGGGGCGTGAAGAGATGGGTGTCTTTTATGGTGCTGATATGGCAGTCTAAGATTGAATGGTATGATGGGATTGCAAGACGATCTGGGTGTATTTGAAAATGGGGTACCCGGGGTGCATTTTTTTAAAACTACTGATAATCATTTCCCCATGAATTCATGGCATTTGGGGGGCATACTGGTATACCCTATTTTCAGATAGATCTATCTAAGAGCGAATGATGGGATATGATGGGATTACATTCATTCAATGATGGGATGTTTATGGCAATATAAGATTAAATGATTGGATATGTGTTGCAATATATATAATAGAAGAATTATGGTACTCTGAGATTGAATGAGGGAATACTGCCAATCTAAAATCCAAAAAATGAATAATGTAATCTGGTATCACTCTTGTACAATGTCTATAGTCTGGCCAAATATAGAATCGAGTTTTTCATATGAATATGTTTACCTCTAAATCCATAGCTGAATCAACCTTTTCATGGAGTTGGTGAATTGATTCTGAATGGATGGTATAGCCACTTTAGCCATGGTACCTTGATGGATGTCTTAGTTTCGCCATGTTTTGTGAAGCAAAGCTTAGGCCATTGTGGGATAAATACACCTACCAACATGTACTAACCATCATTGCCAAATGTTCCGTCGCGACGTGAGGTCCCGTTTGTTCAGTAGAATGACAGTACGTATTGGATCTAAGATGAGCTAACATGATCCAACTATGTTTATTGGATCTAAGATGATCTGTATTATACAGAATGTCCATGATAACTATGTCTAAAAGTACCATCATATGAACATTGGATCTAAGATTACCTATATGGTGGTCTACATATATCGCAATATCACATTATCACATTATAACACATTATATACTTCTGGTTATTTAACGTTTGCCATGGTATAGATGGCCCATAGAAATAGATGGCTTACCGTTCTTAATAGCATGGTGGATCTTTCCATGGCAAACTGTTAGTTATAACCAGATGGTATATCAATATAATAATGATATGATATTCTCATGAGATAAATAACCAGATGGTATATCAGATGGTATATCAGATGGTGTATGAGATGGTATATCACATTATAAAACAACATATATATATACACATTTATCACATTATAAAACATTATATATATATATATACACATTCAACCATTATACAACCAAACCAAGGGGCCATTTTTCAAAAGGGCCTCAAATCACCCACCGAGGTCGCGGCAAGAAGCCCAGGTCACAGAGAGCCAGGGCGCGCAGCCTCGATGGGCTATGGGTCAGCAAGGATTTAAGCACCACATACCCTCTGGTAAACTAACATAGCATAACATAGCTATGGAAAAATCACCATTTTTAATAGGTAAATGCACTACTTATCTCTATGTCCATTTTCAATAGCGAACTGTTAGTTTACCAGAGGGTATGTGTTTAAGTGGTTTATGGGAAATGGGGGGTGTAACTCACCAAAAAGCTTGGCTGAGCTGACGAAATGTCAAAACTTTTGGGCCTCAGCAACACTCACTTTATTTTTACTGACAATACATTGGGATTCTACTATGACATTTACTATGATATGAAGAGGACTTACTAACCGATAATGGGGATATCAAGGGGTTGTCATGGGGATAGTAACATTGAAACGGGTGGTTCTTGGAGTGTGTGGTGATGGCAAAATTATCCAAGTAAGAGTTCCCCCCATTTTAACCGAGCCGTGTATTGCCTATCCTCAGTCCTTTATCTATTATATAATTATATATATAATATTAAAACTGCAAGTTTGCATTTTGCAGGAATGCACTTACTATCACACCACTTCCTGCTTGTAAAACACAAGGTCTCTACCCTGCTTTAGTTGCTATTAGGCACTAGGTTTTTAAGAGTGATCTGGCTTTGCCTGATCATAGGGCACCCCAAAATCAATGGCTCATGGTCATCTTCCCCATACGATATTCACATTTCCAGAGAAAACCTTGAAACAATGAAACAATCGAAAAATCCTCCTGCCCCAATCACCCAGCCCCTCAGTGTAGTCCCGGCAATGCTCCAGGTGGAAGGAGACAAGTGAAATCCTCAGAACGAAATTTGTTGAACCCAATTGGAAACCTTGGAAGACGACGGAAAGTTGTTGAACTTTGAAACCATTGACTGAATTGTTGATCAAATATATGGAAAATGCAAGGACTGGGTCACCAGCGCAATCGGTTTGACGGCTTGATGGTTTCCCACCAAGCACTGTTTTATATTAAAGCAACAACGAACCTTATAAAATCTGAAAAGAACATTTTGGTATGTATGATATGTGTGATATATACATATGTTTACCTGGTTTGGTGCAAAAAAACGCGATCAACTGCCAACATCCAAAGGGTAGTATCTCTCCTCCCGTAGCAGCAAGGTGGTCAAAACAGATGAAGCGTGGCGATGTCTTTGGTAACCAAGGAGCCCGTGTGACCCAGGGGCCCCAAATCGCTCTCCTGGCCATGAAAACAGTGCGGTTTCAAACAATCAAACACTCGAGATTTAAGCAACACAAAAACTTGCAGAACAACAAATAAAATATCTGGATATATGTGGATAATAAGCCTTCCAGTAAAGCAACAAAAAACATGGAACGTCTACAAATTGCAGACTTCGAGATCATTTCAGAAACATGTCCTTGGGATTCCTTGGGTCATGTGCTCGGGTTTCACCATGGGTGGTGCGTCCATCTGCCCGAGGATGATACGGTATACGCTGGCCATGCCAAGCATCGTATGTGGAGAGGTCATGTGGTTGTGGCTACTATAAAGATTATGATTATTATGACTATTATGATTATTATGATTACTACTATTATTATAGATTATTATTATCAACATACATCAACACAATTACAATGATTATGATGGTTGTGATCATTATTATGGATGCGGTGCTTATGATGATTATGATGATGATGATGGTGATGGTGATGATGATGATTATGATGATTATGATATTTACGCTTATCATGTGTATCATGCTTATTATGCATGTTATGCTTGTGGTGTTTATGTTGATTCTGACAATATGGTTTGATGAGGCTCGATGAGCGAGATAACTATATGATTTCTATTGTGATGACTATAGACTATATTTATTATGATGATTGGGGCTGTCATGGACACAAACAGTATCAATACCATTAATTTTAGTATCACCCAAAGAAGATATGCCAGGGTGGCTTTTCTCGCCAAAACATTGACATCTAGCAAGATATGTCAAGATGATTCACCAACATCCCTGGCCCACTGGTTCCTTCCTTGATGTGCAACCTAAGCTTCATCCCACCAAACAAGCTTGTAAGTTCTTATAACAATGTATAGACCCAGAACATGATTGGGTTACAACACCACTACAGATTTAAGCAACCCTGGTTTTATCCCATCTATAAATCTATAGCATGATTCATGATTCAATCTGTATTACAGTGTAGACTACCTGGGATGCACCTCATGTCTTTCCCACATCTTCTCTCCTTTGCAAGGCGTAGAACGCAGCAGACCTCGCACGTTGCGTAAAACGCCAGGGCATGGCAGGCCCAGGCGATAAATGGCGATACCCCCACAACTAATCATGATCAATGTTGGTCATGCAAAAAGAAGCCATCCCCAAATCACCATTTTCATGGGTGCTATAGACCATCAACATATGGGTTGTTTATTGTTGTCTTGCCAACATTACACCTTTAACGTGCGTTGACACAGTTACATAATTCAACAATCAAGTGAGCTTATACAAACTTAATATGTCAAGTGAACTTATAAACATAATTCAATCATCAATTGTTGATGATAAATTCAACCACAATCAACATCAATTCTCACTGGAAAGGATACGGCTCTAAGATGGGGTGCAAAGAAATATCCACAGATTTGGACATTGCAGGCAGTGAGAAGTATATGGGATTGTGTGAACATGTGGTATACCATCGGATGGTCGTTTATGGCACTTTAAATGAGGAGACTGGTGAGCAACCATGATCTTTAGGTATCCTACATTCCAAGAATTCAACATATAACCATCAACCCAAACATGTCCATGTCCTGGAACCCATCTTCTACAGGTGCCTTCCGGTAGACCTGGCAATTGACAATCCCCCTATTTATAGATGACTTCATGATGACTTAAATGAAGCCACCACTTAGTTCGAGGATTTTCCAGCCACGTTTCTTTCCGGGCTCCCCCACACCACCAAAGGACTCAACAGCGCCACGCAAAGCGCGAAGCCGGCGATTTCGTGGGGGCTCCAACCGTTCAAAGTCCACCTGGCGGACTGTGGGATACATAGAATGCTTACTTATAAAACTATATATAGACACTTGCTAGATGGATACACATGTAATCAAATATATCTACAGACTGATAGTTTCTTTATTATATATATATATATATCCATATATAAAAATATATATATCCAAATATATATATATATGTATATATATATGTATATATATATATATATATGTATATCCATTGATATATATATATATAATACACATATTCTTATAAGTAAACTATCTATATATATATAGCGATAAACTCAGGAAACGAAAACAAAACAATATAATATATCTAAGAATCTATGAGCTCTAGCTACTGTAGTCATTCTGGCTGATGTTCACTCATTTAACCACGCGGTTCACAGCCATGCAGTGAGGCAACATCAGTAGTACCCATGCCGCTTATATGGACTATGAGGTTGGCAATACGTCTTGACCCTAGAGAGCCCTGCTGCGAATACCAGTTGTGTTGTCAAGCAACCTGGCCCAAACACAGACACAGGCAACAGCTGGGTTATCTGGATTACCTCAATTCAATCCTGGCACTAAATATGTCCAAGATAGCGCCTTTGGACTGCAATGTGGACCCAATGCCAGAAACAACTACCATTTCACCGGATGAGTTTTTGTCCATTTATAGTGACATTGGGGATGCTGTTTATTCTTAGATCTTCCACATCTGATAACTCTGACATATCCCCGCGAATCGAATCCACCGCACTGGGCGCCACCAGTGCTCGAAATTCATGGAGGGATAGATCGCCAAGAAATTCCTCAGGGACCGTTGATGCTGTATCTGTGCCCCCATGGCTATGGCTCCGGAATTTTAGAAAACACGGGATGGTGTTCTGTGTTCACATGAATTGACCTAATTCTAACTAATCTGAACATGCATATATATATAATTGGATTATACATATATATATATATTTCCAATAGCTCACCCACCTGAAATCAGGCGATTTGAAAGGATTCCCCTTATTAACCATCATTCCAGTCAGGTCACAGTGAGGTCACTATGAGTTACCCATACATATGTATATATATATACACAGTTACAGACACCTACAATGCAAAACTGACCAAATCTGTGGGCATCAGGTTCTGGCGTCCAGGTTGAACGCAGGGCTCTGGCGACCCAAAGTGAGAGCTTCCAATTTGGCAGTAAATGTTCTGAAACCATACCCAAACGTGCTGATTATAGTTTCAAATCCGTGACTTAGAATTAGATCAGAGCCAATATCAGCATGTACTCTTCATGCGTGTATGTTCATTTCATATTGATTGATTCATATGTATACAAATATATGCAAATACATATAAATATATAAAATAAATGTGAAATTATATAAATAGAAAGAAACGAACGTATAGGAGCCGGATATATATTATGATTGATTGCACCTCGTTGCATATATTATTGTACAATTTCAATCAACTTCATCCGTCAACCGATCCCAACGTTGAAGGACGTACCCTCTGGTAAACGTTTACATAACGAACAGGAAAATCACCATGTTATAGCTGGGTAGTTATCAACTATTTCTATGGGCCATTTTCTATGTCGCTAACTGTTAGTTTATCAGAGGGTAATGGAGGTTTCCAATCCAGAGGGATACTGTACCCATAATCATCCATTTATAGTTGGATTTTCCATGAGGTTTTTAATCATAAATCATTATTTTCCATCATATGCTGGGCCACCAGACATCATCTCTGCAAGCATCAGAAGGATGAAGGTCTTCTGCGATGGAAGGGCCTGCTGACCATCTTCACCAGCCAGACGGCCAGAGAGTTTTTCCCATCACTAAAAATGGGTGGATTTAATGGGAAACAATGGTGATCAAATGGTAACTTTACATGGATTTATGTGAATGATGTAATTTGATGTACCAATGGACCAATGTACCAGTAATACATATATATATATATATATATGTATTTATACACTAATGAGATTCAATGAGTTCCAATCCCCAAAGATTCCATATAAAGATCCGTCAGCCTCAGCAAAAAATACGATTTGAATCCCACCTCGTGGCATCCATGTTGGAGTCACTGGTTATGAGCCATTTATCACAGCAACTGGGAGCAACTGACCCATGACTAGAGGGGGAAGAATCCCACGCAACGGGGACTTACGATCACCAGGTTCAATCCAGTCGGGACGATCGTCCAACCAGTTCGAAACTCGTCAGAGCTGACATCGCAGTTAGTGCAAAGTCAGAAATATCGTGAAATATCTTTAAAAAAAACATCCAACAATGATATTCTTGTTTTTGTTTATATATGTTATATTTTTACTCTCAACGGTGATATATATATATAGATATGTATCCCGACTCTGAGTAAAATTTTTATTCCTTTAGCGTGTGATCTCCTCAACATGGTCGGAATCAGCATCCCCAATAGAGGTTTATTGGCTATACCCTACTGAGGATGATGTAAAACAACCTGCATTTGTCAAATGGGTTGGTTTTTGAGGAGGGTTGATATTGTTGGGTTTAGCACATTATACCCGGAAATCCCCATGTTTTTTGTGTTGGTCACATAGTCTTGGCCTTGACCATCTGCTTTGGTCATTGCGGCATCTAGGGAGTCACTTGTTTGAGAGTTGCTACGCTCTATTTTGTCAATGTTTTCTGTTCAACAGAATGTTGAACAAAATACATATAATGGATTATATGTATATTAGTATTATGTTTTGCTATGGGCAGGCATGCAATGTTTTTTCTTTACTTTGATTTGACCATCGTGTTTGTCTTTGAAGGTAAAACGCAATATTGGCCAAACAAACTGGAAACCACGGTCCCCACAACGACAAGAAACATGGACTACGGTTTTCCATGTATGTATCGATCTACCTGTCTGTATGTCTAATATATCCAATCTATCTAATCCATATAGTCTCTGTACTTTTTTCGGAATCTATCTAAGCCATCTAATTTTGTCTAATCGTTTCCAGTCGTATCTGATCGTATCTGATCGTATCTAGTCGTATCTAATCTTAACTTATCGAACTTTATCAAATCTGGTCAAACCTTATCGAACTATTTCATGTCTGTCTATCCATCTATCCATCTAATTATCCCTCTATCCGATTCTCCATCCATCCATCCATCCATCCATCCATCCATCCACAAAAATATGTATGTACCTATATGAATGTATAGCCAAGACCCGGAAACATCAGAAACCACATCATCGACGCTGCGTCACCTCCAAGAAGTTTGAGCTGGGCAAGACATAGGCAGAGTAACAATGCGGCGCCTGGAAAGACATGGGATGGGGGGAGTTGCTCCACAAAAAAGGCACTAAGTCACCATATTCCTAGAAGAACATGTTTTTAAACCAATCAATCTGTGGACGTAGGCTCCATGTTTCCTTTTTTTGGAGGAGTTGGGGGAGCAAGAGACTCTGGAAACGGTGCATTGAACACCAAATATATGTATATATATATATATACATATATATATACATATACATATACATATATATATATATATACATATTACACATACATAAATGTGTACACACATAGATAAATATATATATATATACAAACGTATATACATATATAAATATATATGTATATATTTATAGACAAATATATATATATATATATAAACACACATACATACTACATTTGTTTAAGTACCCAAAAACCACTATGCGGATATGGGTCAGAGGGTCAAAATTTAAGGCCTTGATCATTCACACCCCCTACATCCACCATGGTTTCTGCGGTACGTAACTAATATTCTCATTGACTATAAATCATATCATATATATATATATGTGTGTATACACTTATATACATATCACAAAATATGGCTGGTTATAGATTTCCATGATATCCTCACTATATCATCATGGATTTATTTCATTCGTATGATACCATTCAATATCCCCATGAATATACCAACTATTCCCGCTATATACCCATTACCAGTAGTACCGCACAAGGCGGTGGCGGAAGGTTCAAAAATAGGAGCCTATAGGGGAGATTGGTTGTTGTGAATCACGGATCGCAGAGTGAATCCACTGATGGACCGAAAGGTGGTTGGAGCTGTGTTTTTTGGAGTGGCTGCAATGTTTGCAGTGGTCACCTGGTCGGTCACCTCACCCACAACTGCTGGATGTAGTGTGGTGTAGCGCACTTGTAGTTGTAGTTGTAGTGTAGTGGAGTTGTAGCTGTGGTGTAGTCTAATTAGTGTAGTGTAGTTGCAGTTGCATTTGTGGTGGTGTAGTGAGTGTAGTGTAATGTAATGTAATGCAATGCAATGTAATGTAATGCAATGCAATGTGGGGTAGGGTAGTGTAGTGTAGTGCAATTGGGTGTAGTGTGGTGTAGTATAGTGTAGCGCAGTGTACTGCAATGGGTGTAGTGTAGTGTAGCATAGCGTAGTGTAGTGTGTTGTGTAGTGTAGAGTAGAGTAGTGTAGTGTAGTGTATTGTGGTGTAATGCAATTGGTGTAGTGAAGTTGTAGTTGCAGCTGTAGTTGTAGTGTAGTGTAGTGTTATGCAATGTATTGTAGTTGTAGTTGTAGTTGTAGTTATAGTTAGTGTCGTGTAGTGTAGTTGTAGTTATAGTTAGTGTAGTGTAGTGTAGTGTATTGTAGTGTAGTGTAGTGTAGTGGAGTGTAATTGAGTGTAATGTAGTCTAGCGTAGTGGAGTGTAGTGCAATGTAATGTAGTGTAGTGTAGTGGAATGAAGTGTAGTGTAGTGTAGTCTAGTGGAATGTAGTGAAGGTGTAGTTGTGTGTGGGTAGCGGAGTGTAGCGGAGTGTAGTGTAGTGTAGTGGAATGTAGTGAAGGTGTAGCTGTAGTTGTAGTGTAGTGTATTGGAGTGTAGTGTGGTGTACTGGTCGTTGTAGTTGAAAATGGTATAAAACCCTCACGTTTTCCTCACTTTTGACAAGGTGCACAATCCCTTGCGCCTGCCATGATAACGTCCAAAAGTGGTCCGAACCCCTAGTGTTTTTCAGATGTTAACTTCGAAATGTGCTTCGCGCTACAATGGCGTGCACTTTTTCGACATCTCAACTTCCAAAAGTGGCCCGACCATGTTGTGTTTTGTACATTTTGACTTCGAAATGTGCTTCGCGCCACAAGAGCGTGCACTTTTTCGACATCTCAACTTCCAAAAGTGGTCCAAACATGGTGTGTTTTGTACATTTTGACTTCAAAATGTGCTTCGCGCCACAGCAGCATGCACTTTTTCGACATCTCAACTTCCAAAAGTGGTCCAAACATGGTGTGTTTTGTACATTTTGACTTCGAAATGTGCTTCGCACCACAACGACGTGCACTTTTTCCACATGTCAACTTCCAAAAGTGGTCCGAACATGGTGTGCTTTGTACATTTTGACTTGTATGTGCTTCGCGCCAAAACGGCGTGCACTTTTCCATCTCTCATCTGGCCAGCTGGCTCCGCACCCGCCGCTTTAGCGAGCCTACTTTTCAACCCTCCGGAGCCTCAAATCATTGGAAAAACACAGAGTTTCGCGACTTTCCTACCTTTTCGCGCACCTGCATCTTCTTTCTTCTGACTCTTTCTCTTCTCTGATCTTCTCTTTGCTGCTCTTCTCTTCTCTTCTTTGACTCTTACCACCTCTGCTTTTCATCTGTCCATATTGTCGGAAGTTTGACTTCTAAACTTCCTTCGAATATCTTATATTCCCATGAATACCAATAGTACCGCACAAGGCGGTGGCGGAAGTTTCAAAAATAGGAAACCTATAGGAGAGGTTGGTTGTTGTTACTCACGGATGGCAGAGCGAATCCACGGATGGACTGAAAGGTGATTGATCTCTCTCACTCTTTCTCTCTCTTTTGCTCTCTTTCTCTCTCTTTCTCTCTCTTTCTCTCTCTTTCTCTCTCTTTCTCTAATTATCTACCTACCTACCTACCTACCGATCTATCTGTCTATCTATCGATCTGTCTATCTCTCTCTCTCTCTCATCTGTCTATCTAACTATCTATCTATCTATCTATCTATCTATCCATCTGTCTATCTAGCTATCTATCTATCTATCTATCTATCTATCCATCTATCTATCTATCTATCTATCCATCTATCCGTCTGTTCTATCTATCCATCTGTCTATCTAGCTATCTATCTATCTATTTATCTGTCTATCTGTCTATCTGTCTATCTGCCTATCTGTCTATATGTCTATCTATCTGTCTATCTGTCTATCTGTCAGTCTATCTATCTGTCTGTCTATCTACCTATCTATCGATCAATCAATCTATCTATCTATCTGTCTATCTATTTGTCTATCTATCTGTCTGTCTGTCTGTCTGTCTGTCTATCTATCTATCTACCTGTCTATCTGCAAGCTTGAAAACCTTGCTATTCTACGAGACTTCTTCATTTTTCCAGGTTGACAACATCAAAAACGCAGCACTTCTGCAAGACTTCCTCATTTTTTGAAGTTGACCACATCAAAAACGAAGCAATTCTGCGAGACTTCCTCATTGTTCAAAGTTGACAACATCACAAACGAAGCACTTCTGCGAGACTTCTTCAATTTTTTAATTTGACAACATCGAAAACAAAGCAATTCTGCGAGACTTCCTTCAAAAATGGAAAGTTGAGTGCAGAGCTAACAGCTTCGTACCAATGCGTTTTGCGATTTTTCCAGTCCACCTGTCGAAAGTACTGCGCCTGCCACGAAAAAGTGATGCCAAGTCATACGAAGTGCTGCACCTGTCACGCAAAATCACCTCAGCAAACCTGAAGATCTGATGCTCCAAAATGCAACCCCTTTCAGGAAATCAGCGCCCTGACCTCCTAACATCTCTGGTGAACATGTCTTTTGTACTACGCCTGCCACGCGAAATTCATCTTTGAAGATCCCCTTCAAATGTCCCACACCTGCCATCGCTTTTGGAAATGCTACAAACCCCGCACGTTTTGCTCAATTTTGACAAGGTGCACAATCCCTTGCGCCTGCCACGCGAAAGCACATCTGAACGTCCAAAAGTGCTCCCTACCCGTCAGCTTTTTACACTTTTGACTTCAAGATGTGCTTCGCACCACAACGGCGTGCACTTTTTGGACATCTCAACTTCCAAAAGTGGTCCGGAGCTGGTGTTCTGTACATTTTGACTTCAAAAAGTGCTTCGAACCACAACGGCATGCACTTTTTCGACATCTCAACTTCCAAAAGTGTTCCAAACATGGTGTGCTTTGTGCATTTTGACTTTGAAATTTGCTTCGCGCCACAACTGCGTGCTCTTTTTCAGTATCTCAACTTCCAAAAGTGGCCCGAACCTGGTGTATTTTGTACATTTTGACTTGCAAATCCACAACAGCATGCACTTGTTCATCTCTCATCTGGCCAGATGGCTCCGCACCCGCCGCTTTAGCGAGCCTACTTTTCAACCCTCCGGAGCCTCAAATCATTAGAAAAACACAGAGTTTCGCGACTTTCCTACCTTTTCGCGCATCTGCATCTTCTTTCTTCTGACTCTTTCTCTTCTATGATCTGCTCTCTTCTACTCTTCTCTTCTCTCTGCCTCTGCCCATCTCTGCTTTTCATCTGTCCATATTGTCGGAAGTTTGACTTCTAAACTTCCTTCGGTCATTTATATTAAATTTACATATATATGTATATATATATATATATGGATCACTATCCCCCATGAATATCTCATTAGTATCATACCCATTCATATCTTTTAGATTCCCACTATACTCACATTATATCCCATTTAATATCCCATCATCCATCATTATACCATTTTTAGGGATTGCCAAGAGCTTCATCTGCCATCCCTGCCGGTGTCGCACCTTGAAGAGAAGTAACAGGGTCACCAATGAGATGAAAAGAACTGCCTGTGGCTGCGGTAGGGCTGGAGGTTTGTCAAAAGCACCAGATCCTTGGAGATGTTTATGGGACTTCACTTGGCATCAATATATTTCTGGTTGGTGGTTGACCTACCCCTCTGAAAAATATGACTTCGTCAGTTGGGATGATGAAATTCCCAATATATGGAAAAAAAACAAATGTGCCACACCACCAACCAGTATATATTTATACAGGATTTGAGTTTGGAATCCCGATGGTGTTTTGGTTCTAATTCTTGGATTCTTAGATATCAAATCAGCCAGAGTCTTTACCATATGTATCCATATGTTCCATTGCGTGGTATTAAATATGGTATATTTATTTACATCAGCTGGATGACGTTGGGATTAGATGCTGTTAATTCGTCCGTACATTGTGGGCTACATCTTGATGGATGTTTTACTTGGATGTTTTTCCATTTAGATTTGAATGGACTTTCAACAAGCACCCCTACACAAGACAATTTAAGCGTCATCTGGCTTCAGCTTCTGCGCCAAACACTCTGGCTTCAAAAAAGGTGTCACCCAGTTCATGGCTCATTCCATGACATCTGTATAGCTGGGTGGTTATGCCATGGATATGTGATATTTTGTCATAACATCTGTATAGCTATAACAATCTGATATGTAGGGTTATACATGGTTATACAGTTATACCATCTAGTTATAGGGTTTTCTATAACCATCCGTGGGAAATACCATCAAATCCAGGGAATGTGATCATCCCTTAAAACAAGGATTGAAGCCCAGGGAAAAGTGGGAACCTTATGGGGATTAAACTGATTTAAACAACAACAAACATCAACAAACTATGGAAAGAATGGAATATAATGTGGCAAAGCTGAAAGTACACCTACCATCCAGGGATCGAATGGGATCGACGGATCATTTTGGTGTAATCTTCATTCTGAAATCCATGAAAAAAAACAGCTACCATCTAAGATCATTGGAGTGAATCCTCCCGTGGATAGAAAATAAGCGAGCGCCTTCTCTACCTCGCAGGTCCCTCCATATATCATTGTCCCGTTACAGTAAACATCAGTAAGCATCTGCCATGTTCCAACCCATCATACCATACCACAGAGCGCAATGACGCTTGACTTACCAGCTGTTTTGGTGTTCACCACAATCATGTTCAACCATGATTCTATGGGCTTCAGCAGTTCAGTATGTTTGTTCAAACACACCGTGAACAATGAACGCTGAAAACCCAAAGAGGCATCCCTTCGCACTGGCTGAGTTCATAGGATTCGCCATGACTGTGGGTCAGTTCATAATCCCCACGTTAAACCAGGTCGACTAATGACCCCTCTATCTTTGATCACACACTACCATCTGTCAACCAAATACCTATATATATATATTGCTCTTCATCATTTTCGTGGTCTAAATTGTTTACATTCATATAATCATATCATAAAGGATGGTTGAAAACCTCATGTGACTAGATGATTTCCAAACCAACACAAAGAATGGGGTCAAGTGAGCAGTGTTCAAAACCCTGCGTCGTCCCGTTAAACTGGTTGGTTGAGAGGGATTCCCCATTTATGGATTCTGATCATCTCGAATATATTGGTTAGTATAATCCCCGAAGGAATCACCAACCATTGTTTATTGGATTAGATCCTCAGAGGCTTGATGGCTGATACCCGGTAGGTCAAGTGGAAATCATTAATCATGGTTTAATCAACATCAATACAATTTACCCAACAAACATGTTGTTCATATTGAGTTCTTAGATCTCATCTCATATCCCAGGAAATCCTTACTATAAATGTACCAATGATAGTAATCAAATTTCCTCACACAACTAAACCACACTTTATCCCTCTATTATGGTCAAAAGACAGATTCAAAACCCTCATAATTCATGGTAAATTTTCGAAGAAAAAACTTTAAAAAAAACAATTCCATTCATATGTCCATTAGTATCCTATGAATATCCGTTCGTTTGTATCCCCGCCTGTTTGTTGATCATGTCCCAGCCCTGATAGCTGCAAGTCACCTCACATGGTTGAAGCCATCAGGTGATGACTTGGGGATGGCGCAAATGGCATTGGCCTTGCTATAGATGGGTTTAATAGATGGCACGGGGTAAATCATTTATGGAATATGACTTGGGCTTATTGTATTATGATATAATACAATATGTATATATATATATATGTGGGTATATAAATATGACTTGGGCTTATTGTATTATGATATAATACAATATGTATATATATATATATATGTGGGTATATATATATTAGGTAAATATTACCCTCAAACATTGTGATTTTCCAGACCTTAAATTACCACATGTTATCTTATCATGATCTATGAAACACATACATCATAGTAGTTGATATACAAATATATATATATATATATATCCAAATGATTCCAAATGCATAGTGCATTTAAATTACATTCCAAACCGTCTCCCGAATTTCAGAGAGGCTTAGCCAGAATTTCGAAGCTTAACTGTCAAAAATTCTTTGGAAAAATACATAGCACGCTAATAATTGACTTGGTGGTGAAACATCTAGGCTTTCCCCTGAGTATCCTGGCGGAGAGCCATGCAACGCCTGGCTGGTTGTGGTTGTTCAACCACCAAGAGAGTGTTTTAAGTAGTTTAACGTGAAAAAAAGAGAGGAATTTGATGGGAGTTTGCAAGAACTAAGACTATGACTGGATCAATCTGGAGATTAAAATAAATTCACCTGATTTGGAAAAGAAAAAATGTTAAATGGATTGATTGAAGCGGCACAATAACAGGAAGCCATGGCTCTGGGATCAGGTGGCCCAAAAATACACCAGCTACGCTTCACTGCATTCGTGAAACCACATGTGATTCAACGAGCTCCATGCGCTTGTAGAACAATATTGCGATATATTTATATATATTTATATATATATATGTAAAAGTTATATATATATATAATTACAGTATATATATATTGATTGGCCGAAACAGAAACACTCACAGACGTTCACAAGATATTCTTCACAATGCTGTGAGAATGGCCATGTTGGTGGTCAAACTTAAAGCCAGGACAACACCTCCAGACCTGTTCTGCATCTCCCCTGGGATCAAATTTGTGTTTGTCGAAAAAAATGATACCCCAAATCCAGTTGTTTATCTTCATTTTCCCAAACACATAGCAAACTTATCATAATTCGGATTTCGCCTGCCAGACACACTCAAATATCAAATAGTTGGTTTACATGGTTTTATATGTATATATACAATATATATATCACAATTTTATAATATTTTTATACTATTTTCTCAACGTGTTGGTCAAATGTCTCCCAGCCCCACCCCTGCACTCCCTCTGCGCCTGCCCGGAAACTCTCCAACATGCCAATTCGCTTCGCTGCAATCTGGAAGCCGCCCTGGAAGTCCTGGCCGCTGCTTGGGAGTTTGCGATGGGGGATGGGTCGAGACGTATATATTGCATAGTGAAGGTATAAAAATGATATATGACATACAACATTAATATAAGTATATAATTTAATATAATACAGTAGGAACATGTGGGTTTGATATGGAATCATTAATGATTAATGATTGTGATTTTTCGTACAAATTCCAGAAGTATAGAGATGCGATATTGTATCAATATGACAACCATATAAGCCATATAAGGACACACATGTATCATCATATTGATCATCAATGGTGGTGCCATGATTCTCAAAATATCATCGAAAAAACAATGACATCCCATTGCCAACAAGGAATCCCAAAATGAATAGACACAATACTAACCCATTCTATCAGGGTTTTGTTCGGTTGGTGTTTAATATTGTTTAATGATTTTAATGTGAGGAAGGAACTTGTCAGATCACCATGTTTAGCATCTCCCTGCCCTGGATGTCCTCATTGAAGTTCCAAATGATAAACAGCAAACGCGAGGCACTCTGAACCCCACAAATGAAGAGGTAGGCCATGACCTTAGAACAGCTGGGATTCTGTGCAGTCAATTTGGTGGTTGAATTCATCAAGGGATGTTCATTGAGCAAACCGTGCGAGCTTCATGCGGTCGGACAACTAAGGAGAATCATGTTGAAGTCTGCATTAATTAAACAAACATAATGGTTGATGTGGTTCCCTGAGTCTTGGATTTGAAAAAAAAACATCCGTTGGGCAGTTGTGTACACAACATGATGTGCCCATTATTTTCTTTGGCCAAATCTGACTGCTGAGATCTCCGGCAGGAACATCAGAGGTGAAGAAAGTCTCCTGAAGCCCATGTGTTTTTTTAAGGCGAAGGCCGCTATTTAAACGATCCATTCCCGGAAATGAAAGCGATAAATTTGAGCAACGAATCATGGAATCACCACCAAGATAGACATTTATGTCCAATCATGAATAGTTATTGGAATAACAATCATGAATCAAATCTTGGTGAGCAACGATATGTCAAGTTCGTCTGGTGGTTGCGCCATCTATTCCATTGCCCCCAGGAGATTGGACACACCACAGGCCATTTACATTGCACCTTTTTCAGCACAGTGACCCCTGTAGAATGTGTAGAATGAACAAATCATTCACTGTGGTTCCGCACCCAGAAACACACAAAAACAGGGATGTCAACAATTGGATACACTTCTTGGAGTTCTAATTCATTGGTTCCCACAACATACCCTCTGGGAACAGTTTCGAGTTGCCCATTTTCATCTGACTTACCTTTGTGAAATGAGGGTAAACACCTCCCAGCAAACAAACAGTAGGAAGAGAACTTCTATTCTTTTGTTGGCGGCGGATTTTCCATATTAAATCACCCACATATATAAATATACATACGTATAATAGATAAACATATATATATATATCCATATTAGTCAATGCGTTGGCATCTTTTTTTGGCATTTCTGATTTTTCTGTTTTTTGGGCGCAGGAATTTGCAGATTTCCAGGAACCGTTTTCAAAATCTCAGGAAATATGTATCAATGTTCGTGAACTATTTATTACTAAATGGCTCTGAGTATATGTATATATAAAATATACAGTGTATATATATAATTATATATATAAATATATTGATATTGAGGGAAACATGATGATAAGTTCAAGCACACAAACCACAGGGAAAACGGTACCCGGTAACACAGAATTTGAGCGGGTTCCAGTGCGTCCCCATTGTGGGTCTATGGAAATTATCGACATGGTAATACTCAAGAGTTGTGTGTAGTCCTTATTTCTGTGTTTTGTATCCCAATCCAAAGTTTTCTACGGAATGTATGTCCCGCATTCACCATATTGCCACTGATTGTAGTATCCAGTATCCACTAATTTATGTGGTGATACATCGTCGTTTTCCAGAGTTACCAATGATCATTGCGATCACTTATTCCAGATTCATGTAAGATGGGTTTGTCTGAAAATAGCCGGGCCCCACATCCGCTGCTTAAAACGGTAAAATACCACATTTTCAGACACACTGAGATGTCTATTTCCAGTGAGTTATCCAGTTTCGGTACCATCCGTTAAATTAAGATGTATCATATATATTTGTATATATAATATATACATATATTTGCATACTATGTTTTATGGAAATGAATGGGTGTAGTGTTCGGAAAATGATCCAAATGATGGATTTCCAATATCTTTGCTTTCACTTATTGGAGGCTAACCATCAATAAACAAAAATATGATCTGGATTTCTTGCACTGGGTGACCCAAACATATCATCCAAAGTATTGGGCGCACCTTTTGGTGTCATCAAAAGAACGCATGGATTGCTTTAGGACACCCCCAAAAAAATGTCCTTAATTGATTCACTACATCTATGGTGGATTATCCATTAGGTAAACCAAAAGAATCGACTCAACAAATCCAGGCTTACTGATAGGATGTTTCATCATATCCCATTGTATCCCATTAAATCTACAATGGTGAGATTCTCATATCCCAAATATCCTCTGCTAATCAAACGTGGTGGCTGGCAGGATGTTGTTTGTGCAAATGGAGGTGTCGAGCTGGAACAATCATCAAACTAAATGGCGATTTTCAAAATGTTATGGTTCATTACCGGGTTTTACTATAATATAATTCCATCAGTCACCATTAATCATCATTTTGCATGATGAATCATCATGATTGTCCGTTGTTCACCAAAAAAACCATCACTAACAATCATTAACCATCATTGTAAATAATTACATCCCATAGTTTCTATATACATATACAAGTATATATAACCATCATTGACCCATTCTAATCCCATAAGATCCCACTATCTACCTATATCCCATATGTTCCTTCAGGTCCATTGTTCACCACTATTAACCATCGTCCATTGTGTATTAGCCGTGCATCCCTCCACGCCTGCATGCTGGGTAGAAGCCCTAGGAACAGCATCGACATCACCTGGCAGCGGCGACTCGGTGTGGTTTTTGGTTTGTACTAGTTCCTTTGCTCTCTTGCTATGCGTTTTTGCTTCGTCTGAATCGTTTCCACCCACCCCCACACCTCTCCTCCCCCTCCTTAACAACAGCAACAACAACAACAACTACTACTACTACTACTACTACTACTCCTACTCCTACTCCTACTCCTACTCCTCCTGCTGCTGCTACTGCTACTGCGAGTCCGACTCCTACTCCTACTCCCACTCCTTCCTTTTTCTCCAAGTACTTTACTATACCGGTCGTGCGGTACTAACCTGATCGACCGGTACTCATGTGCTATGCCGTCAATAGGTCTTAAGTCAGCACTTGCTACGCAAGCTGCTTCTGCTCTACGGCTCTGTCTTCGTCTCTTCTTCTTCTTTTCTATTCTGCTTCTCTCTTCGGCTTCCACCTAGGGTGCGCAGCACACTCCCTTGCGGCCACCTCTCTATGACCGGCGGGCTTGCCACGGACAGTTAAATAAACATGGATATTTCACCAACGGAGATTTCACCAACAATAATGGAGAATTTCACCAACACAGATTGATATTTGACCAACAAAAATGGAGATTTAACCAAGCAACTTTGGGGAGCTCACTCTTCAACCAGGAAAAAGTTAGGGATTCAATGGGCCCGCAGCCTGAGACATGGCCATTAAGAGATTCGGCGGCATCCCGCGACTGAGGAGAACCCACATCATGCCTTGGTACCCGGGTCATGATGTCATGACACTTTCCAAATTTATTCAGGGAAAATCTTGATAGCATGGTATCTGCAACTATGCTTGCAAACAAGTGTTGAATGAGATTTCCGAGGTGATTCAGTTGAATGAGACTTTGTTGGGTGTGTCATAGGTTTCAAAGTGGCTTCAAAGTGGTTTCAAACTTTGCCCTCCCGTAATCAAACCTGGCAATGGGAAATCCACTATTTAGTTCGATGATTTTCCCATTAAAACACACCATTTTCATGGAACAAAAAGGGTTGTCAATCTCCATGTTTGATTGCCAAAAACCTTTAACTCCATCAATCACCACCAATCATAATCACTGACCATTTCTAAGCATTATCAACTATTCATTATTGACCATCATTAATGTGGTTAAAACAATAATAAACTACCCATTTGGGAATGGTTTATAACACCTATCTATGGTGATGACTGGGGGCTGGTTTATTATTGGTTTCACCGTCATTAACCATCATTAAAAATCAACCATAACTATCCATAACATAGCCATGTCTAACCATAATAATACTATAACATTGTCAGTAATAATTTGACCATGTCATACTAGCTTAACATCATTATTAACCATCATTACTGACAACGGTGTTTTGAAACATCTCCCGCTTCAGGCGCTGGCATCCAAGACAACTGCCCGAGTAGAAGAGGCTCCATTGGATGCTTTCCTGGCGGGTCGAGGTTGGCGACGCCTAGCGAGGTTTCAGGTGGATCAGATCCAAGTTGGATGATATCAGTTGTGCTACGGTTTATCATTATAAACCGAAGTATGAACCACCTTTTATATCAAAATTGATGATAAACCCAAGCAAAAGCTACATGCAATATTAACTGAAATAGGTGGTATATACATGTCCCCACGTGGCTGGTTTATTATTGGGCCTACCGTAGGCGGCCTACCCCATTATGTTTGGATTTGATTTCCAGTACCATGGATTTTCCATCAATTTGGAATTTGAGGTGCCACTGCTTTAGGGATGACCCTGCTTGAATGTACTTCCCAGATAGCAAATGTGTCATCTATACAGCATATATCGATTTTTCCAATGGTTTTTAACCACATACCAAGTGGTATAAACACAGCTAAGACCCAATAATATTGAAGATACTGAAGTATACAGTATGTATGTATGTATGTATATATATGTATGTATGTATGTATGTATGTATGTATGTATGTATGTATGTATGTATGTATGTATGTATGTATGTATGTAATGCATGTAATGTATGTAATGTATTTAATGTATGTAATGTATGTAATGTATGTAATGTATGTAATGTATGTAATGTATGTAATGTATGTAATGTATGTAATGTATGTAATGTATGTAATGTATGTAATGTATGTAATGTATGTAATGTATGTAATGTATGTATGTATGTATGTATGTAGGTAGGTAGGTAGGTAGGTAGGTAGGTATGTAGGTAGGTATGTATGTATGTATGTATGTGTATATATATATAGATATATTTTTATACACATATTCGAACATGGTCAACTATGATCAAGTTAGTTGTGCAGCAACCCCGAAAAGTCATTCACCACTATTCAAGAAGAATTTTACTAACTAGAGTCTACGCGGGGTTCCCATATCAACTTAGTTCACTTGAACACTGGAACTGATGCCCCAGCATTGTGATTGGTAAAAATCCAACGCACCATATCCCATATGTCATATCCCAATACATTCGTTATACAACGGTTTCCCCCAAATCCCAGTAAGTGATTCACAAGCCATACTCATTTATAATTTCATACGTATATATATATATATATGTGTGTGTATAAAAAAAGATAGGGTTGAAGTAACATCCATATTAACCATGATGATTTACCGTTCTTAAACATAGTACTGCTCCATGATGTTCCCCCTTACTGGCCAAGAAAAGATATGAACATTTTTTTGGCCGCCTCCACGCCAAGGCTTTGGGACTTCAGCTGTAAATTCTTCAGTACCTGGCCAAGCTGCAGTTCGGATCCCAAGTTACGTGGCACTTCCTTGGGGAAAAACGATGTTTTTCTGAGAGATCTTGGGGATATCAAGGGATCAATATGTATATATATATATGTGTGTGTGTGTTTATGCTGGCGGACTTTTTACCGTCCAGCAAAACGCATAGATTTTGATGGGATGGGGTGGGGTGGGGCAATAACGTTCATTGGCACTTACACACATACGTGATGCTACGCCACTGCCCGTTCTTCTGCAACGTCCACACATACGTGATGCTACGCCACTGCACGTTCTTCTGCAACTTCCGCACATAGGTGATGCTACGCCACTGCGACATTCATCAAGCAACTGTCTTGATTCGACTTCGGGCCTCTTGAAGATGGAAAAGTTAAACCCTCAAGTTCGGAGACCCCTTTTTTTCCAGTCAAAATTGACGTTTCGCTATGGCGAAACGATCATTTAGTAATAAATATGCGGACGGCGAAAATTCCGCCGGGATGTTTATGTGTATATATATATATACAAACTAATAATAAATAAATGTTTAATAATAACAACAACAACAACAAAAAGAATGACTATAATAATAATAACAATAATAATACAAATAATTACAATATGTTTGTTTTAAAAAGAACATTTTTCTAAACAACAATACTCTATATATATATATCAAACCAGATCTTAATCGATATAGCTTGATATAACCGTCCGGTTGGATATATCAAATGTCTTGTTGGGAAAATGATGCTTTCGACATGCCTTAGACCATTGGGATCGGGGGGTGTCAAACAAAAAGGATAAACTACTGTGAAAGAATTCTGTGTGGAGCCACCTTCCAAAAGCCAGGAAATTGACTGACCGTTAATCGTATGTTTGAAACCAATCCTTTAGCAAGCGCAACATCGCCCAACGGAATGCTAAAGAGATCAAAGTTGCGTTTCAGAGGGTCATTCTTTGGTCTTGATTCCAAGCACATCTTGATTGCATTGCATGGGGGATTCCCTTCATTCTTAAAGATAATACTCATACTGTGTCTCAATTAAGGAATCCAGTCGAAGTGCTCTCTTGGCCAAAGAATTACCAGCTCACGCAATCAGCAAAGACTCAGACTTAGAGGATCTCAGAGGTTTGCATTAACTTCGTTACCTCTGTTCCTCTTTCCTCTTTCACCCTCTCTTTGACCCCCTTTCATCTGCTCAATTCCCTCCAAAAGAAACAGTGGGTGTGGTCGCCTAAGGACATGGACAAAAACCACTCACACAGCAAGCAGCAATGCAGCTTTCAGAGACCACCAAACAATAGGGGTTTGTCTAAAACTTGTGGATCCCATCAAAAACACATGGTTTGTCATGAGGCTCCACATTATATGAACACACAATGTTTGCTAGTTATCCCCATTTTTCTGGGGTTTTCCATCAATTTTTTCGCAGCTTCAGGAGCTGATTTGGGTCCCACACCGTTTCTCCCACTGGAGAGAAGATGTAGCAAAGCCTTGGATTTGGATCTTCAACGGCGAAGTCTACACCATAGTTGTTATGGTCAAAAAATTGTATAGTAACCCCTAAAACAATAGAATCATGACTTATCATGGTAGGATCTTACTTTCCGATCTTTTTGGGGTTTGCTTTGCTTTGTGTATTTTTTTGTTCTGGTCATCCCACCATTGGGATTACCATGGGGGGATCACCGTCACAGGAAGGTGCGACTCAAGGCCAGGTGTACCCTGGTGTTCACATCAAGATAGCGGGAACCTATGGATCTTTATCCACTCCCATATGTATATATATATAGAAAAAAACATGAAACACCGATTAAACCTTTGAGCTATCGCCAGTATCAACCCATACAAAGGCCTTGAACATCCAGAACAAATTGGAATAACTGCAAAAATCAGCTAATGAAAGTCAGGGCCTGAAGCCAGGTTCATGTCACTGACAAGCCTTGCTCGCAAGAAATGCACAATCCTTTCTATTATATATATAGTCTGTTTCTGGTCTCTATATATTTACTGTAAATATATATATATATATATGTATATAGCCTATAGTGGGACTAGTTTCCACAAAAAATATTGATCACTTTCATTTAGAACTGCTTACTTCACCCTGAGTTGCAAAAATAGGCAGGTCTCAAGTCTCAAGGTCGCAGCAGCCTTTGTGAACTCTGTGGAACAGCCCGATTCAACCAACAAGGGGTTTATTGCACTGTACAAGTGCCACATAAGGATGTGTGTATATATATATATGTTTTTTTAATACATGGCATACAATATAGGGGACCCATGTTATGCAGCCCTCTTCTCGCAACATTGACAGATCGGTTCTACCACGTGATGTCGGGATTCCAAATCCAACCATAGTTGGGTCTGATTCAGAATTATTTCTCCCCAAAAACAGCACAATTTAGAGCATGGTTCATACATGTTAGTACCCAGAATGACTATAAGCGTTATATTTGAGGGGATGAACATATACGACTACTTAGTGACCCATATTTCAGGGGGTGAACATACAGAAATCCTAGGTTTTTTTTTGTGTTTCCGGGGAGCCCCCAGGGTACTGGAGCCGCCATGACGTCGCAACCAAGTCGCGCAATCACTGCATGGATGCGGAGACAAATTCCGCGGCAGAAAGGCCTGGGATCAATGGCCATTTCAGGTACTGAGTTATTGGAGGTACTAGTACCTACCATGAACATCTATACATAAACTCATAAACAATCATAAACCCCATATTACACTATATGTTGCTGCAATTCAAACAAGAGGTTTCCAGCCCAAAAAATCATCAGATTCTAGGTGATCCGTGATCTTGGCACCAAATCCATCCTCCGCTGGCCCTCCCCGGTGGCAATGGCCCCCCACTTCATCAGCCACTGTGTCACCGCAGCACGTTCCGTCAGGCGCTGTTCCGCTTGGCAGATGCAACCTGCGCCGGGCGATGCTCACCAGGTTTTTGTTTGGATATTGTTTGGGCACCACGTAAAAATTATGTAGATGTAGATGTAGATGTACATGTTATGCTGTTGTTGTTGCTGTTGTTGTTGCTGTTGCTGCTGCTGTTGTTGCTGCAGTTTTTGTTGCTGTTGCTGTTGCTGTTGTTGTTGTTGTTCCCATTAAACAATCGGAATTGTTGCGCCAGCCTGAACGAGACTCAAGATTTAGCCATGACACATTCCATGGTTTGGTTGATGAGCCATGGGGACATTAGGGGACATTGGGTTGGGTCAAATGTTTTGTAAGGCTGGGACCTGCAAATTTTACGTTGAAAGATCAGCAATGCAGAATCAAGTTTCAAACTGCAACAAATCAATCGAGATTCAGGCAAGATGTTGCGAAGCTTAAGTTGGAACAGGTGTGTTTTCACTGGTTTTGAGGTCAACCTACTTTTTGATACAATGTGAGATTTAAGACTATAATAATGGACGAGGACCATCACTTGCAAATCAACCATAACAACGGTCAACCCTGGGTCGAAATTTGAGTACCAAGGAGCCCAGTTAAAGGGGTTTCAACCCATAGCTATCCGTCCTTTTCGCTCATATAAACATTACTACCACTGTAAAGACTCATACTCATGTTCATGTTCTCTGGTCGACAACATTCAAACTACAGCAACTCTATTCTGAACTTTGGAATCATTCCCAATTCTCCTTTAAGTGCCTCAAATGTCAAAGTGAAACATTTCTGTGCAATTCAATATTTCCACATAAGAAATGGTCACCATTTTTGGGATGATTCCCTATACGCAAATCATTGCTCTTGGGTTAGGTTCGCCAAATAATCTACTATACCCAAATTGTCGCTTGATTGATCAAATCACATATATATATATATATTGTTATTGGTTAATATCTCCAGTTTTGATAGTGTCACCCGTACTGGTGATCTGAACAAAATAAAACAAAAACAGTGAAACACTACACATTGATTGCACATTGAAAGATTGTATGTTCACGTGTCTTTTCTATATTTACTGTTCCCACAACATCCCACAACTATCCCTAATATAATCTTCTTATTTAAGGATTGGTCAAAACCTATTATTACCATAGATTGCTAAATTTTGGGGAATAAACACCCATAAACCATCTATGAGTTAGAGCACCATCCGGGTACACGCGGATTTCGACTCATGGCCATGTTACATGACATTATCTCATTAGATTCCTATTAAATCGCCATGGAATCCTCATGCAATCCCATGAAAATCTCTATAACTGTAATTTCCCTCATAGACCTTACCAAAAAAAAAACTTTACTTCGAGTTATCCCCACCATGACATCTATACGTTTTGTTACTGGCAAATCTTCTGGCATTCTATCTGACATATCTTCTGGCATTTTATTTGGCATATCTTCTGGCATTCTATCTGGTATATCTTCTGGCATTCTACCTGGCATATCTTCTGACATTCTATCTGGCAAATCTTCTGGCGTTCTATCTGGCAAACATTCTGGCACTTTATCTGGCATATCTTCTGGCATTCTTCTGACATTCTGATCTGACATATCTATTCTATCCGGCATATCTTCTGGCATATCTGCATATCTTCTGGCATTCTATCTGGCATTCTATCTATCTGGCATATCTTCTGGCATTCTATCTGACATATCTTCTGGCATTCTATCTGGCATATCTTCTGGCATATTTCTGGCATATCTTCTGGCATTCTATCTGGCAAATCTTCTGGCATTCTATCTGGCATATCTTCTGGCATTCTTCTGCATTCTATCTGGCATATCTTCTGGCATTCTATCTGGCATATCTTCTGGCATTCTATCTGGCATATCTTCTGACATTCTATCTGACATCTTTTCTGACATTCTTCCCGTTGAGGTCCGGCAGTGCCCACTGCGATCTGGAAGTCGCGGTTGAGGTCCGGCAGTGCCCACTGCGATCTGGAAGTCGCGGTTGAGGTCCGGCAGTGCCCACTGGTCCGGCAGTGCCCACTGGGATCTGGAGCGAGGAGGAGGCGGCGGGTGAGGAGGTGGAGGAGGCAGAGGAGGCGGAGGAGGCGGAGGAGGAGGAGGAGAACAGCTCTGATAAAATCTAACAACCCTCACCTGGCAGGTGGGGAATAAAATCTCTCATATACTTGGTAAATATCCCATATTTCCCCTATATTTCCCCTATCGTTCTCGAAAAAAACATCGAGGAACTCTGCAAGGTCTCGGCATCTTTGGGAATGGACGAGACCTTGGACATCGAGGCCTCGGTCCGAGTGAGTTCGCGAGAGAAGAAGTGTTGGGTTTGTGAAAGGCATCATATTAATATCTATAGTTAATGGGATGATAAATCTATAATTCATGGGACGATATATCGAAACAACTGTGTTTTAATGATGTATGTCTAATGTTATATCTATGGATAATATTTAAATCTGATAGTTAATGGTAAATAAAATCCCAACTTAGATTTATAGATAATGATATCTGTTTATATCTATTTGAAAATATCATGTAAGATAGACAATATAATATTGGGATATATTGGGTTGGAGTTGGATCCATTTTAAAATACCTTATAATGATCTTTGCGAAAAACAGTGTTTCGCGAATCTCTCGCGAACTCCATGTTTTCGCGGAACCCATGTTGGGCAACAACTCCTCTTATGAAGATTCATTCACCACCTGCCAAATCACACCAAATTATCACGGATAACTTCTTCATAGCCTTGTAAACATGCAACTAGCATCACGGAATCCCCTTCTCAGGACAGGTTGTTGCTGATGAGGCATTTGTTTTTTGCAAGGCTTACTGGGCCACTCACTCCAAAATGCACTTTGACTTTCGCCCACTCCTTCGCAAAACTTTCGCGAAAATACCCCTATCCGCAGGGGGCGCATCAGAGGAAAAGGAAACACCAGGGGCCTTGGCGTTTGGCTCTTGAAAGGCCTCACTTTTGGAAGCTTGGCTGTTGCATTTGGAGCTTGTTTCTTGAACTTCAGAAAGCAACGTTAGGCAGTAACAGCGGCAGGTGCAAAAGTGTCCTTCAAGACCATGCTATTTGGTTGTGGCGAAGCCTCACCTTCGGAAGCTTGGCTTCTACCTATGAGGGGAAGGGTAAATGTGCGGTACCATTCTCCTGCCGGACCCCCAGGCGGCAGGAGGTGGTAGCCCTAACAAGCTGTAATGTATACAATTATACAATGATAATAATTCGTAGTACACAACTCTCGCGAAACTCTTGCGAAAAAATCTTTCGCGAACTCGGAAAAAAAGCTTTCGCGAGGGTTCCTACGTAGCATGCACGGCTTTCGCAGTTAAAATTCCTTACAGGGACCTTTAGATCAATTCCCATACATAATACGTGTATATATATATGTATGTATATATATATAGTGTTTTTTAATGAGATGATATCTTAGGTTTATGGATGTTTATGGTAGATATCTAATATTAATCTATTGGTGAATGGGATGTTCGGTTAACTATAGGTGAACTTGCTGGCTCATCACAGTGGTTTCTTTATCCCACTTGTTATGGCCAGTTATGACTGGGGTGAGCTATCCACTACTAGTAGCTGAGATGAGCCACCATCTGCGGAAATCTGATTTCTTGATATCTGTTGAACTTTCGTTGATCTGGCGCTGTCTGACTTCAGGTGATTCTGGGGTGCTTCCCCTTACAAACCGCTCACTTCACGGCCAACAACCCTGGGACTGTCAGGCAAAACCAAGAAGTTGGGCTGCTGCCCAACAGAAATGGGGAGACAGCCATAAACATTTAACTTCAGAAACTGCTGGAAATCTTTCAAAAGCAGAATCACGCCAACCGTTCCATCATTTTCGGGATCGCTTTTGATTCACTTTGGGTGTTGGTATTGGTCTGTTATACATCTCCCAGAAAGTCTGGCGGTGCTCCACAAACTCAGCACCCCCAAACACCGAAATCGGTCGGTCCACCTTCATGATGTCATGGATTCGTTCCTGCACTTGGGAGAAAGGATGAGTTTGTTCGAATGAGCGGCTGAGAAAGGATGCGCGCTACTAATTCACTACTGCAATCTCTATGTCCAGTCTGGAAAGAGTGAAAACTAGATCATGATATTCAAGTTGAATACAAATTCAACCGTATATAGGAAAAAAAACGCTCAATGCATCCAACTGAAGAAAGAATAGAAGCAAACACTCGAGTCAACATTGATTTTCCAACCGGTATTCCTTCGCATACCTCATCTCAGTCGATCTCATCTTCCATAGGGTTTACATCCAGCTATATTTCCGTATCAGTATCCAGTTCATATTCCATCAGTCCATACAATTTGGCCCCTGGACATATCCATGCACCAAAAAAACCCTAATCACTCCAACCATCCTTCATCAATCCTGGGCTGGTAAATCGTAATGCCACCAGCAAAACTGGGTCGCCACTATATCTGCTGTGAGATTTTGCGTTTTTGTTTGCGAATCTTTAATTATCTTATAAGATGCAGTTATGGGGCATCGGTACTCAGTAGTCCCTTATCGATTGTGAAGGTTTTGGGAAGGTTTTGTCATTGCAGGCAGAGTTCGATGCAGCCCTCTACGTGTCGGTTCATGTGATAACATTATCTAGTACGAGGGAAAAACATAACTATTGTTCCACTTGTTGTCATATAGATGGTTTCCGGTTCAACGTGTCCCTTCAACCTAGTTGATGGGTATATGAATCACATTAAAATACATGTCAAGTTATCTCAGTTATCTCCCATTTAGTTCACCTCTTAATCATCATCCCCATGTTCGATAGTCAAAAATGGTAAATGTCAACTCCCTTTTTTAATTGTGATCGGTACTTGGATTTGCGGATCCGGAACCGCCCAAAACACAAACACATGATCGTATCCCCAGTCGTAGTGGATTTCCCATTAACACCCAGCCATCGACTCATCAAATTCAAGTTTATATATATATATATATGTATATATATATATATATATCCCCTGATACCCCATTAGATTTGGTGATATTCCCACATAATCCCAAATATCATCCGGTAATCATTGAATCAAATGACTCAAATGTGGTTGGCTCAAAATTCCTCTATAAATCTCCATGTTCGATGATTAGATTATGTTAAATCATGTGAAATCATCCTAAAACATGTTAAAAACCATTACGCTTTCTATGTTTTTCAATATGTTTTCCATCAATTGTTTTGGTCAACCCCCCCAAAAACTGCTCCAGCCGAGACCGCCGTGGCCCCCCTTCGCCCTGCCTCACTGACCTGTTGTTCCAGAAACTCCGTATCATCATCCACGTCCAGCACACGCATGTGCTGAGCCACCTGGGGGAACAGGGGATGGCACCATTGGTTGATCAGGGCTTGGTTTATAGGGCAAGACCCGGAGAAAAAACATGCGAATTTTTCTAGTTGCTTAAATAACAAATTGTTGAAGGTGTCATGTTCTTTAGCAATCCAACTCTTGTTTTGAGCAACATATATTTTGGCTGAATTCTAGAAGTAGTTACCCTAAAATGGTGGTGTTTCTGATCTATCTTCATACAAGTACTTAGAAATTTTAAAAGAGAGAGAGATATATATATATATATAGATACGGTTATATTCCACAAGGACGGCACACGACACATGTCTACTATGTTGCCAGTTTCAGGAACACTTGTAAAAAACGGACCTCAAATACTCTATGGAAACATGTGCATATCTGCATCGGTCTATATACATCAATACTGGGAGCAATCATGCTTGCATGCCTAATGCTTCAATACTGCTTGGGCGGCCTGGGTCTATGTGTTTGACCCATCCGTTTGTCTATATGATATCTAATGGTGGATTTGTCGGAAAATAGGGTAGTCCTAGGGTGGCCATACATTTGAGTATATCAAGTCCCCACATTTGGATATGATACAATTATTTTACAACTAGTAGCAAAACCTGACTAGTTGTTGAAGCTGAAGTATACCATATCGACAATTCAACATTCGAGCTTCAACACATGCTATGATTGACTGTAACCTTTTGGGTATGATATAAACCTGTATCAACCATTCTTTATTTTCTTCCCATGTCTTCCCCAAACTTCATGACCGGTTGATTAAAGATCGCCGAATCCGTGAGTGGAAAAGTAACCTTGTGCATTCGGATGCGGCTTTGTCTCAATGGTTGAAAAGCAAGGTCAACCCTGTTGGTATTGCGGTTACCAACGTGCAAGGTCAGATTGCTGAGACTGATGTGCAAGCGGCTGAAGTGATTTTTGATTATTGGCAGAGTTTCTGGAATGAAAGGGATATTCTGAACCCTCCTGTTTCTGATAGGGTCCAGGCATGTCCAGTCTATTCTTCATGGTGTGGCCCCCTTCCCTGTTCAGGTTTGGCAAACCCCTTCTGGTGTGGAGTTGTGTAGTTTAGCTGAGCTTGTGATGCCAAGGGTGCTTTTGGCCCTGATGGTATGAGCAGTCGTGAGCTGGGTCTTTTGCCGGCCGAGGCTTTTCACATGTTTTCTTTGTTGGCCACGCGTTGGCTTTGCTCCGGCGCGGTCCCTGACCACATGTGCGAGAGTCGTATGGTTTGTTTTCTGAAACCTGGCAAAATTCAAAGCGGCAACGCTGTCTCAGTTCAACATATATACGACCCATCACCGTGCTTTCTTCCTGGTGGAGGTTGTGGAGTAGTGCTTGGACCCGTGGCTTGGTGCGGAACTGGATGAGAACTCATGTTGCTCCTGAATTTGCTGTTGCTCATGCCACTTCCCCTGGTGAAGTCGTGGTGGATCTGTTAGATTCCTTGCGCCGACACGGTTATCTTATGACTTTGGATTTTTCCAAAGCATTTGATTGCTTGGATGGGATCCTAATCTTGTGAAGGTGCTCGCCACGGTATGGCAGCGTCAAAAACGTTGGGTTTCCTACCAGTCGCATACTCATCCCTTGACTCTTTCGGGTTCTTCCATGCCTTAAGGCGACCCCATGGGTCCAGTTATCATGACCCTTTGGGCGTGGCTGGGTTGGCTGCATGTTGAGCGTCAATGTCGCAGTGTTCCTCATGTCATTACTAGCACTTACGTTGATGATCGGTCCTTCGCGGTTTCCAGAGTTTGGCCGTTGTCGGAGAGGTACCATCACTAGAGTGACTGGTCTGCGTCCGTCGGGGTGTGTGAAAAGCAAGCCAAAGCTGCGTCCGTTGTCGCAGAACCACACTGCGCCGCGAGTTGCCTCAAGTTGTGCAATTTGACATTGAGTTGCTTGGTTCATGTAGCATGGTTAGCCAGCGTGGCTTGCTCCCTCGTGAACATGCCCGCGTTGATGCTTGTTCTAAGACCCTACTTACTTTGCCTGCTTGCGCTCGCCTTTTGAAAGGTACATGCGTGCTTGTAGACAATTTGCTGTTGCGAAAGTTACCTATAGTTGACTTTGTCAAAAAAGATTAAAAAGTCGTGGAGTTCGGTGCATGTTGGAAGTGGTCGCATTCGTGCTGCTTCGGTATGGTTGCGTGCTGCCTTGCTTGGCGGTGACATGCACCTTGGTGTGTTGTTCGCCATCCAACTTAAGGATTTTTCCTCGCTTGCAAAAGTGTCGTGCCTTGACTTGGTCTGCTTGTCGCGGCTCTCCTGTCCATGCCTTTGATTCTTGGTTGGCTTCGCATGGCTGGGACCGGACGGCTGAATGGTAGCGGACTCATTCTGATTTGGGCTGCCGTTTGGATCTTACTTCCGCCAGTGACATTGGTCCTTAGCACGGTCAAAACGCAGAATGCAAAACGCATGTTCCGGAACGCGCACTCCAAACGCAGCGGGGTTTAGTTTATAGTAGTTTTTGCCTCCAGAAGCCTCCCAATCCTTTTTGTTGCTCCTTGCAAAAAGGATCCGCTGTGTCACAGAGAGTTTTTCAACATTTTTTCAAAGTCTTCTTGGACCTCTGTTACACTACGATAAACTTTGTGAGAGGTCAGAACCTTTTTCTTTCAGAGAAAAAAGGATCCGGGAAGGAAACCTAACTTGCCCCACAAACCTGTTGAGGCCAGAACCTTTTTTGCTTCGGCCAAAAAAGGATCCGAAGTTGGGAAGATCAACTTTCTGGTGGCTTCATGCACCATTTTGAGCCCATAAGAGCTCTCAAACTCCTTTTTTATCTGGGGGAAAAAGGTCTCAGTGTCCAGGCCCAGGAAATACATTAACATTGGATTATTGGAAAAAGGATCCACTCAGAACGCGCGTTCCGGAACACGAGTTTTTAAAACGCGCGTTCCGAACGGAACACCAAACAGAACCGAAGGAACATGCTAAGCCAGCGCCAGCATGTTGTTCGAGATGTTTGGCGTGTTTGGTGCTTGCGTCGTCACATGGCGTCTGAGCGACGGGATGCTCAGCTTGACTGCTTTCATGATGCTGCTGGATATTTTCATCGGATTGAATGGCATGCTACTCGTAAGTTTGCCGCTTCCTGTGCGGAAGCAAGGACTTTTGCTTGTGGTGCCATGTTCTCTCCTGCTGCTCTTGGTGGTCGGATGCCTCATCGTCCTTCTACCATGTGCATTTGGGATGGTTGCACTGAGCTTGGCACGTTTGATCATATTATTGCATGGGAGTGTCCTCGTCGCTCTTGTAATATACCTAAACCAGCCGAGTTTTTGTCTTCTCGGTATGGTTGGGTCGTTGCAACTCAAGTTTGTGACATTGATGCTGTGCATGGTTGGTTGGCTGATGTGCAAGAGACTCTTTGGTCCCTTGTCCATCCATGACTTGTGCTTGTTTGTATGTTGGTCCTAGTTTCCTTCTGATTTATTGGTCTTGCCCACTTGCACTCCCTTTGGGGTTGCCTTGCCTTCGTGGGCTTCCCCTCTGGGTTTGGCTTGGTTTGTTTGGGTCTTTGCCCCCTTGGTTTTCTTTTTGCGGTATTGGTTGGTTTTTCGCTGGGCTGTTTGCACCTTTGGTGTGGTCTGGGTGCCTTGGCATCCCGACGCCATGGAGTCGTTTGTTCCCGTTGGGCCTTTGCTCTCGGTCTTCATGGCGTGCTTTCGTGGTGGGCTGCTGCTGCTGCTGCCGTGGCCGCCCCCTCGCTCTGCGCTGTCTATTTGGGGGCAGTTCAGATCAAAGTTCACACTCTTCCCCAATCTTCCCCACATATTCGCCAGGCAGCGATGGATGTGGAGGACATGCGCCGGAAGCGGTTGTTCTCGCGATGGGCCAGCTCACGCTGGACTCCTTCACGACCTGGCGTTAAAAAAATGAAAAATAATGGAGGGAAGAATCATCCAACTACCTTTAAATAGGGTAAACGTATATATTCTATTTATTTTGAGTATTCTAAAGTTATATATATATATATATATATATATAGTATAGCGTATATCCAGCTCGCAAATGATCACTATATACATATATTCTATTATTCTATTTATACTGTGGCATGCAATGGTATAATATAATAATAATTATATATATATATATACTATTATCATTATTACTACTATTGTTATTATTATCATTACTATTATGTGGGTGGTATATTATATCCATATAGTCCGGGTGGTATATTTTATCGACAAATTTTGTATAGAATGGTATATATGTATATGTATGGTATAATTTATAATGCAATTTTTCCCATGGAATGGAATTGCATCTTTTGAGCTAGGCATCTTCTGCCCCCCCCCCCCAAAAAAAAAAAGGCGGATTCCAGAAATGGCTGTCAAAGGCCCCCCAGTGAACATCCAGAAAGCTTGTAAATAGATGTTCATCCCCTCAAATATGGCAATATGGCAATATGGTACTGATATTAGTGATAGATCTATTATAAGGAGGTTTCCTGAAATAGGGGTACCACCAAATCATGAATTTTAATTGTATTTTCCATTTCGATAAACCATCCAACTATGGGGCTACCCCATCTATGGAAACCCCTATATAATATCGTATATACAGATATATATATATATACATATATATATATATACATATATATATGTGATGAGTTTTGATCCATCCCCAACTGATGGGACAGAAATCGTTGCACCTGCGACTTGTGCCCAAAGGTGGTTCAAGCGATCTGTGTCCTTCTCCTCTGCGCGCAACGTGTCACTGAATCGTGCGTCCCTTTAGATGTGAGGCTCCCAAGATAGCTACGTTGGCTATGCTTCTAAGATTACTGTCTGGTTTATAGTAGATATGTCTTATATTGTCTTATAGTCTAGTTAGATGGGTTTATGTGACGTGTAAAAACCAACTTGGAACTGGGCGGGGGCCACATTGACCAAGTTGGATGGACATCAGCTCGTATCATAACCCAGGATATACTTTGACGCACTTGATGGATGTAATCACTGGCTTAGAGACTCGTTACAATGTCAGGCTATCATCAACATCAAAATCAAAGACTTTTATTAACTTGGATTGGTGCAGATCTTCGTGGAGAAAAATCAAGGCAGACCAAATTGACACACCATCTTTTAGGATTTTCGGGGCCACAATTCAGAGTTATCTCTGAAAGCATCTGCCCGGACAAATTAGGTTCACTGATTGGCCTTTTCAAGCCAGAAATCCATATCCACCGTGCCCATTGGGTATCATCTCACAGGGTAAAATCGAACGTACTTTTTCAACAAAAAGTGCCACAACACGAAACAAACAATAAGAAATGATGACTATAGTTAGTTTAAAAGTTTTAAGATTCTTTGTGGTTCAAATGAACGCACCACTGCAAATGTCGACGCCAGCTCCAGCAGCTTTTCAGCCTTAAAGTGCGTCAGGGCAAAATGATATGCCTCCGGCAGGGAGCTATGGAGACAACTTGAACCTGGCTATGTCTGCAAGATTCATAGCTCACATTCATCCAATACAATCCACGTTTACAATCGGTTCGGAACGGCCAAGGTTTTGTTCCAAAGTGGTCCCCATCTTGTACATTTTGAAAAGCAACTGTATATGTAATGCTGTAAAATCATGGCAATAACCACGTATTAAAATTGTATGCATAAATAAATAAATATATATATATATATCTAATTATATATATAAATATACCTATGGAGTCAAACACTGTCTGAGAAGGTACTAGGAATATATAAATATACCTATGGAGTCAAACACTGTCTGAGTCAACCCCCTAAATCATACCCCAAGTACTTCCCAAGAAGGCACTAGGATCCATAGGGTAGACATATAAATATATATATATATGTGGGCTATTGTATAACCTTTGACGGAGTGGGATTCCCCTCAATTAATGTACTGTACCACTCAGTAAGGCTCGTAGTCACAGCCACCCACTTTTTCACAGAAGATTTTCGAGAAGTGGGTGTGGTTCACAAGAAACATTCCATAGAAAATATAGGTTTCTGGCACTACCATCGAATACCCTCAGGCAACCAACATTGACATTGGAAAAAACATGCGATTTTCGATGGCAAAAAAAAAACTACGCATGATTCATCCCAGGCCATCACCAATGAAATCGTCCACAACTTAGATTTGCTTATCACCACCCAGCCCCAAAAAAACCCTAGATACCCCAAATGGTTTTGTCTGAAAAGAAGGTACAGGTATCCCTTCTTTTCTCCTCTTCTTTTCATTTTTCCTATGAAACTTGCCATAACTTAGGGGTGCTAATAGGCCATTTTCAGACACACCCAAATATAATACACTACTTTCTATATCCCAACTATATCACCATCATTTCCCTGATATTCAAATGTCTGGCTGAACAAAATCCACAAAGTGGTGGTGGAAAAGGCCTCCCCATGGGCCATGGGCCTATCTCAGCAACCTCGCCTCCAGCAGGTTTTCGCGCCAGATGATGAAGGGAAAGGTCGCCTTTGTGGCTGCCTTGGCCATCTGCCAATACTGCGGCTCCTTGGAAGGGCTGGCAGGGCTGCAGCTGGTGGTCAAAACAAGAAATGGGGGAGTTATCCAATTATGTGTTGGTTTCAGAGAACTTAGAGAATCAAATACAGGTTTCTCGCAAATCTCTCCCTTTTCCGATTCCGGAAGGATTGACATGCCGAGTGGATTGGGTACAGTGATAGTGACCTATCCACATCAATGATCCATCCATTGAGGCCAAGCGTCCGGTAGGTCCAAGGCATGGTCGATGGCGCAATAGAAAGCTTCCAGCAGCATCTGTGGGGAGTCAGCGTTCTGCTGGCGAAAGTAGACACCTCCAGAGCTTCGTCCCCTGTTCAGGTCGATGGATTACTTCATAGTCTCGGGAAATGGATGGGATGGGTACCTCAAACACGGTCCTTTATGTTTCTGAGAAAATTATGATGTCTGTGTGTGCGTTCTTTTTTTTGTGAATGATACTTTCTATATCACCGGTCTAGGTTAAACATTTCCATCTTGTGATGGTTGTGGTTTATTTACATCCACACGGCAGACTTACTACACGGCAATTCACTAGTCATCGTGAGCGTGGATTGCATACTTTCTTACAAGTAGCCGTAGCCCCTAAATATCCCGATTTTTTCCGGGAAAGTCCCAGGGTGCCATTGTTGATAGGTTTCTGTGTGTTGACAACTCCAGCAAAGCTTTAGATTGGACATATGAATGTTTGTGTTGGACAACTAAAGACATATAACTAATCTAAAACTATAGATGGTTTACTTGCAACTATATCTACAAATATATCTATATATAGTATATGTGAGGAAGAACACATTATACAATCCCATATGCCACATTACTTTCCTGCGAGGGTTGAAAAGCATCCCCTATAACACCACTATGACTACTATATAACATAACATATCCTGAAAAAATGCTACAGTACATGTTTTTGGATAAAGATCCATTCTTGGGGGTCAGTGGGGTCCTAGGCATAATAGCAAACAAATACTTGGAAGCGCAATTCATACTAAAATACTGGCAATTTACTGTTTATCTGGGGGTTGCTATAAGTATCTTATGATATGTTACAGCTGTCAGGCCTCAAAAGTCTGGAATATTGAGTATCTATTAATGTTTCATCCACTTTACTATACATGATGTTGTGGTTCATCAATTCATATCACACATAATCAATCCCATCTTACTGGGAGTTGGTTTACCTCCAATTAACGATACATCTACCATCACAGCCAAGCGGCCAAGCGTCAGAAATGTTCACCAGCTTCATGGCAAAATCCACTTAAAATCTCGTGTTCCATCATTAAGTCCGCTATCAAATAAACTTACCCTCTGGTAATTTAACGTGGCTATTGAAAATGGCCCATCAATAGTTGATTTACCTATTAAAGATGGTAATGTTCCATAGCTATGGGCCATGTTCTATCAAATAGTTGAGTTACCTGGTAAACAAACAAAAAACTATGGAAAATCACCATTTCTAATGGGAAAATCCACTATAACTGGTCATTTTCAATAGCTATGTTAGTTTACCAGGCCGGGTAGTTTGCAACTGTCCGCCCGATTTGTCGATCAAGAAATCCCAGCCAAAATCTGTGGGTAAAACAATGCCATAAACCATCCCCCAGTCATCAAAAAATACCAGTGGTATAATATGTTTAACATTTCCTAAAATGGGTGGTTTATAGAATGATAACTAGTATTTACTATGGTTTATACAGTTCCCTAAAATCGGTGGTTTATGGCCGACTTTTCCATAAATATATTTGGAACATGGGAGATTACCAGTAAATAATTAAATATATGTGGTATGGTATGTTTACCATTCCCTCAAAATGGGTGGTTGCTATATATATATATATATACATATAACTGGGTAAATTATAATAATTCACCTAAAATAAGGCAATTTTGGGATGATTCCCCTTATTAACCATGATTCTGGTGAGGGAGAACAGTGAGGTCGTTGTAATATATTATATATATATTATCCCTGGGCGTCAATGTTGAAGTTTACCTCCTACGCGGACAATGTTGATGTTTGGGTTGGTTAAATGCGTAGGTAAACATCAACATTGGACTTTCAGGGTGATTTTTATGTATATATATATAATTATATATCTATTTATAAATCTATTTTTAAATATATATATATAATATAAATAAAAAACACTCCGAGTCATGGGTGGTTTATGACACGCCTGGCATCTTGCCCAGGCCGCCGATGGCGCAGCCCACCGAGGGCACGGCCAGCAGGCCGAACTCCACATCCACATAGCCTGGCTCGTGTTAGGAGAAAAACATGGGGATTGACACAGCAAAAAATGGAGAGTTACCCAACAAAAAAGGTGGAAACATGGGGATTTACCGGTAAACATGGGGATTTAGGGTTGATTTATACTGTCTAAGTTGGAGCAACCAAGTAGGGTAACGGCTGGATATTTATCGTACTTTATTGTGCAGTAGATATATCAAAGTAGTTTTTGATGTTGTATATAGAGTTACAAACCAACTTATATCAAATCTTAAACCCAATCAAATGGTGGTTATTAACTAGTACATCACCACCACAAACCCAACAATGGACATGAAATAAACCAACGTAGCAAATGACCTGGGGCACTACCTTGTGGTGAATCCACTGAATCCCTCCATTACACAGGACAACCATCTGATAAACATCCATGAAAAGGACGTACCTAGGTTTAGGTGGATTGATGTGGATTGTCTTGCTGAGATTTGGGGCAGACCATGCCTTAAGAATGTTTATATAAAAATCAAAATAATCACAGGGCGGGTTAATCATCATTGAGTCTGAAACAAGCAATAAAGTTGGCCCGATATCCGGGCAAATCGAAGCAGCCCAAAAAATAAAATAAATTGTCTTCACTCATCATCAAAAACAATCAGCAAATAATTCATCACTGCAATCCAATGCATCACACAATTTTCATTTGTTTATCAACTACAGTATGAAGATCTGCCGGAGTCCGGAGTTCATTATTTTCTATCATTTAACGGTTTATATGCTACAACAAACCGTACTGTTTCACAATCTTACTGTTTACTATGATTTCCATGGGTATGAGGGTTTTACAAACCTCAACGAAGTTGGTCGATCATTTGTTACGTGTGGCGTTGTGACTCTTCATAGTGCAAACGACGCAAGAGTTTCCAGAGTGATGAAACGTGGCATTTGAACTTTGACCCAGTTTCAACAGGAAGCATCAAGCAATCAATGGGGGATTGTCCCTTGCTATACTGATCTAACGCACATGGAATCCCCCCAAAAAAACATAGGTTGAAATGTTGAAAAAATGATTTGGACATGTTTGGAAGATGGATTATTTCATTGAACATCACCATTTACGTGAACGGTTTTGGACAAAACCTGGGATATCCCGATGGAAACATGGCAGCTAACTGTGAACAGCCCAGGGTTAGCAAACACCGTTCCGGTTTCAATTCTTAAGCTCAAAACGGCAAATCAAATCAAATAGTCACATTGAATATTTTTTGAAAGCCCTGCCATAAAATAAAGGTATGTGATAGTGATCGTGTCCAAACTTGACGATGTATACACCAGAGCACCCAAGATGTTGAACTTGTGCCCAAGCTCTTCACCGGTCGGGAAATGAGTTGCGTGTACCCAATCGTCGACCAGGCCACTGCCATCGTTGGGTCTCGTTTGCACCTTCAAACCCTTCAAGCCACGTGCTGAACAAAACCATTCCTGCAAGGAAACAACAAAATCACATGGACATGAACATTCAAAATATGTAATGTTAGTAAAGCAAAAATAAACCAACCATATGTTGATGGTCTACGCCGCCCATTTATGGCAAATTTGTTGGTGGTGGATCCTATTGCTGTACTAACATTATGTACAACGTTGTAGTAAAGACCTTGTGTTTGGTTACTGATGTCCACCAGTGTTTTTGCAAGGTAAAAACTTCAAATCACCTGGCCCAAAGGACCACATGTTTTTTTTTGTGCTGGTTTATCCATGTATGAACATTAAACTTATAAAAAATCATCAATTTGACTAGAAAAATATAAATTATTATCCATTTATGAATATTATCATTGTTTTTTTTCCATTTATTGTTGTGTGATGCTGTGTGTGTGTGTGCGGAATGCTTTTTTTGGGACCATAGGATCTTCCAGCTCAGGGATCAAAGATGACCGAACAAAATGGTTTGTAGTAAACAGGTTATATACCAAGCAACATGACGCACGTCTCTAATGTCTGGTCAGTGGTTTCATAAACAACCAATAATTGTGTTAATACCATTACTGCCTGTTAAATGACTGACTCGCAAATCTTAAGGAAAGTAAAACTATAACATGAAACATGTCCGCTATCAATAGAATTACCATCTGGTTATGGACAATCACCATTTTTAATAGGTAAACCATCTATTTCTATGGGCCATCTATACCATGGCTAAGTTAAATAAGCAGAGGGTATGTGTCTTGATGTGCTGGTGAATTTCCCCTTGTTGATGGTGAACTCACCATGTTTGCTGCTTCACCGTCCCAGCGCACCGAAGGGTTCGGAGCACGAAGGCGTCAAACAGAGATGCGCGCCGCGCCGGAGGTCGTTGGGCAGCCGGAAGAATTCGGTGCACACGAACAAACGGCCTGCCAAAACTGGTGACGTCCCAGAATTTCATGGGAAAATGATGGTCCTAATGACGAATCATTGATAATATGGCGAATTCGTTGGCCCAAGGGGATTGCGGCCCATATCAGTATATGTTGAAACAACATGACTTTCTTCCGGCAAACGTGGCAATGGAAAATCACCCATGGCCATAGATATGTGTTTGATCCCATCAAAACCTGCATTTACAAGGGGATTTCGCACAGATTTCCGCCCAGTTTGAGTAGCAAAGGGTAAGTCCAAACCATTGAGCTTACCAAGTCGCTTCAAAACTACGGTAACTGGCTGTTGGTTGCGTCCTTCCTCAACACCTCGGCACGGATGGCCAAGAAAAAAATACCTGCCATGTATTCCATACCGTTTGTTGTTAAGTACATCCACTTATATCCCATTTTAACCCGCAAACACGGTTGGGAAAACAGACCCATTGCATAGTGAAACAACATATTACAACAAGATATTGGTGAATCCCAATTCTCTGGTGATCATCCAGCACAAAAAATGGTGAAACTAAGGAAATCTGTTGCGATCCGTGGATGATCCTGCAAGTGACGAATCCTGAATTCTTAATTTGGTTTGGAATCCCTAAAGCTATTGTTACAATCCCAATTTGTTTGTAGTTGTTTGACCCCTATAGCTATTCTATGGTTGTATCTAGGCATTTGCCCAACCATGAAACAAACCATATTTTGGTTTGATACGAGTGGCATCGTTTTTGTGAGAGCCAGCGATGTCATTCAAGTTAATTTTGGCACAAGGCCGTGAACAACAAACACAATCCCAATAATTATCACAGTATCACTATTATAATATCTTATCCTATTATGAAATCATTATAATTAATCATATGGGCAAAATCATCCCATTCAATATCCCCATGGCTATTGTGAAAACAAAAAATAACCATTAAAAATGTGTATTCTCTATATATATATATTACTTGCAATATCAGAATGTTGGTTTGTCTGAGAATAGTACTCATTTATACAAACCACTTCATTTTCCCCATTGAAACGCCATGTTGGGGTACTCCATTTTCAGACAAACCCAAAGATCATATATCATTATATCCTATCATACCCCAACAAAAATCTTATATGATGGTTGGTAACTATGCCATGTTTTTGTTGGTTCAATACCTATTATCTCTTTGTTGCATGGTTTATTCCTACACTGACCATCCACTCGTCCGGAACCCACCTTTGAAGAGCGGCATCAGCGGCGCCAGGAGCTCTTGTGCGTAGAGGCCAAATGCGTCATCTGGCGGACCTGCGAATGAGGCGTCATCTGAAGTAAAGCAAAACACCTTCATTTTTTTCACATAGGCCACACGCATAAACAAACGTATTACATGTGCTTGTATATGTATGTGTATGTATATTATACTGTATATATGAATGAACATGCCTATAGATACATCTGACATGCATCACAAATAATTATGTAAAACACACAACAACATATAGGAACACATTGTAAGTTGCTGTCATTTTTATATATTCACATATATATATAATATATATATATATATATTTGGACACGCCCTTGTACATGTCCATGTTCGTCAACTTCAGCGTTCCTTTAGCGGCAAATGGTCAGTTCTTGCCTGCAAGGATCATCTGCACCTCACGTCGACTCTTCAGGATGTCCTGCCAGCATGTGCCAGCATTGTTTTGAAGAGTGCTCTCTGGGAATCAAACCCATTGAATCATCGATGATGAGCCGCATTTTCCAGGATATAAGGTTCATTTTGCTTTGCCGGAAAACAGCCCACCGGAAACCATGCAGAAACCATTGTCTTTGAGGATCATGCCACCTCAAACATCGAGAATCACCCTGGTCAAAACATCCGCATTTCCCGGAGTTTAGGGGTGGACAAACCCACCACAAACCAGGAGAACAATGCACGAACAACCACCTTTCGACACATCAATATGGAGGATCAATGATGCATCAGCAATTGCATTGTGCGTTCATGTGCAGCTCATAAACAGCCCCAAGACATTCAATTTCCAACTAGGGCCAGGTGTAGGAATATTGCAACTGCGCGGTCAATCCTTGACTGACACATGTATATATATATATATACATACATACATACATACGTACATACATACATACATACATACATACATACATACATTACATACGTACATACATACATACATACATACATACATACATACATACACATACATACACATACATACATACATACATACATACATACATACATACATACATACATACATACATACATACATACATACATACATACATACATACACACATACATGATGATAACTGGTTGGTGGTTTTATATAACCAGCTTGAAAAATATTAGTCAATGGGAAGGATTATCCCATATATTATGGAAAAAGTTTGAAACCACCAGCCAGATAAATGTATAGGTGCAAGTAGGTGCATAATACAGAAACAAGAAAAATACAGTGACAAAAAATCTATCGGTCAGACATTGATGCTCCTCAGTTGAGCGAAATACCGCACAACCGCCTCTAAAATACAGTTCTTCCATGCTCGTCACGATTCCCAAAAAAATGTCTGAGAACTGCATCTCGGCTGCATCCCAACTAGTTTCCATCTACTAGTAGCTGTTGGGATTGGTGTGTAGATGTTGGTCATGCTTAGTAGTTCTCCGTTTCACTTCGTGGTAGCTGGGGAAATCGTTGGGCACATAGTGATCTGTCAGTCTGCTGAAGCAACCATGATTGAGGAACCGCCGGACATTTATTGGGGTACCTCTTAGCACCGGTGCGCCCAGAGTTATTGGTAGCCATTTGGAGATCTATTTTACAGCACATCCATTTTTATCAGAAATTACGTGAGACGGCGGCGCTTGCGAGTACCGCTGACATCTGCAAGTCTAGCCGCTGGATTTGCACGGCAAAGTGGAACCAACAACTCTCCGTCAGGAAAGACCACTTGAAGATTTTGGAGGGGAACATTCAATTTACATGAAATGCGCTTGTAGCTGTCCCACACCAAGTCAGACCCGCGTGCATCCAAACGTAAAATCTCCTCTCCAGCCACACTGTAGCATGTCAGTACCTCTGCATCATGCTCACCCAAAAAATCCAGCTGCAATATTCTAGGTTTACAAGTTGTCAGGCAAGCTGCAATGTACCAATGTCCTGGATCTGGGGACGGAATGTCACATCGTCCAGTTGAATTCTTTCCACAAGCAATAACACGGCCATCACTTTGGAGAAGCACTGTGTGCTGAGAGCCTGCAGACACCTGGGTATACACAATACCCGGACCCAAAGGTGGAATATTGCATTGTCCATCATGATTGTGCCCAAAAGCTACGGCCACGCCATCACTTCGGAGAAGGACTGTGTGATTCTGACCAGCTGCAATCTGGGTGTAAGACATGCCTTCATCCAAAGGCGGAATGTTGCATTCTCCATCAAGAACCCTGCGCACGCCACAGCGATGCCATCACTTCGCAAAAGGACTGTATGACTCAAGCCTGCAGAAACGTCTGTGTATGTCAATCCTTGATTCAAAGGCGGAATGTTGCATTCTCCACTATAATTGCTTCCGCAAGCTACAGCACTCCCATCACTGCGCAGCAGCACTGTGTGACTTTCCCCTGCAGAAACATGAGTGTATTTGAGTCCTTCGTCCAATGGTGGAATGTTGCACTGTCCATCATCATTATATCCACGAGCAACAACACTTCCATCACTTCGGAGAAGCAATGTGTGACCACCCCCCGCGCAAACCTGGGTGTATGTCATTCCTTCATCCAAAGGTGGTATGACGCACGCTTCATAATCACATGCTCCGCAAGATACAACACGGCCATCACTGCGCCGAAACAGCGTATGACTGTCGCCAGCGGAGACACCGGTATATCTAACTCCTTCCTCCAGAGGTGGAATATCGCACTGTCCATCAATATTAAAACCGCAAGCTACGACATCTCCATGACTCAGCAAAAGTATTGTGTGACAGTAGCCCGCCGAAACTTGGGTGTATCTCATTTCTTCATCCAACCGTGGGATGTTGCATTGTCCGTCAATGTTAGCCCCGCACGCCACAGCGATTCCATCATTTCGAACAAGTACTGTATGATAACTGCCTGCAGAGACATGTGTATACGACATTCCATCGTTTAACGGCGGAATATTGCATTGACCGCTGCTGTTGCTCCCAACTGCCACAGCATTGACATCACTTTGCAGAAACACTGTGTGAAGGCAGCCTCCAGAAGCCTGGGTATATGATACTTTGTCGTTTAATAGTGGAATATTGCATTGTCCATGAAAATTATCGCCAAATGCTACAGCATGACCATCACTTCGGACAAGAACTGTGTGCGAGGCGCCTGCAGAAATTTGTGTGTACGAAACTCCCTCATCCAATTCTGGAATGTCGCATTGTCCGTAGATGTTGTCTCCGCAAGCCACGGCACGGCCATCAGCTCGCAAAAGCACTGTGTGATGGTAGCCTGCAGCGACGCGGATATATTTCATTCCTTCATCCAAAGGTGGAATATTGCATTGTCTGTAGCCGTTGTAGCCGTTGTATCCAAAAGCCACAGCGCTGCCATCACTACGCAGAAGAATCGTATGACTGTCACCAGCAGAGGCATGGATATATTTGATCCCATCATCCAAAAGTGGAATGCTACACTGTCCGTAATAGTCAAAGCCACAGGCCACAGCATTGCCATCACTGCGCAGAAGAATTGTGTGACAGCCGCCCGCAGCAACGTGGGTGTATATCAATCCTTCAGGCAAAGGTGGAATGTTGCACTGTCCATGATCATTCAACCCACGAGACACCACAGTGCCATCATCGCTTTGGAGAAGCACTGTGTGGGAATTTCCTGCCGCAACCATTGCAGAAAGGTTACTCTACCTATATAGATGGGGCGCAGTATGAGTCAAAATTGCTTACCACCCCGACCACCTCTTGAAAGAATGGATGCCAGATGAATGTCCTGAAAATGAGAATCCTTGAGGTTTATCTGAAGAAGAGGATTCGGGTTAATCATCATCACATATCCCTATATAGCAAGTGTCATAAATTGTTGAGCTGCACCTCTTGAGCCATGTTATTGGGATTTCTCGGGCATAGAAACATTGTATAGTACAGTACATGGATGGCAGGGGTGTTATGTATTATCTCATGGTATGTTCATACAAATCGGAATCTGTGTTGGTGAAAACAACTCATTTCTATTGTGGAATAATGCCTCCGTCGTCGCTTGAACTACCCCGGATCTGGTGGGTAGCAAACCCTTCTGATGAGTTTTTTGAATGGGGAGTTGACTCCGATTCTGGTGGGATGCGTTGCAAAGTAAATGTAGCAAAGTCATCCAAGATCCCATGCTCATCTAATTACTCAGCAAATATTTAATCAACAGACGACCTGGTTGATCTAAGAATCTTGCAGTTGTCATCTGGACAAAGAATTGTAAACCCAATGAGGACTGGCTCTTCGGGTATGGTGTCAAATGTTTTTCGAGTCAAATGTTCTTCGAAATGCGGTACGCTTACAGTTTTTATTTTTGTATATATCCAATTCCTGTGTTTACCTATTTCGCAAACTTAAAACAAGCAAACATGCGATGTTTTCTCTTATTTAAATCGGATTAAATCGGAACATCTCCGAACCATGATGTGTATTAAAGCTGGAGGATGTAAGATCCCTCTAGGCTGCCACGCAATGATCCCAGGCTTCCCATGGTGCTAGTTTTTGCTCACGACGCCCCTACCGGCCCTGGGGAATATAACACTTTTTGCTGTGCCTGTCAGGCTTGTTCACGTCGCTTCAAGTTTTTGTGGTGTCGCTTTGCCCGTTAGTTAGAAATATTGCACGTCAGTTAGAAGTATTGCCCGTTAGTTAGAAATATTGCACGTCAGTTAGAAGTATTGCCCGTTAGTTAGAAGTATTGCACGTCAGTTAGAAGTATTGCCCGTTAGTTAGAAGTATTGCACGTCAGTTAGAAGTATTGCCCGTTAGTTAGAAGTATTGCCCGTTAGTTATAGATGTATTGCCCGTTAGTTAGAACTTGTGCACGAAGGATAGTGTGATTTTTTTGGGGAACCGGGTGGGGTGGGGGGGGGTGGGGGGGTGGTGGGGCAAGGGGTACGCTGTAACATGCCAGACGCTCTTGATGCTACGCTGCAACATGTCTCTTGTCACTTGCCAGACGCTCTTGATGCTACGCTGCAACCTGTCTCTTTTTGTTTCTACGTTCAAGTAAGTCCTTGGGCCGAAAATGTTTTCAGGTCAGTCATGTCAAAATGGAATTTACGCGTAAAACGCGTAAACGCGGACACAAGACGCATGGCACGCAGTGCATTGACAAGAAATGGTCAGCCTTGAAACAGTATATCCCAAAGGAACTGTGTTCTAAGACGCCCAATGGACTGCTGAATGAAAAAATTGCCGAGTATGTGTACAGTTTTGTCTGGCCATCCAATACACTTGGAAAGCACCAGCTCAAAGACTTAGGAAAGTTAGCGCGCAAGACTTGGACTGCCTGAGCTGTTCTCCATGTCGGATGTCGTATGTCTACACGCTTGTTACGAAACATTCCAGTTTTTTTGCGTTTATATAGGAATTCAAATTCATGATTAAACGCATTGAAAATACGACTTAACACACACAAAACACTGTAAAACGCAGACGAAAACAAATGGGCAGACCAAGAAAACGCTGTGAGGGTCATGCGACACACAAAAATCAGCGAATGAAGAGGTGAAAAAACAGCAGGGCCGTTACAGGCGGCGTGACCTAGTTTTTATCTACCTACCTACGTGAGGTGTGCTCCCCCCAGCTATGTTTGTTGGTTTATAACCTCCGCATGAGACTCTGGGGATGGTGACTATCATCGGGTTTACGAGATATCCGCAGTATAAATCAACTGTAAATTCCCATGTTTGTTGGTTAAATTCCCATGTGTGTTGGTTAAATGACCATGTTCCACCATGTTTGCTGTGTATGCGCCAAGGGCCCCCACCTTCGTCAGCATGGCGATGTGATCCACGCCCTTTTGCTTCACCCATCGCCCGATAAAAATCAAAATCTTGGCACCAGGGTCCTGCGTGGCGTCGCATTCCATCTTGGCGTTTTGCTTCGGGGTGCTTTTTTGGGGGATTGATTTAGGTAAATATAGAATAATATATATATATAATAATAATTTAATAAAATTCAATAATTATGTCTATATATATATAATTATGTATATATATAAATATATTATTGTGATTAATTATGTATACTACATATATATATATATATAAATATGATATGTATATATATATATGATATGTATATATATATATGTTATGTATATATATATATGTTATATATATATTATGTATATATATAAAGATTATGTATATATATATATTATGTGTATATATATATATACATGTTATGTATATATATATATATATGATGTCAAGATGGAACCCCTTCATCTGGATGATTTGTTTTTTTCAGAGTATCTAAACAACCTCAAGGTTCCCAACATATAAAGCACCTTTGTGTTGGGTCGCCTTTGTCAGTCGTTCTGTTGCTAGCAGTTCAGGTGCACCCATGTTCACAGGACCCGTTGAACGGATGGACCGGTTGGTTGTCGTTCATATCAAACAATGAACATGTAAATATACAGTAGTAATTACTATCATCTACTATAAATATAGGAATTACTACCATCTATGAGTACCATTATATCTTATATATCTCACATAAAATATGTACATATATGGTTATTTCATGATTACCAGTCTTTGTTTGGGTGCCACGATATTTCCCATCTTCACTGGGATATACTACCAAACATCCATTCGTACTAGAAAAAAACCATGGTTTCGTACTAGTTTTCATGAAAACGCATGAAACATGGCAAATCGTTCAAATTTTGTCAAAATAGTGATCTGCGTATCGTTTCTTGATGCGTATATTATATTTTTAAGGGCACCAAGCATAAACAGACAGAAACACATAACACAGCTCGAGCGCAATTTTGCGCAACTCGAGCGCAATTTGAAAAAGTAGTACACTTTGCAAAACATATCAAAAAATCACCAGCAAGATCGTTTACTTTTTTGAAACGCGACCACTTTTTTTGTGAAACGTCATCAAAATTGTTGAAACCACAACTTTTCAATTCGTCTCACTTTCTAGATGGATGTCCAGGACGTCCAGGACTAGCCATTTTGGGGTGACCCTCTGGTAATGCAACTTCATTGTTTGTTGATTAAATGATTAAAAACATGGAGATTTCCTGATTTCTTATTCAACTGGATGCCCCTTCCCATGCTTGGGTTGGGAAATAGTCCCAGTGTATGGTTCATATCCCTCTGTTCTTCTTGGATACCACCCTCCGTATGTTCTTGTAAACAGTTGGTCAATGGGTGAAAGACTCGTCAAACCTATGTACATCTCCATTTTTGCTGGTTCCATTCCCGCATGTTTGATGGTTAATTTTCCAGAGTTTAAGCCACACATTTGCAGGACACCCACAAACAAATGATGGGGAAACACATGTTTTCAATCATTTGTTTTGTCTATCCATGGGTCCATTCTTTCCCCATTCAATCCCCATTTTCTACTTGGAGGATCGTCCCACTTAGTAGCTGGTGGGGTGAACCACCAGGTAATGGTTCAGCAAAAAAACTTGGTGAAAGCCACACATGTGGAGATTTCCAATCCATGGGGTACCTCGAAATCATCAATTTTCAAAGGGTTTTCCATTCTAAACTCTAAACCAACTATTTTGGGGATCCCCCATTTATGGATACCCCGGGGCCTGGGCCCCCCTTATTTTGATACATTGTGACCGTCCTGATCCAATTCGCAATGTTTCTGCAAGGCGGATTTAGCTTCGAACCGCATCTTGCAGAGCTTCTCAATGCCTACAGCTGAAAGGATAGACTTGGAAAAGAATCACCGATTGAAATTCCAGATATTAAAGTGGATATAAGACTATAATTATTAGATGTTATTAGGGTTATATCCCGACTTATGGGCTTGATAATCCATGGCCAACCTTAGATGCCCTGCGAAAAATGGCAGATTCTTAGCTGGTGAACGTAGATAATCCCAATGCCAAAAGACTTTTAAGGATCAAACGACCCATCTAAGATTGACCTAGATATGAGTAAACACTTACCCATAGGATCCATGTATGGTATATATATATATATATGCCAACATTTGGGGTATATTGATGGTAAATGTTACCATAGATAGCATACATGGATCCTATGGGTTAGTATTTGTCTCAATTGAAATCTCCAGATTATATGGAATCCGGCATCTGTTCTTGTTTCCAAAACCATACAAAATGGTCGTTTCTCTACACTTGGGGTACCACGTACCGTGGTTTCCCGAAATGACCAACAATTTTCAGGCCATGGGTCTGGGACCCACGGATATTTGGTAACATCTAAAAACCTCCCAATGTGAAGTATCATGACCCATATATATATATATATACATAAGCCGTATTCCAAACACTTCATGATTTGTACCTCGTGTTTACATGACTTTCTAGTGCTCTTGGCCTGAATGCAAATGATGACATATGTTTTTGTCCACTACAGGGATGAGACAATGGATGGTTTGGTCGGTGCATAGCACTTATGATATATAATACATATATTTAACACGCGTTCTGTGGTCCCAAACACTTGATATCATCACCTACATCCATCATGCTTTCTCAACCATGGTTGAACCTGAAAAACATGCAGACTTGAACCATGATTTCCCCCCAGGTATAGCCAGGAGTGAAGATTGAAAATGGTGGATTTGCCCAGCAAAAAAAAACTGATATCAATACTATGTCAATCCAATATGTAATTAGACTCGTTTTCAATATATATGTATCAAATGATACCATAATATGATACCAATATGATATCAATATGTCAATCTATTAACATTCAATTATGTCAATTGGAGAATGGTCATTGTCACCTTGATATGTCAATCCAATGATCACCATTATCCAATACCATCCAATTGTACTGCACATGGCCATGTCTTGGGGACCAACCCTGAGAAAAACTACCCATCCTATCATGGAAATCCCGTTATATCATGTTATATATACATATGTATATATATAAATATGTATATACCACAACACATAGCCATAAAATAATCCTAAAAGGCTGGGCCATCCAGTTAGAAGTTGGTAAACAAAGCTCCATGAAAACGATCATCGTAGTTACCATAAACCAGTAACTATATGGTTATTTGCACAAACTTAGCCATTGTAACATTTGTTACTCATCTAAAAACCCATGACGGATCCATGGTGCTGGTATATATGCTAACATGACTGGGGTATATTGATGGGATCCATGGAGCACCATATAGAGCAGCACCGTGGATCCTACGGGAAATACCATCTGGTGACGAACAGTTTGCCATGGAAAATCACCATGCTATTAATAGGTAAACCATCTATTTCTATGGGCCATCTATACCATGACTACGTTAGTCATAACCAGAGGGTAATAAAACAAATAAACGATGTTTGTTGATCAAATCACCCAGTCCAAACCTGAGGCTCCCTGATCTTCTGCTGGATCCGTGGCGTTGTCCAAGGGCAAAATGTTGGGAAGGCCTTTGAAGAGCATCCGTTCACCTTGGACCCGGAATCGCCCCGTTGGATCAAAATAAAAGGACATAACCATGAACAATGGTGATTCAATGGTGAATTACTGGGATATGATGGGGATCCAATATGATAATAATTATATGATATACTTATATATATATATAGATATCCTCAACTATCAACTACCTGGGGGTGCCGGTTAGAGGTTATTTTTGGTCATTTTTAGTTATTTTTATGAGTATAACCATGAGTTCAACCCCATAAGTCGGAATATGGGGCCCCTATAACTATAGTTACATATCCACTTATAACTGGATATGAAATGAGTACGTAGACCCTCCAGTTGTAGCCGTTAAAATGTGAAATAATGTTAGGAAGACACTAGTAAACCATCTTCAATTTCACCATAAATGGGTATAAAGTGCTATAAACTATGAATCCCTGGGTGATTTATTTATAGAAAAAATTGGCATTAGCAGCATCATTAGCATTCATTGCTATACAAGATTGAGAAACATATATAATGAAATATTGTTTTTTTCAATGGGTACTTGGAGGGTCCATGTTCCCATGAACTCTCCGGTGTCCTCAAACATGACTGGCTGGGAAATCCCCGAACCAAATAGAGGTAATCATGAAAATAAATGGGGAAAATTCCGGCAAGCCAGGTTTGATTACTGAGGGTAAATGGGAACCTATGGGAACCTATACCCTCCCAGGACCTACAAGAATTGGTACTTACCCCATCATTTAAGTACTTTTCTTCATGACGGAGGGCTCTAAGAACATGGAAAATGGGGGAGTATTTTGTCCACAAATGGAAACAATGAACAAATCATAAAGTATTGTCTTAAGAATGGGGGATTCACCTTTTGTTGTTCAGGTAAACATACCTCAGAATTTATGGGACTTTTGACATCGACAACTCTATAAAATTCTGCACATATTGAATAATCATGGATATCAGTCATGACGCCAACAAAATATGACGATAACTGATAACAACTGGTTGTTTAAACAATTAAACAGGGATTTTACCCTTAAAGATGAGGGAGTTCCAAAGTTCAACAGAAAGGCATTCACCCAACTCAGGAATACTCAGGAATTTCACGATGCAGTGGCTATGACTCACTGCATTGTCATAAACAAAAACTGCTTGAGGATGGGATTTCCAGCTGATTTTTGCTTCAACTTGGGCGACTAAAACATGTTAGTTATTTGCATTAGATAGAGCAATAAATTCCGAAAGAAACAAGATGTTAGTTCAATGGATAATGTATAAATATATATTTAAATATACATACACATGCATGTATATGTAGGTAGTGGCAGGGAGGTAGTCACGTAGATTTCTCATATAGACATGTATTGACTGCGACATTACCGCGCTGCCCTTTCCTTTAGAAAAACCGCCCAGCCACGCTTGAGATCTGCTGCGTAGTTGGCGGAGACCGCACAAACACCGTGGCCATTTTGCAGTTCCTTGATGTAGGCGATGCCCGCCTGCCGTGAAGCGATGACGTTGGAAAGACCGCCTGCGGATTTTCGTTGGCTCTTTTTGTTTTGCTCGAATAGACATACAAGATTATGTATATATATAATTATACATGATCCGCTGTCAAAATCTATTGTCGATGCTTGGTACGAAAACCTAGGTTATCGCTTTTTTGGGGGCCCTATCGCTTTACAGTGTTTTGTTCAAGTCAACATTAAATAATTAAAAATGCAGCGGAATTGGCTTCTCCGATTCAAATCTCTAAACTGCTGGGAATGGATTACGGGGCGCTCGTTGTCTTCGTGTTTGCAACCATGTCGGGGAGCTATCTAAGCACATTCCTAGACTCTTTCCTAAGGAAGGACATTTATTACAAACTCAACTCTGAACTTAGTTAAGAGCAATGGTTCCCAACGGTTATAAGATCACTAATTCTATGTACTATATATCCTAATATTGATGATATTATAAACATATATGTTGTGCATTTGCAGACACACCAACCTATGTATATATATATGTGCATATCAGCAAGATAACGTTTGTCACACAATATACTGACTATTTGTGTTTTATAAGGAGAAACCTGATGGATCATCGGAGTACCCAACCGATGGTTTGCTGCAATAAGGGATTCAAACATGGCAGCATCATTCACCAACCAAGCAGGATGTACCAGGCTGGTACCCGGATTGCCCAGTGATGATGATAATCCCCCGTAAAGGACAAGACAAGCTCCCTACAATCATCAACAGAAATTTGCTATATACCAAGTTAATGATCTTATATACGTGTATATATACATATCTAAAACCAACATGAACCAATGAAAACTGCGAAAGGTTTCAACCAGAGAGCATCAAAACAACCTCGCCTTCAGCATGTTGAAGCGCCCCTCGAACATCACATATTTCCGGATGGCCCTGATCTTCAAGTTAAACACCAGACCTTCGCCGACCGGGTTTGAATACATCCATTTTATGGCAATTCAAATGGGGAACATGCTGATGGCTTATGTTTGTTGATTTATATCTAAACCCCAATAGCGGTAGATAGAATCAACTATAAACCACCAATGTGTAACTATATATATATATATTTCTTATATTACTATAACCCCAATAACTGTTCAATAATTCAAAAAATAAAGAAACAAAACACACATATATATATGATTACCGCAAACCCTGGTGAAATCTATACCAAATAAACTTAGCGTTTTTTCGCTCCCTGGGACATCGCCAGTGGCTTCCTGAGATGGAATCCTGTTGCAGTTGATCATTGGGAGAACCATGTCGATTTTGTGTATCTGGTTGGTGGTTGACCTACCCCTCTGAACAATATGAGTTCGTCAATGGGAAGGATGACATCCCATATAGTAGGGAAAAGAAAACATGTTCCAAACCACAAACCAGGTATATTTGTACATGATATATGATATATATATATAATATCGTATGATGCATAATTATATTAGCAAATCAATGTAAAAACAGGGCTTCTTAATCCAAGGTTGAGCTTGTTGAAAACCATTCCTGAGCTTGCAATGTAATTGGGTCAAAAACCATGGCACCGAGTATATGATCCAGTAAACCATTCATGAATAGACTAGATATGGATGTTCGTCTGTTTTATACCACAATCCACTTTGCCCGGGTTGCATGAGTTTCATGTTGACTTAGTCACAGTGTCACAAACCTCTGCAGCTCATCTGCCCATGGTATGGGGTGGGATTGCCAGGTCAATACAGCTAAGAAGAGAATGGGTTCAAGATGGGTATGGGTGAACGCCCTGGTACTCTGGTGTAGCCCCCAAAATGGCTGGTTTATAGCCTTATAGCTGCATATTCATCATTATTCATCCCCAGGCATTCACATGCGAGAACAAGAGATTCTGAATGGCTTTGAACCATCTCACAAATATCCCACGTCAGCTCATCAGCCAAACTCGTCCCATAATAATTCCAAGAAACTAAGACGCCGCATGGGAGGTGTCGTCTTCCAGAAGCGGTCGTTGATGAAGTCCGTCTCAATAACACCTCGCTCGCACGCTCGGCCCGCGATATTTCAAGACTGAGTCTCAGCGCCAAAAGCATGGACCCCTGCAGGTACCATTCACCATTTAGCATCATTTAGCCAGATATTGAATGGATTTTACTCTCCCGTAAATTGAAAGAGATATGGGAAATCCATGGAAATCTATGAAAATCCAATGTTTCCAAATCATTTCCAAGGGAAAACCATGACTTTCCATAGATTTTCACGGGTACCTTTATCCAGCGTCCCAGCATAGGTCGCAAGTTGAGCCACCCATGTAGTCCGCGTTGTGCAAGACCAGGATCATGGGGATTGGTTTCTCCTGGAGCATCCCATGACTGAACAGCCGCATGGTCAGCATGACAATTACCCTCTGGTTATTTAACATAGCCATGGAAAACTGCCCATTTATAGATGGTTTACCTATTAACAATTGTGATTTTCCATGGCTATGTTAAATAACCAGATGGTAGATACAATGAGGGGGGTACTCCTCCAATAGTCATTTCATCTAATATTTAGTCATGAACAACAACCGTTTGGGGTTTATGAATCCAGGGTTGACATTACATTGATATTGACATGGATGAAAGAAACGATATCAGCTAGGAATGATTATTCAATATCAAGGAACATTCAATTGCATGGTTTTGTTTTATGGGGTGATATTGATAGGACATGGATTCCTCTGACATGTCGAAGAACGAGAAGAGCACATGGTCAAGTTACTGAAAATGGGACGAATGTGGTATGGTCATCCATCCAATAATAGGAATCCTGATATGTACTAGGTATATACATACGTCCCTGTTGACGGGTTGTTGACCATGACCCAATATGGGCAATTTACCCCAGCTTTGACCATGGTATGATCATACATGGAATACAAAGAACAACATGAGGAGGACATTGCTCAATTTCAAAGGTATTTAATGAGATTGGTGCATTTAACGAGGTCTCAAACATCAACTGCCAACGAAGCCACAAAGGATGGCGCTCCCAGCTCCCCGCATGGCCTGCAAATAAAGTGGCGCCAGCGCCGCATGATAGTCCATGCAGTGGTACACGTCCGGTTCCAACATCCTCACGCGTTTTGGCTATGTCAGAGGCCCGGTTCAAGGTGTGCATATTATACTAAATATAATATATATATATATAAATATAACATAAGATATACATATATGATATACATATATTAAGTTATTATTATATTTGTATATGAATAAATATAAACATATTATATATTTCAAAAAATACTTATAATATAATATTTTTAAGTATATATACATTAATTATATATAGTAGCAATCATATATATATAAAAACATTTATACATATATATATATATATATATAAGAAAGAAAACCATATGGTATAATCTGATATGATATAGTGTGATATAATGTGATATAATATAAAATAAAATATAATATAATATAATATAATATATAATATATAATAGAATATATAATATAAAATATATAATATATAATATATAAAATATAATATATAATATATAATATATAAAAATAAATAAATAATATATAATATACAATAATAAAATACAATATAATATATTATAATAAAATTCAATATATTATAATATATAATATACTATAATAAAATACAATATAAAAATATAATATCATAAAATATAATACAATATAATACATTATAATATAGTAAACAATATAAAATATAATATAATATATAAGGAGGTTTCCTGAAATGGGGGTGCCCTCAGTTATCATCCATTTTAGATTGGGATGTCCCATGATAAAACATCCATTTTCTGGTAACCCCATTTATGGAAACCCCCTATATATATTTATATATACATATATATATATACTGTAACTATGGAATCAGCAAATCTTGAAAACACACACACACACGTTTAATCCTTTATTCATAAACTCCGTTTCAGTGTCATTTGGGTCGGGGAGGTCGTAGATCTCGTGCTAAACCCATTCGGGAGTCCACAATGGTCCAACGCTTCCCTTAGATATTTGCTGGGAAACAACGCAGTATCAAACTACCGAAACCAGTGAGCTGAGAATATGGCCCAAACACCGGATATTTGACATAATTTTGGAAAGTAAACGTCTTTGAAAGAAAAATCATGGAAAATGGTGCCATGGCTTCTATAGTCATGTAACAAATGCCCAACGGTTATGAACCCTCTATAGTGCCTCATCAAAAAATGAAGCAATGGATGCTCATCCCGAATTTCATGAGTAAGCGATGATCACGAGTTCACATTGAGTATCCGCATTCATGATCGGTTAAATCACGATGAACATTAACAAGAATGTATATATATATATATATGTATATATATATTGTACTACTCATAGATAGTTGTGGATATCTCTATAAATCAACACAACCATTTGTCATTGGTTGTACTGTTGCATTAAACCATCCCCCTCCAAAAAAATGCTGGTAGATTCCCATGATACCCTCTGCTAAACTAACATAGATTGTGAATCACCATGTTCGATATGCAAATATCAAGGGCATTCAAGGGCTGATTTTCCACAGCTACGGTAGTTTATTGGAGGGCAATTTCCATCACTATCCCCATGTTTGTTGATCCGATCCCATAAAACACCATGAAAATCCCATCGCGAAAATCTCATCATTCTGTCCCCACATCGCAATGCCATCGCGTCCTCATCAGCGCTGCCACTGACTGATTCCACAGCGAGAAGTAGCGCAAGACACGGATCTTGGTCATGGGGCACCTAGGAAGCAGCGCTTCAGCACCAAGCAGTCAGGGCTAAGGAGTTACACTGAAAGTCATTTGTTGTGGATTAATAGTATATACTAGAATTGCGTTAATGATACACATCTACTTAGTCTATCATCCAGTCCATAAATTATATATACTACATACATTATACGTCATGATATATATATATACTTATATGATTGTGTATATATGTATGTATATGAGATGCAGATGCAACCTAACATGCAACAAGTTGGACCTCGTGGCAAACATTCAAAATGTCCCCCGCATTTAAGTCACTGAACGGGTGCTTCAACACATCAGCGGTGTTCAAAACACTCTGCCCGTCATTCCAATTATATAAGCCTGCCCGATTCCCATGGTGGAAGATGATGCTGAATTTGAATATATTGGACAGATTTGGATCATTGGCAATAGTACAATCCGACATCATAGTCAAGCAACAGGGGGGTTGAACACTGCTCAATCAGATTTAATGTGGGTTTATGTGCCCCTACAATCAGCTATCAACAGGGGCTTAGCTCACTGGAGCATGATACCAAGGACCCCTCGATCTTCAAATCAAAGCATTGCCACAATCGTTGGTTAGCCAAAATTCTGGTCTGGGTATTACCCCATACGCACTGTTTGTTTATGTTGCTGTTATGTGAAGAACGTGTATTGTTCAGGAATTACAGACTATGTGTATATATATATATACATCATACATATGGAGCATATATAAATATATAGTTATATATATAGTTATGAACTTAATTAAATATTTATGCATCTTATGCAGGGCTTGCTAAGAATTTGCCCTGCGAACATGCAGAGTGGAATCCCTCAAAGAATGGTTTCTTTCATGTAGAAAGCTAGCAGTCTCGAATTTTGGAAACCTGAGTTTCGCTTTTTCCCACTCATGTTTTTCCATGTTCCACTTTGGAGGCAAATAGTTGGAAGCAACAAATATACAAACATCGGGTGTGGATTTATTCAGGCCCCTGGTTGCGACATTCTGGCACTCTCATCATCTGTTGTAGTTATGTGTTGATGAACTATGCATTTTGTTGGCTGAGTCTTCACTGTTGGTTTGCATACATCTATCCTTTTTTAGGCAATATTAATGCATTTCTGTTGGTTCAATCCACATGATGTTTGCCGGCTTCTCTTCTAAAAGGAAGGGTCAAATTTGCAGTCGCGTGAATTAAATCGAGATTCTTTCCAAATTCTTCGTGTAAGGAATGGTCGCAAAAACATTTATCGTAGAAATGGCCCAAAAATCGGTATCTTCAATTCCAATGAATTATCATCAGGACCATATGGGTTTTTCTGAAAATTATCCAACAATCTAAGAGTCTAAGGGGTAAATGCTAATAGTTTTCCGTTTTCCTGTAAAAACTCGTATCTTCTGGGTATCCCCATTTCCAGACACACCTATACAGGTAGCTGCGCTGCCAAGATTCGGATAGGGAGAAGTTTTCACTCGCTCGGTGAACAGCTCATGGTCAAGCAAGTACCTCCGGAATGCTGGATCTGGAAATTGCGATTCAAACATGGTGTTCCAGCCAAAAAAGAAAGTGCAAAAGGACCTTCCAATTCCAACCTTAATTTCAATGAAGTAAATTGGGGAATTTCATCATCTTTACTTTTAAACATTAGCAGATTTGATATACATATATATCTATATATACACATAAATAAATAAATAAATAAATATATATATATAAATACATATGCATACATATATGTACAAAGCAAACTTATAGTTTTGTGGATGCCAATGGCATCATAGATTCCAAAAGACATTCCGCATAAATCCAACACCTGCAAGATGCTACTTCAAAGCCAAAAGACAGTGGGAGTGTAGCTTGGTCGGACAATTGTCGCGCGTGCTGAACAATGAAGTTACCCTCTGGTAAACAAACAGTGCTTGCTGGGAAACCGCATTTATATCAACGAGGCCTTCATTTACATTTACGTGATTTCCCAGCTTGCCATGTTTGAGCACACCGGAGAGGAACATGTTGCAGGAACAAGTATAGCAACCAGCCACCAACAGTGATCGCTAGGCCAGCATCTCTGGGACATTGGGCCAACAGTACGGGGGATCATCATCCAATCGCTGCCATGAGTCAATATTTATATGGGGATTTCCATGGGGGATCCCCAAAAACAGGTGCGTGTATTTCATGGAAAATCCCAATCTAAAATGGATGATCTACACACATATTCATTGGATTGGAACTTCACAATCCGTCAATAGCAACATTGATGTAACTTGTAGTGAAGTGACGTCAAATTGTACCTATTGAACACTTCGAAAAGGTAATGTTGGATTATAAAATACAACTCATCTCTTCCATCCCGGACACATCCGTCATCCGCCTAAAGTAGATTCACGGACCTTGCAGAAAATCCTTGCTAAACTGGGAACCATTTTGAAAGTTTATTGTAAATCTACGCCAGGATGACAAAATATAACATATACATACATATATATATATTAGAAAATATAATATATATATTATATAAATGAATATATATATATATATATTATAAAATAGTATATATATATATTAAATATATATATATATTTAAATAATATCACATTTTTCATAAATGGAGGTTCCCAAAAATCATCAAAAATCCAAGTAAATCTTCCATACCGTTGGATTGACTCACTGTTGCACCACTGGCCCGCCACGGCTTCCGCCACTTTTCACCCACTCGATGGGTACGAGATCACGCGGAGATGTGCCCAGCGTGGAACGTTGGACATACCGCAAAACAGGAGCTACGCAGGTGGAGAGTCCTATCCTTCCATGGGTTTGGTTACTATAACTGGGGTAGCCGTTGGGGATCAAAACGGCGAAAGAAAAATAGGGACCTCTAGAAACATGATCATGTCCAGTAGGAACATCACCTTTGAAGCCCTTCTTTTGGGCTTCCATGTTGGCTCTATTGGAATTTGACCTGTGGAATCCTGGACATTCCCCACATGATAGCGGGTTGCTTCACTATGCAGTTGGATGGGTGATCCATCGTGGTAGCAAACGACACAACCTGGCAGGCTCCGACAGGACATGTCTAGATATTGCTGTATATAGGAGTATATTTATATATAGTCAAATCTTAGTCAAATGTATATTCTGTCTATAATTCAAAATATACACGACTCTCAAGTGCCAGGTTACATTAAAAAACAAAAGTTGTGAGATCCAGGACATCATGCATAAAGTTTCTGTCCTTGACCAAGTCCACCAGCTGCGGACTATCTTGTTAAAGCATTTCTATTGTTTTGCGGACGTCCATGCCATGCGCCACAGAAAACCGGTGACACAGCTGCTTTGTGCAGAATTAGGCAGACTCGTCTGGAGAAAGGCGAACGCCAAACAGCAATTTCTGTTGCGGTTATAATACTCAATACCTTGCAAACTAGCATAGCTATGGAAAATCACCATTATTTTATCATTAAATCAGCTATAAATGGGCCATCTATACCATGGACAATTTGAAAGTCTACACCTTAGCCCGGTACGATTTCTACATCCTGTTGCTGCCCCATGCTCAATGTATCCAGCATTGGGCTATATTAGGCTGGTTGAAAGGACATGTCGGCGGTGGTTCCGTCTTTGTCATCAACATACAACACAGATTCGCCGTTCGAAGCTTCGCATGAAATGTCTACGAACAGTGTCGCCACAAATCAGCCACATGTAGCTGACCACACCATGCATGAATGCAGGTATTAAAGCTCACACAAGATGGTTTATAGTACAAAGAGAAGAGGCCTCAACTGCCTTTATTTTTTTTACATATTATATATATATATATATATATGTAAAGATCACTTTGGGCTATGAAGTCAATTTCCCTGGCTTTTAATAAAGATCTCCCCATTGCTGCGCTATCAACCAAGAGGATATTGTAAGGTCGCTTCACCATTTTCCAGTCAGCCGCCCGGTGGCAGCGGCAGACCATCCATTGTTGGTATATCTACCAACGGTTGAGTGATGTTTCGGGCACATGTAAATGAACATCGTCAAGCACCATGGATCATAAGTTTTTTTTTTGCGTGTTAGCCTGCCACAAGTGGTTTTACCTTGTCACTGGGTACGACTAGAAACACACACACATGCATATTAATATATATATATATAATAATAGTAAAAATGATGATTAAAAAATGATAATCATAAAATAATAACATTATATATATATATATATATATATACGTATATTATACGTATATAATACTCTATGGATCCAAGTTCCCCTTCTTTCACAGAATAGGATCCATACGGATCAATAGTAAGGCTTGCCATTGTTTTAGTCAGATTTTAACAACTTCCATCTCGGGAGGGTTTGCTATTTTCAAAACTATCTGCCAGAAGCGCCACAGAAATTGCCATCGAACATGTGACCTGGAGTTTTTGTGACATCCCTGGACTTCGAAACATAGGGAAGAATGCGCTTTTTAGTGCAAATATATATATATATATATGTGTGTATGTGGGTTTGTCTGAACATGGGAAGAAAGCAACATCTCCTGGTTGGATAAATTTTGTTCCTTCCTAAAAAGGATAAACAGAGGCTACACATTGGGTCTAATTTCTGCCATGGTTGGACAGCACCTCGTGTTTCAGCTAGACCTTTATAGAATATGGTGAATTCGCCAATAGGAGGGGAGGTGTGCCCCCTGACAACTCACTGCACAACGGGGGTCTCTGCATGAGCTATGGTCGCACAATAGTTTCCCAACGTGGGGGTCCTTTAAATTCTATGCCACAAACTGATGTAATTCTCTTGGCACGAACACTATTCTTCCCCGTTTGAGAAATACCAAGGTTACCAGGTTACCAATGTCTCGGGTTTGTGTCGGTGCACTGGCTTTGAGCATATGATGCACAACGCTCTTATTGCCGCATTTTGTGGTCAAAATTGAGACACCCCGGGCCAACATTGTTTAATACACAAAATAACACCACTCCGTGCTTGCTGAGCTTTGCCATTTTGACCGACACATGGATGCGTTCGGATGCGTTCGGTGCTTTCAACCAATCCCAAAGAAAAGATACACACAACTTGTCTGAATCATTCCAAACCAGGACCGTAAGAAACAATCAAATGACCAATCAAACCCAAGCATGGGAGATGAAGGATTTATTTGACGCAGAAAGATCTATATGGCTTCAATCCAATGGGTCTGGCTACCCAAAAGGGGCCATTTCTGCTGTGCAACCCCGTGTCTTGTTACATATTGCCAGCTAGAAACCATAATCTATGGATGAACATCCTTCCACTCAGATGCTACCGCCACAGAATCGGCTTGTGTTGCGCGTTCGGCACGTGCAGGAATCGCTCAGTGATGGGTTTCCGCAGTTCACGATTTCACTATCAACTTTCATGATGGATTGAGGATTCCTCGCTGGTTAACATGGCAGTTCTTGAACATGTTCTGAAGGGACATGTCATGGACAAATGAAGCACTATGTGATTCTTGGGTTTCTGGAGGTTGTCCCATTTTGACCGATTTCACTGACCATGATGAAAAGTGCAAAGATCTGCATGCATATTGATGAACTGTATTCAGTACTTCGACGTGTCATTCGTGAGAAAGTGTTTGCAGTACCCTCTGGTAAACAAACATAGCTATTGAAAATAGCCAGTTATAGTGGATTTACCCCCCAAAAAAAGTGATTTTCCATAGTGATGTAAACGTTTACCAAAGGGTAAACCTGGGTTTCCTCTATGCTGGGCACTGGATTCCATTGACCATATTGACCCTTGAGAACTGGAGGCCCAAAAACCCTAAGCGGAAACCGCTAGGCGAAAATACGTTTTGAGCAACAGCAATAGCTGGCACAGGGGATGTGCGAGGACTCAGGTCAGGATAGAACATGGATAAACATGGTATGGTATTCATAGCCACTATATAAATAGATATATATATATTATATTATATTATGTTAGTTGTGCCCCATCATATTAAATATCCAATATCACCAATAACTGGCCCCAAAAAGACTAGACCCAATACTAAACCAGTGTTTCTCGGAGGATGGAAGGGATTACGTACCATTAGAATCATTAGAGTCTTAGGATACAGTATGCCAGGAAAAAATGCCTTGCCGATTGGTGGGCTTCAGGCTTGTATTGTTTGACATGGCAGCTGGGGCAGCCATCCCAATGAGTGGTTCAACGTATCCATTTCAATATTCTCAATGCATGTCGAAAACAACCTGAGTTTGTCAAGCCTGAATGATACATGCAAAACGGTCATTTAAATCTTGATAATCTTAAGGATGATGATGAACCATGAGATTCGGGGTACCTCACGACAAGGGACAATGCCACTTGGGTTTCCTACAAAATCACTGGACTCCCAACTGCCCAGTACTCCTACCACAAAAGGTTGGAGCGCCCCCTGAACAAGAGTGTATGGTGAACCTCTTCACAAGGCCTTACTCTGGGGAATAGCTAACCCTAACTAACCATAGCTACCCCATGGGGAATAGAAAACAACCAACAGAAATTCTACAATGATTTACAATTATAAATCAGCAATTATCTACTGTACAGTACCAGACCATGAAATACCATGGATACAGCGGCTGAAAGTTATCACTCTCTGTGTGTCATGATTGTCCAGCTGTCTACCCTGTTTTGTATGTTTGTCCACAGCTCCAATCAGATTCAATCATGGTGACATTTGTTTTCAAACCAAAACAGCCTACAAATTCAGATGCTCGGCTGCATTGCTCGCAATCCCAGGAGTTCCCAGGCACAAAAATCACCTGGCGCCTGGTGGTTGCCAAAGGTCCAAGCTTGGCAGCTTGGCTGCTGGATGGTTTCCATGGGAAAATCCATGGAGATGGAGGATTGATGAGGATCGTATCGCCATGACTTAGGAAACCTCCAAGTTTAACTTCTACCTTCAAGTTGTATGAATTTACCAATCACCTTGGAGTCTTGTCTGAAGGGCTTATGGTATAAACTCCTGACTTCGGAGGGGGTAGGTACCTGGAAAAGGGATAGTTTACTGACATCGCCAGAATGTGTGGCCCACAGTCATAATCTCTGCCTCGTAAAATCACAGTCAGTGAGTTGTTAAGAACCCATATGGGTACACGGGTACATCCACATATAACTGAGTTAGATTCCGATTACTACTCATTACCGGTGACTATATAACTGGGATGCACATCTAAATACTTTGATTGGGACAGTCAGGCCCACAGCACTTCATTTTTGTTTTGATTTCCGGATTCTAGAACCCTCCAAGCATACTGGTCTTGGAACACTTACAATAGTCACTCTGGAAGTGCAACAAACGCATCTGTCATCATCGGTTCCTGTCATGTCCGGGAAAAATCGATGCAATGCTCAGCCAGCCTCCAGACACTCGAAGCGTGGGGAGGGAACTGGAGGTGTGTACCCTGGACCATCCTGGACCTAGACCCTCAAATTTGATGTTAATTTGTCCTCCCGAGAATACTTAGCCAATCTTAACCATGCCTGTTCCATGGGTTTGGAAGATTGTCTGTCTCTCCCAATCACTGAATAGTCTAAATAGAAATGAACTGTGCTGTACCCCGAAACGTCAGGTGCTGGGCAGCTGCAGTTTCTCTATCAATTTCATACTCCAACAACGAGCAAACATGACCTGATTCCGGGATTCATGCTGGTTCTGACAGAATAAGGCCCCAAGCACAACCAAAATCATCGTCGAGCCGAGTTGGGATGAAGAATTCCGACCAGAATCGCCCGCGCCTTTGCTGCTTCGCTGTTGGGTGACAGAGGCTCCTGATGCAGAATCTGGAAATCCCAGGGAAAGTTTAAAGCAGCTATATCTGACAGCAGCTCACCAACCAGGGTACTAAGTGGTGATTCCCTATGTTTGGTTGCTAAAATTCACATCTTGTCTTGTTACGTCCATTTTGTTTTTACCAACGCACAGTTGTAGCAACCCACAAAATAGAGAGAAACGTAAAATCCTACTAAAGTAGTGGCGCTGCATTTTTCTAATTACTGTATATGCTTTGAGGTTTCTATAACCTACGGGTCGATTTATAATTGGATGGAGGGTATATATCACCCATACAATACATACAGTAGTAGCAATAGAATAATGACACAAACAAGAAAACACCAACAATAATACTAACAACACTACCACTAATGATACAGTTTTCACAACAAAAAATGAATTTGGTATGTACTATATTGTATATAACATAAACAAATCCATCCCATTCCAATGATATATCCCCATGAATTTCCCTGAAAAAAATCAACACAAACGTGCCGTGACCTGCACGAAGGTCCCGGTTGGGTCCCGAAGGTCCTGGTTGGACATCATGGCCATGAACTCATGGAAATCGATTTCGCCATCGCCATTGGCGTCCAATTCCTCCATGATTTGGTTCACCTCTTGTCTTTTCTCCGGCGCGCTGGGATGCCAGATTCATGTCCGAGTGGAAGAAACAGCTTTAGTTGATGTTAGTTGTCTATGATATACGTTTATGATGTCATTTGTAAAATAATTCTTATATACATATATAATGCGTAATATTTATGTCAATCATGATATTGATTGAGCACAGCTACTTCGTATGCCGATATGATTGACAAAAATGAAACGAACCTCTGGTAGCTTGTACTATCAATATCTGCTTAGTGGTTTCAACCCTCATGAAAGCCAGGCGTGTTTGTCTTTGGGGCTTTATCATATCAAGTAGGATTCGTTTCACTCAGCAATATTTACTGTTTGAAACCGTCATTGGAAACACGATTGAACATACATATATGACTTCGTCTGAACATCGGGAGTACCCTCCTGTTGACTGATATGGGGAAACCCACCATCATTATCCGAACGGGAAACTGTCGGTTTTCCACATCTATGTTAGTTTCCCCCAGGGTATATTGTAAACATATTGGAGGTTGGTGCCACGCATGCAACAAACGTTCTAACCTGTATCTAGCCAATCGGGTTCATATTCGCAGGGAGCCTTCCAAATAGTGCAAGAAAAAAGGCGATGATACCAGCAACCGCTTAAAAAATGTTAGCAAATGACCAGTCCTTGAGATGGAAAGGATGATGGTGATACTAGTTCAATTGGAACCTCAGTATGTCGTGAATCTATGCAAAAATTGGGTACAGAATAGGATGTCAACTCTGATACTCAAATTATGTTCGCTTGTCACAATACTCTTTGGATCTCTTTGGGTTTCTCAGCAACTTGGGTCTTATTTTCCCAGGTAGGGAAAGTCAGACATAGATTGGATAGAGTCCATCGGCCACACAGAAATGACTCTTCCTCATATGACATCCCAAACACAAAAAATACAAAAGTTGGTAAATATCAAATTGTTTCTATTTGTTTATCATATATACATATAAATATCCCATTAATTATCCCATTCTCCCTATAAATCCCCCACTTTATCCCATTCAATCTGGCAAAAACATCGCCTCCTCCGGCTCCAACTTCCCAAGCAAATAGCCTCGCCAAACGGTCAGAGATTAGGGTGTCGTCATTTTTTTAAGTTTTACCCAGCAAAAACTGATGGAAAAATACGAAAACAAATACCAATATTTATCCAATCCATGTAAAAAAATAGTCAACAGAAATGGTGGTTTAACCAATGAAACATGCAGTTTTGACCAATGAAAATGGGGATGCAACTCCTATATTACTACATATATGTGTGTATATATATATTTATACATTTATATATGTATAATATGTCAATATAAATATATATATATATATCATATTATACATATGTATATATATAGAAAAGATATAAAATTAATGATACCTATATATATAATTAATGATAATTATGTAATTTTAAATATATAATTATACAAATATATGTATATATATAATTAATTCATAGTTGTAAATATAATTATCTAAAATATAATATATATATATAAATGCATTAAATAGAATTACATATATATTTAAATATACAATATACAAATATATATATGTATATAAAGTACAATTATATAATTCACAAATTTACATTTATCTAAAATCACATATATATATATAAACATATGTATATGATATATATATATATATAAACATGATATGTATATGATATATATATATATATGTTCCCCTTGTGATATATATATATGATTGGAATACTTGTGTTATCTAAATTTGCTTATATAACCATAAGTTTTGGATGGTTCAGCAAATATATGAATATAATGGTTCCTTGCCCAACTTAACAAAAACCAATTCTGGAATATGTCCTGGAACAGCTGGATCTGATCATCTTGGGAATATCTTGTACCATGCTTCAGAAAATACTATGTTTCACACAATGTGATGGCCATAACTTGGAGTTTGGATCACTTTTGGACAAGCCCAAATGCAATGTTGATGTGACATGTAGAATAGAAGCACATTTCCAAGTCAAAATGTACAAAACACTTCAGCTCCGGAGCACTTTTAGAAGTTGCGATGTCGAAAAAGTGCACGCCGGTGTGGCGCGAAGCACAATTTGAAGTCAAAAGTGGGAAAAATGAGGGGTACGGAGCACTTTTAGACGTTGGGATGTCGTTTTGCGTGCAGGCACAAGGGATTGTGCACCTTGTCAAAAGTGAGCAAAACGTGAGGGTTTTGTAGCATTTTCAAAAACGATGGCAGGCGTGGGACATTTGAAGAGGATCTGCAACGATGCATTTTCCGTGGCAGGCGCAATGCAAGAGACATGTTCATCAGAGCTGTTAGGAGGTCCGGTCGCTGATTTCCTGAGAGAGGTTGCATTTTGGAGCATCAGATCTTCAGGTTTGCTGAGATGATTTTGGGTGACAGGTGCAGCACTTCGTACGACCTGGCATCAGATTTTGTGGCAGGCTCAATACTTTAGACAGGTGAAGTGGAAAATCGAAAAAACGCATTGGTATGAGGCCGTCAGCTCTGCACTCAACTTTCCATTTTTGAAGGAAGTCTGACAGAATTCCTTCGTTTTTGATGTTGTCAACTTCAAATAATGAGGAAGTCTCGCAGAATTGCTTCGCTTTTGACGTTGTCAAGTTCAAAAACTGAGGAAGTCTCGCTGAATTGCTGCGTTTTTGATGTTGTCAAGTTCAAAAACGGAGGAAGTCTCGCAGAATAGCTTCGTTTTCAAGCTTGCAGATAGACAGATAGATAGAGATCAACTACAACTGCAACTACAACAACAAGTACCACTACACTACACTACTACTACAAGTACAAATATACTACGCTACATTACACAACACTAATTACACTACGCTATACTAATTCCATCTAATTGCACTGCACTACACAAATTACACTACAACGACAACAGCAGCAACTACAACAGCAACTACTACTACTACTACTCCTACTACTCCTACTACTACTACTACTACTCCTACTACTCCTACTACTACTACTACTACCACTACTACTACTACTACTACTACTACTACATCTACTACATCTACTACTACTACTACTACTACCACTACCACTACCACTACCACTACCACTACCACTACCACTACCACCACTACTACTACCACCACCACCACCACAGCTCCAACTACTATTACAGCTACACTACATTACACTACAATGCACTAATTAAACTGCAGTACATTACAGCTACAAATGCAACTACAACTACACTACATTACACAACACTACGCTACACTAATTACATTACATTACATTACAGCTGCAACTACCACTACATTGCACTACACGACGCTACACCACAACTACAACTGCACTACTTTACACTACAATACACTAGACTACACTACACTATACCATGCTACAGTACACAACACTACAGTACACTACAATACACTACACTAATTACACCACACCACAACTACAACTGCAACTACACTACACTAATTACACTACATTACATCATTACAACTACAACTTAAAAATACAACTCCACTACACTACAACTACAACTACACCTACAACTGCACTACACCACACTACATCCAGCAGTTGTGGTGAGGCGACCACTGCAACCATTGCAACCACTCCAGGAAACAATGCCATCCGTGATTCACAACAACCAACCTCTCCTATAGGTTTCCTATTTTTGCTACTGGTACTGTGGGAATCTATCATGGAAATCTAGAATCCACCCGGGAAAGGAAGATGTGTACCTACAAACTCTGTGGTTATACACGGAGGGTATATACTCATCACAAGGAAGCACGCCACTCTTGGCTGCACAGTTGGGTCAGGGGATGTCAAGGGATGTCAGTGCCGGATGTCCATAGGCATGGCTGGAAATTGGGCCCAAAACAGGCTGGTTCAATGACTGCAAAAGTACCCAGTCCATTGAGAGAATTGGCAGTTGGGTGCCCCGCTCTCAGTTAGTCTGGCGCAGTGAATCTCTCTGTGTTCTGTAAAGTTCCGTATAATATATATATATATATTTTTCTTCTTCTGATTCGACTTCAGATTTCGTTAGCACATATGATCTTCACCCTCAAAATGATATGTCTCTTGGTCATATCCAGCCTTTTTCAGACACACCCGTTCCTGATGATTGTTTACTATTATAGACATCTATAGACTATAGACAAAGAGTGAATCTGCATTTCAATACTAGTGATCAAGTTGCCAGTTATCGATAGTTAGATCCAATTAACTTCACGGTTACTTTTAGTTTCTGAAATCCCCATTGTTTACCCCATTCCTTCATTTATGGATATGTAAATCACTTAAATATTATCTTTTGTCGTAATGTTTTGTTTAATGATTCTTATTGAAATCAAACTGAAATAGTATTAAATAATCTTAACTAATCTGGTGCTTTCAACACATCTGACAAAGAAAACAACGTCAAACAAGATGGATCATCCTCCGAAACACCCGGTAGTGTTTGTTCATTTTTTATTTTTTTTGAATTTTGTCTTTCAGGAAATCACATACAATCTACCAGTAATTAGTGTGCAATATATATATATATATGTGTATGATGAGTTTTAAGATGATCATGAAATCTTATAGTTTAGGATCTTCATATTGTTTGATAAATGTTGATCTACCATCTGTTTTTTTAACATGGCCGTGGAAAATCACCATTTTCAATAGGTAAACCTCTATAAATGGGCCATTTCCCATGGCTATGTTAAATAACCAGATGCTAGTTTTAGGCTTTTAGGATGATACATGTAGTTTTAAGATGACCTCATGATCCTAGTCCAGGTGGCCATCCACCAGCTCGGAAGGCTCCAGTTGCCCGGAACCATCCTGGCGGGCAATAGCACCGGTAAACGGTGGTGAATCTATGATCATTAATCTAATGATCTGGGAACAAAATCATGGGTTAATTTGTCTTCATTGAATTTAATATGTATAGATATAGATATATATATATATATTTGATTATTGATATATATGTATATATATATATATGCATATATACGTATATATATATATATATATATATTTGATTTAATACTGATTTGAACCCCGGGAATCTATGCTAATCTAATCAATCTTGTCAGTTGCTTTATCATCTGCCAATGGGAACAAAATTATTGTTCAACAATCGACACTAGTAAATCTATGTCAATCTTTTGTTAACCATCCACGTTGATTAGATTATGGTACAAGAAACTATTAGATTATGGGACACACACACAGACACATGTGAATCTATGTTATATAATCTATGTTAATATATGTGCATATCAATAGTTAATCTATGCCAGTAGTTAATCATAGGATGATGTAACCATCAACCATATGGAACACCCCCTATTTAAGCATGTAATAGGATATAACAAGTATGTTAAATTAATCAGCTATTGTATAATCAAAGTTTAATCAACTGCCAATAGGGGCTATGACATTATTCAATCATTAACAACAGGGATTACAACATATTCAACAAACAGACTTGACCGACTTGATCACCATGGTCCGGATTTTGCTCCCCGGCCAGCCGGGCTATGTGATCATTGGGGGGAATACCATTTTAGCTGCAAACGACATCATTATCTGGAGAGGTATCCACATTCCGAATAACCAGGCTTTATTAATCCGGGTTGACATTATTGATATTGATGATAAACTGTTACTGATGCAATAATCACGACAAATAATTAATGATGTAATGATTGTAGCTCTGATATGCTCCGACTATACAATCGAGGCCATGAAAATCAAGATCATCATTGTTGTTGCTGTTGTTGCTGTTGTTGTTCCTTGTTGTTCCTTGTTGTTCCTTGTTGTCGTCGTGGTCGTGGTCGTGGTCGTGGTCGTGGTCGTGGTCGTTTTCGTTGTTGTTGTTGTTGTTGTTGTTGTTGTGGTTGTTGTTGTTGTTGTTGTTGTTGTTGTTCAGGCATGTACTCCATGATTGGACAGCAAAACATGCATCAGACATGTTTCATGCAGGCTAGAACCACATCACCAATACAAGAACTTGCCGCAGGACAAACACATAAGTAGCCTGGTATCCAAGAATTGAGGTGTCCATCTCCATTTTTGTTCGTAAACATCCTCAAAATGCAGTTGGCCAATAAGCCGATTTGGTTGGTCAACGTTCCCGCTTGGTCAGTTGAAATTGAAATACCCAAAAAATCAAACACGCAAGCTAAGGAAACACATCCACATGTTTTTGTTCGCTTTTTTTGTTTACCCACCGTTTGAATTTTCACCGCCACAATTTCCACGATGGCCTTGTCAAAACACCTGAAGGCTGCTTTGCAGACCTGAAACCACAGAGATGGCACCGTGGAAGTCTCAGACACCTCGATGTTTCATGATGGACAATCTAGAAATTTCTTGGGATCCATGATGCAATTATACATGATGAATTGAATCAATGGTGAATTCACTGCTGTACCAATCGAACTATGATTATAATACTGTATATGTAATTATGCAGCAAATGCGAGTTCAACAGTTTCGCAACAAACTTAGCATTGGTCGGTCATGGTGACCACAAGCAGGTACTGACACTGATGGACCACGGTGATCGCACCTCCACGATTGCGAGGCTTGTCCCAGCTCTATCCCACAGGGGATCTAATCATTGTCAGTTCAATCCCTGCATTTTTTGTTGAAACAATATGTTTTTATCTTTCTCGGATTTCTTTGGTGAAAGCGCACTCAGGTTGCCATATGAAATCGGACTGCCATATTCTTCAACATCTTTCAACCATATATCTTGAACATCCTGTATAAGGTTCTGTTCTTCATTCACGTCTCTTCATGGAAAAGCCACCCTTTTTTTGTTGCTCTCCGCGCGATGCGCCAACGCGCGTTGCGTGGCTCACGGCCAGGGCACGGCTTCGGTGGAGTGGCGTGAGCGGTCAAAGGTGGCGGCCAGAAATTCGGTGTAGCTGAAGGCGGGAAAGCCTTTATCTGCCTGGCTAAGGGAGATCTGCAAGAAATTGGGGGACTTGACTTGACCAAGAAATACGACTTTCAATGGGTATAGAAGTGGATGATTTGCAGGGAATATCTGCGGGAAGAACCCAATCCAATCCAATCAAGATGGGAAACGCATTAGAGAATCTTACATAGTAATCCTCAGCGATCTAAAACCTCTAGGAATATCTGGGAAACATAGGCAATCAGATGGAATATCTAAGGACATAATCTGGGATTGTCTGCCTGGAAAGAAGCGGGAATATATGGGAATATCTGCCGGTTAAAAACGCGAATATCTTGGGCATACTAGGGAATGATCTACAGTAGTAGTACAATCTATTCTTCACTCACACATGATCGGGGAAGTTGTGACAATGGGGAAGTGTTATTGTCTGCTTGGAAAGAAATGAGGATCAAATTTCGGGTCAAAAAAAACTGGGGGGCATCCATTTCCCACGAGTACCAGGGTTTTGACTCATACCCATGTATGATGTGCCATGGTCAAAACATGGTGTATGGACTATTGGCATCCAACCATGAAATCGGGAATCCTCAGATTGGCCATTGTGATTGAATGGTTTTCATGGTAGTTGATGCGTTACTCTAATCCAATTTATATCCAATTATGTGTTCATGAATATCCCATGAGATCCCCATATTTGACAGCAACAAAAAAAATCTACGCAATGTTTGATGCTGGTTTCACCATGGCACTGCCGAAAGACCAGGAGGCGCCTGAAACGAGGCTTGCTTCTCCAGTTGTGGCTTCTTATTATCAGTGTTCCGACCTCCGCTGGGGGTACCATGGGATACCGGCGACGAGTCCCTGAAAGGGGGTGTGGCATGATGTGGCTATGGGTCAAAATTTGGATGGCCCAAACAACTAGCGTAACTAGTTATTCTGGGTGTGAAACATGATCAAACTATATCAAACTACTATAGCGGATAGCGCTTCTATCTCGACCATATCAAACATGATCAAACAATAATAATTACATAATCCACTTTGGGGTGGTGATAAAGTTGAACCATACCCATCTTTACCCAGTTTCAACTCGCAACCATTGGTTGTGCCGTTCTGAAACGCTGGATCTGCCCTGAAACCCGAAACGATGGCAAGGGACGACGTTGATCCGAGAAAATCTCCTGCAAAGCAAGGTAGGAATTTCACATGAAATCCGATAAACCTATGGTTTCCTGTTCAACTTCCATGAAAATTCATAGCATCGGTATAGTGGGAAAATAACAGGATTATAAGGGTTTCGGTCTGCATTTTCAGGTCCAATTCGGCCGTTGAGTGGATCGTGAGTGGATCATGTTCACCATGAAACTTGCCAGAAAGTTTTGTCATTTTTGGACCCCATGGTTCAAGAGTTCAACCCCATGGTTTGAAGATCAAAACCCAAACGCTCAAGTAATTTTCAATGCTCTCATGATTTTTCATCGTTAGTTGGGCCATTTTGATCCATGTTCGGTATCTGCAGGATCTCCAACAACCACGTTCATGGTTAAACCAAAATGTTGGTTACCCTCCAGTAAACTAACATAGCTATGGACCATGGCCCATTTATAGATGGTTTACCTATTAAAAACAAGGTGATTTTCAATAGCTATGTTAGTTTACCAGAGGATAAACTTTTGCTAAACTCACATTTTCGGACCCAAATTCTCCAGTCCAACCATGGCCACTACGTTTTTTTCTACGTACGCAGCTTCTCCTCAGAAGCCCGAGAGGCGTCCGTCCTTGGTAACAAACTGGTTGCGGTGGCGAGAACGGCTACCGGGGAATGCCCAAAGAGATAGAAAAGTAAATCTCCATTAACATAGGGAAGATTCACAATTCTATTTTTTTTGGGATGTATAATAATGTATAATGTAAAATAATGTATAATAATGTATCATAATGTATCATAATGTATAATAATATATAATAATGTAAAATAATGTATAATAATGTATAGTAATGTATAATAATGTATTTTATATATATATATATATTATTATATATATATATTATTCTATATATATATTATTATATATATATTATTCTATATATATATATTATTATATATTTTTATATATTATTATATATTATTATATATAATTATAGATATACACTGTAATAATGGTTGAATGAAAGTTCGCTGTGAATGGCATATATATATATATTGGGATGAGGATGACCAAACAATGAATGAAGCATTTGGTTACCTAGCATTCATGATATGGATGTACTTGTAACATGAAGGATTATGATATATACATATATATAAATATATACATATACATATACACAAAACATGTCATGTGTCATGGGAAACATATGAACCCAAATATGATAAGTTGACCAGTGTATCTAGGGGTACCCTCACGAGAAGACATGTCCAAATGTTTGATATCACAATTCTTTCTGTGTGATCCCTTTCAGGAATCTAAACTGTTCAAGACCTGGAAACCGGTCGAAACACCTTTCACACCCTGGAAACTATGTATTTCTCCCATCAATTGGCCATCGACATCCTCAGTTTAACATCCTCCGGTAAAGGAACAGCTATTGAAGCCATGGGCCATTGAAAAATCACCCATCTAAATCCCATGGGATTTCCCATGAAACCCCATTAAAACCCCATGGATTTGCCATTAAATCCATTGAAATCCCATCAATTTCCCATGAGATCCCATGAATTCATAGCATTTCACCCCCTTTTTCGTTGCCTTCAGCCGCCCATCCGCCGCGGCACGGCTTGTTGCTCTTCAGCTCCTCCATGGCCTCACGAAGCTCCGTCAATGTGACCTGGCGCAGATCGATGATTTTGGAATGTTTGGAATGGGTATGTGTCATAACTATTTCTTTATCTATATGTATGTATGTATATATATATATCATAGCTATATATTATAACTATATATATACATATATATATATGTATATGTATATATATGTATATATATATAATGTATAGGTATCTATTTAAATATCTACATGATGACTATGTATATATATATATATGGTAGAAAGTTGTCAAGTATCGGCTGGCGCTCCCTTCAGCAACTGTTTTCATTTGAGTAGCCCAGTTCAGCGTCTGTCAATCCCCAAGCCTACTGGTGCAATGGGATTTGTGTGTTATGGATTGCGATCAGAATCAAACCTATGAACTCACAGATTTATGTCCTATTGGAACGTATCAAACAATATATGACATTAGATATTAAATACATTGATGTGTCTTCTCCCTTCTTGTGCCCCCTCTTGTCCTTCTTGTGCCATTTGGGGCGAGCCATGGCCGCTGTATCCAGAGTTCTGTGGGAATGGTGTCTATGTGGTAAATCCAATGTCTTCGCACCTCACCATCGCCGTCTTTGTCAAGGTACACGAACCTGAAGGGAAAACCCCAACTCAGATGGCTATGGCTATGGGTACCCTCTGGTAATGACTAACGTAGCTATTGAAAATAGCCATTTATAGCTGATTTACCCGTAAAACTGGTGATTTTCCGTAGTTATGTTAGTTTACCGGAGGCTAATATTGATTAATATTGTGCATATATATGTATATATATAGAAAATGGGTAAGAGTGCTTAATACTGTATATTAAGAAAATTATGTACTACCCATACCCTGATCCAACAAACAAGAATAAGTTGACACGCAGCCTTCCGTTCACATCGAACATCTGCTGGCTAAAGCTCAAGAATTCCCAGGCCCCCCCTCCATTTTTTCGGACAACTGAGGCTCCAATTTCCATCCCCAACAGCATCATATCCAAAAAATGAATATTTACCAAATAGATCCAGTAAATTCCACGATAATTGTTTGATGGTTTATTACTGAAAGATGGCTAAACCTTATTTGTATTATTTATACCTCCATGTTCATGGATATGACTTCAACTTACATAGTTTTGGTGCACTATATGATGCTGAAACTATGTTACAGTAACTCCCAAAAAAAAGAATAGAACACATTTTTTCTACTAAACAAGTGAAATGCTACAGTTTTATCTTTTTGGGAGTTGCTGTAAACAAGGTCACTTGGTGATTGGTAGGTTTGCTCACCGGTTATAACTAGGCCAACTCTACTTGCCGTACTTGTAACTGCGCTGGTAACCCCCTTACCCCCTGGTGGTTTAAGACTGAGCAATTTTCAAAATCACAACTTTTTATATAATTGCTAAGTGACATTATATAATTCATCTATATATGTTTCATGGCTCAGCAAATTACCAAGGGTAGCTGGAGTGAACCCACCATCTGTTGATAGGTTTCCCACCGGTTGATCATCCCATATGTCATTAGGAAGTCCGAAAGTCCCTGAAATAACCAATCAACAGGGCTACAAAATAATCAATTACCATCTGGTTATGACTAGCATAGCCATGGAAAATCCCTTATAAATGGAGGTTTTAATGGGAAAATCATCTATAAATGGGCCATTTTCCATGGCTATGTTAAATAACCAGAGGGTATATAGTTGATGATATTTCCCATGATGTTCCCAAAAACCACTTGAAACCATATTTTTTCTTGGTAAAAAACAGTGATGGTATGGCCCTCAGCAGTCTTAAGCGCGATGAAATAACTCCTGCAACCAAGGTTCTGCATCACTTAAACAAGCTTATCAACCAGTTATAACTGCCTACAGGCCTATAGGGCTATAACTGATCAGGTAGTGTTACCTTTTTCGGAAATCTTAACCTTCAGTTTTTGGAAAAGATAATCGTTTGATCGCTTTGATCCAGTGGAATTGCCATATTGTAAGCATCCAAATGATGTTGATCCCCACAATAGTTCTAAAAATATGTTATCATGTTATCCATTCTCATTGGGTCTAAGCTAGTCTAAGCATGATAATGCATTCTAAATACATATACTAATACAATATTCTAATATCCCCTGATGATTGGTTGTGATAGTTGATAGTTCATCATCTTCTAACCATTCATAGTTTATATTGATACCATCTTCCAACATCTTCTAACCATAATCGTTACTCCCCTCAGCATCCGAGCCACAAGTCGCGGCCCGGACGGACCACCTTTTCGGACAGCATGCTGGCGATCACCGCCAGGGAGACCTGGGGCCGGTGACTGTGAACAAAAATCACGGTCACCGAAAGAACTGGTAAAGGCCGATAGCTATGGGGATATCATGGGTTAATGGTGAGATATACTTCTTTGATGGTGAACTATACTCCTTTAATGGGCATATATATATACGGTAACTACATTTGAATATACGGACTTTTAAATATACAAACGGGTATTTTAGACTACCTCCGGGAAGGTTTTCCTTGGCCCGCCCGGCCATTTAAACATACGGAATCCAATTCATTTAAACATACGGCAACTACATTTAAATATACGAACTGGTATTTCATACTACCTCCGAGGCCTCGCGGTCTGGCCCGCCCTACACATATTTATATAAATGGCGTTACCGTATATATATATATAGACGATATAGCCACAACTGATAGGTTTCATGGGGATATAGTTGATATAACATGAAGTATGTGGATATCGTTTACCACCAACTAGCGGAATCAATTAATCTCTATAACCAGCCAACTCGGAATATAGCCATAATCATTGGAATGTTGAAGCATAAAAAACATGCGACTATGGGATATCTATGGGGATGTTTGAGGGCTTCCAGCTAACCAACTAGGGATAACCACAGGTGAATTAAGTGGATATAACCAAGATAAAACTGGAAATCATGGGAAAACGGATGAGACTTATTTTTCACATTTTTTTTAACAGTAATGGCTTAACGTGGGTCAAACATCAAAAAATGTTATGGTTGATGGGATATCGATGGGTATATAATACAACACAATGATAAAAATCATTACGCTAACAAACTGTAGTTAATCCCTTCACCCTATATAATATCAAACACCCCTAGTGTTTTTTTTTCATGGGAGTATAGTGTGGATATATCATGGGAATGTACAACCAACAAAAAGATAGTTCATTATTTAATGGATATTAACGGGAATATTAGCTACACCTCCCAGAGACCAGAGACCAGATGTAGGGGATTGGAAAAAAACATGGCATCATCAGGATGGGACGGACGAACCTCTGGTAATCAAACATGGCTAGCCGGAAAAAAATATTTTAAATGGAAGTTTTTCTTGCTTGGACAAACATTGAAATAAATAGGAAATGTCCCAGCAAGCATTTTTTGATTACCAGAGGGTAGTGGATTAATTCATAGCATGTTTAATGGATAATTCCTCAAGAATCTGCTATTTTGGTCTATCAGTCCATCATTGCCTGATAAGTCATGATCTTCATGATAAATCAAACCCAAATGTATAATAGCTATAAAGATGCTTTCTTCCCCAGAACCCTCGGCAGAATCTGGCTGGTTTTTAGGCGCTCTTCAGCATCATCCAGGGTCACACGGTCACGTGATCCCCAGAAACGCGGGGGACCATTTACAGAGGGTTGAGGGAGCGTTATGGAACTACCCTCTGGTAATTTAACATAACTATGGAAAATCACCATTTTTCATGGGAAAATTCACTATAAATGGTGATTTTCCATAGTTATGTTAAATTACCAGAGGGTATTACTATTTGGGAACCCCCCATAAGAATAAATTGGGGTGTTATTCATCCGGGTCCGGGGTTCTCATTACTCCAAACTGTTTTTTCATTGGTCTTGAATGCAACCGCAGATCTTGTCATGCAAATGTTCAACTACCTTGGAAGTCAAGTGGGAAGCTACAAGCAAAGAGTCTATGGTGGGTGGTCGGAATCAAATTCCAAAGACACTGCGGAGCGGATCGAACTACATGTCAAGCTTTGCGGCTAAGGTCTCATGAACAAATTCTGAGTTGAAGTCCAAACCCCCAAACTTGCAATGTCCAATCTTCACAGCTTTGGTGTCACAATGTTGTAACTAACTAGAACTACCGTAAACCAATAATTATCCTTCAATCAATTCTCGAAAACATATGTTTGCTTTCGCTTTGTCAGTCTTTTGATCATGCTCAATGTTGATAATCAGCCATAGCAGTCCATAGCAACATCAGCCAGCAAAAATTCGATAATTCACGAATTTTCACACATTGTTGGCTGGACTTTCTGCCCTGCGCGATTGCTACCAGTCACAATGCTCTTGCTTTACCAGATTCTAACACATGTTTATATGTTTCATACTAACCCTGAGCACGACATGGGACTTTCTTCAAATGGAGTTTCAATACGATACAATACTAGTACTGGTCACACTTAAGTTTGAATGATTTTTGGGTCCCTGATGCTGCATCCCATGAACCTGGTATCCCGAGATTAGTATAGTATCAATAATCGCCACTGAACCAGTTACAAAAAACCCATTAATATTTAGACATTGGCTCAGTTGTATTGGTTCATACATGGCGAAAAGTATGTATATATATATACGTATCATATATATATATATATGTACACGTATCATAAACACATATATATATATATATAATATATATGTATACGTATGATATATATATATATATATAAATCTACATGTATCATACACATATATATAATATGTTTATATATATAATAAGTATAAATATATATAGATATATAATATGTATATATATATTTATACATATACAAATGTATACATATCTTCTACTGATCTTGGATTGGCCGCTACCCCATGGCCTTCCGAAACTTGTTCAGCTTGCGGAAGCCGCGGAGACTGGTCAAAATCTCCTGCTGCATGTCTGGATCGACGTGATCCGGATTTTTGGCTGACACATCAACATGTCTTTCCAGGATGCTATTATAGATGATGTGTTCCCATTTGTTTTTGCCAGGTTTCCAACTTTTCAGCATCTTTTTGGGGGTTGCTAGAACTGATCCCCATCCCAGAGTATATCGCAGATCATATCTCTAGAATATGAGCAGTGGTCGAAACCCCGGTTGGTTTATGATTAATTATGGCCTAGATGGGATTTTACTGTCCGTTAGATTAATTTGTGGATGATCATCATCCATGAAGTGAGAACTCCCATATACCACCCAGCTAGTATAATACCTATATCCCATAGCATTTACCAACCGAGATTCCACTGGCATGTACCATGTGCAATATGTGCCCCATACTATCTGGCTAAATTTGATAATTCACTGACTTGAAAACAGCAACAAGGCCACCTGGGGATGATTTCACCAATCCTAATGATCATTCCACAGACGTCACAGTGAGGTCCCTGTAATTTAGCCAGATTAAATCAATAACATATACACAATAACATATAATTAGTATATGGTTATCATTAGTATCATATAGTATCATTGTTATTGTTGTTCTCATGATTATTACTTTCATAATTATTGTTATTTGTACATGATCTAATGAGTTGTACAAGTATCATTAGTACATTATTGTTGTTTTCACTACTATTACTATCAACATTTTCATTCTTTGTATATGATCTAATGTAATGGCTTGTAAATATGTATCATTAGTATCAGTATTATTGTGTGTTCATTATTACTATAATAATTATCGTTATTTTGATATGATCTAATGATTTGTACAAGTATCATTAGTACATTATTAGTTAGTGTTGTTTTCATTACTATTACTATCAGAACTATCATTATTTGTATATGATTCATTCATGTGTATAAGTATCATAAGTATCATTATTATTGTTGTTTTCATTATTATCATTAAAATTATCATGATTTGTTAATATGCCATATTCATCCCTCTTTGGAGCCAGCCTGGCCACTCTCCACCGCAAGCCCACCGCCAGACGCCGAGCGCTTTGCCGTTGTGTCCTGGTCCACCGCCGCCAGACGCCTGCGAGGCACCTGCTTGCCGAACCACTTGTGCTTCAGGGCCTGCCACTGCGACCGGGAACTGGGGACTTCATGGGATTAAAAGGCCATAGAAATTGTGAATTTACCCATTAAAAATGGTGATTTTCCATAGTAAATGATAGTTAACCTAGCTGGTGGTATACCTACCCCTCCGGAGTTAGACAGTTGGGATGATGAAATCCCATGTATTATGGAAAAATAAAAGTCATGTTCCAAACCACCAACTAGATAGAAAATGGTGATTTAAGCATAGGAACCATTTTGAAACATGAGAATTCACAATAGAACATGATGAATCATTGAGATTTCACCATAGAACATGTTGATGTGGATGGTCGAAACAGTGAAGTTCACCAGCAATCAATCAGCTTCCAATATTCTCCTCAATCATGAATCATGAGGGGATAAATCATCCAAAATGGGAAGAATTAAGCAGCGGACTGCACGGATGCAAGCAATCCATCATATATATTGCAAGTGGTCAGAAATGGAATCGTATATATATATATATATATATTGCAACATATTGCAACTATATCATAATACAGAATCGTTGTTGATGACAACCACCAATTGGAGAACGAGTTTCAATCACCATCATGTATCACCTTGTAATCCGATGATGATGCAGACGGAAACTGTAAGCCCAAATTTTAACACGGCCAATCCTAGATGCCCTCCCCATGTTTTTTTGCTTGCACATATGTACATGTATAAATATATATATATATACACATGATATGCAAATACTGTACAGTATCATTTACATTTGCATGATATGTAGTAACTAGTATACAACATTACACACATATATATAAATACTATATGCAAAATAAATCAATACATATATATATATAAATTTAAAAAAACACACATATATATTATAGACATATGAATATAAACATACTATTCAGCAAAATACAGCAATATGTTAGAGTACTAAACGATCCATCACAGTCTTCCCCTGAAAGCCTGCGCTGCTTCCAAGCGATTAGCTTCCTGGAGACCACATAGCAATAATACGGTCTCGCACTGGGACCCTAAACAAGGGCAAAATACTACAAAATGAGGAGCAATAAGAGGTACTTCAATGAATCATATTGTGAACAAATGCCTGTAATATTTTGGATATAACTTTGTTCTAATTAAAGATATGCATTTGTATATGATTGTATGGTATTGTATATGATATATGTACACAGACTTCAACATAAATATTTTTGGGAAACCATTCATGTTGCTCAGCTACCCTTTTTCCCCAGGAGGTGCAGGTTCAGTTTTTCTTTCCGATTTCCGGATATGGGACAGATTGACTTTGAATTGAAAACACCACTTGGAGGTGTCCTAAAACGGATACGCCCAAATCCTCCACCCAGCTATTGTGGTACCTCCACTGGAAGGGAAAGCTCCAATTGTCACAGCCAGCTTCATGGCCATCATGTGTTGCACCCCAAACAGCTGTGTAACAGCACATAGCCAAGGCAAAATGAACAAAAAACCTGTTGTTGTTGTCGGCATGGTTATTGTTGTTGTTGTTGTTCTTCTTCTTCTTCGAATTCCCCTTTTGCCCTATTCTTGAACCCCCTGTGAAGAATCAAAGGAGGATCTTCCAGTGAAGAAAACCCGATCCAAGTCCATTCCGAGAAGGTCCCAATCATACTGACGAAGCTACAGCCGGATCCATAGGCACCAAGCTCAAGAGTAAGAAACCAGGATGGGATAGTTGAGCCTATATAAACCATGTCTAGTGATTTTGTGCCAGCAAAAATGGAGTATCTTTCAAATATGACAATTTTTGTGGTACCAAAAGTGGGATGCTATATGCAAAGAAACGACCAACATCTGTGGTCCACTGGGTCTTCAGTGTTGACCATTTTTTTCTATTGGTGAGTCCACCATCTTAGGAAACCCTCATGCAGTTGGTTATATCCCATAACATCCCTATTGCAGTTGGTAAATCTCGCTTATATCAAGAAGGCATTACTCTAGCACATGCAAATCATAAACAAGGACATATTCGATCAGAGAATATCCCCCCATTGTTGGATTTCAATCAATCAATATATATATATATATATACCAAACATAACGGACATTATAATGATAAACATACTTGTGCCAATCATCATTTTCCAAGACACCAATTCGAAATGCTTATGGGACAAAAGCCTGGTACATCCTAAAAATCCTAAAGTAGCTGGTTAAATCTGGTTAATGGTTATCCCCCGATGGTGTCATAGGTAACTTGGCATCATCCCCATGGACGATCCTGGCTGTGGAGCATCTGCTTGGCCAAGTTCATGGCTTCACCTCGCAGCATCGCGAAGCGATGCCAGCAACCAACCCAGCCTGATCCAAGTGGGCCTAGGATAAGACAATATTTCGGATATTTTTTGAGGATGCTAGATGTTTAAGAACAAACAACTGACAGAAGATTGATTATTTTGTCCGCAGCCGGAAGCCAAATAGATGCTGGTCTCACCACGAAAAAACATGACTGGTTGGTGGTTTCAACCCATCTCAAAAATATTAATCAGTTGGGATTATTATTCCCAATATATGGAAAAAGAAAAATGTTCCAAACCACCAAACAGATGACTTGATTGAAGCAAGTTCACACCAAAATTGTTGTTTCGCCAACAAACATGGTGATGTATATATATATATATATATACCGACTTTCGGAGCAACAATTACTAAAACATGTGGGTTTGCGCTTCCCAACTAAAACTGGAGATTCAGGTGCTAGATTGTTGCATTCAATTTTGAAACACATGAATTCATCTGAAATTTGGGAAACCCAACACCATCTCATTTAACATAATTGTTACTTGTCACTTGTCACTCCAAAAAAGATATAAAAATTGCTATAGAGCGGCTGCAAATCCCACTTTGGTTAGGCACCTGAAAATATCCGCATTGTATGTGTTGCTCATACTCATTATGTCCCCATTATGGTTGGAAAACATACACCGTTTTTGTTGGTCAAATAACACAGCAAGACCGAGACACACGCGACATCCAGAACTATTTGCACCAAGAGACCAGAACGTGACATCCACTCCTGGCCGTCAGCAAACCTTCCTGGTTTATTTGTTTGTCAGTTTCGCGAATCTGCAGCCAACCGTTTGAGATTATTGACAAACTTCTATGTTATATAAATATATATATATATGTATAATAATGTAATATGTATATATATATAAAGACTTTATTTATATATTTACTATATTTATGTATTAACATATGTAACTATTACTATACTGTCAAAAAATCATTTGTATATAATACATATGTTTTCCATCAGATGTATATTCTACATGTATCATATATCATATATGTATCAAATACATATATATATACACACATCATATACACGCTATTGTTTCAACCAGCCCGCCAATCATTTGGACCCATCACCATCGCCATATGTTTTCGCCTGACACCAGGTGACCTTTGCGTTCATGATCTTCCTCGGTTTTTCGGGCGCTGGGGAGGAGTTGTAGTGCAACTCAACTTGATTTAGGGAAAAACGTATGGGAAAATGGTGGGGAAGATAATGGGAACATGATTTTTTTTTGTTGTTTATTTTTCGTGGGGATATTTTTTGTTTGGCGTAAGATGGTAGGGAAGTGCGCTTGATTAATGGGAAATGATCGAGTTTGGATGAAATCTATGATCTAGACCTAGTGTGAAAATGTTGATCATGGAAATTAACCAGACATTTGGCTAACACTTGCCACAACAATGCAGAATCCACAATGGGGACGAATTATAGCCTTCTGTTCTCTTCCCTTTGGCAACGTCAAGGCCCTTGTCATCTGGCTAGATTTGTTCGATTGCATGCACAATTAAAACTCAATTTCCTGGCTGACTAGTGCAAATGCGATACCTGGATATACGGGTTTCTCTGACAATAGGGTAGAGTATGGTACAGACTGTACCACAAAATCGCTGACATAATCCCTTCTCCTGGCATTCAATACACCCCGAAAGAAAACATTGTTTCGTTCCTATACAGATGCGGTATGTGACATTAGGGGGATCATGATGATTAACCAACGGATATAGGGCTGTCCTATGTTCAGACAAACCCATATATATATACATATATGTAACATAATATATATATATATATATATCATTAAACAAACGCCTATCCCATCTCATTATAATGGTTGGTTAATAACTGTCCCTACTCTGGATTATCATAATCTCCATTAAACCAGGTAGTAAGATCAATAATCATTTTTTTTCAACCTAGCTGGATAACCCATTAGTATCTACTACGGGGATAATCCCCAAATAGTATCTGCTAGTACCGGCTAGCATTGTTGATAAACTAGCTAGTATAATCGCCCTGAAATCATTGTTATGATAATGGTATCAGCTAGTGTATTTTAATAGTTTAATCCTGGTATCATATAAATAATTGTTGTAAATCATTTGAAATCATTGCTATAATAATTGTATCACTTTAAATTATTAATAAACTAGCTAGCATATCAACAATGGCATGTTTTAATGTGCCCAGTGCCCCTCAGGGTTCTCGGAACCCAAGAATCTTATGCAACTCCTCCTGGTCTCGGCCTTCGAAAGGCAGCCGGGCACTCCTGGGACGCAAAAATGGGGGATGGATCACCATCAAAAATGGGGAGTTAACCATGACAAACATGGGCATCTAATGGAATAGTGTATCTGGTTGGTGGCTCCAACCCATCTGAAAGATATTGGTCAGTTGGGATTAATTCCGATATATGAAAATAGAAAATGTTCCAAACCACCAACAAGTATATTGAATCTAAGGTAATATCCTATGTAAATAATTACTATTCCAAAATCAACGGATTGGTTTTAAGGGAAACAAAATGACCAGAAACCATATGTTCCCCTTTGTTTTTTGGTTCAACAGGAAGTGTTCCCTTTAACCAATGCATTAAGATAAATGATGAAGGTGCTGTTTTGATGATATCTCAATAAGTAAATGATGAATAGTAGGTAATTAATAAAGAACACATATTTGTGATAACCGTATGTATATATATATATATATGGTCTCGTGTTCCGTGTTCGTGTCCTACCCCCCCCAATGGTATGGGTCCCCAAGTAGCACCCCCTTCCCTTCTATTTGCAAGCTATTGGCAGCATTTCTGAGGTCCAGCCTCGTATTTGCTAGGTCTTTGCAGCATTTCTGACTACCAGCCTCGCATTTACTAGGTACATGCTACCTTTTAGACGGCCTACGTAGCACACATACTCCCTCAAAGTACCTACGTGCTACAGTCATATATACATGTGCTATGTATCCACTTTCTTTTTACTACCTGTGTACTCTCACAACACTATATGTGTTTAACATATACCGTACCTACCATACATTCCAATTATACCATACATACCATACATACCACACATACCATACATACCATACATACCATACGAACTTTGACCGTACATACCATACCTATCATACCTATCATGCAAACCACACATACCATACATATGAAACATAATTGCCACACCTCCCATACATACAATACCAAACATACATGCCATACACACCATACCTACCTTACATAGCAAACATTCCTTACCTATCATCGAAGGAAGTTTAGAAGTCAAACTTCCGACAATATGGACAGATGAAAAGCAGAGCAGGGAAGAGGCAGAGAGAGGAGAAAGATTAGAAGAAAGAAGATTAGAAGAAAGAAGAGTAAGAAGAAAGAAGATGCAGATGCGTGAAAAAGTAGGAAAATCGCAAAACACTATGTTTTTCCAATGATTTGTGGCTCTGGAAGGTCGAAAAGTAGGCTCGCTAAAGCGGCGGGTGCGGAGCCAGCTGGCGAGAGGAGAGATGAAAAATTGCACACCGTTGTGGCGCGAAGCACATTTCCAAATCAAAATGTACAAAACACCTGGTGCTCGGAGCACTTTTGGAAGTTGAGATGTCGAAAAAGTGCACGCCTGTGTGGCGCGAAGCACATTTTGAAGTCAAAATGTACAAAACACTAGGGGTGCGGACCACTTTTGGCACTTGAGATGTCGAAAAAGTGCACGTTTCAAGTCAAAATGTACAAAACACGCCAGCTCCGGACCACTTTTGGCAGTTGAGATGTCGAAAAAGTGCACGCCGTTGTATGTGGCGCGAAACACATTTCCAAATCAAAATGTGCAAAACACCTGGTGCTCGGAGCACTTTTGGAAGTTGAGATGTCGAAAAAGTGCACGCCTGTGTGGCGCGAAGCACATTTCGAAGTCAAAATGTACAAAACACTAGGGGTGCGGACCACTTTTGGCACTTGAGATGTCGAAAAAGTGCACGCCGTTGTGGCGCGAAGCACATTTTCAAGTCAAAATGTACAAAACACACCAGCTCCGGACCACTTTTGGCAGTTGAGATGTCGAAAAAGTGCACGCCGTTGTGGCGCGAAGCACATTTCGAAGTCAAAATGTACAAAACACCTCAGTGTCGGACGACTTTTGGAAGTTGAGATGTGGAAAAAGTGCACGCCGTTGTGGCGCGAAGCACATTTGGAAGTCAAAATGTTAAAAACACTAGGGGTTCGGACCACTTTTGGCAGTTGAGATCTCGAAAAAGTGGACGCCGTTGTGGCACGAAGCACATTTCCAAGTCAAAAGGTTAAAAACACCAGGGGTTCGGACCACTTTCGGAAGTTGAGATGTCGAAAAAGTGCACGCCGTTGTGGCACGAAGCACATTTCCAAGTCAAAATGTTAAAAACACCAGGGGTTCGGACCACTTTTGGAAGTTGAGATGTCGAAAAAGTGCACGCCGTTGTGGTACGAAGCACATGTCCAAGTCAAAATGTTAAAAACACCAGGGGTTCGGACCACTTTTGGAAGTTGAGATGTCGAAAAAGTGCACTCCGCTGTGGTGCGAAGCACATTTCCAAGTCAAAATGTTAAAAACACCAGGGGTTCGGACCGCTTTTGGAGGATCAGATGTCGAAAAAGTGCATGCCGTTGGGGCGCGAAGCACATTTCCAAGTCAAAATGCACAAAACACACCAGGTCCGGACCACTTTTGGCAGTTGAGATGTACACTACACTACACTACAGGACATTACACTACATTACATTCCAGCACACTACATTGCACTAAATTACACTACACCACACTACACTACACTACACTACGCTCCACTACACTACACTACACTATATCACATTACACTACACTACACTCCACTACGCTACATTACACTATACTACACAATCTTCCACTACACTTCACTACCTTACACTACACTACACTCCATTACACTACAACTACAACTACAACTACAACTACAACTACAACTACACAACTACACGCCACTACACTCCACTACACTCCATTACACTCCACTACACTAAATTACACTACACTACATTACACTACACTACACTACATTCCGCCACACTCCACTACACGACACTACATTCCGCTACACTACATTACACTGAATGACACTGCACCACAGATAGAAGGTAGACAGATAGATAGATAGATAGATAGATAGATAGATAGGTAGGTAGGTAGATAGATAGATAGGTAATTAGATGAGAGAGAGAGAGAGAGAGATCAAGCACCTTTCAGTCCATCAGTGGCTTCGCTCTGCCATCCCTGATTCACAACAACCAACCTCTCCTATAGGTTTCCTATTTTTGAAACTTCCGCCACCGCCTTGTGCGGTACTACTGTTAGTAACCATACATACCATACAGACCGTACATACTGTCATATCAAACATACCATACCCAACAGACTTACATACCATACCAACCATCCAGACAGTACCAGACCCCCACCACACCACAGGGGGGGAGGGGACAGTACCACACCCCACCACACCACAGGGGGGGGAGGGGGACAGTACTATGGCTGACCCATGACCATGGCCGGGGAGGGGAGGGGATTGGAACGCTGGACCATATATAATATATACACGTATGTGTATCAAGTGAAGGATGTTTGATAGATAGTAGGGTTCGACCTAAACACCGGTGCTTTTTTTTAAATGATCCCTATGCCCTTTTACTTTTGGATCACTACACTGTACCTTCGGCTTCGGGAGGGCTATTATTTCAGGGGCTAGTCGTAGCTTCTCGGGAAGTACTTCTGGTAATTCAACAGTTTGTCATGGAAAATCACCTTTTAAATAGGTGATTTTCATCCATTTTCCATAGCTATATGTTGGATTACAGGACTGAGGGTTTGCCCAGAATGGATTGATAATTGTCATTGCGCAGGCACTGTGTTTTATCACCTTGGTACATCTGTGCGTTTGAAAACTGTATGTCCCAAGACATTTTTTAAGGAAAATCAGTCGGAAAAGTGAACCCTCTACGGACTTCATGCGTGTGGCCCGTTTTCCTGTTTTTCACTTTTGTGGCGAGTCTCGAGTGTAATTGTTTGATGTGAGAGATCTTGATCCCTTTATATAAAGAGGCATATATATATATAAAGTATATGGCGGGTCCTAATCTTCCCCCTCAATGACAGTCTGCCATCAGTGCCATTGTTGATGGAGGTGGGAGATGTTACATAATTCTTTTATAAAAAGTATATAGCGGGTCCTAAACACCATCATCATATCAACAACAAGAACAATTAAAAAAAGAACAGAACAATCAGAACGGTCACAACTTCAAGCAGAATAACGCGCAAACAAATAGCTCGAAACCAACGGTAAAAACCAATCAAAGAAACAAAATACCACTATTCAGCGGTGACATCATTAAGCATATCCCAATCCGATACGCTGCCAAGCTGCAGAAGGTAGTACATGATGACGCCACAGGCCCACACATCACACTTTTGGCTATAGCTATGTGCATAGACCTTGCGGCGATGAAGAATTGACACGATCACACTGAGATGATCACAGGCTTATAGCAACATCCACCAACAAGATCCAACAAAAATGGAAACAGTATTTCAAGCATGGTACTTCGACGACATTATATAAATTACACAAATGTAAAGATGATATTCACATATATTTACTAAAAATGCGTCCAACTTTTCCAACCTTTTTCCATCTCAGAGTTGCGTCCGGTTCACCGAACAAAAAAGAAAACACCTCGGGCGTCCCGCTGGCCTGGGGTGCTTTGTGACTGTCGGTGCCGCAGTTTCGTTTCATCATCTGTCCCTCCTGACGCTGGGATTTCGAGTCCTAGCTTTTGGGGATGGCGTTTCACCTCCAAAAATAGTGATGACTTGGCTTACTGGTGCGTTTTACGTAGGGAATGGGTGGCTTACTGGGGGTTGCTGGGATTATGAAATTGATAGTTAGCCAGTGGATCATTCCCTCAAATTCCCTACGTAAGTTTGGCACCAGTAAGTTGGGGATGGTGCAAATGTTGGCTCAGACATACTCAAACCCTCTTTTTTGGTTGTGGAACCGCTTTGCTACCCCCTATCTTGCAAGGATTCTACGTAAGCCCAGCTACGGCGAAATAGGCTAAGCCCACGGAAGTGCTGAACCCAGGAGAGGGAACTTGGATGATCCCGATCCCTGAAAAGCTTTTACAACTGTGAAGTATCTGAAACGTTTAGTAACCGTTAATCCCTTAAGTCCCAGGATGTCCCAGGTAAGGGCCTCTCCAGCCACCATCTATAGTAGTTGCAGTTTTGATGATTAAAATCACCACTTTTGACTGTTGCAATCAAACATAACCCTTCAGTAAATTAACATAGACCCTGAACATAGCTAATTTTCAGTGGAAACTAATCTTACAATCCTCAACTCTGGGCAGGGTCCCCATGTTGAACTTCGTTACGAAACCACCTCCCAACCACCGGTTCGACCTCGAAAGAACAGGATAGGCCGAAATCTGAAATCCTCACAGCACTCCTTGGTGAGATGAACGGTCAGCCTGTCCTTTTTTCATCATTAAACCCTTGATCTAATTAGGATCTATTAGAATGTATGTTAGTTGATGTTAGTTGATCTAATTATATAGGTTGAACCCTGCTACGAAAACATCCACTAATAGGATCTATTAGGGATAAATATGTATATATATATATGTACACGTGATATATGATGATCTTCATCACACCAGTTGGTGTAATCAGTGTACTGTAGTCCTGTATAAAAATCTACTAAGAGCAACGTGGGTCTTGCTTAGATGATCGTGACATTAGGCCCTACAGTGCAGAATTTTGCTGGGCGTTTTTTTTGGATGATAACGAATCCCCTTCTTGGGATGTTCTGACAAAAGAAATCATTGTTTTTGTGGCCAGAAAACCCAACTTTATCCAATGTTGGCATAAACATATTATATATACAGATCCAATTATTTTTATTACCATGGTAATCTTAGTAATATAGCCATAAACGATACCTTCTTTCTATGGAATGTACGTTGAATATTCCGACATATTTTCATTGCCATGGTAATCAAACATGGCAATGCAAAACGCCTCAGGTTTTTAAAGTGCACACCGCTTACGGCGGGTTTCGGCTTTGATGGACCCATCCATCCATGGAATAGTCATTGGATATTCTTGAGGTGTATAAATAGTATTGACATATACTTACTGTATAGTATATGTGTATATATATGGGGGTTGTCCAAAATACCTTTTCCCGGACAGCCCTCAATCGCTCAGCCAATCGCGTAGCAACCGCGGTACCACAGTGAGCAATCGCGGAAGGGTTTGTTCTTCGTTGATCAGATCATATACATAAAATATAAGTTATGTATTATATAATGAGGATCCATGCGTGAACGCATTCGATTTCAAATTTGGGAACAAAATAAGCTCGCGCGGTCCGGAAACGGTCCGGAAAACTCACAGTAGTACCAGCAGCAGTAGTACTAGTAGTACTAGTAGTACTAGTAGTACTAGTAGTACTAGTAGTACTAGTCGTACTAGTAGTACTAGTCGTAGTAGTAGTAGTAGTAGTAGTAGTAGTAGTATTAGTAGTAGTAGTAGGAGGGGTAAGAGTAGGAGTAGGAGTAGGAATAGGAGAAGGAGTTCTAGTAGCAGGGCAAGGGAAGAAAGGGAGAGGGAGGGAAAGAGAGAAAGAGAGAGAGAGAGGGAGGGAGGGGGAAACAGATGGTTGCGTTTGACCGGTTTCTGACGGGGTTCTGACTGGTTTCTGACTCGTTTCTGACCCTTCAGCGGAACTCGTGTCAATTGGATTTAAAAGCAAGAGCAGAAATTCCTAGGTGTACTAGTGGTAGTGGTGGTGCAGTAGCAGCGGGTGTGGTGGTAGTAGTGGGAGTAAGGATCCATGCGTGAACGCATTCGATTTCAAATTTGGAAGCAAAATAAGCTTGCGCGGTCCGGAAACGGTCCGGAAAGAGTTCTGATGGGAGGGTGAGGGAATAGGCAAGGGAGAGAGAGAGAGAGAGATTGCGTTTGGCCGGTTTCTGACGGGTTTCTGACTGGTTTCTGACTGGTTTCTGACTCGTTTCTGACCCTTCACACGAGTGCAATTCGATTTAAAAGCAAGAGCAGAAATTCCTAGGTGTACTAGTGGTAGTGGTGGTAGTGGTGGTGCAGGGTGGTGCAGTAGCAGCGGGTGTGGTGGTAGTGCTGGGGGTAGTAGCAAATCTAGTAATGAGAGTAAGGATCCATGCGTGAACGCATTCGATTTCAAATTTGGGAGCAAAATAAGCTTGTGCGGTCCGGAAACGGTCCGGAAAACTCACAGTGCACTAGCAGTAGCAGTAGCACTAGCAGTAGTGGTAGTGGAAATTGGAATAGGAGTAGGCGTAGGAGTTCTGGTAGGAGGGTGAGGGAATAGGCAAGGGAGAGAGAGAGAGAGGTTGCGATTGGAGTAGGAGTAGGAGTAGTAGTAGGAGTAGTAGTAATAGTAGCAGTAGTAGCAGTAGTAGTAGCAGTAGTAGTAGTAGCAGGAGTAGTAGTAGTAGTATTAGTAGCAATGATAAGAGCTGAGGTGGATGGGTGGATGGATGGATGGGATGCTAGGCAAGTGCTGCCTTTTTGGTGTTTCTGACCTGTTTCCGACCTGTTTTCAATTGGAGCTAGCTTGAATGTCCTTCTGACCTGAAAACATCTGCGCGGATTCCGCGCGCGCGGATTCCGCGCGGCCATGTCAATTATTGGCATGGTTCTGGTCTCGAAAGTAGTAGTAGTAGTAGTAGTAGTAGTAGTAGCAGTAGCAGTAGCAGTAGCAGTAGCAGTAGCAGTAGCAGTAGTAGTAGTAGTAGTAGTAGTCGTAGTAGTAGTCGTACTCGTACTAGTAGTAGTAGTAGTAGTAGTAGTAGTAGTAGTCATCGTAGTAGTCGTAGTCGTAGTCGTAGTCGTAGTCGTAGTCGTAGTCGTAGTCGTAGTAGTAGTAGTAGTAGTAGTAGTACTAGCAGTACTAGCAGTACTAGCAGTACTAGCAGTACTAGTAGTACTAGTAGTAGTAGTAGTAGTAGTAGTAGTAGTAGTACTAGCAGTACTAGCAGTACTAGCAGTACTAGTAGTACTAGTAGTACTAGTAGTAGTAGTAGTAGTAGTAGTAGTAGTAGTAGTAGTAGTGGTAGTAGTAGTAGTAGTAGAAGTAGTAATAGTAGTAATAGTAGTAATAGTAGTAATAGTAGTAATAGTAGTAATAGTAGTAATAGTAGTAATAGTAGTAATAGTAATAGTAGAAGTAGCAATGACAAGAGCTGAGGTGGATGGATGGATGGATGGATGGATGGATGGATGGATGCTAGGCAAGTGCTGCCTTTTTGGTGTTTCTGACCTGTTTCTGACCTTTCCCGGAATCTTCTTCAACTTCAAAAAAATCAGCACGGGCAGTCAAACTAGGAACAATTTTAGTGATCGTCAAAGTAATATCATTACTAGTGCCCCAAATACTAGTACTAGTACTAGTGCTACTAGTAGTAGTAGTAGTAGTAGTAGTAGTAGGAGGAGGAGGAGTAGAAGTAGTAATAGTAGTAATAGTAATAGTAGAAGTAGCAATGATAAGAGCTGAGGTGGATGGATGGATGGATGGATGGGATGCTAGGCAAGTGCTGCCTTTTTGGTGTTTCTGACCTGTTTCCGACCTGTTTTCAATTGGAGCTAGCTTGAATGTCCTTCTGACCTGAAAACATCTGCGCGGATTCCGCGCGCGCGGAATCCGCGCGGCCATATCAATTATTGGCATGGTTCTGGTCTCGAAAGTAGTAGTAGTAGTAGTAGTAGTAGTAGTAGTAGTCGTCGTCGTCGTACTCGTAGTAGTAGTAGTAGTAGTAGTAGTAGTAGTAGTAGTAGTAGTAGTAGTAGTAGTAATAGTAGTAGTAGTAGTAGTAGTAGGGTGCTAAGACTTCTAAATTTATTTATTTTCACATCAGGCACTTAATGAAAATATTAGTAGTTATCTTAACTTATCATAGAAGTCATTTTTACTTATTTTCACTTATTTTCACTTAATTTAGGTTAATTTTTCATTATTTTTTACTGTTTAAAATTGATAAAAGACGAAAGATGTTTCTGTCATAGGGTTTTGTAAAACATCTTTGAATTAAACAAAAATATAAGAATGTTGCGTTTTCTGTTTTTTGTTTGGATATTTTCATGGTTCCGATTTTATATATCTATGTATATATATATATTTCTGAATATTGCGATTTTTTCGAATTATCTAAATTTCCTAAATTCTCTGGATTTTCTGAAATTTTTGAATTTTCTGAATTTCAGAATTTTCATTTTTTTTTTTTTTAATTGTCTGAATTTTCTGAATTTTCAAATTTTCTGAATTTTCTGTTTTTTTTTCTAAATTTTCTGAATTTTCTGAATTTTCTAAATTTTCTGAATTTTCTGAATTTTCTGAATTTTCTGAATTTATATATATATCTGAAATTTCTGAATTTTCTGAATTTTCTGAATTTTCTGAATTTTAGATTTTTTTTATTTTCTGACTCTTCTGAATTTTTTAAATTTTCTAAATTTTCTGATTTTTTTGTTTTTTCCGACTTTTCAACATTTTCAATATTTTCTTCATTTTCTTCATTTTCTCATTTTCAAAATTTTCTGACGTATATACATTAAAAAAAATAAATTTGTTACCTTCTGTATGTTTAAGCATTATAAATTTTCTCAGTAAGTTACTTTTCTCCATTTATTTCTATTACATTTTTTTTTGAGTGGTGTGTATTGTTTCCATGTCCATCAATGTTGAAAACTGACAAAAAACATATTTTTACTTATTTTCGCTTCTTTTCCCTTATTTCAACTTATTTTTGAATAATATTCCACTATATTTACTTATATGTTCATTATTATGTTACAAGTTCACCTAAACGATTAGTGGAACTTAAAACAAAAAAATTAAAAAAAAACAATTTAAACAAGATATTAGCAAGATAATAGCAACTTATAATATACTTATAACTTCATTAAGTGCCTGATGTGAAAATAAATAAATTTAGAAGTCTTAGTGGTAGCCGTATAACCAATCGCCAACCAATCGCTCAGCCTATCGCGATGCAGGTTTTAGCAATCGCGCAAAGCAAAGTAAACGCATCAATTCATAAATTTGTGACCTGCTTTTACGGACGGCTCCCATATATATATTATTTATACTGTATATTTATGTACAATAGCACAATATTTAATAATATATATATATACTCAACTTGATGTGGCAATTTGAGCAGGTTTCAAAACCTATCATGATCTACCTAGTCTGGATTGGTTATACTAGACACTTCGGGGTTCCCGTTACAGCATCAATCACCAGTGTGTCGACTGGTCGCTGTTTCCAAGGGTAATGAGGGCCTAAAGGATCTCCCCAATTTGACATCATGTAACGAACCCTGATTATAAACCCAATTGTTTCATGGTCTATAGCCCTCCCAAAAGAGCACAGGTAAGAAACGGTTAGTTTTTGGGTTTCCCCTCTGGCAAGAAAGCCTGTATGTATATACTATATATATATATTCCATTGCTGCAACATCTAAGAACATTCCATGAATATCCCATTATATAATCCCAATCACATCCCAAGAATATCTATATCAACTTGATTACGGTAGTGTAAATATAAATGGTTATATATATATATATGTTATACATATATATATATGTTATATATATAGATATATTATATATTCTTATGTATAGTATCAATGTATTATGAATATGTTATATTCGACAGCAAATTTGACACATCTCTTTAAGGCGCCCGACTCAAATTTGGAGTGTGGATGCTTCGAGCCCTTCTTGGCCGGCGGTCGCAAGCACAAGAGCCTAGAGGAACCGTGGAACTGTGTCTCCAACTGGGAAGTTGGGGATTCATGTGTTTTTGTTCGGTGGATTTCATACATTTGTATTTTTTTTCATGATTTAACTATGACTGAAATATCAGAAGTGATGCAATCTAGTGAAGATCCAAATTGTCCATCATTTTCTATCCGGGATGATCCATTGGAACGACCCTCCCATTTGTTTAGACGGAAATGAACCACGGGATTTCAAACCGCAGTACTGTAAAGAAATATCCCACTGGTATGGGTAAGTCATCTGGCTACTAACTATCTACCTACCCGCTTCATCGATCATTCTGAGCGCCCATCATAAATCCTGATGAACCTTTGAATCGAATCAGCACAACTGAACAATCACACCAACTCGGGCATATCCCGTGTATAGGTACTCAAATAAATGGTCAAGCGGGTAAGTATAAGTATAAGTAAGCTATGCTACCAGTAAGATACATCCACAGCTCATGCGATATCCAAAACTTTCATCTTATGTAGTCTTATCATGTCTTATGTGCGTTTTGGCCATCAAACCGGTCTAGCTGGACACAGGAAAGTAGTTACGGTATGTTACAGTGACTTACAGTAGTTATGGAAAAATTACGCGATGTTCCAGCCAGGCCTGCAGAACAACACGTCAGTGCGAGGATGAATCTTATGGCAGCCAATTGGCTGCCATTACCCACTACGGTTTGGCAAGTTTTGGCTTTCCTACCCAAGTAGGGGCCTATTTATGGTCGAGATGCATCCTGACCCAAATGGAGGCTATGGATATACTAACCTTGCATATAGATACCTTCTGTCATTGGGATATACTAGCCAGCTGGAATTACGTGCATCTACCAATTTTACAAACAAGTTTTATCCGTGTCTTTCGGATACACTCTGGTAATCAAACATGGCTTGCTGGACATTCTTCCATTCAGCTCGATGATGTTCCCATTAATGATACTGGTACTACAAGGTGGTGCCCCATAGTTAGCTAAGTTGGTTTATACTATGGTTTATAAACCAACTTACAACTGGGGGGCACCACCTTGTACCACATCTACCATGTTCAAAGCTCCGATGATTTTCTGGCCGAGGATCATGTTCTCCGACTTCCTCGGCAAGCAGGGTGGATGAACATAGCTGCAACGTAGGGACGTAACATGTATTCAACAAACAAAAACAAACTCAATAAAGAACACATAAGGAAATTGACACAACCAACCAACAGACATCGACAAGTCAAAAACAAATCACATAGGTATGGGGCCCCAAAGAAACGATCTATACAGCTTCAATGGATCCAAATGGGTGGTCATTGGTGGTCGTCCACGCAAAATGCTGAAGAACTGAACCAAAGATGATTGTGATAAATCTCAATACCCAACTGAAGAAAACAATACAAAAAAAAAAACAATAGGAAATCGAGACAGGGTAAATCATGGCAAATATATGGTGCTTAAATATTGGATTCTTTTGGGCGGACTTTGTGAACACGTAGATTCTTCCGGGGCAACATGAGATTCCTGAAACGATCAAACAATTTTAATCCAATCAAGAGCAAATCTAAAGGAAACAACGTCTACTGATTACCATTATTCTGGATGATTTATATTTAATTATTATATATATATATCATTATATTTCACTAACCTGCATTAAGATAATTAAGGCCATTGTGGATAAATTCCCTTATTTACCACCACTATAGCGAGGTCGCAGTTGCACAGATTATTGGAGGAAAGTCAGCCAATAGTGCGCGTTCTACTGATTCAAGCTTCTTAACAACGAAAATAAGTTGACACGTACTTACACATACGTAAGCAATATGTATTTTTTTAATAAAACGTGCAATTCCTAATCATTACATCTTAAACATGACATGTATTGTGAGCACTCATATCTTTACGCAAACCCCAGCATAAGTTGCTTACAGATGTGTGGCTTTAGAATTAATTTCAAAACATACCTGTCTAGACCCTGAGCTTCCACATCCAAACAGGTATGTTGAGGTTTCGGTTGCCAATTTTGCTGGTTGCTTTCAGGGTTAGAACATTTGTTAATGGGTCAAAGCCTCCTTTGGAAACATCCACGAACAGGACCCATTGTGCAATTGTCTCAAGAGTTGGAACCCCATTCCACCCTTTGTTTCCGACATGTTTTCCATTAAAAGTGTCAGAACTTGCGGTCAACCCTATATTGCGACAAAGCCTAGCCCATATGGCTGATAAACATCCATCTGTGTTTGCTAAGTCCCTACCAGTTTGTTGAACGAACGCATAGATCATTGTGGAAATTTGTTCTATCCTCATTTTCTGGTTGTTCAATCCCAAATTTGCATGCTTGAAGTCCGAAAAAGATCGTCAAGCCGAGCAACAGGTCTCGATGAGCAATCCTGGGCGGCTGGGGTCATGCCTACGGATGGGCATCCCAGTTGGTATGTAGTGACTAGACACGGTCAAGCATGCAAAGCACTTTCTATGCAGACCAGTTATATAGTATTATATAAATATCAATATCAATATATATATATATCAATATATATATATATTATATGGTAGATAGCCAGGAACAAGTTGATATGGTTGATAGACAGAAACACAAATCAGTTACAAAAGCGAGGACAACCTATGTGTCTCATGGATCCTGTAACCCCTCTGCTACACGCCAGAGCCACGCTCAGCTCCACTGCATCAATTTGTTCACTCTCTTGCAAAGGAGGGCTCAAACTTTGGAGCATGAATTGAGTAAGGCAATGAGTTTGTCCTTATTAAACACACAACAACAACAACAACAAAAACAACAACAAACAACCAACAAACAACAAGCAACAAACAACAAACAACAAGCAACAAACAACAATCAACAAACAACAAACAACAACCAACAACCAACGACAACAACAACAACAACACCTAACAACACCTAACAACAACAACGACGACAACAACAACAACACCAACACCTCACAACACCTAACAACACCTAACAACAACGACAACAACAACACCTAACAACACCTAACAACACCTAACAACACCTAACTACAACGACAACAACAACAACACCTAACAACACCTAACAACACCTAACTACAACGACAACAACAACACCAACAACACCAACAACACCTAACAACAACAACAACAACAACAACAACAACAACAACAAAAACAACAACAACAACACCTAACAACACCTAACAACACCTAACAACACGTAACAACAACGACGGCGACGACAACGACGACGACGACGACGACAACAACAACAACAGTTGTAACAACACCTAACATCAACTAACAACACCTAACAACAACGACAACGACAACAACAACCACAACAACAACACCTAACAACACCTAAGAACACCTAACAACAACGACAACATCAACAACATCATCAACAACAACAACAACAATCCAAAAGCACAGCGGTTTCCGAACAAAATGTTCCCATTTCAATCTCTCCAGAAATTGTGGGACACATTTGCCTCCATGGATGGACAAACCCAATGTCTTAACCTGGTGTGTCCCGCTACATGTATAATTATATACTTATGGTATTGTAAGACAAGCAAGTGCTAAATGAAGGGTCTTATCAGCAACGAAGCTATTTCAAGGGAACAAATCAAAACATTGGGTCTGTCGAAAAAAAAATGGTATACCTCCGAACTGGCACTTCAATGGGGAACATGATGACTAACCATTGGAATTAAATTCAAGGTTACACTGCAAACAAAGCAATATTTTGACATTGATTTTCAGAGTGGGGATATTGGTTTGTCCATTGGGTACCCCTAAATTTCAACCCTCAGGATGGATACAGTAAATGTTCAACAGACTGCCATGCAACTCAAGCATCAACCAACCACTCCTCAAAATATGAACACTAGAACCTCCAACAATAGTTGGCTAAAGAATATTTTCAAGACCAGATTCCAACTGTTTTTATTATTGCCATCTTAACGATCTCCATTGCACCGTGGTTTGTTTCCCAACGCAGTCCTCGTCCCTGCTACCAAGCAGCCGGTGGTTGTGCATATAGACCACGCCCCGCAGAACTTGTTGCATGACTGTGGCAGCATCCAGCTCGTTGAGTCCACCCTCCTGCGAGGCCAGGGAAAAGCTGCCATGAATTTACTGGGTGGTTTTTAATGGGTTGAATGACGGTCTTATGGAATCTATGGTGGCATGATTTCTATATATATACGGATAGACTATTAGTGAGTTCTGTGTATGCAAATATATGCAAATATGCATATGTTGCAAACATATTATATGCATGAAAATAATTGATAATATGCATATGGGGATGCTACACCCACTAAATGGATGTTCTATACTCTCCTTGCAACCACCCGGTCATGAATTGGGGGTTGAAGACTACTTTCCAACCAAGAAACATATTTGAATGCCGGGGCCTATGCTACTAGTAGTTGATGGGATGGGAAGACCAAAGGAAATTCTTAATATTTCTTAGAAATTATTTTAGCAATGTTAGTTGTGAATCCTTTTCCTACGGAAAAATGAGTTCGCCAGTTAGCTATGGGATACCATGCGTTACATGCAGTTGCAAATCCCTTGGTGCATATTCATTATTCTTGGTGCAAGTGTTGGCTTGGAAAAATCATGGAGCACAACCATAATTCAAACTATAACGGGCTGGAACAACCCTGTATTTGGATCCATGAAATTTATTCACTATATTTCGGCTGTTCTTGGAATAGTGACCCCTTTGAAAAACCATCATTCCAGAATTCTGTTGCGACGTGTCCGTAGCCCATTAAGTTCGATGATATACCTAGCAAATGTTGATTCCACAACAAATTGTCGAATTACCGGAAGGTCACTGATGATTAAATCACCTTTGATACGACATTCCATTCCATTCTATTACCACCAAATATACCCAGTTAAATCTCCATGAATTGTTGTTTAAATCCCCGTTGGATCACAAATCATGTTGGATAAATCAAGTCAAATCCAAAATTCTAATTCTTGATGGTTAAATTACTCAACGTATCATGGAACTTTGATTTAAATCCGCATCGTTAAATATCTTTGAAATTCTGGATATCTGTGATATACACTGGATAAACTGGTTAAATCACCATGTTTGAAGTTTAAATCATCACTGCTTGATGGTTAGATCCCCAACTTCAGGTCAGCCAGCTGAACATCCATGACATGCTCTCCATGACATGCTCTTCTAGGTCGCCATCACGACACAACTCCTGACACAGCGTGGCTTTCTGGGGATTGATCATTGGAATGCGGATATCTGAGTATATAATGTTTATTATATATATATGTATACATATATATATAAACATATGCATATATGTTTATGTTGATACATTGAGATATATCATGTGATCCTTGATTATATGTATGCAAACTACGTAAAAATATGTAGGATTATGTAAGCAATGAAAGAACTGTACAACATGAGGATGAAACAAAAATAAATCATGAAACCGGACATATAAGCTGGCCAAGTCTTGTGAGTCAAGGTTTGCCGATCCACTCATCTCCTTCTAGGACGGTATTTCAAGGCACAGGTCGGAGGGATGTGAGTGGAACTCCGAAATCATACTAACTCGGAACTATATCATTGGATCCAAAAGGGAAGATAAGGGAAACATATCATGAAATGCAAACACCAAGCTACCATGATCTGCCAAATGTTTGGTTTTCCAATGTTCATGAAATTGGTGAGAAAACACATTAATACCTCCATCCTGCATGGTAAGAAGGGTTGCTTTCCGCTCACAGATAACACATGAGGCTAGCAAAAACAAAGAAAATCATGGTATCTAGATGTCTAGATGCATTATGGATGCTTCTAGCCGCAGCCACTATGTGATGTCATCCCAGTCCGCCATGCCCTGTCCATGACCATGTAAACGCACTTTTGGTCTTCAAAGACTTCAAACAACTTCACGATGCTCCTCAGCACATCAGGCTGCTGGGAATGGGGATGCATTAACACTTCTTGGTCACCAAAACTACTCATGATTTGGAATTTTGCACGATGCAAGAATAATCACAAAGTACATCATGTTTTGTTCTCCCTGTGTATAGTATAGGTTGGTATTCAGCAACCTTTTACCATATCATATATCGGGATCATCTCGGATGGAGAAAAACACCTCCGTAAAACCATCCTTCGGCCCCCCCCCCCGTGCTGTCCCGGTGTGAACATCAGCTGAGTCCCGGAGGTAATGCCAGGCCGTCAAGTGGGCAGCCACAATGTGAACATGTCATGTAAACACGTGTAAGAACAGCATATGTATGCATATGTGAAACTGAAACTTTGTGTAGGTACGCACATGTGTATACATGTGTGCATCTATGTGTATTGCTATTTGTGTTGTTACGCCTATATAAATGCTAAAACAAATGTGTACCTAAATATATATATATATACATATGTGTGTAAATGTGTGTATATACATATCTACATATGTACAATGTATGTATATGAATCATAAATATATACATATGCATGTATAAATGTGTATATACATATGTATGTATGTATATATATATATATGTGTATATAAACATGTATATAGTATAGATTTAAATTTTAGAAATGCAAGGTAATGCAATATAATAAAAGAGTGTAATATAGTGTAGTGTAATGCAAACCGCCACAACACAACACAATACAACACACGGCAACGTAACGTAACACATGAATGTGTTATGCATGTTTTATGCATGTTCGATGGGTGGTTCGTGTATGTTTTATGTATGTTTCATGTATGTTTCATGTATGTTTTATGTATATGTTATGTATGTTGTATGTATGTATGTATGTATGTATGTATGTATGTATGTGTATGTGTATGTGTATGTATGTGTATGTATGTGTATGTATGTGTATGTATGTGTATGTATGTGTATGTATGTGTATGTATGTGTATGTATGTGTATGTATGTGTATGTATGTATGTGTATGTATGTGTATGTATGTGTATGTGTATGTATGTGTATGTATGTATGTGTATGTATGTATGTGTATGTATGTATGTGTATGTATGTATGTGTATGTATGTATGTGTATGTATGTATGTGTATGTATGTATGTGTATGTATGTATGTGTATGTATGTATGTATGTATGTTGTGTGCACGGTACCTGGTACAAAACCTCATGTTTTTTATCTATGGTGATGATATACAGTGGCTCAAGAACAAATCACTACCCACCGTGTCATCATAGTCATAATCCTTGTCCAACCTGCTCACTTACAGAAAAGGTTCTCAACTCAACCATATCAACCATGATGACCCAGAGTCGTATCCAGACATCCAGCGAATCCAGCCGTATCATTTTTCACAAAGCGTCGGGTGGTCCAAAAGCTTCGCGACACGAATCTCGTCCTTCAAAAAGTCGAGGCGTGTATCTTTGTCACGACCTCGTGCGGATCGATGGAGATCTCCGCAGAGATTCAGACATCAGAAAGACTGAACAGAATGATTAACACATATAAACACTGTAATGGGGTTTGTAATGGTTTTTAAACCAACTTATAACTGGGAGGCCCCTTCCTATTATTAACGCTCTGTATCGAAATCTGATTTTAATATGTCTGGATGTGGACTGAGCGTCCTGGAATTGCTGCTGTGTGGATTTCTGAGCACACAGGGATCACCACTTTAACATGGCTTCTATCTGATAGCATCAGATATTTTGATCTATGGCCTTGTCTCAGAATGGCGGAAAGTACCCGTTGTGTTTTTTCAAACCCATGGTTTTTTAAGGACCGGCAACCACCCTTTTGTTTCAGCGGAACACATATCTTTTGCTCCGTCTTCCCCAACTTGGATTTTCTTTAAAAGCCAATAAAGTTATATTCCCTACAGATTCCCAAAATGTTGGACCACTGGGAACATGAGAAAGCAAAGCCAGTATTTGATTCGCGCCTGTTTTCGGCAGAGGTATCCGTTTCACCGCGCGAATCGCATCAGTGGCTTTGATCGTGGCCTTGAAGACCGCACCAAAGGAGCCTTCGCCTGGCCATGGCTATGCCATAATATAGCCATAGTGAGATGGAAAAACATTAAAGAGACAACGTAGACTTTGGGGTGCACTGTTTGTCAGACAATCCTATATACGCGTATGTATATATATATATACACATATATGTAACATATGCATATGTACGCACATATGTATATTACATTTATACATATTTCGAATGACGCTTTTCAAAAACGAAAGTAAGATGTGAATTGAGGAAGATTTGGATTTAATTTGACGAGCAGCGTAGTCAACAAAATGTAGCATGAAAAAAGCGCCAATCGTGGGCGACCATGGGGATTTGATCTACCGATCTGGGCTGTGTGACCACAAAAAATGTGCATTGGATGAAGCCTAGTGCATACAGCATATGTATACACACACACACATATATATATATATATATTATATGTGGCTAACCAAGAAGACAGCAAATTCAAGCAACAAATGCTGGCGAAGCATTTGTAGGGAAAAGATAACGAATATGGAACCAATGGAACCATAAAATGGGATATCCCATGATATCCCGGTTTATTGAGAAACCAATCCTTTGTGGATTCCCAGGTTTTGTTTCAGGAAACATGCTGAACAAATCTCACCGTCCCTCTGTGGCATCATCCACATGTTGTGAACGGCTACATGCAAAGACAGCACACGTGTGTACTGAGTGTAGACATGATATGTATATATATATAATGTAAATATTTAAATATCATATATATATGTAAATTATACCTAGACTTCGACATCTATAGTAACCATAGTTGTTCGTATCACGATTTTTGTCGCCCTTTATCTATCAAGGGATTCCCCATCTGGCCCCTTCTGCCTAAGGTCTTTCCCAAGTCGTAAAAATCCGAGATCTTGCCCGGGTTATCGATGTTGATACCTGGCTTGTGCGACCACGGTTGCGGTTTTTGTTTTTAGACTTTAGACTATATATATACATATATATATATCTTATATATATATATAATGAGAAAAATGAAATTATATAAATATCATGAACCAAGAAAAGACTGGGAAAGACTGCTTCCATCATCCTTCATCATCCAACAGATTTTGATCCAAATCCCCGGATGGTCAAGCCATGCCATGGCCATGCAGGTTTTTGTCACTATCCATGGTGGCTAGTGACAAACTGTTGTTTTCATATAAGTTATAAAATATTACAGTCATTGAAGTGTAATTTTAATTTATCTTGGTGAAATTTGGTAAAAGATGTAGAGTTCAAACCCGGTTGCATACACATACATCCCTTATTGGTGTTGTTCAAAAATACGGACGCTGTTTTGATTGAGTCTCCTTTTGAGAGGTATTTCAAACCCTTATCTTCCATGATTTATATTGTTTAAATACTCCGATTCTGCCATCTCTGCTGATTTATAATGAGATCTTTTGAGTACAGTAAACCATCTAAACCCATCTTTTGAGCTGAAGAGGGTGGTCTAACACAAACAATCAAAACCAGCCAGTTTTATAATAGTACGTTTTATAACACACTCATGTCATCGATCCTTGGGGATTTCTTCAGGCGCCTAAAGCTGCAGAGGTGACAACTTGACCGGCATCGTCATCGTCGCCGCCACCTTCATCGAGGGATTAATCCCCCGGGGTCTGAACCCCTTAAAAGATCTGAAAAGGTGAATTTACCAACCAAAATGAGTAATAAATAAAAAAACATAACAGAACCAAAAAGGGGGTGGTATGTATATATGTATGTATGTATGTATGTACGTATGTACGTATGTATGTATGTATGTATGTGTGTATGTATGTATGTATGTATGTGTGTATGTATGTATGTATGTTCGTATGTATGTATGTATGTATGTCTGTATGTGTGTATGTGTGTATGTGTGTATGTATGTATGTATGTATGTTTGTATGTATGTATGTATGTATGCATGTATGTATGTATGTATGTGTGTGGGCTATGTATGTATGTGTGTATGTGTGTATGTATGTATGTATGTATGTATGTATGTATGTATGTATGTATGTATGTGTGTATGTATGTATGTATGTATGGATGTATGGATGTATGTATGTATGTATGTATGTATGTATGTTTATGTATGTATGTATGTTTGTATAAAGGTATGTACGTATGTATGTATGTATGTAAGTTTATGTATGTATGTATGTATGTATGTATGTGTGTATGTATGTATGTATGTATTTATGTATGTATGTATGTATGTATGTATGTATGACTATGTATGTATGACTATGTATGTATGTATGAATGAATGTATGTATGTATGTGTGTATGCATGCATGCATGCATGCATGCACCCATGCATGCATGCATGCAATGAATGTATGTATGGTATGGTATGGTATGGTATGGTATGGTATGGTATGGTATGTATGTATGAAATGTATGTATGTATGAAATGTATGCATGTATGTATGTATGGATGTATGGATGTATGGATGTACAGATGTAGGGATGTAGGGATGTATGGATGTATGGATGTATGGATGTAGGGATGTATGGATGTACGGATGTATCGATGTATGGATGTATGGATGTATGCATGTATGCATGTATGCATGTATGCATGTATGCATGTATGCATGTATTGTATGCATGTATCCATGTATGCATGTATTGCACGCATGTATGCATGTATTGCACGCATGTATGCATGTATGCATGTATGCATGTATGCATGTATGCATGTATTGTATGCATGTATGCATGTATGCATGTATGCATGTATCATGTATGCATGTATTGTATACATGTATGTATGTATGTATGTATGTATGCATGTATGCATTTATGTATGTATGTAAGTATATATATATATACTGTATATATATAATTATACTGATAAGTATTCATTTTCCACACACATGTGGGAGTTCGGAGCTTCGATCATGTTTCACCCTCATTTCAGGTCATGGTATCCATGGATCAGCCTCAACTTTTATCAGTTTCCTGGCAAAAGTTCCATCACCTCTGTGCTGAACCGTGGCTTGCCAAGTTTGACCGGACGGTATCTTTGTTGGATAGGAGGATGAACCAAACTACTTAATGTAGACTCAGATGTTATGATTATAATGATAGAGATCCTGGGAATTTTCACTGGATAGTGTATTGTAATGGTAGTCAAGTAATATCCACTTGATCTTCATCCAGTTATCTGCAGAGACTTTCTGCACTAATGAAGAGTGGTTTTGGGCGAGATCCTGGGGCCACCGGTCCCTGCACAACTGTCATGCTGCACTTTTCGATGACATAACATGCAAGTTTATAGTATATGGCATACTATACCTTGTGTTTGTCTGTTGTTGTTGATTGCTGATGTTGCTGTTGTTGCTGTTGTTGCTGGTGTTGCTGATGTTGTTGTTGTTGTTGCTGGCTGTTGTTATTGTTGTTGATGATGTTGTTGTTGTTGCTGCTGTTGTTGTTGTTGCTGTTGTTGTTGTTGTTGTTGCTGCGGTTGTTGTTGCTGTTGTTGCTGCTGTTGCTGTTGTTGCTGTTGTTGTTGTTGTTGCTGTTGTTGCTTTTGTTGCTTTTGTTGCTGGTGCTGTTGCTGTTGCTGCTGCTGCTGGTGGTGGTGTTGGTGTTGGTGTTGTTGTTGTTGTCGTTGTCGTTGTCGTTGTTGTTGTTGTTGTTGTATCATATTGGTTTAATATCTGCATGGGCACACGTCGATATATACCATACACATACTGTGTACATACACCCCAACGTGCATGAGCTAGAAAAATACCCCTATCCCACCCAATTATACTGGTTGGTTTATAGCTTTCAGGATTGTGGGCGTTCACAACACCCAATAAGTCAGGTTCGGTATTTTATACCCTCTATGCCTATAACTGCCAATCAATAATGATTTTCTGTTCGGTTTTTCACACCTCCACAATCCACCACAAAGTGTTAGGGAAGAAACAGGCACCACCTATGGCTGCCGGCCGATCTGATCCCCCAAATTATGACTGGATTACGGATGATCGTCCCGCACTGTTGGAGTAGTTTCAACCACATTCACAACAAGCGAAGTCCAAGAAAACTAGAGGCACATTGTCTGAGAGTAGGGTACTCTAATTTCAATGGAATGTGACCATTTTCCCTGAAATTGCAATGTTTGGGTACCTCCCGTATTGAAATTGTCCAGGAGCAACGGCTAAAAGCCACCAACCACGCCTCCTAAAACTACGCCTTTGGCCTCCTGGGAGACGCTGGATGCCAAATAAAAACTGCCTACTACTACCTACAAGTACCTGGTGGTTTCAGGTTTCAACCCATCTGAGAAATATGAATTGGTTGAAATCATCATCGCCAATCGCGTTAAGAATCGCACGGACATTTAAAAACATGCCATCGAAATGCTTTGAGTGAGAATCCTCTTATTTTACATGAGTAGATTCAAAATCCAGGAATGCCTGAATGCCTATCCTGAAATAATGCCAGTGGATGCTCCACTTTGTGAAGTTCAACGTGAGTTCACCAAGCCCGTTGCCCATACAGAATATGTCGTAAGATGGTCCGCTAATAAATAGATGGGTAAACATCTAGCAACCCCAAAGCAATGGAACAAGCAAATGTCAGTCCTAAATAGTGGCAAATTAGGTTTCATTTTGTTGACAATGGTTGTCACTGGTTAAGAATATATGCACCATTGGATCAATTTGGATCATATGTGACAATATTTCTATAATATAATTCTGACAATTAAGACATAGACAATGAGGTTTCTATCTTTTTGGGGATTGGGTCATGTACGTCATATACTCAACCTCTAAACAAGGTGAGGTCCCTGTCCCTCTGGGCCCTCTGGGCCCTCTGGGCCCTCTGGGCCCTCTGGGCCCTCTGGGCCCTCTGGGCCCTCTGGGCCCTCTGGGCCCTCTGGGCCCTCTGGGCCCTCTGGGCCCTCTGGGCCCTCTGGGCCCTCTGGGGCGCGGGCAGGTCGTGTTTTTTTCTTACTGTTCAAGTAACCTGGGCGATGGAGGACAGGGGATGGGTCCTCCAACCTGCCATATGGGGGATGAACATTCAGAAATCACAGCTATTGCCAGAGGTTCAGTGACCAGGGTGACCCATAGCCACTTCTGCTACAAAAAACAAAGCCGTGCCGAGAACCTTCATAGATTCAAAGGTCGCAAGGTGTGCTTTACACGCGGCTTACACGTTGCTTACGCCGCTTGGGATTCTCATGGAGTGTCCTTTTACGGGGATATTGGCTTATGCAAGGCTCAAGCAGCACTTTCGCGACGGTGGTTTTGGCCTACGCACTGACCGCCCGGTTACTTACCAATACATAAGGGGTTTATAGCGTGGCTCCAATTGGAACTTGAACGCAAAAAATGCGGGCATACCTGCCACAACTGGCATTGCACTCCACGAAACTGACATGGCGGGAAATCGACCTATATCATTTGAACTGCATCCTTCACATCCATGTGGGTATGTGTTCTAGCTAGACAATTTATCCTATTTCGACCACTTGAAATCTTCAGCTTTGCCAGGATCAATCCTCCCTCTATTTGCCAACATGTCTTGCTGGCATTTTGGGCCTATTCATGGTCCGTACAGGCCCATACAAATATGATGCAGCTCATGTGTGTAGACAAAGTATTAATACAAAAACATTTATATATTATATTGTAAACCAAGGTGAGTAACGAGTGAGAATGACTGTACATCGATATATATATATATATGTATATATATATATGTACATACATATGTATATATATATATACATGATGTATAGTCTATGTATGTATGAACTGCGATCAAAAGTCATTGTGTTCCCCTGGTCAAAAAACAAACAGCATGGTATTGCATTCTTTATTTTGGGTGAGTTTTTTTTTGGGGTGTCTATTGTTGTATACTGTATGATATTGTACCTATAAAGACGATGGAGGAAAATATATGAACAAAACAGTGCAAGGAAAAGAAGCGGAAAAGGAAAAAGGAAAGGAAGAGTAGAGGAAGAACAAAGACAGAGGAAAGGATAAGAAAAGAAAGAGGAAATAAAAGAGGATACAAAGAGGAAAGAAGGAGGAAGAAGGAGGACGAAGGAGGAAGGAGGAAGAAGGAGGAAGAAGGAGGAAGAAGGAGGAAGGAGGAAGAAGGAGGAAGAAGGAGGAAGAAGGAGGAAGAAGGAGGAAGAAGGAGGAAGAAGGAGGAAGAAGGAGGAAGAAGGAGGAAGAAGTAGAAAGAAGTAGAAAGAAGGAGGAAGAAGGAGGAAGAAGGAGGAAGAAGGAGGAAGGAGGAAGAAGGAGGAAGGAGGAAGAAGGAGGAAGGAGGAAGAAGGAGGAAGGAGGAAGAAGGAGGAAGGGAGGAAGAAGGAGGAAGAAGGAGGAAGGACGAAGAAGGAGGAAGAAGGAGGAAACAGCACCTCTCCTTCCGGAAGAGGAAAGGAATATGAAAGGAACGGTTTAAAGGGTCTATCTGTGGCATGGGGCTTGTTGAACAAACGGGTATTGCTAAGGTATTGCTTGGAGTATCGCTAACTTTGCCTCTTGCATGTTCGCAACTTTGTGGAAATCAACTTCAGGTGTGGATATAATGTACAATTATAGGTCTCGCTTTTGGGGAGAGAGCTATCGCTACGCAGTGTTTGGTGCACTTTCCAGACACTCAAGCACTCCCTATACTAAAATGACCTACAGTACCAGAACTGTGTCTGACATATATATATATATATATATATATATACATGTACGTACGTACGAGGTACATGCATACATATACATGTATATATATATATATATATAAATATGTATTTTTATATATGGATAATACATAGACTGATCATATTACTAAGCAGTATACGAAGAACTTGAAAAAAACGTGAAATCCAGAGCTCCATCATATCCAAGACACGCCGACTGCAGGTCGATCTTGGGGAGACGTTGGAGCTCTCCGTGTCGGGTTCTCAGGCGAATTCGGACTAGAGAATGATGTTCTCATTATAGCAACCCTATAACTAGATTAGATAGAAAAGTTAGACACTTGGACAAATATTGGAAAATGACATCTATAACTCTATAACATCTTGAAAAACACTTTTTCTATCTTTTTGGAAGTAGCCGTACAGGTTGTGGATACCTATGGACAATGACAATAATAGTACTACAGTACTACTACTCATAATAATGATAGTAAAAGAAACATATGTAATATTATGTAATAATAGTGAACATCTATGTATATATATATATATATACAGACGTAAACATTTGGATTGTATGTGGACAACGCCTTCCATGCTATAGTAGTAAAACCGTAACATATCATGACAAAAGAAGTTGCAAAGTACAGAGGTCCCACAAAGATACAAAACATATTCTCTACTGTGTGGTTGTAGACTAGTATGTTAACCTAGTTTATGTCTTCGGTTTCAAGATCACTGACTAAATACACCCAAACCCAGCAACCAAAACATTCTCTATGGGCCTTGGTCTTGGCAAGTCTCGGGATTTTTAAGACTGGCAAAGCCCAAAACAAAGCGTTTCCACTGTGCAATTCTATTGGATTGTCAATATCAAGAAACACTGGCTGGTGGTATACCTACCCCTCTGAAAAATATGACTTCGTCAGTTGGGATGATGAAATTCCAACTATATATATATGGAAAGTCATAAAATTCCATGGTTCCAAACCACCCACCAGAAACCCATCGTTGATCGAATCCCGATGTCTGTTCGATCCCCCGATCGAAAAATTGCTGACGGCTTCAACCGTTACGAGTTGATTGGGCGAATCATTCCGTTCGTTGCGTTGAAAAAAACATGTCACATCAAAATAGAGGTTTCCTGAAAATGGGGTACGCCCCAAATCATCCATTTTAAGAGGAATTTCCAGTATAAACCATGCAGCTGTTGGGGTACCCGGGTACCCCCCCCATTTTAGGGAGCCCCCCAAATGATACAACATCATTTTTCAGATCACCAACAAGTGGTTGATATAGGTAAAGCAGTCACAGCCCATGCCCCTTCCAAGTGGCCCTGGTCGATGCAAACGTCACCTGGAGAATGCATGCGACGGGGTAGTGATGTTCAGAGACCGATGGAATCACAGATTTTGTCCCTTAACAGATATAAATTGGATGATAACTCCTGCAACTAAGGTGATGTATAATTAACTTAAACGCGGTTCAAAGCCAGTTATAACTCTTAAGGGCTTTAACTGTAGTCCATAGCTTTGGGGTATGTTTTTGGAGTAAACTGTTTTTTCCTGGCAAAAAACAAACTATGACCAGGATGCCATCCAATGGAAAATCGCCCTGTTGCGGAAACCAGGCTGTAGCGACCATCAAACGTAGCCGGACACTGTTTTCATCCGTCTATTCAAAAAAAAACATCAAATGGAGGTTTCCTGAAATAGGGGTACCCCTAAATCACCAATTTTAATGTTTTTTTTCTAATTATAAACCATCCATTTTGGGGTACCCCCATTTACAGAAACCCCCCAAAGTGTCTGATGATGATATGATATACCGTATGATATACCCGACCAAAAAAAAACATGCCAATGATCTGGCAGATGTTTAAAAGTCAGCAATCCACAGCTGAAGCAATCTACAAATCGGGGATGAAAAACTTCACATTCTTGGGATTTAACCCGCGATTCCATGGTGGATGAAAATAGCCATGATATTGGGATACCATTAAGGATACCAGCGGAATATATAAACTTAGATGACCCTTGAAGTCAGTGAACTGATAAGTTTATGCCCCCAAACAGAACTGGGGATAGTTCAGTGGTTATAATCCGCATACTAACAACTTACAGTGTATGTATATATATATATAACTAACTAACAAACAAACTAACTAACTCCATGCGCCATTTAAATATGGACATGCCATTTAAATATGGACGTGTGTTGAGGATACTAATAAACAACAAAAACAATCTGGATAGTTTTTGTAGCAAGACGGCAAAACATCTATTTTAGGATTAAGCCAATACACCCAAAACATACCCAGTATCATAGTCGGTAACATCGCCGGTTTTTGTTCTGTTTTTGGATTCAAACAGTAAAACAAATTACCTTAACCCACCAAACACATCACCATTATATCACCATGACCTCATCATCAACCAACCATCCATTCATCAACTAGGTCACCATATATGTTGCATCGTTGCAACTCCCTAAATGGTTCTCACTCCTCACTATTTCGGTTTGTTTGAAAATAGAATGCCCAAAATTTGATGGTGAATCATCATGTTCACCATTAACAAAATCAATCTTGGAGGGTATATCCTATTTTCACTTAGCTAAGTTGGTTTAGACACCCCATTCACTGTAGTTATATTTACCGGAATCCCCATAGTGAATTTGCACGAGTATAAATCGAGTTGAAATCCCATTTGCTTGACTCAATCCCCATGTTCCTCCATTTTTGCTGGCTACATTCCCCATTTGGGGATGTGTCAAAAAATCAAAATCTATTAAAAACCATATTTGTGGGAATAGTATGGAATAACCATCCATTAACCCGCTAGTTTCGGGTGCTGTTTGGGTACCAGCGTTTTGACTCGAAAGCCGCCGGGAGACTGACGCTTCGAATGGACGAGCGATCGCTGGAATTCTCCTGGCCTTCAATGACCTGAACAGTGCAGGGTGCCGTGCTGTGCTGGAGGGATGGCAAGGAAGTAAGGTGGATCTATAAACAGTATGCACTAAATACCCTGTATATAAGTATAATATATATATATATATATGTAGTGAATATTAATAATATGTAAATACTGTATATATATATCATAAAATATTTTTATTCATATGTCATGTATGTAAATAACTATACATGCATATATCCATATACATATATATATATATATTTGCATGTGTTCATTAATAATGATTGTATACATAGTTTACATGCAAAGTCATGTATACATATATATATATATACATATATTCAATATATTTCAATATCACACAAGTATGACACAAAATTTCAGGATATGATTCGATATAAACCCCGTCCCTATTACTAAACGTACTGCAAATACTAGATGCTAGGGTCCATTCCCAATTTTGGGGAATTTCAAGTTGGTCAATTTAAACTGCCATTGATCCCCTTTGGAAAACAATTTTAAAATCCAGGTCACATGTTGCGGTTTCAACCCTGCACTACTTGGTTGGGAGCGTGCCTGACAATAAAACTAGTTTCTTTGATTAAAGTGTTGATCTGTTTTTTCCGGGGACAGCATCGAAATCTACTTTTCGGCTATATATTTGACTATAAAATGACACATGTTTGTTTCTTTTACTAAGGCTTTGGTTTCCGTATGAGGGGAAGCTGTGAAATCCAAGTTTTTGTATATAATGTGATTTCATTTGAATTATCCCGGCAAGAGACCCCAAACAGTGTGGGGGGAGTAAAAAGATCAGGTATTATAATGTTGATGATGATATTGATGTTGATGAAGGTGTTGATGCTGATGATGATGATGATGCGATGGTGATGATGATGATGATGAGATGGTGATGATGATGATAATGAGGAGGAGGAAGATGAACATGAGGATGATGTTGATGACGATGATGATGATGATGGTGATGATGATGCTGCTGCTGCTGATGATGATGATGATGATGGGGCCAGCATTTTGTACAACCTGGGCAATCGAAATTCACATGGACATGTCACAAGAGGCACTTTGTGCGGAAATTTACAGGGAAAATGCCGGACGCTTCCGATACCACCTCGATTGAACACCGGCCCTTAACCGTTACCGTAAAAACCTCGCAGTGTGGCCACACTGCTTGGGGAAAAATGAATTTGATCGATCTTGATATGGACAATTATAGTTATAAATATTCTTAAATTAAGGATTGAGTTCATCATTATGGGAAAGCTTCGAAGCCCAATTATGGAAAACTAGGAATTATAATTCTTCAAAGGGAGTTTGACCGATTCTGACATGAAAGTTGTAAGTTAGTTGTTGCTATATCATTATATACATGTACTATGTTTCATGTCTTGATGCTACTATTAGCGGAAGCTTTGATATCCAAAGTTTGGCAATATGTTAGTTTTACTTCAATTAAGGGAGTTGATCGAGTTTACAATGTATTTTTTCAATAAAGGCTTTAATCTGATTATTAGGGGGAAGCTTTGCACCCCAATACTAAATACACCCAAATACTAAAAACTACTCCACATGATTTTTTCCCCGCCTGATAGGTGAGGGTCTCTGGATTTTAGCAGAGGTGTGCCTCATTCACTCCTTCCCTCCTCCTCTCCTTCTCTCCTTCTCTACTCCTCTGCCAGCTCATTGTGACTGTGGAGCATGCCTGGACCCGCGCCATATCGTAAGCTCCGGGCGCAGTGGAGTACTCCTGGAGCCGATGCAGTGGAGCACGCCTGGGACCCGAACAGATGCCAGAAAGGATGCCAGAATATATGCCAAAGGGAATGTCAGAAAGAATGCCAGATCGAATTGCAGCATAGAAGTCAGATAGAATAATGAATGCCAGATAGATTGCCAGAATATATATCAGATAGAATGCCAGAAAGAATGCCAGATAGAATACCAGAATATATATGGGTATGTCTCAAAATAACGTGTCCAAGCCGGGAAGTTTGACTAGGGGGTATGATTCGTGGGTATGATTCGGGGTATGATTCGTGGGTATGATTCGCCGACCTTGATTTAGTGTTTCCCTGCATCCTCCGCGTATGGTTATTTACCCACACTACAAATGTTTCAACTGTTGGCAATTATACCATGCGTGGAGCGCTTTGGAGCTGGCATGCTGTTGACGCTGTGCGTGCTGCTGTCAGAGTGGTGTGTGCGCTTTGGAGCGGGCATCGTGGTGCCGTTGGAATGCCGCTGCAAGGTGCTGGTGCAGGGTGTTGCTTGCTGTCAAAGTGGTGTGTACAGTTTGGAGCGATGCTGGTGGTGCTCAGGGTGCTGCTGCAGGTGCTGCCTGAGGGTGATGATTGAAGGTGCTGCTGTCAGAGTGGTGTGTGCTGTAAACCCTGCTTTGGAGCGGGCATGCTGGTGAGCGGATGCGGGTGGAAGGTGCTGCTTGAGGGTGCTGTCGAGCTAGCCTGCTGGTGCTGCTGCAAGGGGTGATGCTTCAGGGTGCTGCAAGGACGGTACGTACTGTACCCAACTCGTGCTGCAAGGGTGCTAGTGAAGGGTGCTGCTGCACGCTGCAGGGTGCTGTTGTCGGATTTTTCTCAGAAGCAGCAGGAGGCGTAGTGTAGCCCGTGGCGAATGGTTGCAATGCAAAGAAAAGAGCTCACAAAACACAAGTTCTGATCTTGCAAATGTACCAAGGTTCAGAATTGGGAAGTTTGAGGTATGATTCGGGTATGATTCGGGCATGATTCGGGGTATGATTCGGAAACCCATCTTTTTTGGAATTCAGGAAGCTTTGTTGCTTGAGTTTCTTTTTCCCACCGTCAACCTACTACGATTGCTACTTTGTCAATGGCTGCAATGGCTCGACCTGCCAGACGACCTTGGACAGGACCTGAACATGAAGAATGTGAAGATCTCAATGCACATCACATCTATGATTTATATCCGCCGGCCTGCCGGCGTCTCTTCTGGATGTTCTTCTCATGTACCTTTAGCTCAGCTACGCTTAGGCTTATGTTCCTCTTCGACGGAGTTTTGGTTTGGTTGCCAGCCAGCCAGCCAGCCGCAGCCAGAGTCATCCCCCTCATCAGCCTCATCAGCAACACAGCAAGCAACTAGCCACGCAGCCAGCCAGCTGCAACTAGCCAGCCCTACAGCCAGCCACCCAACCAGCAGCAGCAACTGAGCCAGCCACCTAGCCAGCCAGCCAGCCAGCCAGCCAGCCAGCCTCCCAGAGCCAGCCAGCTTAGGGGTAGTGATGAGACTCTGCGCGCGTGGAGAAGATTCGCCACTCCGTGAAGGTATGTGAAGGTAGCCAGGGATCATCGGGTCTGGCCAACACTGGTCAATTAGCTTGTCAGGTCCATTATAACTAGTGAGGCCAATGCAATCCCAAACGATCCCAAAAGAAACATTCATAATCGTGATTTTTTGGGGTATGATTTTTTGGGGTATGATTCGGGGGTATGATTCGGGGGTATGATTCGGGGTATGATTCGGGGGTATGATTCGCACAGATCGAACTTCCTGCCTTTACTAAAAACTACACGCGTTAAAAAAATACACAGCCATATATATATAATTATATATATATGTATGTCAGATAGAATGCCAGAAAGAATGCCAAATAGAACTTCAAAATATATGTTAGACAGAATGCCAAATAGAACGTCAGAATATATGTCAGATAGGATGCGAGAAATAATGCCAGATAGGAGTCTGAATATATGTCAGGTAGAATGTCACTTGGTGGGGGTGGGGATCACTCGAAGAATCTTTTTTTGGGGGTCGTTTAGTAATAAGGGTAAGACGTTTATTTATTATACATGTTGTGATATGAGATGATATGATGTGACTTTCAGAATATAAATATATATATATATAGAGCCAGTAATGTATAGACATGTATACTCCACAAGGTGAGATACAGATGGACTTTGGAGATACATCCAAGAAAAAATGGCGTAGTGGATTCCCAGTCGGATCATTACAAGGTGGGGCCATGTGAGGGCCCGCTAGATAGCAAAGTGGGCTTTAAATTCATTACTATAACTCACTACTATAGCTATTTATCTATCTATCTATCTACCTATCTATTGATGTATGTATGCATGCATGTATGTATGTATGTATGAATGAATGTATGTATGTATGCGTGTAAGTAAGAAAGAAAGAAAGCAAGTAAGTAAGTAATTAAGAACGTAAGTAAGGAAGTAAGAAAGTAAGTAAGATAATAAGTAAGTAAGAAAGTAAGTAAGTAAGTAAGTGTATGTATGTATGTAAGTAAGTATGTATGTATGTATGTGTATGTATGTATGTATGTATGTATGTATGTGTGCATGTATGCATGCATGCATGCATGTATGTGTGTGTATGTATGCATGCATGCATGTATGTATGCATGCATGTATGTATGCATGTATGTATATCTATGTATATGTATGTATATGTATGTGTATGTATGTGTATGTATATGTATGTATATGTATGTATATGTATGTGTAAGTATGTATATATGTAAATGTATGTATATATATATATATAAAAATGTATATGTATGTATATGTATGTATATGTATATGTAAATGTGTATATGAAAATGTGTATATGTAAATGTGTATATGTAAATGTGTATATGTATGTATATGTAGGTATATGTAGGTATATGTATGTATATCTATGTATATGTATGTATATGTATGTGTATGTATGTGTATGTATATGTATGTATATGTATGTGTAAGTGTATATATATATATATATGTGAATGTATGTATATATATGTATATGTATGTATATGTATGTATATGTATGTATATGTATGTATATGTATGTATATGTATGTATATGTATGTATATGTATGTACATCTATGTATATGTATGTATATGTATGTATATGTATGTAAATGTATGTATATGTATGTATATGTATGTATATGTATGTATATGTATGTATATGTATGTATATGTATGTATATGTATGTATATGTATGTATATGTATGTATGTATGTATGTATGTATGTGTGTGTGCGCGTATGTATGTGTATATGTGTATGTGTATATGTGTATGTGTATATGTGTGTGCGCGTATGTATGTGTATGTGTGTATGTGTATATGAATGTGTACATGTGTATGTGTATATGTATTTGTATATGTATGTGTAAATGTGTGTATGTATGTCTGTCTGTCTGTCTGTGTGTATGTATGTATGTATGTATGTATGTATGTATGTATGTATGTATGTATATGTATGTATGTATATGTATGTATGTGTATGTATATGTATGTATATGTACGTATATGTATGTATATGTATGTATATGTATGTATGTATGTATGTGTGTGTGCGCGTATGTATGTGTATATGTGTATGTGTATATGTGTATGTGTATATGTGTATGTGTGTGTATGTGTATGTGTATGTGTATGTTTGTATGTATGTTTGTATGTATGTTTGTATGTATGTATATGTATGTGTATGTGTATGTGTGTGTATGTGTATGTGTATGTGTATGTGTATGTGTATGTGTATGTGTATGTGTATGTATGTATGTATGCATGCATGTATGTATGTATGTATATGTATATGTATAGAATTCTTAGGTTATGGTAAATTAAATTATAGGGAATTGACAAAACTGGAAATAAGGCTATATTGAGATAGTAATCCCTACTAAGCATCATTTCAGTGACGTTGCAGTGAGGTCGTTGTAATTTACCTTATAACTAAGATTACAGTAAATTTCAAACTCAATCAATTGCTACCCCTGGCGACTCCATGGAGATTTCTACTTCACAGTCTGGAGTAGATAGAAGTACCTTCGGAGCATGATAAACATATAATCAACATGAACCAACTAACAATTGAATCCTGGCATTTCTTTCGGAGAAGTCAAGCAATAAAAACAATTTCTGTTTGGAATGAATCACAAAACGTGATTGAATCGCCAACCAAACTACCCGTCGCGATACTGTACCATGTTCACTCCTTTTTCATCCAAGTGCTCTATGTATTGGTGTTGTTTGTGTTTTAACGTACACACCTGGATGTAAATTCTGGTATGAATATATATATAGATAGATAGATAGATAGATAGATAGATACAGTATGTATAAGCTCTGCTGGTTGATGTGAGTCAAGTCATTGGGTACTCCCAAAAAGCTAAAAACATGTTTTACTGTACCAATAGAATCGACGAACATGTGTTGTTCTGCGGGTCAACAGCAAACCATCCACATCCCCAATTTGGCTCCCGAAGATGACCAGCCAATCGTCCACGACTTTGGGTGGGTATATGGTCAACATCAATCTGGTCGATTCTGCGCGGTCTATCATAATTCATATCCATAACCTTTGTCGGTTTCACCTTCCAACATGTGGTTCACTTTGGTACAGAAATGGTCTCCTGCAAATGTTGGCTACTTACCGGTGTTCTTGGGACACTTCACGGTTTCACAGCAGAAAGTCCCATTCGTTTCTGGCACTGTGCCATCCCCCGATTTTATGAAAACCGCTGGTTGATCATTGCAGGGGTACCATTGGGGGCAAGGAACGGAACGACGTACTACACTACAGTGCTTGGATGTGCCAGTTCTTGGATAATAACATGCACCAACTATTATATGATATAAGCATCCTCCTTCCCATTCCCTGGGGGGGGTTGGGGGGCCCCATTTTTTTGTAGTGAACCAACCCCTGTCTCTACAAAATGGTTCTGGTACACAGTCTCCATCCTACAAGATGGTCTGTCTATAACCCATGGCTCTACAAAATGGTAGTGCCTGTCACCTGTTTTGATCCACAAATATTTTGACAATTTAGTCAAAAAATGATCAAACCAGTGCATTCATGATTTTATAAAACATATAAAAATCCCAGAGCCATTTTGTAGAGCCTCTATCTTGTCAAGACCTCAGCGTCAACTGCCTTTTTCCCAGTGCCATTTTGTAGGGTTTTTACCCTCTAGGCGTCTTCACTCCTCCTTTTCGGAGGTGGATCCATTTTTTTTCATGCAACTTTTGCAGCGTGAATATTTTTTCTATTTTTTTTGCCAACAATGTGCTGGCAATCCTTCTGAAGATGGAAACTTTTTCCGGTTCCAGTATGTTCCGGTCACAAAAACGGTCCCAGAGCAAAAACGAAGATCAGGAGAAGAATGCTATTTTGACACAGATCTTCCAGGGAACAATCGGTATCGAAGTTTGGATAAGGCTGAAGAATCCGAGAAGATCCAGAAGGATCCAGAAGGAACAAATTCAATCACAATTCTTTGCCACTGCTCTTTTCAACACAATCATAAAAACAGGGTCTATCTTCAGACCTACACCAGTCTACAAAATGGTCGACTCTAGGCGGCAGGCCTAACCATTTTCTAGAAAAAACATACCCCATGGGTTATCGACAGACCATTTTGTAGGATGGAGACTGTGTACTGGAGCCATTTTGCAGAGAAAAGGGGTGGTTCACTACAAAATGCTCCCCCCCCAACCTCACCCATGAAATGGCAAGGGGTATTTTGAAAGTATTTGGGGTCTAGGGGTTTCTTGTCATATGTTCCATCAGGTTGTAAACACAAATATGACAAATATGCACTTACAAAATGGTACATTTATTGAAACGATGGTTTCTCTACTGAATGGCTAGCTGATTTTTCTTTGTCAATGAATAACTCACATTTTTTAAAAGCACCAAATCATACCCTTAAAAACATCTACAAAATGGCTTTTTGTTTGTTACAAAATGGTTTGTCTTCGTGCCCATAAATGATCATGCCTTCAAAATAAGAATTATAAAACCATGTGAAACCCACAAATTACTACAAAATGGCATGCTCGACCCCATATAATGCCAACACTTCCCATAAAATTATGCCATATAGGCACCCCAACCCCCCTCGATCTGTGGAGGAAATGGCAAGGGGGATATATAAGCCATTTTGACATGGAATATCCCTAGTTAAATATGGATGACGAGCATCTTATTAGCAACTTCTGATTCGTGGCATTTAATCAACCAGTGCAAACAGGGAAGACACATCATTTTGGGATTGCCATTTGCCATTTGCCGTGCCAAGATGCCACATCTTCTTCCAGATTCACATTTTCGGTGGGGCCGATCTCGTCAAAACCTGAAATCGAGATCTCGGGACAATGGGCCATTGGTGTGGTCGGAAAATGACCAGCTGCTGCTTCTGGTAGACGTTCAACATGTGAAATGTTGACATTGGAATAAATAATGGATAATCCCATGAAAATGATGGTTTCCAAAGCTCAATATTGAGCCATATTGGTCGGTCCTTCTCATTTATAAGGGTTTGGATGAATACGCAATTGTGTGACGCCTCCCAGCCTGGTGGTTTCCTCAAATTTCTCAGATCCCCAATAGCTGGATGGAGTATAGTGGAGAATCCCATGAAAATGGATGATTTGGGGATACCCCATTTTACAAAACCCCCAAACATGGCCTTTCATTTTTTGTTCGACCCTTCCCCCCAAAGAAATGACCAAATAAAAGGGCTTGGGAAGTGCGAAGGACTACACAGGTCTAGTTCAGGGAAAGTCTGGACTGAGGGGTTGTCACATTTCAGCACTCAAAGATGGGGATCCTTTCAGTAATGATCAACCAGTCCAGAGTCGGAAAAACTGAGCATGTGGATAAATAGTCTACGATCAAACCATTGAAGTTGGGGAATACTCTCCAAATGCCTACTTCAAGATATTCAGGTATATCTATCTTCCCGCATTGTTCCTGGTGATCTACACATGTTTCTTGGCAATAGAGCGCTTGTAATTTGTTGCTGGGGCAATTCAGAGGAGCGATTGTGTGCTCGCAAACCATTTCTGGAGGCTTCCCAACCCATTCACTTGCCAATATATCATGTGCTAGGGTGAAAAAAACTAGACGACGGATGGCCCGAGAGCGTAGAGGAGCAGGGTCTTCTCTTGTTAGTATGGAGACGCAATTTTAGAAACGATGTATGAAAGATGTGTTATAGGCAGTCGAGAAGAGGAGTATCAAGACCAAATAGTGAGAAGCTTTTACACACAGTAGCTTTTACACAGACACTTTTACACAGAAAGCTTTTACCCACAGAAGCTTTTACATACAGAAGCTTTTACACAGACACGTTTACACACAGATACGTTTACACACAGACACTTTTACACACAGACCCTTTTACACACAGGAGTTGCTTTTACACACAAATGCTTGTACACACAGAAGCTTTTACACATAGACGCTTTTACACACAGGCACTTTTACACACAAACACTTTTACACAGAAACACTTTTACACACAGACGCTTTTACACGCAGACGCTTTTACACACAGAAGCTTTTACACACAAAAGTTTTTACACACAGAAGCTTTTACACACAAAAGCTTTTACACACAGAAGCTTTTACACAGACGCTTTTACACACATACGCTTTTACACACAGACGGTTTTACACACAGACGGTTTTACACACAGACACGTTTACACACAGACACTTTTACACACAGACCCTTTTACACACAGGAGCTGCTTTTACACACAAACGGCTTGTACACACAGAAGCTTTTACACATAGACGCTTTTACACACAGGCATTTTTACACACAAACACATTTACACACAAACACTTTTACACATGTGCTTTGGGGCTCCCCAACCAAGGTGTTTTGCCTTCCCTGAAAAAAAGCATAAACGGGCGGACCTGGCAGGCGGCGAACGTTTCTGGGCTGGGACACACACAGTATTACAATATGACATAAGTTGGTTCTTGTTGGGTTTAGCGTCCTGACCCCTGACTGTGACTGGAATTGAAACTCTTATCTTAACACTCATACATCCATCTCTATATATTAACACTCATACATCCATCTCTATTTCATATTGCTATTCCTATCTCAATATATAATATATCGATTTGTCTCTTCGTGGTAGCAGCCTGCCTATCCATGTAATCCATTCTACCCAGGGCCCTGACTCCATGCAAACCTAGCTGCACAGACCAACAACTATATGCGCAAAAGGAATGGGCAGCTTTATTCATCTTCGATAGAGTCTCAGCCCGTTCTGCTTGACTCACGCGGATGCACTATGGTGAGACAGGGTGTGCTATGGTGAAACTGAATGTCTCAAGCAAAGATGCGTGCATCAGCGAGTCTCAGACAGTTCTGGTTGACTCATGCTGATGCACTTCATTTTCAAATTCAATTGACATCAGTGGCTACCGCGGTTGATCTTTATCTGGGCACCTCCACGGACACGACCTTAGGTCCAGCATCTCTGTGAACGCAGCAAGATCTTCCACATTGCATCACAAGTGGTGTTGAAGATACCCCGACTACTGCCGGTTGGGATCTCAATCTCGACAAACGTAAAACTATGCCTTGCATTAAAAGAGTGAACGACCTTTCAAGTCCTCTGCTCCATTCATCCGCGCGCCTGTAATCACGGTCACATAGCTGACGCCATCTGAGGACATAGGACATTCCTTGAAAAGACATAGGTCGCATTATGCAAAGAGGTTTGAGTGGAAGGGCAAAAAATAGAAGGGTAAAATCCAACTACCATGCTATATAATATGAACAGGTACTACCATGCCTCGATCTGCCAAATTCGTATCCTGTCTCATGAGGGCGGTGTGCTTTGGGGCCCCCAACCAAGGTGGTTTGCCATCTCCCCAAAAAGAAGCATAAACGGGCGGACCTGGCAGGCGGCGAACGTTTCTGGGCTGGGAGAAGCACAGTATTACAATATGATATAATGGGATGGCTTTTGTGCTCCTTTCCATCTGGTTTTTGGGTTTAGGGTCCATGTGACTTGAATTGAAAGTCTTTTCTTAACATTCATACATCCATCTCTATATATATATATATATTACCACTTATACATCCAAATTCCATCTCATAACTTTATTTCTATCTCAATATATAATGTATCGATTTGTTTCTTTGTGGTAGCAGCCTATCCATGTAATCCATCCCATCCCGGGGCCCTGACTCGATGCAAACCTAGCTGCAGAGTCCAACAGTGCGGACCTGCAAAGCATTCAAGGACTATGACGAATGACTGCGACAAATCAATTTCAGTGATGTTCAGGCACAACTATATGCGCAAAAGGAATTAGCAACTTTATTGATCTTACTACCACTGCCTCGATCCGCCAAATTCGTATCCTGTCTCATGAGGGCGGTGTGCTTTGGGCCCCCCCAAGCAAGGTGGTTCTGGCAGGCGGCGGACATTGCTGGCCCCCTCAGCATTTCGACGGAGGGGTGAAGTTCGTACCATGTATTTGTACTTTGTATTGCTCAGACAGTTCTGGTTGCAATACAAGAATCAAAGTTAAACATCAAATAACTAAGCTGCTCACTAAGGTGTTGAGAAGACAAAGAACCGACCTGGCCCCCCGCCAGGGTGGGGGAACCATCCTATCCCCTGAAAGTCTTATAGGAGCAGGCCATAATTATATACCTATTATCAAAGTCTGAAGCTAAGGCCTAAGGCTGTTAATCTGAATATTGTAGAGATCTAAGACGACGACTCGACTATGTGCATCTCATCACAATACGTGACCAAGTGTGTAATGTCATGGCGAGCCTAACTAAAACTTGTGTCAGTCCCGATATTGTCCTGCAGAACCTTGAAGCGATCACTGCCCGCAGACTATCGCAGCTGTTGCATGCCATTCAGCATGGTCGAGTCCACTGGCACTGTGCTGCAAAACGATAAGTGCGCGCCATGCAAGCGCGCCGTTCCAGTGAGAAGTAGATCTGGGTGGCCTCCTCGAAGTCGCTCAGTTGGAAGTAGTGGTTCGTATGTTTGTTGTCGGATCGCATCCAGGAATTGGTCGTGCAGCCTTGCGCAAGTTCGGAAGCTGCCACTGTGTCCTCACCGCATCGATGAGGAACTCTCCCTGGTCAAGGCTCGCCTATGGATCTCCTAGTCCAAGGCCCAAAGCTCCTATACTCCTTGCTCACCCTTTTCTTCACACATCTGTGATGACCTTGGTGATCGCGGTGATGTTCTTCTCCAGGAAATAGCTAGTTACTTGCTTCTTCAAAATGACTTCGTTAACCATCAATTTGAAGCCACTTGATCAATCTCAAACAAGTTCAATGGACCATCTCAAAGGGGATCACTTTGAAGAAGCAACAGAAAATAGTTTTTGCTTTTCTTTACTTAGAAAAGTCCGTCCGTCCAGAGAGAGGCCTATCTGCCCACAACAAGAGATCGGGGGAACCGGGGTTACTGGCTCTGCAGGCCAAAGGTTATCATAGATTCAATTGGGAGGAAGTGACAATAGATGTACCATGGCTGATGGCAAGGCCATGGTACACCATCACCTCCATTGAAAGTCATAAGACCTGAGGAGGAGCCTGGACACGTATACCTTATATCGTGCGTGCGTGTGTCGATGGGATGGCGTGGTGAAGTCCCATTTCCATGTGAACCGGAAAAAAAGGAAATGATCTTACTCGAAACCAGCATGTATAAACATGTCATGAGGGCTGTGTGCTTTGGGGCCCCCCAACCAAGGTGGTTTGCCATCTCCCCAAAAAGAAGCATAAACGGGCGGACCTGGCAGGCGGCGAACGTTTCTGGGCTGGGACAAGCACAGTATTACAATATGATATAATGGGATGGCCCTTGTGCTCCTTTCCATGTGGTTTTTGGGTTTAGGGTCCATGTGACTTGAATTGAAAGTCTTATCTTAACATTCATACATCCATCTCTATATATTAACACTCATACATCCATCTCTATTTCATATTGCTATTCTATCTCAATATATAATATATCGATTTGTCTCTTCGTGGTAGCAGCCTATCCATGTAATCCATCCCATCCCGGGGCCCTGACTCGATGCAAACCCAACTGCAGAGACCAACAGTGCGGACCTGCAAAGCATTCAAGCACTATGACTAATGACTGCGACAGATCACATTTGTTGATGTTCAGGCACAACTATATGCGCAAAAGGATCTGACAGCTTTATTGATTTTCGATGAAGTCTCAGACCGGGCTGTTTGACTCACGCAAAGATGCGTGCATCAACAAGTCTCAGACAGTTCTGGTTGACTCATGCTGATACACTTCATTTTCAAATCGTCTTTGCGATGATATGATTACATGTATCCAAATGCTTGTTTCACCGGTGTCAGGTAACCGGAAAGGTCTATAAAGCCCCAAGGCAGGACGGACCCACTAATCTACAGCTTGCTCATTCCTCAGTTCCTAGTAGGACGCTCGTGAGCCGGCTCATTAGCAACCATGCCGTCGATGATCTGATAAAGCAATCTTCCCTGCTCATCACGTTCTTCTGGAGCAAGAAATCCATACCAACGAAACTCACCAGGTCGAACCTTCTCCAGTACATTTGCTTCCATCTTTCGAAAGTAACCCAGAGCAGTAATTTCGACCTGGAGGAAGCTGTAGTCGAAATAGTAAGTGTGACACCATTGAGCATCTGTGGCACGCCCAAGAGGCGCATGTGTCGCACTCAAATCTATCCTGGAGGTATAGATGTCTGGCTGGACTCTATGATGCGTCCGCAGTTCCTCCATCTGTGGTGGAGCGAGAGCTATCCACAGACGAATGCTATCCTCCATTGAGTTCAAACCGAGATTACTCCCCAAACTCAGCAAAGAAAATGGCTTCGCGACATCGATGCAAACATGCAACTCAATTGCCTTTCCATGTGGATTGATACTCACTGCAAATCTCGGTCCATGTTGATCTCTTGACTGTGAACTCTGCCGCTTACAGTTCTTCCAAACCAACGACCTACCAATCTACAGTCACCTTCCAGTTCAACATGACAACTCCACACGTCAAAACTCACAGTTTCACTACAGCAAATCAAACAAAAACAAACTGTCCATCCGTCACATGAGCAACGCAGACCCACATGCTGCTGAAGATACTCTTTCTTCTTTCTCTTCTGCATTTCAAACTGGAGTCACCAAAGGAATTGGCAGCTTTATTGATTTTCGATTGAGTGTCAGACCGATCTGCTTGACTCACCCCGATGCACTACGGTGAAACTGAATGTCCAGCAAAGATGCGCGCATCAACAAGTCTCAGACAGTTCTGGTTGACTCATGCTGATGCACTTCATTTTCAAATTTAATTGTCCTCCGTGGCTACCGCGGTCGATCCTTATCTGGGCACCTCCATGGCGCTGACCTTATTTGCAGCATCTGTGTGAATGCAGCAAGATCTGCTAGCCAGTCAGCTGGCTCCTCCGAGACATCCACAATGCAGTCGTTTTTACCAGATAGTGCTCGGTCTTTGGTTGAAACGAATACTGCTTGGCCAATTCAGAGCTCCTAGGAACAAATGCAAGAATGTGTCGTAGAAGCTGCTCACCGAAGACATCCGCGTTTGCCATGGCAGACCACATTTAAATAACAAGATAATTTATGTGAGTTTGTTTGTTGTGGAAACTGTCATGTCCAACGATGTGGTCGCTGCCGCCGCGTATCCTTCAACACCAAGACCCATAATGGGCTGTCATCATCTCTTGCGTCTTCATTGTAAAACAGAATGTAATACAGCGTGAAATCGACCGTGTGCTCACGCATCCAAGATAGTGGCAAATGGCCCCAGAAATGGTGGCCCATGTCTGGAGGGCCGTTCATGAAGACTTGGTCGTAGATGTACAATTCTCTCGAACCAGCGTCCATCCAGTCATGGAAGGATAGCAACAGCGCATCATTCAAATCAACTGAATTTGTTTGAAACGACGTATACTGCAATCTCCCCGCAGCTGCAAAGCAATCGGCTGCCATGCGTGACTTGATGTTAGTACAGCTACAACATTTTGGGGACCTCAGTCGATTGCTAGAAACTTTCGAAGGTGGACTTGCATTCTTGCAATCTTTACTTGAATAATGGGCTTTTCGATAGTGTAGTCCACATGTGAGCAATAATCTGCAGCTTCCTGATGTCACATAAGCAAGCGTGAATATAAACAATGCCATCCTCTCCCGGGGCCCTGGCCTGATGAAGACCCAGCTGTGTAGAAGAACCGAAGACCTTCTAAGCATTCAAGCACCAAGACCTTCAAATGGCGAGCATGACGCGGGATGTCCTGCGGAAGGTTGCAGCAGCTTCTGGTGTTTCTACGCGTGGAGAAGATGGTTCAATGGTGGCACCGGCTGAGCTGCGCAATGCCCTCCTCAGCCGGTGCCACCATTGAACCATCTTCTCCACGCGTAGAAACACCAGAAGCTGCTGCAACCTTCCGCAAGTCACCCTGTTTCATCATCGCCATCTTCTCTTGCAGCCACGTGCGTCCTTTGCTGCTGGCGTCCATACGAAGCTCTTCCACCTGTGCCGAAATACTGCCGCACACATCTCCACGCTCCTGCCACCGCATACGCTCTGACATTTTGGTGCACGCGGGCTCTTGAAGTAACATAACTCATGAAATGACATTTGCCAACAGACACAAAACTCTTCAATAACCAAGTATCTGCACAACAATCTATACTTATATCATCTTATATCCCTATACCAGTCCGTGCCAAGACCACACGAAACAAAAACACCTATCCACACGACTGCTCCCACTAAATCCACACTAACACCTTCTGTGATGCAACCCCTCCGCGGCGGCTGCTCATCATTCCCCGCCTCGGGCAATTCCGGGCGGCGAGACGAACTGGACGGCAATGGTCTACCAGTGGTGCCAGATTCCTGTGCAGATATGTCGTCGAACAGCCTTTTCATCACTGCGTCCCTGACTCCACTTGACGGCAAGCCAATCTCTTGTGCAATGACACGAAGATCTTCAACCTTCAGCGCCTTGAGCTGCGTCCAAAGTCCCTTTGTGCCACCACTTTTACAAACAGACGCTTTTTACACACAGACGCTTTTAAACACAAAGCTTTTACACACAGAGGCTTTTACACAAACACTGTAACACAAACACTTTTACACACAGAAGCTTTTACATACAAACACTTTTACGCACAGACGCTTTTACACACAAACCCTTTGACACACAGACGCTTTTACACACAGACGCTTTTTACACACAGACGCTTTTTACACACAGACACACAGAGGCTTTTACACAAACACTTTGACACAAACACTGTAACACAAACACTTTTACACACAGAAGCTTTTACATACAAACACTTTTACGCACAGACGCTTTTACACACAAACCCTTTGACACACAGACGCTTTTACACACAGACGCTTTTTACACACAGACGCTTTTTACACACAGACGCTGTCACACACAAACACATGTACACACAGAGGCTTTTACACAAACACTTTTACACAAACACTTTTACACAAACACTTTTACACACAGAAGCTTTTACATACAAACACTTTTACACACAGACGCTTTTACACACAAACGCTTTGACACACAGACGCTTTTACACACAGACAACCTCTACACACAGACGCTTTTTACACGCAAACGCTTTCACACACAAACACATTTACACACAGAGGCTTTTACACAGAAACACTTGAACACAAACACTGTAACACACAAACACATTTACACACAGACGCTTTTACACACAGACACTTTGACACACAGACGCTTTTACACACAGACGCTTTTACACACAGAGACTTTTACACACAGACGCTTTTTACACCCTCATTTCGTGCGAAAGTGTTTGCTCCAAGGCCAATAAAATCGCAATTTTACCTCAGTTTTTGCCGATCGACCCTCATTTCGTGCGAAAGGGTTGCTCCGGCACAAGTAAAATCGCAATTTTACCTCCGTTTTTGCCGATCGACCCTCATTTCGTGCGAAAGGGTTGCTCCGGCACAAGTAAAATCGCAATTTTACCTCAGTTTTTGCCGATCGACCCTCATTTCGTGCGAAAGGGTTGCTCCGGGACAAGTCAAATCGCAATTTTACCTCAGTTTTTGCCGATCGACCCTCATTTCGTGCGAAAGGGTTGCTCCGGGACAAGTCAAATCGCAATTTTACCGCAGTTTTTGCCGATCGACCCTCATTTCGTGCGAAAGGGTTGCTCCAGGACAAGTCAAATCGCAGTTTTACCTCAGTTTTTGCCGATCGACCCTCATTTCGTGCGAAAGGGTTGCTCCGGGACAAGTCAAATCGCAATTTTTTACCTCAGTTTTTGCCGATCGACCCTCATTTCCTGCGAAAGGGTTGACGTTTCGTGACTCGCCGCCGGCACCACCCTCGGCCTTAAGAGAGAAAGATAAAAAGAAGGCATGAGAGAGAAGGTGAGCAGGTGTGAAGATAAGAAGATGTGAAGATGAGCAGATGTGAAGATGAGCAGATGTGAAGATGAGCAGATGTGAAGATGAGCAGATGTGAAGATGAGCAGATGTGAAGATGAGAAGGTGTGAAGATGAGCAGATGTGAAGATGAACAGATGTGAAGATGAGAAGATGTGAAGATGAACAGATGTGAAGATGAGAAGATGAGATACAGATGTGAAGATGAGCAGATGTGAAGATGAGCAGATGTGAGAGAAGATGTGAGAGAAGAGGTGAGGATGAGCAGATGTGAGCAGATGTGAAGATGAGCAGATGTGAAGATGAGCAGATGTGAAGATGAGAAGATGTGAAGATAAGAAGATGTGAAGATGAGCAGATGTGAAGATGAGCAGATGTGAAGATGAGCAGATGTGAAGATGAGCAGATGTGAAGATGAGAAGATGTGAAGATAAGAAGATGTGAAGATGAGAAGATGTGAAGATGAGCAGATGTGAAGATGAGCAGATGTGATGGGAAGGTGTGAAGATGAGCAGATGTGAAGATGAGCAGATGTGAAGATGAGCAGGTGTGAAGATGAGAGGATGTGAAGATGAGAGGATGTGAAGATGAGCAGATGTGAAGATGAGAGGATGTGAAGATGAGATGTGAAGATGAGAAGATGTTTTACAGACCCCCACTATTGGAAGAACCCTGCGCTCAGACGCTCTCGGGAACAAGGTATATGGTTTATGTTCATCCAACCCCAAATGGGAATCTGTACAATGATTCAATGGATATATGATATACGTTGAGGTCTGCCCCCGCCCACTAACAGTTCAAAACTGCCCCCCTTTCATAAACCACCAAAAAAGCACAATCATATTGGTGGTAACTCAGGCCATTTTAGGGGATCCTTAGGGTCTGCTTAGGAGAAGATGTGATCTAGGTGGGCCCTACAAGTAACAAAGGGTGGAGTAGTGAATGCAACAACATCACTACCTTTCAGGTGGCATTGTTTGTGGTTAAACCATTTAAATCATTTTAACGAACATCCTTTTGTATTGCGCCATATTGTTGGAGCCATCAGGACATGTTTGCTGAACTTGTCATCAACTAGCCAAAAAATCAAAGTATCGATGTTGCTGTTGATATCCTTTGATGGTTGGAACGTTGGAATGGTTCTGGGAAGTCTGACAGCTGACATGCTTTTGTTTATCTGAATATTTGTGTGTCAAATAGCAATGGCAATAATATGGTATGATGATGCAAGGTGTTGCATCGATATGATGATACGATACTATGACTCATGACATTCTTTACAATATTGAATGCAGCATACCTGAGATACCGAGATACTGCAATCAAACGGTCCAACCATTGTAAGTTATAAGTGAAAAGCGTTACAAAGGCGTGCCTCCAACAATAGTTGTTGAGGTTCTTAATAAACATCATATGATAATTACATTTTTTTTCACATTCCCGCTCCTGGCATGGGCTCATTCTTGAGAGTTTTTTTTTGAAAGGAGGTTGGAAAAAAGGAAATGGTATGAGACATTTGCCGGGCCGCTGGTCCGAAGGCTGTCGAGGCCAGGTGGCCTGAGATTCATTTTTTCCAGAGAAATTGTGCTTTTTTCGTGCTTTTTTTGTGCTTTTTTGCGCTTTTTTTTGTGCTTTTCCGGCGCTCCCGAGCACAAAAAAAAGCACAAAAAAAAGCACAAAAAAAAACACAAAAAAAAGCACAATTCATACCACAAAAAAAAGCACAAAAAAAAGCACAATTCATACCACAAAAAAAAGCACAAAAAAAAGCACAATTCATACCACAAAAAAAAGCACAAAAAAAACCACAATCAATTCATACCACAAAAAAGCACAAAAAAAAACACAATTCATACCACAAAAAAAAGCACAATTCATACCACAAAAAAAAGCACAAAAAAAAGCACAATTCATACCACAAAAAAAAGCACAAAAAAAAACACAATTCATACCACAAAAAAAAGCACAAAAAAAAGCACAATTCATACCACAAAAAAAAGCACAAAAAAAAGCACAATTCATACCACAAAAAAAAACACAAAAAAAAACACAATTCATACCACCAAAAAAAGCACAAAAAAAAGCACAATTCATACCACAAAAAAAAGCACAAAAAAAAGCACAATTCATACCACAAAAAAAAGCACAAAAAAAAGCACAATTCATACCACAAAAAAAGCACAATTCATACCACAAAAAAAACACAAAAAAAAACACAATTCATACCACAAAAAAAAGCACAAAAAAAACCACAAAAAAAAGCACAATTCATACCACAAAAAAAAGCACAAAAAAAAGCACAATTCATACCACAAAAAAAAGCCAAAAAAAAGCACAATTCATACCACAAAAAAAAGCACAAAAAAAGCACAATTCATACCACAAAAAAAAGCACAAAAAAAAGCACAATTCATACCACAAAAAAAAGCACAAAAAAAAGCACAATTCATACCACAAAAAAAAGCACAAAAAAAAGCACAATTCATACCACAAAAAAAAGCACAAAAAAAAGCACAATTCATACCACAAAAAAAAGCACAAAAAAAGCACAATTCATACCACAAAAAAAGCACAAAAAAAGCACAATTCATACCACAAAAAAAAGCACAAAAAAAAGCACAATTCATACCACAAAAAAAAGCACAAAAAAAACAAAGTCATTTTCCTTTTTTTCCTGCGCCAGTTTCTGCTTTTTTTTGTGCTTGTTTTGTGCTTTTTTTCTGCTTTTTTCTGCTTTTTTTCTGCTTTTGGAAAGTCGCTGCTTTTAAAGCATTTTCAATTGGCCAGCCCGGCCCAGCTCCAGCCCCCACCTCAGCCAGCCAGCCCGCCAGGCCTCTAGTCCCCCAGCATTCCCCAGCTCCCAGGCTCCAGCCCCCAGGCTCAGCCCCCAACCCTTGCCCAGGGTCAGTCCAGCAGCCCCGGCCTTTATATGTATTGTACACACACATTCTATTGTTTTGCTATCGGCGCTGCGATGGGCAACATTCTAAACCCTAACAGAATTACTTTTCCATCGGCATTGTGGTGGGCAGCATCCTAAACCCTAACCAGTGTTGCTGTGCCATCAGCGCTGCAATGGGCAGCATCCGAAACCCTAAACAGTATTGCTTTGCCATCATCGCTGCAATGGGCAGCATCCAAACCCCTAAACAATATTGCTTTGCAATCAGCAGCATCACTACCCACAAGGTGCTGACAAGCTGGATGCATGAGGCATCCCATTGGAAATGCCAATGTCGAATTTTGACAGCAAGGACTTCTGGGCATGGCAAGAAAATGTGCCGACCGTGGAGCCAACTTGCAGGGAATATGCCTGGTCATCTAGCCTTAATAAGGGGAAATGAAAGTCATATTGGGGACTACAACCTGATTTTTTTTGTGCTTTTTTTTGTGGTATGAATTGTGGTCACTGTTAGTGTCACGAGGCAGAGCCCAAGATATACGTGTATATATATAATATACAAATCATTATTTGTGTCTATGAAAATGGATTGATGACCAAATGATGGTTAATAGTGGTGAATAGTGGTGAATAGTGATGGTTAGATGATGGCTTCAATAAAAACCAGGTTGAACACCAAGCAATGAGGAATCCTGGTGCGAACAGAGATGATTATGGTGAAATCCCATTGGGAATTTCACCAGGTGAACATCGGCTGGTCACCATTCTTAGGGCATCCCTTAAAAAAGGAGCTGATCCGTCGTCAAAAAAAGGACATTTCATGGATTCTAAACTGACAAAAATTATTTGTATAGTTAGTTTTAGTTATACACCCATGTGTTCCTAGTTTTAGTCCCACTTATTTGTGGTGGCTATGTATATAGATTATAACGTGTATGTATATATATATATTAAATAATATCTCATACACCCGCAAACAATACATTCCCATCAACATGAATCCCATATATATAGTTTCCACAATTCTGGTGTATGTTTGCTGTGTGTTCATTTTTCTATGTATTATTTAGTTTGGGGGAACTCAAAGCAGGTGAGGACTATACACAAAGGACCCATGTTTAACCTCAAACATCCGCGATTTCAACTGTTACTGTCTATTCATTTAAAGTATACCCTAACGATATATCCTCTGGTAGTTTAACAAAACCATGAAAATGAACCGTTTAGTTTGATGCTTTACCTCTAAAACATTCTAAAACGGTGATTATTCATACCTATAGCTTAGTTTACTGCATATTCAAACTTGCGTTCTTCCCAAAATGATCCATAATCATCTATTGCACTAGGATTTTCCATTAGGAAAACCATTTCTTTATTTGGGGTACCCCCATGACTATGGAACTACCCTTTCTTGTTTTCTCATGGATTCTTTGCTGCCGCGCCTTCATCCTCGTCTTTTGGCACTTTGGCCAAGTCGTCGATGCTCGAATACGAGGTCTGGGACGTGGCATAGCACAGGGGGAAACATGGGGAAACCATCCTACTTGGCGATGCAGTCGAGGTTGAAAAAATGATATAACCATGGTGAGCTCAACCCCATAAGTTGGGATGGGGCCTCTATACTGCCGGACTCAAAGTTAGAATGCCGAACCATCTTTCCAAATATCGTTTTTTGTGAAATTAGAATGCCGCGCAACCTCGGATGGCGAACAGACAGTTAGAATGCTGACCAAAAATGTTTAGATTTAGATAGATAAAGATATACTGAAATGACAGATGGAGCATCATGGAGCATTCTAACTGTCTGTAGAAATAATTTAAGAAGGAAAGTGGCATCCTAATTTTCAGTCTGTCGATATGTGTATATATACTGTACATATCCAAAACATATCAATGTATATGTAGATACGTGTCAAAAAAAACATGGCCTCAGGGAACCTCATTGGGTGCAAGGTATATGGTCTGGCACTAGCATATTCTAGCATGGATTGGTGGGTTTGCATCATGTTTTCAAAAAAAAACTTTCTATATATATATATATACTGTACATACCAAGTATATATGTATGTTTCCAGAAAAACACCAGGGAAAGCTGAGGGAACGCATGGGTTGTGGGGTACAATTGTCTGCACAACCAAGTATATATATATATATATATTCAAACAGGTACATTCATATACCGAGAACCTCCAAATACCCTGAAAAAATTGCTAAAACTATGAAAATTATGTGGTAAACTACCTTTTTTTTATGGTGACTTGGAGGGTCTAGGATATATATGTGTTTCTGCCTGCGAAAAAATATACCCTTGGAGGCATTCTAACTGTTGATTGCCGAATAGCTTCATCCTAGGTGGGGGGGAGGCATTCAAAGTTCTGAAATGCTGGTAAAATGCAATTTTCCAGTTTTGCCGTTAAAAAACAACATATAAACAGTTATAAACATCTTTTCCAACCAGTGACAGTTACAGGCATTACAGCTAGCGGCCCACCTAGGAGATAAAACAAAGGTATTTAACAATGATGGGGATCCTTTACTAAAGCCACATTCTAACTGTCTGTTCAACACCATTAGTGGCTGGGTGTGTCCTCTTTTCCCAGAAGCCTATCTACCTCAGGTATGTGTCCAAAATCGCAATTTTGTACGGGAAACTCACTTTTGTCAAGGTTATCGAATGGGGAAAGCGAGTAAAAGTACCCAGACCTGCAAAATGCACAAAAAATAAAAGTGATATTCTCAAACAGGTACATTCATATACCCAGAACCTCCAAATACCCTGAAAAGTTGCTAAAACTATGAAAATTATGTGGTAAACTACCTTTTTTATGGTGACTTGGAGGGTCTAGGATATATATGTGTTTCTGCCTGGAAAAAACATATGTCCTTGGAGGCATTCTAACTGCTGATTGCCGAATAGCTTCATCCTAGGTGGGGGGGAGGCATTCAAAGTTCTGAAATGCTGGTAAAATGCAATTTTCCAGTTTTGCCGTTTAAAAAAAACATATAAACATCTTTTCCAATCAGTGACAGTTACAGGCATTCCAGCTAGCGGCCCATCTAGGAGATAAAACAAAGGTATTTATCAATGATGGGGATCCTTTACTAAAGCCACATTCTAACTGTCTGTTCAACACCATTAGTGGCTGGGTGTGTCCTCTTTTCCCAGAAGCCTATCTACCTCAGGTATGTGTCCAAAATCGCAATTTTTGTACGGGAAACTCACTTTTGTCAAGGTTATCGAATGGGGAAAGCGAGTAAAAGTACCCAGACCTGCAAAATGCACAAAAAAAAAGAGATATTCTCAAACAGGTACATTCATATACCCAGAACCTCCAAATACCCTGAAAAGTTGCTAAAACTATGAAAATTATGTGGTAAACTACCTTTTTTATGGTGACTTGGAGGGTCTAGGATATATATGTGTTTCTGCCTGGGAAAAAAATATGTCCTTGGAGGCATTCTAACTGTTGATTGCCGAATAGCTTCATCCTAGGTGGGGGGGGCATTCAAAGTTCTGAAATGCTGGTAAAATGCAATTTTCCAGTTTTGCCGTTAAAAAAAAATATAAACATATAAACATCTTTTCCAATCAGTGACAGTTACAGGCATTCCAGCTAGCGGCCCATCTAGGAGATAAAACAAAGGTATTTATCAATGATGGGGATCCTTTACTAAAGCCACATTCTAACTGTCTGTTCAACACCATTAGTGGCTGGGTGTGTCCTCTTTTCCCAGAAGCCTATCTACCCCAGGTATGTGTCCAAAATCGCAATTTTTGTACGGGAAACTCACTTTTGTCAAGGTTATCGAATGGGGAAAGCGAGTAAAAGTATCCAGACCTGCAAAGTGCACAAAAAATAATGTGATATTCTCAAACAGGTACATTCATATACCCAGAACCTCCAAATACCTTGAAAAACTTCTAAAACTATGAAAATTATGTGGTAAACTACCTTTTTTATGGTGACTTGGAGGGTCTAGGATATATATGTGTTTCTGCCTGCGAAAAAATATACCCTTGGAGGCATTCTAACTGTTGATTGCCGAATAGCTTCATCCTAGGTGGGGGGGAGGCATTCAAAGTTCTGAAATGCTGGTAAAATGCAATTTTCCAGTTTTGCCGTTAAAAAACAACATATAAACAGTTATAAACATCTTTTCCAACCAGTGACAGTTACAGGCATTCCAGCTAGCGGCCCATCTAGGAGATAAAACAAAGGTATTTATCAATGATGGGGATCCTTTACTAAAGCCACATTCTAACTGTCTGTTCAACACCATTAGTGGCTGGGTGTGTCCTCTTTTCCCAGAAGCCTATCTACCTCAGGTATGTGTCCAAAATCGCAATTTTTGTACGGGAAACTCACTTTTGTCAAGGTTATCGAATGGGGAAAGCGAGTAAAAGTACCCAGACCTGCAAAGTGCACAAAAAATAATGTGATATTCTCAAACAGGTACATTCATATACCGAGAACCTCCAAATACCCTGAAAAATTGCTAAAACTATGAAAATTATGTGGTAAACTCCCTTTTTTTATGGTGACTTGGAGGGTCTAGGATATATATGTGTTTCTGCCTGGAAAAATATACCCTTGGAGGCATTCTAACTCCTGATTGCCGAATAGCTTCATCCTAGGTGGGGGGGAGGCATTCAAAGTTCTGAAATGCTGGTAAAATGCAATTTTCCAGTTTTGCACGTGTGGCCGACCGGTTCCAAGTAGGCATTCTAACTTACAGTCCGGCAGTATATATATATATATATATATATATGTTTTTTTTTTTTATATCATCCACCTACAACTGGAACTGCACTTCCAAGAGCATCAAGAACCATGGTTTATCTCGTTGCATTTGTTGGATCAATGATGGTTGCCAAATTGGTTGCAAGCAAAATATGATAATCTGGATGTGGAACATTGACAGCCGGTGACCCATTCCTGGGATGATAGTCAGCTTTGGTAAACCGCTAAACGGATGGATTCTTCGGGCTCTTGTTATTTTCCCAAACATATCTAATCACGGACTGATAATTAGAACATTGTTTTGTTATTTTGTTTCTTTTTTTCTCGGGAACCTGTCACTAGGGAGTTTGTACTTGTAGAACATTTGGAACTAACTTTTGATGTTCTGACATGTTCCGACTATCAATTCCGTTTCTCTACATATGTAAATTACATATCCCCAAGATTCAGAAAAGCAACACATTTCTAACATAGTAATAACTTTATGTTCTTTTTTTGGAGGGGGTACTGTATTTATATAACTATATATATATATATATATATGTATAATATGTATACATATATAGACTATGTAAATACAAATTCATGAACTGATTGATTCCAAGCACCTCAAATGTGCGCTCTTGTCGTGGAACTATACAACCTGGATCTAATATGTTGACAAATGTGTTACAGTGATGAATATGTTGCCATATATATATATATCCATAAAGATATGTATATATGGATAAATTACAATAGTTCACTAATCTAAATAGTTCGGGCAGTTTGCGATAATTACCCAAACTCAGACCCTCATTCCTGTGAGGTCGTTCAAACTAATTCAAATATATGTGTACAGTACACATGTAAAGTTCATGTAGACATCATATGCATTAATGTCTATGCAATGTAATGAGTATAGGTCATACCAACAAAATAAATCTGAAGCAAAATGTCAGCAATATATCATGGGGATCCATGGGGCATTTTTTTTCCCAAACAGCAGGCTCTTTTGGTCGCTTCTTGCCGTGCAAGAAATGGAAAATACAGGTGCCTGGTTCAATATATGATACTGGTTGTTGGTTGATCCACCCTGGACCCAAAATTGTTTTTCCGGCCAATTTTGCGGATCACATTTCGCCAGGCTGAACAACGCCAGAATTGTTCTAAACCACCAACCAGATTGCTTTTCCTCCTTCGGATTTTCCTGGACAAAAACCCTCTTAATTATCTCTTCTAGGAGTTCTTCCAGCTATCCGATGCCGTCGGTACGGCTGGATTTTGTCTGCTGGGTGTTAACTCATTTTTGAGAGAAACACAAACCTGTGTATCATTTGCTTGCACTGCTTGCGCACTCATCCTCTGCTGCACTTGCAAAGAAACTTGATCATTTAACACCCGGCCGATCACGTCTCCGTGTACAAAACCTATAAATTTGATGACCTTTCTGCTCCCAGCGTCATTGTTCCGTGAGCGAATGATCGTCTGCACTGTCGCACCGTTGGAACGATTCAAACTCCAGTGTCATGATGGCAGTTTTGCATCCCTGTATCCAACCATGACACAATTATTGGTCAATATAAATGCAACATGTTTGTTTGATCCCAGTATCATTGTAAATATATATATAAATATATTATGCATACTACCATCTATCTATCTATCTATCCATCTATCTATCTACCTAATCTAACCTCATCTAATCTAATCTAATCTCATCCACTCCAATTCAATTCAATCCCTCCAATCCCTCCAATCCATCTATCTCTAGCTATTTCTATATATCTATCTATCTATCTATCTATCTATCTATCTATCTATCTATCTATCTATCTATCTCTATCTCTATCTATATCGATCTATATCTATCTATATCTTTCTATATCTATCTAAACCTATCTATATCTATCTATATCTATCTATATCTATCTATATCTATCTATATCTATCTATATCTATCTGAATCTATCTATATCTATCTATATCTATATCCGTCTAAATTTATAAATATATGTATCTATCTCTCTAAATTTATCTCTCTGAATCTATCTCTCTAAATCTATCTCTCTGAATCTATCTATCTGAATCTATCTATCTGAATCTATCTATCTGAGTCTACCTATCTGAATCTATCTGAATGAATCTATCTATCTGAATGAATCTATCTGTCTATCTATCTATCTATTTATCTGTCTATCTTTCTATCTTTCTATGTTTCTATCTATCTAGCTAGCTAGCTAGCTGGCTAGCTAATTAGCCACCTGCGGTTTGTCTCTCTGTCCGTCCGTCCGTTCCTCCAACCGTCTGTCGGTCGGTCTGTCTGTCTGTTTGTCTGTCTGTCCGCCTGTCTGTCTGTCTGTCTGCCTGCCTGGCTGGTTGTCTGTCTGTCTATCTGTCTGTCTGTCTATCTTTCCGTCTGATGTATCTGTATACATAATATCTATGTAACAAAATAATTAGTTATCTGTTACTAAGCAGCAAACTAACAAACAACTTACTATCTAAGAAATTAGTAACCAAACGTAACTAACTAACAAATACGTAACTAGCTACGTATTTAGTTTAAAACTAACTAACTTATTTACTAACTGACTGACTGGCTGGCTGACTGACTGACTGACTGTCTCGCGAACCAACCAACTTACTAACTAAGAAACACCAACTAAGTAACTAATAAGTAACTACCTAACCATCAAACGAACGAACGAATTAACAAAATAATCAATTGACCCGACTGACTAAGTAACTTAACTGACTAACTAAAGCATTATATGTATGCGTATGTATACATATATATATTATGTATTATATATATATATATATCATATTTAATCGGGGAGGATGGGGTGAGATGAGATAGCCGCCATTTGCTTCATGACACCAGGCCCCGAACACCGTCCAGATATTGTTACCTAAGCGGTTCCAAAAAGGTATTTGAAGACACCTCCTGACCACCACCAGCTGTCCAAGTTTTAAAACCTGCTAAATGGGATGATCAGGTTGCGAGCAGGAATCATGGTGAAATTACATGTTATTACTATACTATAATTAAGCTGTTGGGTATCACACATAGTACTACCATAATCATCATAAATAATCATAGTATGATATGCAAAACATAATCATTGTGTTACCATGTATTTTCATGCTATTCAATAGAGGCTGTTGGGGCTGCTGGGGCTGCTGGGGCTGTTAGGTCTCCTATCGCTGTTCTGGGGATGTTCAGGAGGTATCGCTTGTGCCTAGAAGCGAAAGGAATGTGGCAAGCGCAATTCATATGTCAGGGACATTGGCCCAAAAATCCGGAATTCACAGCTGCTGTTTTTTCCATGAGAACAGGACATGATCAAACAAACACTGATTTTCACAGAATATGTAAGCTGTGGATTACCAAAAGCTATCAGTTCTATGGTAATGATCACAAATGATCACATATCTAACATGAACACATCCCTGACTGCTACTGAGCAAATTCTTTATGTATAGTGGTTTCTTGAAGGGAATATCTAAATCATAGGTTGTTTCAATGCATCAAGGTCTTTTACTGTATGCGTTTCCTTGCCACTTTGAGGAAAGAAACCGATTGGTGTTGCAGTTCAAACTGCAACCAAGACACGCAAAGCACCTCTGGGGTGTTGCCAGCATAGCTAATTGGAAGCCAAGACCACCAGAATGAGATGGAAACACACACACACATATGTAATCACATGTACATTATGAATACCTGCATAAAGTGCGGTGAATCTCCAGATCAAAAACTCCAGTTGTGGCACTTCACCTTGAAGCTAGTCTTACTTCCAAGATGTCTCTAAAAACGAGCCCCAACCTCTCCCCACCGCGGGGATTTGAAAACTGTTGGCATGTGCCCACTGCCATTTCTTTTCGGATGTTGAACACCTTCCAACTTTATTCATTTTCACGCCGAAAAAAAACATGTTGACCGATGCCACGCTGGGTGCTCATTTTGAGACGCTACTCCGCCCCTTTTTTTTCTCGGGCCTTGGAGATGCGGGTGGCCGATGCATGTGACGCTCACGCTCTAGAGGTGAAGCAAGGGCGAGGTTGATGCCACCAATGGCGCCTGAAATGGCAAGACCTGAAGCGAAGGCATCCCGTGCTGTGACCGATGGGTTGTTAGAATGATGAACAGACGAATGTGGTAACGATGATGATGATGATGATGATGATGATGATGATGATGATGATGATGATGATGATTAATTGATGAATAATTAATGATGATGATTATATAATATTATATAATATTATATAATATTATATAATATTATATAATATTATATAATGATGGTTAGATGTTTGTTGGGATTATAGGCTAAGCATGTTGAATGATCCTGGATGGAAAGCAAGTGCCTTCTGAGTCTTGCAGACCTGAGTAACTGCTGAATAATGGTGATGGCCAGGAGGTAAATTTTGGCCAATAAGACATTCAGTTGCGGCCCTTAAGAGTTGAATAAACGCGATGAAATAACTCCTGCAACTGAGGTCATAAATCACTCAAATGAGGTTTTGTTCGCCAGTTGACTGGCTATAGGGCCAGTAACTGTTGGTTGATGGAGATAATAAGATAATGAATATCCTTTTTCAACTTATAACTTATGTATAACAATATATAACCGGGATTCGTAGACGTCCCTAGCCCCAAAGATGTCAAACGGGGATGGTATTTTGATGATGTTTTTTTGGGTGTACTCAATGGATCTCAATGGTACTTTTCTTTTGACTGGTTGGTGGTATAGTTTCAACCCTCTCAAAAATATGACTTCGTCAGTTGGGATGATGAAATTCCCAAGATATGGAAAAAATAAAACATGTTCCAAACCACCAACCAGTTGAGAACAACAGAGTTCTTCCGAAGTTCTTCCCCTTCTTCCCAACAGCTCTCTCGCCTGCAACGTTCACAACTCCTCCAATCGATGCAACACCCACCGCTGCAGTGACTTCTGCAGCGGTGGTAAAGACACCAGGAATGGACATCATTGCGGCTCCCATTGTCGTGTGGGGATTGAGCGGCCGGGGCGGGCACTAGGGCAAGTGATGCCGATCCGGCACTGGTCAATGGACTGGACCCCACCTGTATGGAACGAGAGCTTAAGCCAAAGCCACTGTGAGTCCCCAGTCTGTGAGTTTTGCCAAAAAAAACTTTGTGAAACATATATGGAAGTATCAATGTCCCCGCACTTGATAGTGGCTTGATTGCATCTGGGATGTTCAATTGATGGAAATGCGGTGCAAACTTCAAAGACCCAGCTGTGTCATTCTCACAGGAAATACATCGGTGTCAATGCCAGACAGGTCTGCCCTGCTTCCTCAAATTGTGAATATACAACATGTTCTGAGTTTGATGCCATCGCAAATCATATCCCAGTAGCGATTCATCCCAAGTCATATCCTACAAAGTGGTTCCCCCGGTAACATGTTTGTTTGTTTATGTTAACCCCCATCTAACGATAGTTACAAGTACAAGTCCTATAAACCCAACAGTGAAATATCAGGGAAATAAACCAACTGTTCATTGCAAATGAAAAAAAACGTATATCAAACATGGGGATTGAATGAGATAGCGGAAATACAATGGGATATCTACATGGGATATCTACACTAGCGGAAATCAGTGGAATACGCTCCGGTCATCAAGCATTGCTAGCTGGAAAATCCTTCAGTTCGCTGATTTTCAGGGATTTCCCCAGCGTCCATGTTTGATGACACCGGAGGGTACCCTCTGGTAATTTAACGTACGTAGCTATTGAAAATGGCCATTAATAGTGGATTTCCCCATGAAACATGGTGATTTTCCATAGCTATGTTAGTTTACCAGAGGGTATATATAGGTATATTAGAATACTGTAGAATATTCCATTATATGATGACAATATAAAATGATATAAAATGTATCCCACCAACTACTGTATGTCATCCCTCAGGGTCCCTCACTATAATCCCAATTAATCTATACTAGATGGTTGGGAAACTCTAAGTAGCTCCGTGGCTCCCCATTGAATAGGGAATATGAATACCCCTAGCTCTTTAGCTCCCTAACCAGTGGATAGTAATATACTGTATATACCATTAATGTGGGAAACCCAATGCCATGAACGTAGATACCATGACTGGGGATGGTCGACATCCCCATGATTCAAATGACCGGTGAAAGAACCTGAAGAACCGCACCTGAATCCCTGGTAGGTCGTTGTAACCGCCCTCCAGGGGAACCTGAGAAAAGGTCAAAAGCTTGGAACAATGGCTACAATCTACGGGAAAGAGTCGTGGACATGATGTGATTTTATCGGTTGATCATGTTTATAATGTTTATAATTTATAATCATCACCTATAATTACTGGTTGGTGGTATAGTTTCAACCCTCTGAAAAATCATGGACTTCGTCAGTTGGGATGATGAAATTCCCAAGATATGTAGAAAATCATAAAATTCCATGGTTCCAGTCACCACCAACCAGTGGAGAGTCGGTACCCGACTCTCCAGGAACGACTCACCGAAATTTTGGACATTGGAAACCCCGGAGAGGCTTTCCATATCTGTGCTGAAGGGACGAAGGCATGAGCCAATGAAAATCAATGAAAATGGCTAGATGCTCGAGGTCCAATACCATGTCATGGGAAAGTTTTGAGGTCAATTGAAGTTTCTTCGCTGAGGAAATGGAACTAAAGTGTAGTCATGCAGGAAAATCCAGTCGTTCACATTGACATGTGTTGGCACCTTGGAGTTGTCATGGCTGCAGCAGTCTTGGCACTGCAGGGGAAAAAGTTGTCGTAGCAAGGAATCCATGCCACATCACCTGGGCGGCAGAACCGCGATTTGCGCCGAACTCGCCCATCCGTAGGGTAGGTGTCCTACATTGGGGTACCCCCGAATCATCCAAGTCATGGATGACCATTTTGAAATTGAAACCTAATCCCCCATTTTAAGAAACCCCGGTATGTAAATGTAGATCCAATTGATCCAATCATCTGGAATTCTCATGTTTGACATGTTTGATGAATACCACTGGGGGTGGTTCAATCCAGTTCCAAACGTTCCAATCACCAGAAACTGAAAAGATCGACATGGTCCAGTGATGGGATGGCAATAGGTCGATTCCATCACCCAGCCTCTGATAACAGATAGCTATGGTAAATCAACGATCCAGCTGGGCCATTTTCCACAGGCGAATTATTGCTTTACTAGAGGCGAATGGTTGGGACGGTCCGTACGGTCCAGCTTGTGATTTTGCGTAAGTTAAGTACTGCAGAACATCCACCATTTGCGGGGATATCAAAAGACTATAGATTAATTCTTTTTGGGTTTTCCCAATACCTTTTTGTATATCTATGTTAGTTTACCTCAGGGTAAGTTGTATTTCTTATCGATCAATTCAGCCGTTGTTTTTTTGCCAAAGTGACCTTGCGGCACAGCCCCGTCTCAACCACGTCTCGAGCAGGAGTTGTCGGGCATGGAAGGTGCGGGCTGGCCGATGAAATGGTACGCGTCACCAGCAAACCAATGACTATTCTGGGATCAAATCTACTGTTTCAGTATCGCTTGATCTCGATCTTGAGTGTTGGGTTGATTTGACTAGCCCAAGAGGTGTCACTTTTGCTGACAAACCGTTTGCATATGTACTTTGAACCATTCTTTCAACAATTATTTCAAGATATTTCAAGTCTGTTTTGATATCAGGCATGTATACGTAGTCATACTCAAACCTGTCTCTCCAGTATCCACATGTATCCACTGCATTCATATGACTAATGTCCTGGTCTTGACTGCAGAACACAACATTTTAAGACTCATGTGACTTGCTCATCTGATCTCTCGTTCACTCTTGAGCATTCGCAGCACACGCAGCGTCTGACACTCCCCCAAACTGCAACCTCAGGGGCTGAAAATGGTATGCCTTTGCAGGGTCATTATCCAAATGTATGATATGTCTTATATGTACATGGCAAAGACACTTAGCATTCTGGGGTATGTTCCCCACTCTGGGGTTTAAATGGTCCCCTCAACGGAGGAGGTCGTTGCATGGCCTGTTTGTGGCGAACTTGGGGACACGTTCCGCCCATGAATCATGCTTGGAACTGCTATCAATCAATCATTGCCACCCTCAGATACCTGAACAACACTCTTATTGTTCTATGACCAGTTCAAATAATTTCATATATTTTATATAATATGTTTTAGAGGATTCATAAAACAAGATAAACACCCAAGGCTGCTACTTCTTTCCATCTTTCCAAACAACCCAGCCCAGCACATGGCTTTGAACATATCGGCAGTTTGCTACCAAAAATCCAGTGGTTACCTTGCCATTTTGCATCCAACCAACCCCATGGCCCGATGGCACCAAACCCTCTGAATGCCATTGAGCTCATGCGCCAACTTGTAGACCACCACTGTGAGCTCCTGTTCTTCAGCACATTTATATAGATACATTTAGTTGGATGCATGACGTAGACATAGTAGCTGAAACATGTCAAAACATGTTGAAACTTGTCGAAACTACTGATTAATCATCAGAAAACGCTGTTTTGCAACTGCCAAGGCAACATGTGCTGGCCTGTTTCTGTCATTTGAACAAATACCATTGGGACATGTTCCCCCCAAGGTCCGCAAGAATAGCATCAATGATTGAAATGGGTCACCTTTGAGGTGGTTATCCCATCATCAGCCACCCCCACTTGGGATCATTTTGGACATGAAAATCATCGACAAACATCGGCCCCCGGATAGGTTGTGGTGGCCACAAAACCTCCGGTCGTCCTTGCCATCCACAATGATCTTGATCTGTGTAAACTCGTCCATGGGACCATACTCCACATCTCCAAACCTCGACACAACACATTGCCCGGACCAGACACAATTGTGTTTTGCGAAAGGCCTTGGCATCTTCTCGTTCACTCGCATGATGTAACTATAACCACTTGTATTTATAATTGCTATAATTGCGTATAATACAGTATTCTATAGAGCTGATATCTAGCAATTGTAATGTAGATGCAGAATGGACATGAATTTCAAACCTGACAGTATGGAAGCAATTTTCGGCTCTACAAGTAGGGCCGTGACCTTCTGTTCTTTTCTTTTCATGGCCTACAGTAATCTTCAACAAATCTCCAAAACCTGCTCAGTGGCTACAAAGATCGCCCAATATCTCCTGATACGAATATCATAGTGATGGGCTTATTTGAACATAAGGATACCAGGTACCCGGTACCGTATCCTTATACACCATAATCTGATGCTTATATAATCATTAATTTCCAATTCGCCAAATTTTGGCTCTCCCATTTTTTGGGCAAACCTAACTTCAAAGAAGTGAGACCACCCAGAAACATCGAAACACTTCAGGGTCCGCGCTTAGGATGGACCAAACTCAGCAAACACTTGGGATGTTCACGAAGCATCTGATCAAGGACCTGCAGGGCCCACAGAAAAAATCGTCAAATTCTTTTTCGGTGGCCGTTTCAGTTGGGAAAAGGATGATACAACAATGGATTTTGGTGGTGTATGTGTATGTGTATATACATATATTAATATAATATATTTACATATTATGAGCTCCCGTCAAAATCCTTTACATCGGAGGGGGGGCCCTATCGCTTTCCAGTGTTTTGTGGAAATCAGCATATTAGAGATCCAACATGAAGCCAACATCCATTCCTAAAGAGGCACGAAAATGGATCGAGGAGTTGTTTTGTTGGTTTCAGGTGCTTCGGCAACACTTCATGTTCCTTTCATTTTGCATTCATTTGTATGCATCTGCGTTCATGTTCCTTTCATTTGCATGCATCTTACCTTCATTTTGCAGTCATTTCCTTTCATCGTCCTTTCATGTTCCTTTCATATGTGTTCATTTCCATTCATTTTCCTTTCATATTCCTTTCATTTTGAAGATTCCAATGTGCATTCATGTCCTTTCATCTTCCTATATATGCACACACACACACGCACATGTGTATATATATATATATATATATTATATACATAATTTACATGAATGTACAATTTTGGCCACTTTGGCACAAAGCAAGCTGGGGAATTATTGGGGTCAATAGGAAGCCTTTTCACGACAAGCGAGCTATGTTTGGGACTGGCCGTGAATCAACAAAGCATTGGTATAGCCAACAAACAAAACCCACAATTCCTAGCATTACATTCATTGGACCCATGTTCAACCCTCAAACCTGGGATTCTTGGTGCTTTCTGAAGTATTCACCTTAAGAATTCAAACATATATATATATATATACATATAAATGTTCCACAGCATAGATCCAGCAGACCCTAAATGGAAGATCCAACACGGGGGTCTTCCATTGGCTTCAAACAGCTCTATTACCTACGGGCTTGACCTATGCCTATGTCTGTGATTCCTGTTGCGGAATAATCCCCTGCTGGGGAATAGAAAAAGGGCGTGGATGGCGATATCCGGCATGTGTGTTGTGAAGAGAAGACGTTCTTTAGCTTCAAACAAGGATCATACCAAAGCATATATGCCATAGATTTATCTGGCTGGTGGTTTCAACCCCTCTGAACAATATGAAAGTCAGTTGGGATGATGAAATTCCCAATGTATGGAAAAATAAAAAATGTTCCCCACCTCCAACCAGCTTATATTAATGTTCAATCATGTTCATACAGTAATGAAATCTCCATGTGTTATTGTTTTTTTTTTTATATTGGTTTGATGGCTGTTTCGGATGTCCAGTGGATTGAAGCCATCCTCAGGTGCAGCACCACCCCAATTCTCCTTCGCTAAACCACCAGGTTCGGCAGGGAAATCACCATTTACTAACTTGCTTTATGTTAAAATACACATGTTTGATGGTCTCAATCCCCATCTTTCCTAGTTTAATCTGGACTTATTCTTAAAACTGAAATACTGGTACTTGACTAGTTAAACAAATCATACCTGTTTTCTTTCTTTATCATCACCTTAGATTATATATGTTCCCCACAGAATTGCAAATTTCATTGGAGTGAATCATAATGACATGTTCATGCATTTTCTTCAACCAAATTCCAAAGTTCCTCACATAAAATTATTGTAGAGTGGCAAATCTCACTGGAATCCGCTGTGTATCTGGAGAAACTCGATTGATTCACCGATCTGAAATAGTGTGCCATGATGTGCCATGGCCGGGGATGATTCCCCGAATCGCCCAATCCCATCCTTCCAGTGAGTCGCGACGTGAGGTCCTTATAACTAGTCCAAATAATCCCAGTTATAAATATATACCACCATTTTCCCATTATATCACCATCTTTATTGATGAAACATGGTCAGCTTTCTCGCTCAAATTACCATGTTTGATCATGTTTGCAAATCACCATCTTTGATATCATGTTCGCAAATCATTATCTTTGATTATTATTATTATATATATATATATCATTGCGGGGTAAGCACCAGTTTTATGGGTAAAATCACCATGATCTGATTTTTGCTGCTTCAAAATCACCCTGAAAAATCTCCGAAGTCGCCTTGCCAAGGCCACCAGCCGAGACCTTCACGTCGCGCATGGGGATGGTGTGCTCAATCGCCGCGCAGAGTACCTGGCGGAAATCCATGGGATCTTCATGGGATTTAAGAGGATTTAATGGAATGTTGATGGGATTTAATAAATGCTAATGGGATTTCATGGGAGTTACCCCTAGGGCCCCTCTGGGTTTTTTTCACCAGAAGATGTGGGAAATACACGGTCTGTCGGAAAATGATCTACTTAACGAAGGACCAAGGCAAGAGTCTTCAGGGGTCCAGTGATGAGGAAACAAGCTTGAACTCAATTAGTTGGTTTGAGAGAAACATTACCCTCTGGTTATGTCAAAATAGCTATTGAAAATGGCCATAGAAATAGTGGATTTACCCATCGAAAATGGTGGATCTTTCCATAGTTCTGTTAGTTTACCAGAGGGTATAATGTTTTTTTTTCGGGGTCTTCACGAACTTGTGATGGACTCAGGAATCGTAAGGACTTCGTAACAACCCCTGTTTTAAGTAGGACCGTAGGATTAGTCCAATTGTAGTTGGGGTCATAATCCACTGTGATGACTCCTGGGGCGAACCACCAAAACTAACTCCTCAAGGGAGCAAAAGCTTGGGGGAAGGTGCCCATGGATGGGTAAGCTTGTTGATACATATATATATATAAGTAATATAAATTGGATTTATATGGGTTCATTGTGATTGGACAGGGTTATTTTAAACCAACTTGTAACTGCCGGGTTTGCGATTGCTTCGGGAACATGTTAGGATTTTGATGGATTTTAGTGGAACAACTTGGTCAAAATGGGAGGTTTGAGTTTACAAGCCAAAGATAAATTCGAAGCAACACCAGCAAATGGAGAATTGTTTGGCAAAAACTGGGTAAAACAAACATTCGAACAACATGTGATTTCACTGATTTCACCATCAGAATCTAAAATGCCAAACAAGGTCCTGGGGTCCTGGCCACCCCTTAAACGAAATTTATGTTGGATCTGAGTGAACCAACCCCACCGTGTTTCACCACGATCATGGCCACCTCACATGGCAATGGGACCTTTAAGGCCCCTTTTTGGATAGGAACATCATCTACAAAATATGGGAACATAAAGGAAAACATGTTTATATAAATATATTTGATATGAATATAAATATGTTTATAATTTATATATGGTTAATATGAATACATTTGTTTCGGCCATTGCCAGGAAAAAACCTCAGCAGTTAGAGTAAAAACAACGTGCCTTCAGGAACTGCCAAAGGTTAAAAGTCCAAGCTTTGGAATCACCAGACATCATTCCTGAATTATATCAGTTATATCATATCACCTCATTTGATTGATGGTTTGAGCCGTTAAAACCCCTATAACTGATGGTCAACATTTTTACGCGTATATTGACTTATGTTCCCACTCCATGATCATAGAACATCCCTAAAGTAATGGTCGCTTCATCACATAGTCAAGTCCTATCTGTGGATAATGTTGATATATAATCAACATTTATCAAATTATAAACTGTTTGTTCCCAGCATCATCTCCTGCAAATGATGATTAAATATGATTAAATCTCAATATCATCTAATATCTAAGATCCAATCGGATATCATCGCAACATATTCCATCATATCAGAAAAGGATTGTCAAATTATAAGATCCAAACAAATCCACAAGATCCACCCATATTCCAATTTTGTCATCATCATAATCCCATTTGACCATCATCTGATGGTCAAATGGGGTGCTATAATATGCTATACAGTCAGTGCCAGAATTATAGAACGGAGCCAGGAGGACAAAAGTACGGTAAAATACCGTACCTTTGTCCTCCTCCGGGTTCCGATTCGGAGCGGAGTCGGGAAATTTAATTATAGAACGGGGAGGAGGACAAAGGTACGGTATTTTACCGTACTTTTGTCCTCCTGGCTCCGTTCTATAATTTCTGGCACTGACATGATATTTACTGCATATTTGTACATATACAATCTATAAAATGAAGATTTAATGAGGATTTAATGAGGATTTGATGAGGAAATGAAGATAAAATGCAGATAAAATGAAGATTTGATGAGGAAACGAGGATAAAATGAGGATAAAATGAGGATAGAATGAGGATAAAATGAAGATAAAATGAGGATTTGATGAGGAAATGATGATAAAATGAGGGACATGTGGGAAAAATGGGGGAAAACAGAATTATAGAACAACAGCGCTCCGACAAGAATTATAGAACGACGAAAAAAAATAGGAGTAAATTCAGATACGTTTTTTTCTACCTTCCGAGGAAAACAGAATTATAGAACAACAGGGTACGGTAAATAACCGTACCTTCGTACTCCTCAACTTCCGTTCTATAATTCTGTTTTCCCCCATTTTTCCCACATTTACCAGGTGATTTTCTTAGATTTCATGGTGCTTTTATAAGATTTCATGGTGATTTTATGGGATTTCATGGTAATTTTATGGGATTTCACGGTGATTTTCTTAGATTTCATGGTGATTTTATAGGATTTCTGGGACCCCGGAAGAGGTTCTATAATTCTATAATTAATTTTTCCGTTCTATAATTAATTTTTCCGTTCGACGGAAAAATTAATTATAGAACGGGGCCCGGGGAAAATTAATTATAGAACGAAAATGGGAAATGTGAGAAAAATGGAGGAAAACAGAATTATAGAACAACAGCGCTCCGACAAGAATTATAGAACGACGAAAAAAATTAGGAGGAAGATCAGATACATTTTTTTTTCATACCTTCCGAGGAAAACAGAATTATAGAACAACAGGGTACGGTAAATAACCGTACCTTCGTCCTCCTCAACTTCCGTTATATTATTCCGGCACTGACCATAATGGGGAATCCCCTAAACCATGCGTTTCAACCCATGTTTCATGGTCTATTTTTGGAGTATTTGGCGTACCAGGACGTCGGAAAACCTCCCAGGTCACGTGTTTGGGTTCCTTCCTGGCATCTTCACTCAACGGCGCGCCGGGCCTCACGAAAATAGGTCAAAACTCTGAAAGGGATTGATGGAGCATACATGGGGGTACAATGGGATTAAAAAATGGGACATATAATGATGGGATAGATAGATAGATAGATAGATAGATAGATAGATAGATATGAGTGATAATATGGACTATGATCGGATTTAATGATTAAATTAATGGGATATTAACGGGAATTAAAGGGATTATAACGGAATAATTACAATAACGGGCTATATAATAGGGTATTTAGTTCATATATATATATATATATGTGTGTCTATATATATATATCTGTATCTACTGCTATATACTGGTATTACAATGTATTATACTGGTATATATCTTTTATAAATGTGTTTTTTTAATGTAGAGATCCTGTAATTTACAAACAAATACAGTAGCCTGTAAACCAGGAAAATGAAGTGGTTTACTGTTCAGATCCTATGGTTCATCCAGAGGAACCATTTAGAATTCCTAGATAGGCTTTCTTCTTCCTTATAGTCCTTTCCTATTTTCGAAACTTCCGCCCCGGCGCGTGCCGGGCACTATCTGGTAAACAATATGACATATGACATTTAATTATACCCTCTGGGTAAACTGACAGTTTGCAATGGAAAATGGTCCCATTTTATCTCTAATTTGTCTATCAACAATGGTATTCTTTTCCATAGGTATGTTAAATTTCCAGAGGGCAATCTAACATCTAAACACTCAGTTTTTCTTGCCTACAACATGCGCACACGTGCTGATGTTCTCTGCAAACGGCAGATTCAGTATGGATTTTACATGTACAGTAAGTGAATCGCTGTAGACTCCAAAGACTAGAGACCTTCAATATCCATGGTTTGTCTGAAAAGAAGGTATAGCAACCACCCAAACAACATGGAAACAACAGATCCTACTCGAACAGTGGTAAGTCTTTTCTATGTCTCGGGTGACCCCAAATTCCCCTTCTGAAATCCCAGAGAGGTTTCTTCACCACGGAGGCCCACCTGGTGGGTTTCTTCACCACGCTCAAGAAGACGCTGCTATTGGAGTTCGCCAACAAGACCTCGTGGAGGATGCCAAACAACCACAAAATCATTGGCAAGAAACGACTCGGGCGTAGGGAAGGAAGACAATATTTTTATAGTAAAAAGTTTGGACAGATTGATTTAGTGATTTAGTGATTTACACTCTTTTTTGGGCCAGGCATCTGACCATCCCGTGAACATCCCAGAGAAGAATGGGGTAACAACAATAACAATACCTTGATAAAATAACTAAAACACACATGTTTGAAACAAAACAACACTTCACATTGCTATACTGTTAGTCATGGTTTACCGCATGCTTCTCCATGTTTGTGCCTTATCTCCCACTTTTTGTGTCTTTGATTATGATTTGTCCTTTCTCTGAGGGTTGTTCCTCCATTTTGCTTGGTTCAACTCCGATACGTGGTGGTACCATCGTCAAGGCACCAAAAAGGGCACTGCCAGCCACAGCAACGAAGCACCTGCAGAGGTTTCCACCAGTTGATTACGCAGCTGTTGGTGATTTCAACCCCCAAAAAAAAAACTTGTTGGTGGTTTCATACCCTCTGCAACATATTAGTCAGTGGGTATCATATCACACCCCAAATATGGTTGATGTTGATTGTGTTTTCTTATTTCTCTTATTTAACATCACCAGCCAGAAAAGGGATGGAACTTAAGATAACACTATAAACCAACCAACTCGAGATCAAATATTCAAACACATTAGTCATTCAAATACATTGGTCATTGGGGATCATCACACCAAGTAGGAAGTGAAATAGAACTGTGTCAAATCACCATCCAACCAAATGGCAACAACTGGATGAGCCACCCACGCTTGAAAACGTCAACAAGTCAGCGGGGAAAATCTGCTCCAACATGGGATACGAGCTAATGTTGAAATCAACGGTTGATTCCAATGAACAAAGTGAGCATGCTGCGCATGTCCCACCTCGACCATGGGTAACTAGATCTTGTATGATCTTGTGGGGATGTCCCGGCCACCAACTTGTGATATTCAGCGGTCATGAAAAAAACACCGGCGATAAGGATGGCAATGGACAAAACCTATCTATATAATGAGTATTTCATGAGCATCACGATGTCATTTTTGGAGCAAACATCAACCTCGTCCTCCTATTTTCCTCCTGATTGTCATGACGATCCACATCATCCAAAACATTTGGGTCGTCATCATCATGATCATCATGATCATGATCATGATCATGATCATCATCATCATCATCATCCTCATCCTCATCCTCGTCACCACAATCGCTGGCTATGCAAAACAATTTTCAAGCAACGGAAACTTGGACAGGTGCAGAAACGTCACATCCAATCAGATTTATCTTGTTGTAAATTCACATAGATATGGAAAACCCATTGTTTCCCAAGAAACAAGGTCTAGACATGATGGATATACTCATGCAAACAAACATGGATGTGGAACCCGTACCATTTGAAGATCATTTTCCTAGGTCCTGGGGAAACCATGGGTTTACACCCATGGCGTCACTCGTTCGATCCAGCCGACCTCTTGTGAGCCACAGGGAGAAAATCGACTTCCGACACGTGTCCTGAAAGGTGCGGCATGATCTGTGGTCTGGGGCCTTGTTTTGCCCCCAGTGATGTTGAGGTGGGAATATTAACAGCAGGAAAGTAGGCATGTAAAGTGTATGTGTGTATATGTATATATATATATACATGTATATCATAATTATAGGCTAGGTATCGGGATACATATGTCCATGTGTTTGTCTTGTTTTCTCAACCAACTGAGGACACAAATCAAGCCGATGGTGATGTAAATCCAGCAACAACTAGATTTTTTTATTCTGTCAACATGTGGAGGCAACTGGAACATACTGGAACTATTAATATTGATTGTTCATACTCGATAGTAACCACATACCATGCTTGAGGCACCGAATTTCGAGCCTGCTGGCCATAGGCCCTAGACATTATTCATATGTGCTTCGCCTTTCAGCTATGGGTACCACAATGCCACAGGTTATGATAGTTTTATAAATGCAATCTTGCAATAATACATGTACTCCACCCAGTTATAAGTTTGTTTATAAACCCATCAAACTATACATGCATCCCAAACCAAAAAAACATAGTAATTATATAGTAAAGCTAGTGAAATGAACTTATACAAACCCCATATAGAGGCTTCCTGAAATAGGGCCACCCCCGAATAATCCATACATTCATAGGATCTTTCATGAAATACACCATCCAGCCATTGGGGTATCCCCCTATTTTAGGAAAACCATCCTTTAGCCAACGAGACCAATGAGGATATAGTGAGATATGGTGAGATGATATAGATATCTAGATATATATATATATAGATATAGTAGGATTGTTCAAGAGATTCAATATGATTCAGGAATGGATTTTACGGATATAAAATGATATAAATGGGAGAATATCCATAGATTGGGGTAATCCATCCCCCTATGTTTCGTACGCGTTGTTTCCCATGTTTCGTCCTCTGCTGGAGCCGCCAAGTTGGCACCTTTGCAAATCAGCCACCTGAAGCGAGCTCATGGGATGTTTCTAGACCTATAGCCAGTTATCACTGGCGAACACAACTCGTTCAAGCTGGTTGGTGGTTTCAACCGAACCCCTCTGAAAAATGATGGAGTTCGTCAGTTGGGATGATGAAATTCCCAATATATGGACAACTAAAACATGTTCCAAACCACCAACCAGCAAGTGATTTCTAAGCTTACTTGCAGGAGCTAGAATCCCATTTATAACTGTTTATTGGGACAAAACTGTAGGATATGTGTATTCTGGGTAACTTACAATAATGCACAACCCTGAAACAACTATAGTAATATAATTCCAGTTATATTTACCTAGATACATGGCATTCATTTCCAGTTAGTAGGGATATATATATATATGTATAACTAGATTTGGACAGATATCCCTATTTACTAAGCATCATTCCAATGAAGTCGTGGTGTGATGATATGCAGCAGGAAGCACACATCTATAGACATATGATATACACTGATATATTGTATATTGTACGAATCATATACATGTATTAATGGCATGCTATGTAAGGGAATAATCATATATTAACAGGAATTACAGATGAGATATCTCAGACAACGTGAATTGGTCTTGTCTGAAGATAGACAAGTACCCCCAAATTGGCAATTGTGCGTGGACGATGATGATAAACCCATTGCATTTTGCGTACTGCTGGACGGCCCACCCGGATAATCTGATCGCTAAGTTGGGTGCTACAAACCAGTATAACTAGGGTTCATGGTAGATGGATATATAGCTAACTGGTTGGTGGTTGACCTACTCCTCTAAAAAATATGAAAGACAGTTAGGATTATTATTCCCAATAATTATATGGAAAAATAAGACATGTTCCAAACCACCAACCAGCTAATGGGTGGTATAAACCAATTTATAACTGGGCCCTCAAATGCCCAGCAATCCAAGCTGAGGTGGCTGCAAGGCCCAACCGAAACCATCAGGCCCCCGAACTTTGCGCTTCCGTCCTGCTCCACCATTTCCTCCCGAGAGGTTGCATTTCAGGTTTGTGAGTTAGGGATGCTTTAGTGATCCACTTGCAAAAAAGCCAGGATGAAACCAAAAGGGATGTGTTGTCATAAGTCATAAATGTTCCAAACCCGTGCTCACTTTGTCATTGCGATCTCTGCCTTGCAAAACTGACAACTATGGTTTCACCTAAATGGTGGTTTCCTAAAATTTGGCTACCCCCAAATCATCCAAGTCAGTAGACATCATATAGACCATGGTTTTTAGTATATTAATATGTCTATAGAACTATATGAGATCATATATTAAATATATATATATATCCAGTAGACATTATATTTAAAACCATTAGTCATTAGACATCATTAGACCATGATATTAGACATTTAGTATTTCATCCATTTTAATGGGATTTTCCCTGATAAACCATCCATTTTAGTATTGAACCCTCATGGTTTTTGAGGATCCTCCATGACTGGATGGAAAACCCGTGGATCTGGATGTTGGAGTTCACTGCGATATACAGCGTACTTGGTGGTTCAAAAAAACATGTATACACATATATATATATATGTAGAGATATAGACTATTATGGCATATATATATATATATGCATGTGTATATATATACATATACTACTACCATAGTAATATGGAAATGTATCCCAGACAGTTTCAAATTAATTACTTCCGAACAGAAGTTCCCCATCCATTGTGCTAAAAAAGGGCCCCCACCATCGGCGCAAAGACGGACACCTCGAATCGGAGGTAGGCGCCACACCCCACTTGGACCCTGACAAATAAGGGGTTGGAAGACTCATTCCTCGAAGTGATTCTCGTCGAGATTTGGCGGAGGGTATAGTAGGCATGACTTTTTTGGTGCTTTCAGCCAAGGGCCCACTGTATATGTTCTTCCGAGCAAGTCTGGGACCAAACACGGTTTCAGGGCGGAGAACTACAATAGTAGGTCCAAACATGAATGCAAGTATGTCCAAATATGTCAAAACGAACAATGGCGAAGCCACGAAAACCTAGAAACTACAATCAAAACATCTAGCATAAGGTCGGGCGCTACTCCGGCTTTATCAAGGATTCGAACAGTTTCTTCGAACTCATGTCACACTTGTATTCATGAAGTAAAATGTCCAGGCCTCCCCTGTTTGGTGATCAAACATGTCCAACGACTGCATGGCAATCAAAAGACCAGGTACTGTGCAAACACGTTCAACGGCGAACGGAATAGATCATGATAGTATGTTCACCTTTCAATCATTTCAGGATGTCTCAATATGTTTCAAGACTCATAATCCCCATTCTGAAGATAATCCCCAAACATGATATACGCAAATGTTTTTGTTGGGTGGCTTCTAATACTAAACATCACATCGTTGATAGCGCGCAGGTAACCAAAAAATTATCCAGTCATTTTGCCCGCTAGGGATGGAATCCCGTTCTGATAGTATGATTGGGGGCTCAAATCACATCGGAAACCATGGTAGTGGATTATTTTGGCCTGAGAAAAATGATTAGATATGATTAGATCACATTAGATCCACAGGCCTTCTAAACATGTTCTTTGTTTGGGTCTGGCCATGTTTCGTTTGTATTCATTTGTCACGATGTCATCTGTGACGATCTGTGACGCCAGGCGTGAACAGCTTCAAGTCCACCAGGAACCAACAACAGGCTCTCATTGCCCCAGGTGTCCTCAGTCAAACTGGCTGGCAGGAAAACAATAGGATGAACGATGGCGATGATGAAGATGATGAAGATGATGATGATGATGATGATGCTGATGCTGGTGCTGGTAGTGGTCGTGGTCATGGTCGTGGTCGTGGTGGTGGTGGTGGTGGTGGTGATGGTGGTTACGGGGGCGATGGTAATGGGTAATGATGGACATTAATAAGAACAAGAAAACAAATAGGAAGATGGCGATGTTCATGATGATGATCGTGAAGGAACCCAAAACAAAGGCAATGGTTTGAGGCCATGTTGTGCAAACAATCAACCCACTGATTAGCGCTGTGGCGAAATGCTACTGACCATGGCGTATTATGGAAGAAAAGAGTGCGAACCCGGATTGTTTTTCTGGAGTACACTGTAATTCATGGCAATTTGAGTGACGACAATTGTGACAAACTGAGTATAGGCAGCACATGTTGACCCGCTCTGGGTCGTGTCAGTTTGGCAGACATGGATGACCATTGGATGGGGCCCAAATGGCACAACGGTGCCAGCAAAATCATACCAAGCCAAAACATGCCAAAGCTATAGCAACTTCTTGGGGGTCGGTTCCAGCTAGTAAATCGTATATTCACTACAGTAATGACCATGTAATGACCATGCTAAGCAAGCATTGACATCCCAAGTTGTCCCGCCAGGCTCACCCCATCAGCTGTGGCGCCGGACAACCACGGCCATCCTCTCCGGGTGTAACAGATCGACGTAGGCCTGAGGTCTGTGGCACCAAAGGCATGTTTGGTGCTTGAACAGAATATAACAGCTATACATCTTGCAACATGTTAAAAAAAATATATCTAACTATGTCTAATGATATCTACAATCATATCTAATAATATCCTATTATAGCTATGTATTATATCGTGAAGACAATCACGAAGCGTTACCTCACAGCCCCATCGTTTGGACTCTCAACGGGATGGATGTTCCTTTATGTTCACCACATTCACTAGTTCAAACATATCTACTTTTTTAAGATGCGGGCTACCCTGGGTAAAATCACTAGGGTGACCCCCCAAAATAATTTTTCAGAATTATTCTGAGGTGCTTCAGTACATAACCCACTACAAAATATTTTTTTCCAAAACACTCTAACCATCCCAAAATAATATCCTTTATCACTACCCACCTCCTCAAAATAATTTCTGAAAATTTGCAAATAAATTATTTTGTAGGGTTCTACTATTACTCAAAACCACTTCCCTTAGTTCAAAATAATTTTGGAAATTATTTCAAGGTGGTTTAAGATGGTTTTGGATGATTGAAAAAACAAGTAGAACCACCTCAAAATAATTAGCAAAAATCCCCACAAAATTATGTTGGGGGTCACCCTACCTATCCTCCCGAATGCACCCGACAAGCATTGTCGGAATTTCATGATTTAGACCATCGATTTTTGGACAAAGAAATCTGAATCGACCCCTTCCTACCCCATAAATTATTTTGGGGGTGGTTAACTACTAAACCACCCCAGAAATAATGATAGCCTGAACTGGCAAAATTAACTTCCCATTGAGTAGTTCAAAATCCAAATTGCCTCGAACAGACAAACCCTGAGATTTACCATGAATTACTTGCTGAACTAATTATTTTTTAGAACATCGACTTAGCATCGGCTTTTGGGCAAAGAAACCTGAATTGATTCCTCTCTCCCCAAAAATTATTTTGGGGGTGGTTAACTACTAGACCACCCCAGAAATCCAAAATAACCTAACCTTACAAAACTCAACTTCCCTGGAATAGGTCAAAAATGCCAAACCTGATCCAAATTGACCCAAACTGTCTGAAAGAATCAAACCATGAGAACCTAATTATTTTGGGGGTGGTTAACTACTAAACCACCTATGATTTAGACCATCGATTTTTGGACAAAGAAATCTGAATCGACCCCTTCCTACCCCATAAATTATTTTGGGGGTGGTTAACTACTAAACCACCCCAGAAATAATGATAGCCTGAACTGGCAAAATTAACTTCCCATTGAGTAGTTCAAAATCCAAATTGCCTCGAACAGACAAACCCTGAGATTTACCATGAATTACTTGCTGAACTAATTATTTTTTAGAACATCGACTTAGCATCGGCTTTTGGGCAAAGAAACCTGAATTGATTCCTCTCTCCCCAAAAATTATTTTGGGGGTGGTTAACTACTAGACCACCCCAGAAATCCAAAATAACCTAACCTTGCAAAACTCAACTTCCCTGGGATGTGTTGGGATTGACGGGATGTGGCTTGAATGAAGTTGGAAATGGCTGCAGATTGATTCAAAGAATATCCTGACTGAACATGTTGAAATATGTAGTTGAAATTTGATGTAATATGCTGAAATTATTTTGCAGGTGGTTTGCAAGTACCCCCACCCCATGAAATAATTTTCATCATGGGTGTCTGGTAATTATTTTATACAGTTGGAACTATATGAAATAATTTCCCCAGTTCAACTGAGAAATTATTTTGAGGTGCCTTAAGTTGTTTGTTTAAAATTATTTCAAGGTGCTTCAACCTCTGTAGGTGGAAAATTATTTTGCACCATCATCAAGGTACGGGTGCAAAAATTATTTTGCTATGGCTCTTGTCGGGTGATTTTAACATAAAATTTATGTTAAAAATGGAAATTATTTTTAAAAAAATATTTTGGAACCAACCCCCACCTCAAAATAATTTCCTAAGGTAGGACGCATTTTTTAAGCATAGGGTATACTAGTTATAAACTGATATCATATATATATATATATCATTTAGGGGACCCACCTTGTATAACATGTTCATGTATTGAGTAAAAACACGATCTATGCCCAAATCATTTCCGATGAAAGACCAAGGTCGACATGGCCTGACCATCTGTCAAGTGAGCAAAGTCTGGCCTGCAGGCAGGGTTCAAATGGGCTCCACGTTGAAGTACCAGAAGCATTACTGATTTTTGGCACAATGTAGGGGTTTCCGTAAATGGGGGTACGCCAAATGGATTGTTTATAAGGATTCATAAAAAAAAATCCTATGAACATGGATGATTTGGGGGTACCCACATTTCAGGACACCTCCCTGTACAATTATCTGTCTTTGGCAGCTCATGTATGGAAAATATAGATTGTATATCTACTCGTACCGTCGTACACTAACTGTATATGTCTGGACAAATTGTAATAATTCACTAACCTGAAATAAAGCCATTTTGAGATGATTCCTCTTACTAACCATGATTCCAGTGAGGTCGCAGTGAGGTCGTTTTAATTTTCCCAATACTGTGTATATATATGTATATATCTGTATATCAATCGTCTCAAGCCATTGCTGGATGTATTTTTTGATTTGAGGCAGGTGGGTATTGATGAAACTTGACATACGCCGTTTATTTCGGAATGGGATGGCTGATTTTGGGATCACCATTGGCAAAAACGATCCACAGAACGGAACGAGTTGTGACTTGGAGTGAAAATGGATCCTATCGGAGAATCCACAGGAATCAGTATGTCGAACCACGTCAAAGATCCCTAAGTACACATCATCCTTAACCCACCCCCAAAAAATTAGGATGTTGCCAAACCATGCCAAAGCACTCAATATATATAGATATATAATTTGGAAAATACGGGTCCGCTGGCACTTTGCGAACCACCAACACTTTGTGAACCACCAACACTTTGTGAACCACCAACCAGTCTCTGCTATTCCTAGTAGCAGAAGCAAAGTATCACGGTTTCTCTGGACCAACAGTAGGAAGGGCACGATGTAATAAACTTATTATCATAAAACCACAATCGGTTCTAACTGCCCATTCAGAAACATTCATATGAAGTATAGACCGTATGGGGGTCTTCTAAAATAGGGGTACCCCCAAATCATCCATTTTAGTAGGATTGTCCATTATAAACCATCCATTTTGGGGTACCCCTATTCCAGGAAACCCCGGTATAGCATCAAACAAACTCTATCAGCATTGGGACCCCGGTTGGTGTCCACCATTTTGCTATTCATCCACGGGTCAATCTCCAAGCTTTGACTATCTTGGATAGCTTGCAAACAAATGCTGGTTGATGTATATGTATGAATAATATATTATTATTATATATATAGTATAATAAAATATAATATAACATGAAAAATAAAATAACAAAATATAATATAATACAATATAATATTATATTAAATGATATTATATAATATGATGTTATATAATATGATATTATATTAATATTTACTATATTATATTACATGGCATTATCTTATCTTATATTATACTATATAATGTTATATGATACTATATTATTTGTAATTAAATATAATATATAAAATATAATATTATATATATATATTATCGAAGGAAATTTGGAAGTCAAACTTCCATCAGGGTTCAGGGGAGGAGTTGTGCAAATGGTTTTGGTAGATACAAAGCGGAATGCATAGGGTGCATAACTACAAAATGCAGTGCATGTTGTTTTTTTGCAGCTACAAAATGAAGAACATAACTCTTTCTGGCTCGGAAAATAATTCAAAACCAGTACTACAAATCCAATGCATCTGAAGTTAAAAAATAGCTGAACGTCGGAATTGCTAACATGATTTTTTCCCAATGACATTTTGTAGTTGGGTCTTTGCCATCCAAAGTTCCGACCAACATAAATTCGGAGAACACTTTGTAGTTGTCAATGATTGAATTTAGTTGGATCAAGTGTTGACCCCGTGCAGTTTGTTAGATGGCATTCTGTAGCTTCATGATCTGTTTGTGTCCATGTACATGTCACGCACTGTTTCCTTTTTTCCACCTCTTCTCACCTCTTCAAATGCAAAATGCAAATGAGATTTTATGTTGGATGCTTCAACTATTCAACTTGTACAACTACAAAATGCTAATGAAATTTTATGTTGGATGCTTCAACTAACTCAACATATACAACTACAAAATGAAAATGATGATTTGAAAGGAATCAACTACAAAATGATTCCAAATACAAAATGGGGGGCACAACCCCTCCTGTTTGTACAAAAAAATCCTGGCTGGCAATCTGTACTGTAGCCCAAGTCCTCCCCATGTAGCTGAAATTTGAAGGTGGATAAACTTCCGACAATATGGAGAGATGAAAAAGCAGTCAGCAGGGAGAAGAGTCAGAAGAGAAAAGATCAGAAGAAAGAAGATGCAGGTGCGCGAAAAGGTAGGAAAGTCGCGAAACACTGTGTTTTTTCATGGTTTTGTGGCTCCGGAGGGTTGAAAAGTAGGCTCGCTAAAGCGGCGGGTGCGGAGACATCTGGGGAGATGAGAGAGGAAAAGTTGCACGCCGTTGTGGCGCGAAGCACATTTGGAAGTAAAATGTGTTAAAAATTGAGGGGTTCGGACCACTTTTGGAGGTTGAGATGTCGAAAAAGTGCACGCCGTCGAAGTCAAAATGTACAAAACACACCAGATTCGGACCATTTTTGGAAGTTGAGATGTCGAAAAAGTGCACGCCGTTGTGGCGCGAAGCACATTTCCAAGTCAAAATGTACAAAACACACCAGGTTCGGACCACTTTTGGAAGTTGAGATGTCGAAAAAGTGCATGCCGTTGTGGCGCGAAGCACATTTCGAAGTCAAAATGTACAAAACACCACATGTTCGCGCCACTTTTGGAGGTTCAGATCTCGAAAAAGTGCACGCCGTTGTGGCGCGAAGCACATTTCGAAGTCAAAATGTACAAAACACTAGGGGTTCGGACCACTTTTGGAGGTTCAGATGTCACTTCGCTTCGCTTCGCTTCGGGTCATTACACTACACTATACACTCCACTACACTACAGTACATTACACTACACTACACTCCACAACACTACAACTACAACTACAGAACTACACAACTACACTCCACTACACTCCACTACATTAAATTACAATACACTACGCCACATTACCCTACACTCCACTACACTACACTACATTACACTACACTATACACTCCACTACACTACACTACATTACACTACACTATACACTCCACACACTACAGTACATTACACTACACTACACTCCACAACACTACAACTACAACTACAGAACTACACAACCACACTCCACCACACTCCGCTACACACCGCTACACTAAATTACACTACACTACATTACACTACACTAGAAAGATCGATAGATAGATACATAGAAAATAGATAGGTAGGTAGGTAGATAGTCAGAGAAAGAGAGAGAAAGAGTGAGAGAGATCAAGCACCTTTCAGTCCATCAGTGGCTTCGCTCTGCCATCCCGGATTCACAACAACCAAGCTCTCCTATAGGTTTCCTATTTTTGAAACTTCCGCCACCGCCTTGTGCAGTACTACTGGTAGTATATCATATATTATTTTATATTATATTATATATTATATATTATATATTTTATATTATATATTATATTATATTTTATTATATATATATATGTATTATTGTATTATTTTATTATATTCTTTTATTATAAATAAATAATATATATATATATTATAAATCATGTATTATATATTAAAAATCATGTATTATATATTATATGTTATGTATTGTATACTATATAATATATACTATATATATATTTTATGTATTATATGTATTATATGTATTATAACATGTATTATATGTATTATATATAAATATTATATATATATATAGAGATGCAAATATAAATATATATATATATACACATAATCACACACACACATATATATATAATTTGGATAGATTAAAATACTTCATAATACTTCACTAATCTGAATTAAGGCCACTTGAGGATGACTCCCCCAATAAATCATCATTCCAGTGACGTCAGGGCGTGAGGTCGTTACCCCCAAAAAAAATGTTGGGGAAAATAACCAAGGACTAAAACATGTAACAACCATTATAAACCAAACAAAAAGAACAACCCCCATCTTATCTATTTACTAAACTATACCTTAAACTTACATACCTTAAAATATAACAACCATTAACAATCCCTACATATGATGTATGTTATCACATATGTAAATCAACAGATTCACTTGTACTACATTAGCCACTGCCCAGGTGTCATGTGTCTCCCAGGCACATGGAGTATCGACTTGGCGAGGAGGACGGAGATGAGGACATCGTTAAGATCTCGGCCGTCAACATCAAATGGCATAGGAATTTGGGGTAATGTTCGTACAGCAATAGTAAACCACCCAGATTTTGATGGCTGATACGGCTGACACGACCCATCATAAAAGTGGCAAAAATGGCAAAATTCGGATGGCGGCTCCTTTTTCCTTAACTAACATGTTTTTTCAAGAAGAGAAGCTGGACCCTCCAGTTCCTCCATTGAATAATGTACACACATAAATATGTATATATATATATATATGTACTGTAATAGACATAAAATCCCCACATGTTACGATACGTTCAGCCAGCCATCTCTTCTCTGTGTTGTGGGTACTTACTTTGAGGGTCAAGATAAAGGACTATCATGATGAATATATATATACATATATATATAACTATATACATACTATATATATAGTATTCAGTAGTTTTGATATTGGCATCGAACATAAACAGATTCGTGCCATACACAGCAATGTGAGAACTTATTCAAAGTCCAAGTTTAAGTGACCATCCAACATGGGAGATGAAAGCAGGGGATAGATAGATATCCTTTTGTAAAGAGAACATCACATAACAATATGGGGGGGTTCTTAAAAATGGTGGATCCCCAAGTCACCATGGGTTTCAATCCACTAAGCCATGGTCATCCATGACTTGGATCCAAGTTTATCCAAATTTGGGGGTACCTCCATGGATTGGAAACCCAGCAACCAATTCATGTAAGAAACATTCCTCCGTTTGTATCCATTTGTAGTTTTCACGCATTAGCCGCATAGCCCAGCAACCAATTCCTCAAACTTAGGAGTCGACCACCAACACTGCGGTAGGGGAGCCATTGGAGCCGTTGGAGTGGTTCGCCGCGTCCTGCAATTCCCCCCCCCACACATCCTGGTGAGTACACGCCTGCAAACTCACATGGAAGGAAACCTATCATGTCATGTCAGTTCCAGTTCGCGATTTCGAGGGTTTCATCTTGGTTTGCCGAGGAATATATGGTTGGTGGTATACCTACCCCTCTGAAAAATATGAGTTCGTCAGTTGGGAGTATTCTTCTCAATATATGGAAAGTCATTAAATTTCATGGTTCCAAACCAACAACCAGATTTTGGTTGGGATATCCGCAGTTACCCTCTGTTCATCCACCAGTTCCATGAGTTTCCCATCTATGAAAGAATTACCCCCCCCCATGACTGGGCCTCCAAAAATGAATAGATGCAACACTAAACCGAGGCTTAGAAGGGTCTCTAAAACAATTACTTCATAAATCAAAAAATATTGGGATGATAAATAATATAAATAATGATAGACATTGGGCATAGATGGACATAGTATAAGTGGATTTGTCAAAGGAATCATTTTCTAAAAAGTTTATATATAATATATATATATAGTATATATATATGTATATTATATAGTCATGGGGGGATAGTTAAATATATTTATATATATATATACACGGTAGCTACATTTAAATATACGGACTTTTACCTCCGGGAAGGGTTTCCTTGGCCCGCCCGGACATTTAAACATACGGAATCCAGTTCATTTAAACATACGAACTGGTATTTCATACTACCTCCGGGGCCTCGCGGTCTGGCCCGCCCTCCACATATTTAAATGTCGTTACCGTATATATATATAGATAATTATATATATATATATCCATCAAAAGGAATAATTAATGGGAGGAAGGGATGACTCTCCAAGTCACCAGAAGTCACCAGTCTGGTCACCAGTGCCTCCAAGATTTTCCAGTAGCTGATCTGCTGCGCCGCTGCCGCACCATAGACCTGCGTTGTCTGAAATGCTGGGGAAGGAAAACGTACGTGTTTATTACCAGTAATCCAAGCAACATGGTTTACATGGGAATCTCATCTATAATAAAGGAGCGTGTTGGGAAATAATGGGATATTCTGATATTCCCGTAAAATGGGAGACAAACATGGATATGACTCTGACATAATGAAATATCATGGGACAAAATATACTGGGCATTTTAGCACCAAGGCTGGCTGGGAAATCGCTGAACGGGTGATTTTCCAGCTACCAGTAGCAATGTTTGGAGACCGGAGGGTACACCAAATTCTTGCCTTGTGGTTCAAGCCTTACCTTCAGATCCATAATGTTAGTGGAGCAATAATAAGCCACCCATCTGCTCATGGTTTTACAGTTATACATCTATGGCAAAATTCAGGATGATTTACTCTTCTTGTACATTTTTGCGAACATTAAAATCAAGTTTAATCATCTTGTTGTTGATCCAGTAAGAATGATATGAATAACCATGTTTTTTCAAAAGAATGATATGGATCCAGGGTTTCATCTTGTTGATCTGTATAACGGTTACTGGATGCGTATGATCCCCCATAGCTTTCCATAGCTTAAAAAAATCCGCAAAGCTTTCCATATGATTCAATGCTTCCATTAAAAAAAACTGGTGCAAAATCGAACGATTCCCATTTTTTCAGTGTGAAGCTATTTTTTGAAGGGGAAACATGGATGAAAGATGATGAAAGCCATGTTTGCTGAAAAATATGGGTGGGCAAGTGAGAAATTAAGTTTGTAAAACGCAAAACCAGCAGAAAATAGCGGGACATTGTCAACTGAGTTCTTCATCTACAATTACAATGGTGGAACCACAGCAACCACAGGCCGCTTGAACCATCCACTGGAGTGGTACCCAAGGGCGCACGGCCGGCCGCGGTGGGAGTGGCTACTGTATCTTCTCGGGCTGCTTGTATTGGCACATACGCGCTTGCTGAGAAAATGCAAGCCCGCATTGGAATTGGAGATCCCCTCACACTACATTGTGTTTGCCAACTCTGAGCTGGACAAGACCAAACGGTTCTCAAGAAGGCCCTTTTTGGTGGCATCAGTGATGACTGCATTCTCCAAATCAGGGTTGGCTGCGATCAGGCACTTGTCTGTGCTTTCCACCAAATCTGTCTTCCCCAGATTCTTTGGTTTCTGCTTGATGGCCCAATGATTAGAAATGGTTTTACTTCGTGTGATCCCCCAACATGGTGGTTTCTTGGCTTTGTGAGTCTATGTACAAGTAACTGGTGAGAATTCCAGAAACCGGAAACCTCAGGGATTCTTTCACCTGCTACTCAGGTGGCAAAATGAAAACCATGGTCAAACAGAAACTCTTTTCGTTGCGCTTGGGACGATTACGAACATATCAAACACCTAGCCGGCATAGAACCCAAGTTGCTCCAAAAATTGGGTTGTTGTCTCTCTACACAAACATAATACGATCATATTTAAAGCGTTTCTTCCAATACATCACACATATCTTCAAATTACATCCAATAAATTTGGGTAAAAGTAATCTCTTTCCCCGGTTCAATTAATCCTCCCGATCGAAAGCTTGGACTAGTATTGGATCATTTTCCCGATCAAAATTATCATTTTAAGGGAGGAATACATTTTTTTTTCAGACATCAACTTGGACATAGTTGCCGAAATATCCCCTTACAGCCATGAAATCTAATTACATCCCATGAAATTCTCTTTCTTTGAGGGTTAGTCACACACAGTTTCAGACAGACCCACAGGATTCTAATTCTATTGGTTAAATTCAACTTTTTAATAACATATGTAATAATACTCTATTCAACTTCTTAGATTCTGGTTTGTTATTGCGTTACCAATTACTACCCATTTTTAGATGAGCCATGTTCCATTGGATGTCACCAAAACCCACCTGGGCGCCCAGATCCTTTGTGCTGCGCAAGGCTGGACAACTACGACCTCGAGGAACTGGGGGATTGAGGGTGTTATGGAATATATATGAATATTATGGGGTTATATATATATATATATGAATATATTATGGAATATATATATATATGAATATTATGGAATATTACTGGAATATATTATATAATTCAGATCTAACTTTATTTTTCATGGGGTTTACACGCCAACAAACATACCTGTGGTGGCCCACCCTCTCGATGTGTTGTCATTTGGGGTTTAAAACCATGGGGGGTTCGGAGAGATGGCTGATGTTAAAATCTAGCCAAGCATGATAGCTGATTGGGGTACCATTCCAATATTCTCCAATAAAAATGAGGGACAGCAACCTAGAACAAGCTGATTCTTGGGGGTCCCCTCACTACCCCGAGAATCTACGTTGAAAATGGAGAGGGCTTCCCAGAAAAGTAGGGATCAAACTTGGGATAACTAAAACTGGAGGGTTAATATTAATCCCAAAGAAAGATAGAAAAAAAAGGTTATCATACTTTATCACTAGTTTATATCGCTATAGTTGATTTGTTTTGCCTATCTTTTTGGACGTATCTGCAGTATATTACAGCGACAAAATGTTGTGGCCGGATTGTGAACTTTGACCCATACCACTGGGATCTACGATCACTCCAATAAACTGGCGATTGCATTTGCAAAAAGAAATGATGATACCACTGATATCACATATTTCGTATGGTTTTTCTCAATGAATGGGGCAGCCTATACTCAAGTCTTTGGGGTGGCGAACTACTCGTGAACAAATTGACCAACCATTCAAATGTCTAAACTTTGACAAGAACAAAGATACAGTTTTTAGTTTAGTTGTTCAGGTTACAGTAATACGTGTACAGTGTACATGTATATATATATATATACCTAGAAGAACCCTTGGGCTTTTTTTTCTGCCCTCAGCGCCTAGGCAGCCGCATAGGCATTTTCACCCGGAAGTTTGCAAAACTCGGCAGATTTACGTATGCATTTTTATCTTTTTTTATCTCAAAATGTTTTTTTGTGCTCCGACGTCATTTTGCGCCTAGGCATTTTTACCCGGAAGTTAGGCGGAAAACCCGAAATCTAGGCGGAAAAAAACGGAATTCGGCAGAATTTTGTTCGAAACATGTTTCTGCACTGAACAACATGAAAAGACCATACAAAAAATTATCAGCCTCGTTTTTTTTTTGGGCCTAGGCATTTATTCTGAGAATCGGCAGAAATCAAAGCCTACAGGCAGGTTAGGCACTTTTTTCTGCCTAGAGGAGTTTGTATGTCATATACACATCTCCCTTTGAGGAGATGACAGTCAAGTAATTTGTTATAGTTAATCTAGACATTGACCTTTTAGAATAATCAGCTATTAATTATAGAAACATGGCGATGTTCCATGTCGCAAGCTATTGGTCATTACCAGAGGCTCCTCCCAAACATCATTCTCCCCCATGATTTCATTGTTGTTTGATGGATAAATCCCAATTTTCCATGGTTAAATCATGGTCAAACCCCCATCTTTCCCCATATTTCCCCAGGCTAACCCCCGAACGCGCGAGCCCGAGGAACGTATGCGGATCAAAGCTTTGGTCATCTGAAACTCCTGGAGGAAGAAACGGGGAGCCATTCAAAGTAGCTCATTTTTTTCTCATGGAAATTCTATGGATTGGTATATGGAGATATTACTTTACTACTATTTTCTAGGCGGCAAATATTAAGGATGGTTCCCCCAATCCTGACCATCATGAAAAGTGACGTCACGACGTGAGGTCATTATGCTCAAATTATTTTCCAGATGATATGGATTGATATATGGGGATATTATGGACAAGATTAGAATGTAAAGATGGATGAAGCCTGATATTTTGGGGTAAACTATTCTCAGAGAAACCCAATTTGCAGCTCCTTGCTACAGGCTGTTGGCGGCTAAACCTACCATTTGGGTATGGTTCTGAACCAACCCATGTATGGTCATATTTTTTTGGTTGGTCTATTGTTGGAATTACCACATAATTATATATAATCATATATAATCATATATATATATGAAATTATTTTTCGCTAATTGTTACAATAATTGTTATTCCTAATTAGATTGATCAGACTGGGTATTTGGAACTGCTGCTCCATCCCAAAGAGGGATGGTCAGGTCAGCATTGCCAATTTAGGTCAGCATTTTTTACCGAATTCCATTTGTCTAATCTTAGATACGTTTGTCCTGAAAACCAAGGCAATTTTAGTTTCGGTTGATTCATCTATAGAAGATAATAGAACTATAAATTCATCAACATCTCAGGGTAGGTCCTTCAATGGTCCGAGTCCAAACGCTGTGTTCACACAGAAAAAACGTTCCAAACCTGGTTGGTGGTGTCAACCATCTTGAAAAATATGAGTTCGTCAATGGGAAGGATTATCCCATATATTGTGGAAAATAAAAAAATGTTTGAAACCACCAATATTAGTCAGTTGGGATTTTCTGAAATTCTCAATATATGGAAACATAAAATTCCATGGTTTCAGTCACCACCAACCAGTGATTATTAACCAGTATTAACCATGATTAACCATCATTACCCCATACTAAACCAATGTTTGAAACCACCAACCAGTTCAAAAAATAACCCACGCAGCGGTGCCTGTGTCTCACGTTGCATGATGGGTTCCTCGCACCAATGGGGCGACGAGGCGTGCAGGAGATGAGCCTTGAACGAGCGACGACGCGAGCTGCGCAGCTGCCGTCCCGGCGGAAAGAATGGTCACCGGTGAAACATGGGTTCCCAAAATATCACATGGTTAGTTTATACATCCCAACAAGATTGAACAAGATTGAAACACAAATATATATAATGTAATATATATATATATATAGTTATATGTGTATATATATATATACATATAACTATGTATATATATTTGTTTATATATATATGTATATCTATATATATATATATAACTATATATATAACTGTATATATACATATATAACTCTGTATATATAACTACATATATATATAACTATATATATATAACTACATATATTATATATATATATACACATTATACATGAAATAACACATTTATTGCCATCCATGCGGGTTCGCTTCCGGGCAAGTAACTCTGAAGTGAACCGCAGACTCAGCCGCCTCGGCGAGCAGGTTACCGTATGGGTAATCAACGGGGTATACATCCAAGAAACAGTTGGTTGGGGATATTCATGGGATATAAGTGTGAATGATAATAATGACCGTGATTTTGTTGTCTAGACGGTTATTACTGGTATAACAGATGGTATATTCGTGGAATACAGAACCAACTGCAATAGATCCGTTCGGGGTTTTCCGAACATGACATGGGGCCCATGTATACCCCGTCGAAACTGATGATCAACCGTTGGATTTTGGGTCGCCACCAAGGCTCAGTTCACCCTCATTCAAATATATAGTTGGTGCTGGTACTTTCATCCACTTCTTTGATGCCGGATTTTGATCCATCCCCAATCAAGATCAATTTCTTTGGTTCAACCACTTTATTTTTTGGGTTTCCACATGTTAAGAATCATGCGCAACAATGAACAAGTAAGTTTTTCCGAGGCTGGCAGACTACCCATTTTAGGGCAACTTAAAAAAATGGAAACCATTTTCTTAACCCAGGGTTGCATGAACTAATTTTGAGATACAGTAACACCAATGAGAAACAATCATCTGGAAGAATCGTCATAATTCACTAGTGTGAAATGATGTCATGTACATTCGTGTGGGGTCATTCCTCTTATCATGTGGTTTCATTTGTGGTGACGTCACCCGGTAAAATCGCTACATTGCAACCAAAATCATTCAGAATGTTAGGCGCTGGAGGGCTTTAGCTAAAGCTCAAACCAGCCTGCTGCTAGCTGGCTGCTGAAGAAATGAGCAAATCAACAAAAATAAATAAACGTAAATAAACGGTGAGAATCACAATGATCATATATAATCATAGTCATAAACAGAAACACATATAAACAAGAAAATACTAGAATAGTAATTCATACGTATAGTATATAAACATAATGACAACACAACACAAAACACAGTAACATATCTCACTCAAATTGGGCAGTCAGCAAAAATGGTAGGCCTTATCCGCACACGTTGTTGGGTACGGGTATGGGTCATGTTTCCCCTTCCGTAATGCTTTAAGATTCTTCAAGACAGACACAAACAGATATAGTACTTGCCATACTACACTCGATTGGCTATATCCTATTGTTGTTGCGTGTCCCTTCGCTGCCCTCATAGGCATGCATGTGTTGCTTTCTTGCTTGAGATATGCACACCCTAGATGCCACTTTGGAAATTTGAGTTTGGGCGAGGGTGGGTGTGGGGCTATCAAAATTCTGTTGCACTTGCACAATGCGCTGCCTAAAGATGTGGGAAGGGCCTGTTGTAAGCGGCAGAACATGGCATTTTTCTTGCAAATGCTAAATAAAATTAATCCAGATATGAACAGGTTGCACTTTTAAGCACAAACTTTCCACCCAACATCACCCAACTATGTACAAAAAAATGTCAACAAACCAGAAGGTCAGGTGTTTATTAAGAAGCTCTTGGATGTAATCTAGTTCCATGCAATCCCCATGCAAAGCCATATTTAACCATATTTTTTGTTTAAGATTTAAGACTCACCTTGTGAATTGTGTTGCCCTTATGGAATGCAATGTAGTAGGTGCATCAGAGTCAGAAGGTAAAGGATCATTTTAAAATACACACAATTCAGGAATACATATATTGAAATATATTTGCACCTTCATACCACTGATATAGTTGCATGAACCTGTCCACTATCCCTTGCAAAATATCACGTGTTTTCTCAAAAAATACAGGATTTCCCTCAAAAGAAGTACAGCCTTCCTTTGCAGGGGATATATGTTTCTGAAGTATGTAGCATAAATTTAACATATTGCATTCCTGTTCTAAATGCAATATTAAACGCATCAATGAAGCCTTCCCTGCTTGCAAAGAAGCATTTGTCATTCTTTTGCAATTTTCCTTTGAGTAAATTAAATGTTTCTTCAACACGCATTACCCCTACAAATTATGGAGGAATCCTTTAAAAGATGCAGCATTCCTTTTGAAAAAGGGCACTTTTCTCCCAAATGAGGCAATAATCCTGCACCATATGTAGTAGTAAATTTCGTGAAGCCCTGTTTATTTGCCCAATATGCGTTTATGGTCCAATTCTGTTAGCGGGGGGGGTCAATATGCGTTTAAGGTGTATCAAAAAAAAAAATCGTGTGCCATGAACGCATATTGGGGAATCTAACCACTTATGTCAGGAAAACCCACTTACCAACATTTACCATGAATGCAGGGAACCATCGAAAAAAAATAGTACATGTTGCGAGGTCCATTTTTTGTGTAATATGCGTGTTTAATGTATTTTGGGTGGCAGGGACCTTAATTTCCCTTTTCAGTGTGAAGTAAGATTTTGGCGGATTTCTGCCAGCTATACCAATCAACCATGTGATTTACTGGGTTTGAGGAAAAATACCATCGGATTGTGTGAGGATATTTCTCAGGATATCCACATATATTGAGAGAAAGTTCTTGTGGCAGTCAGAATATCCTGAACGTACATCAAGACAGTTTCCAATATTTTTTGGATGTATATGATAAAACTATATAAAACTGTTTAAAAGAAAATGAACAACATGGCAACATGTTCAAAGGATAAAATGGGGCATTTTGGCGAATGTCACTTTTGGAAAATGATGGAAATTTCTTTTTTACGGATACCATCACAGTTTCCGAAGGATAAAACAATCTCTGAGGATCAGAATTTTCTGAGAAATAATTCTCTGACGGTATCATCATAAAGCATCTAGGATGTTCTAGGATTCTAGGATATCAGCAGAACCTCTGGGGGATACATTCAGAAATTTCTGAGGGTCATCAGATTTATCTGAGGATATCATGAACCATTTCCGAGAATATCAGAATTTACAGATGATCATCAGAACGTTTGAAGGATATCATGAGGAGTTTATCAGGATACCATTTTCGCGACATGCATCAGGTAATTTTGAGCACGGAAAAAGAGGCAAACACAACAAGTAAAACAGCGCGTGCTGTATGTATACAAAATAACGGCATGCTTTGTGTTTGTTTTTCCTTTGAGAATCAGATTTGCCAAGGTTCATCATTCTGACAATCTCTGGATATATCTGGTGATTGAATATCAAATACATTTGATGATTATCATCATGTTTTGGTTTATTTTAAAATAAATATAGCTTTGATGGTCAGAGAAAAACAACAAAACAAGTAAAACACTGCGTGTTGTCTGTGTACACAATAGGGCCGTGCTTCGTGTTTGACTTTGCTCTTGGAGAAACTTTTTTGCAAGGATCGTCGTGCTGACGAACACCGGATATATCCAATAATTATTGGAATTGTCGGACCCTCAGAATTTTCTGAGGATCGTCATCCCCAGAACTTTCTGAGGATCCTCATCCTCAGAATTTTCTGAAGACCCTTATGCTGAGAATTTTCTGAAGATCCTCATCCTCAGAATTTTCTGAGGATCCTCATCCTCAAAATTTTCTGAGGATCAACATCCTCAGAATTTTCTGAGGATCGTCATCCTCAGAATTTTCTGAGGATCGTCATCCTCAGAATTTCCTGAGGATCCTCAGAATTCTCTGAGGATCGTCATCCGCAGAATTTCCTGAGGATCCTCAAAATTTTCTGAGGATCGTCATCCTCAGAATTTTCTGAGGATCCTCAGAATTTTCTGAGGATCGTCATCCTCAGAATTTTCCGAGGATCCTCAGAATTTTCTGAGGATCGTCATCCTCAGAATTTTCTGAAGATGGTCATCCTCAGAATTTTCTGAGGATCCTCAGAATTTTCGCTCAATAAGCGTTTTTTTTCATGAATATGTGCAAAAAAAAAAGCTTATTTTCAAACAAAAAAAGGCTTATCGAGTGAAAATTCTGAGGATCCTCAGAAAATTCTGAGGATGACGATCCTCAGAAAATTCTGAGGATCCTCCGAAAATTCTGAGGATGACGATCCTCAGAAAATTCTGAGGATCCTCAGAAAACTCCGATCCTCAGAAAATTCTGAGGATCCTCAGAAATTTCTGAGGATCCTCAGAAAATTCTGAGGATGACGATGATGATCCTCAGAAAATTCTGAGGATAACGATCCTCAGAAATTTCTGAGGATGCTCAGAAAATTCTGAGGATTTTCAGGAAATTCTGAGGATGACGATCCTCAGAAAATTCTGAGGATCTTCACAAAATTCTGAGGATGACGATCCTCAGAAAATTCTGAGGATCCTCAGAAAATTCAGAGGATGACGATGACGATCCTCAGAAAATTCTGAGGATCCTCAGAAAATTCTGAGGATGAGGACCTCAGAAAATTCTGAGGATAAGGATCTCAGAAAATTCTGAGGATGACGATCCTCAGAAAATTCTGAGGATCTTCACAAAATTCTGAGGATGACGATCCTCAGAAAATTCTGAGGATCTTCACAAAATTCTGAGGATGACGATCCTCAGAAAATTCTGAGGATCCTCAGAAAATTTTGAGGATGACCATCCTCAGAAATTTCTGAGGATCTTCAGAAAATTCTGAGGATGAGGACCCTCAGAAAATTCTCAGCATAAGGATCTTCAGAAAATTCTGAGGATGACGATCCTCAGAAAATTCTGAGGATCCTCAAAAAAAGCTGATGATTCCTCGGGGAAATCTGAAGGCTCCTCCGAAAATTTTGGGTGTTCCTCAGTAAATTTGGAGGAGTCTCCAGAATTGTTTGTTTGATAACCATCAAAAAGTTCTGATATATATATATATATATATTTGAAATTATGCTAGTCAAGGATCAGTTTTTGTTGCAACACATCAGCTACAAAGTGCGAGGATATTTTGTAGCCGATATTTTCAGCGCAAATTGCGACAGTTTTCTGCGGATATCACCAGCGTCTTATCATAACCTTTCTGAGGATATCATCGGAATTATCATCAGAAATTTGTGAGGATTATCGGACCTGTCTGGGGATATCATCAGAATAATTTCTCACGTTACCAGCCATAAACTCTGGGGATATCATCAGGATTTTCTGATACCAACCCAGAGGATCAGCATATAGTTTCTCAGGATGTCACATGATATCATTATCACCAAAGTTTTCGGAGGATAACATCAGAATTTCACTATAGGGACCGTTTTTTTCAAAATTTGAGAGCGCTTCAAACCGTTTGGCTTTGAAAGATGGGGGCGGTTGTCCTCAGACTTGTTTGTTCGTTATTGGTGCCCGCGTGCCAACATGAATATGCTGTTTCTTCATGAAGCGTTTGTTCATTTGACTTTCCGGGATAATGATAATAACATTTAGTTGTGAGAATGCTGCTCAGGATCATCCAGCGGATAAGATGCTCAGGATCATCCAGCCGAGAAGCATGCTATATTGAGATTCCATTGCAACAAAAATAAAATTTAAATGACTATATCAACGCAGATTGGCATATAGGAAAGTGAATATTTTTGTGGTTGTGTCACTTCCAAACAGGCGATATGCAAATTTACAGTCTAATTTGTCAAAAAGGAAAACAGCAAACGTTGTTTTTCACTCTCCAAGCGCTCAAAACGCATATAGCGCAATCATTATCAGAAAATTGAATAAACCTTAAGCTCAGGAATGGCAAGATCTGACAATGTTTGCGGGTTGAATGTCCGGGCAAGGCCCTGCACATACCACCGGGAAAACCACTTGCTCAATATGCGTTTTCAACTTAGAATCATCGAAAATTAAGCGCAAAAACCTTCCATTTTGAGCTTTCATGTAGTCAAAACGCTTATTGAGGGTCCACCCTCAGAATATTCGCTAAAATTAGGGTTCACGAAATTCCTTAATATGTAGCGTGCTTTTTAACTTGCAGCCACTACTGTTTTAGTATGCAGAATCTATGTCAAAAAGTGCAATGCATCATCACAATATTCCCTGAAAATCCTGTAAGGATGACTATATATATTGCTTACAAATGGCAGTTATTCTATCAGACAATATGGCATTATTTGGATCAAAGAAGCCATGCTCCAGCAAAAATGAAGATCATTTTCTTGACGCATGTAGTATTCCTATTGGAAAGGTTCAGTCTTCCTTGCTTGTTGTATTCTTAAGACCAGCTCTTTCTCTAAAGGAAGTATTTCTTTTATCTGATATGACAGAATTGTGCATTCTTCTTAATCAATTGTGTCCATCATTTTGCAAAGGGTACTCCCCAAAATAATGCATGAAATTCCAAAGGAATTCATACCATTTCAGAAAGAGTGCTGCATATGCAAAAGGATTATATTTTGGAATAAAGTGCCATTGTCTCAAGATAATATTGTATCTCAGTCAGGGAGGTTATATTATTTGGAGAACAAAGAATATGTTTTACATTCTTCAAGAAATACCATACTCTTTTGATAAAGGGACCCCTCATTAACAAAAAAAAAACTATATACACAAAAAAAATCTTGAAATTTGACATGAGGGTTTAATGTTTGCGGGAATATTGCACCTGTTTCAAGAGATGATGCATTTTCTTGAAGGAACATATTCCAGATAGTTAAGACAAGTTCTTTTCAAAGAATGCCATGATCACTAGAACAGATCACCGCATGTACAAATGAAACTGGATTTGAAATGGTGTTGGAATCTGCCAGTAGAAGGCTCCATGTTTTCTATGCAATCCTGTATGTGTTGAAGGTCTTTTTCAACATATTACGGCACTCTTTTCAAACAGAAATTGCACTACTTCAAAGGGAATGCACAAAGTCAGGCCGCACTCTCTTTATGGAATGTCATATTCTTTAAAAAATGCGACTTGGATTCATAATGATTCATAGATGTTGGGTGACTGTATGCAAAACAATGCTGAACCCATATCCTGAGTGCACTTTGTTCGCTTCATTTTGTTTCAATTGTTGCGGCATTTTTTGAAAAGTGCCAAACCCTTCAGAAAACTAGATTAACAAAAAAAACAAATTGCTCTCTGAGCATCTGATGTTATCCCAATTTGGGGAAAAGAAGGCCGGAACTAAGTGCCGGAGTCATGAAGTAGAAGGTTCTGATCTGGATTAATCAGGATTAATCCAGATCAATCAGGATCAGACCAAAACCTCGAGAAAACAAAAAAACAAAAACACCGATTTGGCAACTAGTCCAGAGGTCAGAGTAGTTGTGGAAACATTGTTTTTTCTGTTGTTTTTTTTGGTTTGGATTAATTCTGATTAATCAGGGTTAATCTTAAGTGAAAGTGAGGCAGAACATATTGTTGCAGTGCCACACACATGGTTTTGTGAAAAAACGTGTGGTAGCCGACAGTCAGAACGGACTGTTTGACCATAGATATGGAAGGAATTGTTGTGTATATGGATTTCTTCATTGAATTTCTACCCCAAAAGCTTGAAATTCACCGCTCACAACAGGCCTTTCCGAAAAACAGATCTCGCACTTACACACATATTTCATACAACGCAATCAACAATTTCCCCTGCACTGAGTACTTGCAAACATACTTCATACTATACTACCAAGGAATCTAGATATATAGGTCTATTGCACTTGCACACATACTTTACATTACGCTAGTCAGGATTGCTTGGGTGCTTGCAAACGCACTTCAGACCGCGCTACCAAGCAAATATTGTAGTTGACACATTGTGTTTTCATTCAGGCACCTGCACACATACTTCAAACTGCACTAACCAGAACATCTCTTGCACTTGCACACATACTTCAAACTAGGTACCAGCGCTGATAGCGGACTCGATGTTCTTAATGTTTTTTTATCTCAACCATTCTTCATTGATTTGTTTAAAACTGTGGCGCCGTGACGATTTTGTTGTTTTGTTTTGAATTAGAAATGGTGTTTTTGTCCCACGTTACGCTAGGAATTTATTCATTGATCATTGAATTCTATTGGGCTACATAATTTGCATTTGTGGATTTGGAAAACGGAATGAAACACGGCGTTTTTTCCTCTTCTTTTTCTCTCTTCATGGGTTCAGCGCGACATCAAGAGCGTGTGGCAAGTCACAAGAGGCATGTTACAGCGTAGCATCAATCTGTGTGGCAAGTGACCAGAGACATGTTACAGCGTAGCATCAAGAGCGTGTGGCAAGTGACAAGAGACATGTTACAGCATAGCATCAAGAGCGTGTGGCAAGTGACAAGAGACATGTTACCGCGTACCCCTTGCCCCCCCCCCCCCCCACCCGGTTCCCCAAGAAAATCACACTATCCTTCGTGCACAACTTCTAACTGACGTGTGCAACTTCTAACTGACGTGCGCAACTTCTAGCTGACGGGCAATGCAACAGCGAAAAACAGCAAAACCTGCGGGTCCGTTAACAGCGCTGGTAGCTCAAGGGGTAGGCTACCAACTATTTATATATATATATATGTATTTATATGTATATTTAAATATATATATATATATACGTGTAGGTGTTTGCGTACGATATGTATATATAAATATATATATATATATTGTAAGTGCACACATCCTTTACACTTTCATAGAAATGGGGAAAGTCATGTGGAAAGTCATGTGGATTTTCAAGGGTCTCAGAATGTGTGTATATATAAATATATATGATACATTATAGACATAATAGAATACATTAATATGCATTGTTTCCATCAGATTCTCCTGATTGCAGATTAAGGCATTAGTTAAAAAATACAAGATAACCTTCAAATACCAATGGTTCTTCCAGCCAAGGAACAAACCTATTTTATTAGCCAATGGGCTGAACGGATGTCCTGACAAACAAATGTTTGTTACTCCCAAGACCATCCTGCAACAAATCCTCCTTCTGGAGCTGGTTGGTACACCCATTCATAGCCACGAAACTTTCCGTCCAAGGTCTACCCATAAGTTGTTTTTATATTTGATTCACATTACTTCCCACTAAGGCCCCATTCCCAGTTATAAACGGTTGTAAACTGTTATAAATGTAGTTATTGTTCGAAATCTCTTCCATTTTCATGGGCTTATAACTGGCTTATAAGTGGTGTTTCGGGCCTGAACGGTGGCCGTGAACTGCGCTCCCCGGCACGGCCCAGTTCCATGGGGCCACCGCTGAACATGTCCTCGACGGGGATGTAGTGAATGGATTGAAGCAACTGATGGTTTACAACGAACTTTCATGCTTTAACTTTAACTCCACGATAATGAATGTGATCATGTGATATATAGTGATGTGTATATATAATAATTATATATAATTGTACATATACATAAACATATTCCATAATTAGTATAAACAATATATGTGATATATGGGCCAAGAACGAAGCAACTAAAATTAAATGGTTATCCGTTACCGAATGCTGTCGAACTCCATAGGACCATGGGGGGCCTCTCGGGGATGGGATCAACAGCAAATCGATGGGAGTCTAACATGAATTATATGATGTTAAAATTGACTGAAATGTATATAACATGTTGGAATGCATATGTTCTTCAAATTAATTGACACTTGAAATCAAACATGTTTTGTCTATGGAAACTCTTGTTTCAACTTAGAGTATCTTAAAACCATAGTCAGCATGCATTACCACAATGGTTGGATATCCACGTCCCCGCAAATTGAGGATAAACAACCAAAAAACGAGGAATACGGCAAACATTGGCAAACCCAATAACTAATACATCTCATCTCCCCTTTGAGGATGGTTTATACATGTTTATACCACTTATACCACCCATGCCTGGCAAAATTTAGGGCTTGATCTTATGTTGTTTATCCGGAGGGTGGAGCATCCATTGTTTTGGGGGGCAAGAAAGTTTGACCCGCAGCTGTCAGCTATTCGGACTGAGAGCGTGACAATTGTATGCAACCAGGATGGCATCAGGAAAATGAACCAAATCAGATTGCAACATTTGATAAGAAGTGGACACTAACCCTGAGACCATCTATACACATTAAAACAAAAACTTATTGTATAGATGTGATAGCAAGTATCTACCATAATGGGGTACTCCCAATAGTCAACCATCCCCAAGTCATCACTATCAATTGGTGCTTCAAACCATCCACAGCCATTGTAGGTCTATGGCATTGGCTTGTTTTTCACATTACCCATTCTATATAAGGTATAGTTCCAGGTATTCAGCCACAGAATAGTATAAACAAGTCTATGGTTAACTATATATATACATACACACCATATATGATGTATACATATATAGCTATATAATGTTATACATTTACATATACATATATATATATACACTATATATATAATGTATACCATTTATAGTTACATATATGGAAGATTCCTGAAATGGTGGTATCCCTAAATCATCCATTTAATATAGTTCAATAGGATTTTCCGATTTTCCATTATAAACCAGCCAGCGATTGGGGATCCCCATTTATGGAAGCCGCCATAAATAAATATATATATATATACGTTATATATATATATTGGTAAATTATAATATTTCACTAACCTGAATTAAAGCCCTACAAGGGGATGATTTCCGTATAATAACCATGATTCCAGGGTTCGGGAGAACAGTGATGTCGTTATAAGTTACCCAAAAATATGTATAATATATATATATATATACATATACTGTATATCAATTGTCTCAAGCCATTGCCGGATGTGTGTTGGTTTGCGGCAGGTGGGTATCGATGAAACTTGACATACACCGTCACCGTCTCATATAGACGGGTATATATATATAATTATCTATATATGGGCCACGGTGAACATTTGGTATATAGCTCCAAGTCATCAATTTTTGAAGAGTGCTGAGTGTATTATCGTTTTTCAGGTTGTGGTATATAAGCAAAGATTATCGTTTTTTGAAGAGTGTATTATCGTTTTCCAAGCCCCAGCTCAATTTCCAAAAAATAAAGATGTCTCGAATACTACTCTCCATTAACCTAAATTTTGGCTGTAGCTCATATGTATATATATATATATAAATCTCATATCAAATCCTCCAAGCTTTCAGCTTTTCTTCACCTTTCCATCCCGGCGTCCTGACGCCAAAAGCCTTGATCCACGGCACCCAAGGCTGTGTAGTCGCAGGAGTCCAAGAGTTCCTGCTACGACAAATGGCCGGGATGGCTTATGTTTTTTCGAAAATCCTTCTATAAATGGAAAAAATCTATAGAACATATGGGGGGTCCAGAAATGGGGTACCCCAATGTCTGGATGCTTTAGAATGGAAAATCCGAGACACAAATGGATGACTTGGAAGCCCCCATCTTGCTCTGGGTAAATTATAGTGACCTCACTATGGATGATGACTATTGATAACTATGATGATAACTCGAAAATCTATCGACAATTCCAGTCTATAGAAAATCTATTCTATTGATAACTGGGGGTAGCCCTACTTTTTTGAAACCATATGTCATCTCAAGAACTGCGTTAAACATTGTCATGTGGGGATACCATGGTGATATTTGATGTATACTATGACATGATAGAACTATGCATATTGGGATATTAGCCTCCCAAACATATGAACACCTATCTGGAAATATTGAAAAGCCACTAAGAATGGTACTGGTTGGTTACAGCTCCCATATAGGATTCCACATGATTGGAACAAATGTATATGCTCATCATACCATATTAATACTAAGTAGTTAGAGCAATGCAATTGATGTCAATGACCACATAATTGGAACATATTATACTTTAACAATAAACATAGAAACGTTCGTAGGACCCCATCTCAAAGGCAGTATGAAAAATAATAAATGAGCATCGGAAAAACATGAACTGGTTACAAGAACTTACCTGAAGAGAGACTTATGTGGACGATTGGATCTGGAAAACCATGTGGATTCTCCCAGCCAGTGTCATTTAGGGTCCTGTCCAAGGGGCTGTTCAACAATTGGAAAAACAGGTGCAAAAGGACTTTTTGATCTGGCATGGCAAAAAGGTCAGAAACCTGACAGGACCGAGCTAGGGGGCTTCAATTTTTTACCGAAAGATCACACATGTGCATATCCTTTTTCTCCTCGACTGAAAACATGTCCTTGACGTAAATAGTGAACGCATATGTCACAAACCCATTCGAACCCTCTGAAACTGATGTCTGGTCTATTGCTCTATCTTGCATGCAATTTCAATATAATCCAAAACATGTCAGTCAGCACGGTTTTTGCTTACAAATAATATATGCCTTTACCTGTTGCTGAAACGGATGTTGGATCTGTTCACATATTTTTCAAGTGCATGAAGGATCATATCTACCATTGCCAAAGCTAAACAGGTAAACCACATTTGATCATTTCTGGGTAAATTTTGGAATATACATGTAGCATAAATTACAATCTATATAATTGGGGATTCCTTAGAATGGGGGATCCATAGTCGTCACCATGGTTGTTTCAATACTAAGATGGTCATGAATGACTGGATGAGTTAGCGGTACCCCTATGGATTGGAAACCTCCAAATATCCACAAATTAAACGATTTATGGGGATTGAAACATCAATTTTCCATGATATGTTGAGTGATTTAACCATCAAAGATGATTTATGGGGATTTGCAAATCTCAATGATGTTGGGCACATTTGGGGAGCCTTCACTGACTATGAATTATGGGACTGCGTTGGCTGCGTTGGCCCGGTGGTAGATGCCATCCTGGCACACAACTTCAGCCTTCCCCAGATGAGCCATGTTCAAAATGTCTTACATCCTGGCACCAAAGAAGGAAATGCTTATGCCATTGCTTACGTTTTGCTTACGCGCGCACAGGTTTTGCTGACGCGCATATCTTGTCTTGCGCGGAGCTTACGCTGGCTTACGCACACCACAGTTTGCTTACGCCTTTAGAACGTGGCTCAGATATGTTTGTTGTTTTTCAGACATTCGAACCCCCACTCACTCTAGATATGTCATGATATACATCTGCCCATGAAACCCTGGAATTCATCAAGTTCAAACTTCAAAGTTAGTTTATTAACCCCATGAATTAACTAAAGTTATACCTTTACTATAAACTTAGCTATTAACCCCCATGATTATAACACCAAAGTTATAGCCCTATCATTACTATCAGCTATTACCTAAAGATAGACGAGTTTTTACCCATGACCGCAAAAGTGCTATTATCATTACCCATTACCTATTACCCATGATTACCTATTACTATTATCATTACCTATTACCCATGATTATTATTACCCATATTATCCATGATTAGTTATTAGTTAACTATGACCCTATCATTACTATTATCCCTATTAGCTAACTATTAGTTATTACCCATGATTTCAACCCATAGACGACACCCGAAGAGTTCCGCCACGAGTTCCGGCACCTTGGCAGCGCCGGAGTTGATGCCAAGATCCAGCATCCTGTGAAAAGAAAAACCGCCGGGTGCCGGGTCTTCAAATCGCTAGGAACTCATGGATGAAAACAAACAGGATATGGAACATCTATGGAACATCTATGGAACATGCATGGAATATACATGGAACATGTATGGAACATATGGGCATGGAAAATCGCCCATGTAGTTCGATGATTTCTCTATGAGAAGATGTGATTTCCTTAGCAAACTATGAAATTATCGGATCCGTTCCCGTTACGTTCATAGTATCAAATACCCTCTAGAAACAGTTGGTTGTACTGGCCCTATTCATCTTGAAGGTCCAAAATAAGAAATAAGGGAAAATGTTTAAAATTTCAGTTTATAGGGATAATTGCAGGCCTACAAAGTGTAGTCCCTCAGTTGCAAGTTGGTTTCTGTTCATGTTCACATTCAACTGCAGAGATATCCACCACAAGTCCTAGTTGCTGAACTGCAGTTGTAAACAAAAAGAAACCTTTCAACATTGTAGCCTTGTAGCCACCAATAATTCCCAGAATAGATTAAACTGTGTATAAAGCCTTCGTCACAAACTGTGTATTAAACTTGGGTTGAACAAGAAACATACACATGTAAAATTCAAAACCAGGACACCTCCTCTGTTCAACAGGTACGTACATCAATAACCCACAATAGATGGTTTTGGAATGTTTTTGAAACCAACTATTTTGCTGAATATGACGAATGCATTGTCGTTCGCGTCGGCCAGAAAGTAGATCATATAATGAAAATACTATCTGCCATCTGCCTCTGAATTTTTTTGAAATCAAAAAATCTTGAATTGGATTGTACAGTACCTCCCTCCAGTACACCCTGATTGGTGCGTTTTTCTGAAGTGGACACGCATCGATGTGCAACGTGAGGACCATGAAACAACGAAGCCTTGAAGGACTGTCACTTAGCGAAGCGTGGGTTTGTAACCCTGTCCCAGTTCCCACCATTTGTTAGGGGACTTTTCACTACCTTTTTATGGAAACAACCATGGTTATTTCTGCTTCTTTGGCGTTTCAGGAAACAATAAACCAGCAATAGTCTTAAGGAATCCCTCCCCCCAAAATAGAAACATATCTCTACAGATTTCCCAAGTAGATCAAGCAGTGGATTTCCCTTTTGAAAAATAACGCATAACCTTCAGCAAATCAAGGTAGTTGCCCAGCTGCCTATCCAGCAGCGTGAACTTCTCAGCAGCTGTTCTGTAGCAGCGCCCTGTGAAGCCAAACCTCAACAGAGTGCTTGGACGACAAGCTGAAACGTAGTAAACATCCTACTGAGATAGACGGTTGTAATTTTATATTTATGGGTGGTAGGATATGTATATATACACTGGTAGGACACAGTGCACATGTTTGGTTTCTTCTTCTGCACACCCTTTCCCCTCAGAATCCTAGCATGGAGCTTTGTCGTACCCCGGTCGAATTTCCACCATCCATTAAAAGCTTTCAATCTTATAGATTTAAAAGCGGGTGACAATTGACCGTCCCACCTGCCACACGAAATGGACTTGGAAATGTGATCCACGGTTGACAGAGATGGATGCTTTGTCAAGCTTTCAAGAAGCATAAACTTTGTTCCTCCTGAAGTATATATATATACACACACACCGTACACATATTTGAATCTGTAAATGTATATGCATATGTATGCACGTAGACATATGTATCAAAATAAAGGTATCTGGGGCAGCTACAATCGCCGATCAACCGCGAATCAAACGCGATCCCAATGTTGTCAATCGCGGCAATCGCGGAGCAATCGTGGATCAACCGCGAACCAATGGCGGATTTCATCAACATTTTTTGAAAATTCAATTGATCTGGGTTGTTAGACTTTGAACATAGTTGTTCTGAAATGTAACATAATTATGATGCCATTGAAATAAAATATTGATTTCTCCTCTTACAACAGTCGATTCTTATACAACAAATGTTTGTCTCAATCGCGAACCAATCGCCGATCAATCGCGACGCATGGTTTTACAATGTCTTACAGTCGCGGATGATGAAATACACATGCTCTTTCATAATTCTTGGACTTGCATTTGCGATCGGCTCCCATATGTATGTGTAAATATAATATGCATACATACACAATCATAAACATTGTGTCTAAACATCAATCGTGGAGATTTAACCATCAAAACGGAGGGGGGTTAACCAGCAAATTCAGATCTGATGAATACTTTCAACCAATAACATAGCCGGGTTCAAACATCAAACCTGTTTTTTTTTTTGTGGCAAAAAAAGAGGATGGGCTGATCTACCCCAACACTTTACAGTACAGATTTTCCCATTCTCCGATGAAACTAGGATTCCCTGGATCCACAATCATCGCTTAGCGCTGAAACAGCACCCGGGGTGTGCTACGCAGAATTTGTTTCTAGTAGCTCAAACGACATTTGAACAAAAAAACACAACACAACCTTGTAAAACATCCTCGTTGTATACCCAGTTCCAGTGATTATAACCCGAACTCTTCCAGTTGTAAATGCACGTCATTTGTAAGTCCATGCCTGGGGTCATCTTCAAGCAATGGGGCCTTGTCTTTCCCAATCTGATTTGGCTTCAGCAGAAAGGAAACCACTGGGTTTCGTGATAATCCCCAATATATTAGACTTTTCTAGATATATTAAGATATTGCACTTTATTAGATAGATAGATAGATAGATAGATAGATCGATAGATCGATAGATAGGATAGGATAGGATAGGATAGGATGGGATAGGATGGGATAGGATGGGATAGGATGGGATAGGATGGATAGATAGATAGATAGATACATATATATATATATACATTATAGTCATATATGTATCATTCCCAACCTAATCAACTGTTGTTTAGACTCCCTTGAAGGTACCAGTCTTCCCATCATTCCACCAAGCTACTCGGTGCCATACCAAATCTCTGGCATGCCATACTGAGTGAAGCCCCAAGCCTTGCTTCGATTTGGGGGGTACCCACCATTTTAGGACTGTAGTTGGATATACCCAATGGGAATTAAAACACTTAACATGACACTAAGAATATACCCTTGTGTTTGTTTGGGATCATTAGACCTTTTGAAGATTCTGAAATCACATATATGGAATATACCTTGGAGTTTTCCAGTGTTTTCATTGCCAGAGGTCTTAAACTCTACTGAATTCCAGTGCAATTTTGCTCAGCTTCCGGCCAAGGACACTGACAAACCTCAGTGCGGAGTTCGGCAAATATGGAAACAAAGAATACCTGAAGGCGCTGGTCCTATTGATTTGTTGTACCTACCCTACAGTATTCAATCATATTGTAACATATTCGAACAAGACTTGGCTAGGCAAATGGTAGTGAAAAAAACTCTGGACCACTACCTTGACCATGTTGCTGTGAGTGCTAATCTGTTTTCTTCTCCAATAAAGCGGATTCAACGCTTTTGAAGAAAGGTTGGCAGCATCATACCATACCAGCATTGACCCACGAGTTGGGCATCATTCCATGCACTTTTGGTTTTCCGAACGAGATTCGCAGTTCGTGGATGACGCTAGTCCCCAATGTCATGGATAGATTTGCATATATTTGGATAGCATAATCTGCCATCATAGTCAATCAACAGGGGATTTGAACACTGCTCAAAAAGATTCAATAAGAATTTAAGTAATAAATGAGATATGGTGGGGAAGTTAACTTGAACCAATCAACCCAATGTTCATTGTGAGATTTGATCTGGACCCATTTTCAACTCCCCAAACTTGGAATCCGCCGGCCTGCCGGCGTGTTTTGTGGATGTTTTTGTGATACATCTTGTGATAGATTTTGCTTCACCTATGGATTGTTTTTTCGACAGATGTTCATTTTCGCTGCCCCATCCCCCTTCTCACGCGAAATAGCACTGACATGCACTGACCTTATTTACATCATCATCAACATCATCAACAACAGTTCTCTGGTTGGTGGTTTCAACCCCTCTGAAATACAGTATTAGTCAATGGGAAGGATTATCCCATATATTATGGAAAATGAAAAATGTTTGAAACCACCATTAACAGTTCTCTTCCTTCATCTTTCATCCCATGTCCGTCTTCTCTTTCCTCCAGCTCGCCGATATTCGCCGATGGCATTACCAAACACTCATCGGCCTTGCAGCTGAGCTGCGCCAGGCGTCCTCATCGGGGCTCTGGGACAACAGCCGCGGCCTCAGGGATTCAACTTGCTTCATGGTGCCATGGGGATAGAAGATATATGAAGATATCATGCACTTGAGAGATGTGGTTTATCCATGTTTATCTCATTATTTCTAGGGTATCCAGGATATTTATCCATGTTTATCCCATTATTTCTAGGGTTTCAAGGGTTTCAACATGTTTCAACTATCCGACTATGGTGGCGCAGGATCTCGCAACCATCCACAGATAAAATGCTGATGACATGTCGGCGAAATGAGGAATTTTTAACCACCAAATATGGTGACATGCAACAAGATATGGGGAGATGAACCACCAAATTGGCGATACAATCAGATATAAATTTATATACTCCATATATATATATATATACTCCATGTATATATATATATATATATACACATCAACAGCATATACAATATAATATATCTGTATATATATATATATGGAGATAGAACCAACCAAGAGGGCTGGTAAGGCCGGCCTAAGCCTGAAAAAACAACCTCGCCACCTCGGACATGATGACTTTCGGGGATCACCTTTAGGGAGGGGCTCTGAATGTTGTTTATAACACTGACAGACAAATGTGGTTTATAACTATTAGTAGCTCTATACACCTATTAATAGCATATTCATAGCATATTCAGAGCATATTTATAGCATATTCATAGCATATTCAGAGCATATTCATAGCATATTCATAGCATATTCAGAGCATATTCATAACATATTCATAGCATATTCATAGCATATTCATAGCATATTCATAGCATATTCATAGCATATTCAAAGCATAGTCATAGCATATTAATAGCATATTAGGATACGCTATGAATAGCTATCTATAGGAGACACGCTGAGCCCTCCGGCTCTCGGAGGGATTCCACTGCCGTCCAGGTAGACCTGGAGGAACATCTTTCGGTGGCGCGCCGTGGAACATGTTTATATATATATATATACATCATATATATAATATATACATCATATATACATCATATATACATCATATATACATCATATATACATCATATATAATATATTATATATGTAAGAACTGGGATGTAACTATCAAACATGGGAAACATGCTGGAAACAGGGGATTTGATCATCGATTGTCAAACATAGGGCTCAACAAATAAATAATTGACATAGGTTTGTGCAGGAATCGGGTATACCCCAAGTTATTGTCGTAACAATATGTGTGCAGGGAAAATGATGTGTGAATCATTGCGTTTACTGTAGTCTAGTTTTCTTTCTATCATTTCCAAACAAAACCATATGTTCGTCAATTAGTCCATTGGAGCCCAATTATCTTCCATTGTTTGTAGATGAGTATGTCATCTATGTCATCGTTCTACATTTGCTAGCTGGAGAATGATGGATTATATTGTACCAACATCTGTATGTAAACAGCCCTCTGATCCAACATGATAATGTGGATAGCTAGTAGTACTGACCACAGAATTGAATGTAAAGAACAATATGCAAACATATGTTGAACAAGAGGCCGGTTCATTGCATCAATGTATGGAGAGTGGGGGTTGGATCTATACCATTTACCTCATGGGAGTACATATCCCTATGTGGTTGGCGAACTTCTCCACTTAGTTTTCTAGTGTCCTAAGTTGAGTTTACTGGTAACCTCTGGATCTATTTGGGACATTTGTATAGCCATCTCAAAATTGATTGAACTATATAGTTGGAAACTTGCGACTTCGATTGCAAAATGTTGTAAATATCATCAGGCCTCTTCCAAACACCCCAGAAACAAGGAAGAAAACTGGCTAAGTCAAGACAAAAATACTCCCTTACCACACCACACACGTGGTTATGATTCACCACTGGAGCCCTGTTCAAATGTATGATATCGACCATAAATCCTGTTAATTGTCAATGTAAACCAACAAAACCCTGTGGAATTTGCATTATTGAAAAAAACAACAATCTTTTTGATGATGGTTGTGAGGTGCCAAGGGGCTTCAAATCTGCTAGCGCTTCGATGTCCCTTCGAACCTGACGCGGAAAGAAATTAGGGATGATGAGAGAAACAGGTATAGTTCGCAAGCTTTTATCCTACAAAATCACCGGATTTCTCAAAAGTCAACGTTTTAAGCGAAGCCGGTTTTATCTAATCTTGAAGTTCATGCGTTTTTTTCGCGTTCAAATAAACTTGGGAATTATCTAACACAACTCGAGATGAGGCTTTGACCATCAAAAAGGGGAAGTGTCAACATTGTCAACCTGAGTCAAAACATTCTTTGTTTCTTTTGCTGCTGATTTCCCATACCATGTAATGTAGGGAGAGGTCCTGGTGTTGCAATGTTTCAAACCACAAGGTCCATGGAATCTCCCAAAAAGGCACCACCAGATCTCAACTGGTTGGTGGTTTTAACCATCTTGAAAAATATGAGTTCGTCAATGGGAAGGATTATCCCGTATATTATGCAAAATAAAAAATGTTCCAAACCACCAACCAGTCAATAATCAGCCTGATGTCTGAGAAAATCTTGCAATCATGCACGCACACTCACACACTGGTGAAACACCTTTCACACGACACCTGTGCGAGGTATGATTGATTATGCAATGCATTTGTCATCATATATCTACATACCACGAACGAACATCATGATATGCACAAAAGAATAATCCTTCCTGTCTGAAAAAGAACCAACACGTGTCTATGATTCAAGAATTGCCGCAGTATCACCAAAGGGTTCGTCCTTCAAACACACAAAACAATGTTGTCCATGTAAGATGGCCCAAACCCTGTTGTGAATACGTTGGATTGTCACCCAACCAATTTACAAGAATACATGGGCTTTGACGTTACTTTCGGCTGGTATCATCCGTGAGTACTCAGCTGGAAATTCAACTATGTCGACCAGATAACAATTGAATCACTTGGCAGTTGACTATTGAATCTTTGAAGATATTTGATCTTCTATCTGATTCTATCTACTTCAAGAATTGTACCCGCGGACATTGGCTGCCACAAAAAGTCACTGTGGTTTCAACCTATCCGGAAAATATGGTGAAGTCTGTTGGGCCCATCAGCCTAGCGCTTTAAAGATCCCATATGTTCCCTACATGACTGGGTCGTCTTTAAATATTGCTATGGAGAAGTTGAGAATGACCAAACATGACAAAACAACCAAAAAGGGGCTAATCCTATCCCCCATATTAAACACCCCAAGAGTCACGGTGAAACATGGTGAAACCACCTATTTTTGGCCGACCAACACACATAAGCGGAGCACCTGCTCCATCTGCGACCACTGAGTGCTCTTAAAGAATTCATTGGGAGCCGGCCCTGTACCAGCAGCAGCCTAAGCATCTTGGTCGAGAAAAGGGTACTAATTACACCTCACAAAATTGATACAAATAGCTGTTCATTGCTACAAAGTGCCCACCCGGTTATAAGATGTTGTAAATTGGTTTATACTATATAACCAATTCAATGGTATATCACACATACGTCCAACAGTTATTGTAGTACATTGTAGTTGCAGTATAAACCAACAGAAACCTACCAGAAAGGGACCCTCACTCCTCACATTGCACTATGACCCATTCTATATAGTTGGCAAAATACCAGTTGATACATTCCCTTGATATCAAAAGCACATACTTGATCATACTTGTTCTTGCAGGTAAAATAATATATCTACAAATGTATATATATGTATGTATTAACATCTTATTTATTCCAAATACATCGTGTTTGCCAATATCTCCATCAGCCCCTCATTGAGTGGCAAAATCCTAGTGATTGTACACGTGCGGTTGGTAAAATGCCCATTGAATTCCAACGCTGTAGCAACACAGATCAGCCCAAAAAAGACAGACCAGCAAAATCCTACTACTAAAATAGATACTAAGTTATTATAGATTATAGATTGCTATTCAACTATTGTAGAGTATTGTTTATTCTTACTTTTCCAGGTAATATAGATTATAGATTATAGATTACCTATGAATACCTATTATTTTAGCTACCCATAATCTATTTCCAGCAGTAAACCACAATGGGTAACCATGATTTATTACTACCAAATGGTGACTCGCTAGCGAAAAAAATGACCGATGGGCCATCCGATGAACCTCCAGGATCCTCAAAAGGTGAGTTATGGCCATTGATTGGTGACAAAACTGGTGATTTCTATGGGAAAATGTGGGTTAATGATGGTTAATGATGGTTAATGATTGTTAATGATGGTTAATGATGGTTAATGATGGTTAATGATGGTTAATGATGGTTAATGACGGTTAATGATGGTGATTAATGGTGATTAATGGTGATTAATGGTGACTAATGATTGAATGTGGGTAAAACAATGTCATTTTTACCACAAAAATGACTGGGAATGGTAGAAATACCTATTTATGGTGATGACTGGGGGATGGTTTCAATCACATTGTTTTGCCCACATTATAACACCATCCTCATTGAAGAGAAACAAAAAAACAAAACATGACCCAGCTTCCCCACGTCTTGCACCGCCAAGCTATTCGACAGGCCACTGATCGGAGGTACCTTACCTCGGGCATGGGATAAGTCGCGGGCAGTCCTGCAACGCAATGCGCTCCCTGCGAGTACTATGGAGGAAAACCCACCAGAAGATCGTCTTCCTTGAGAAACCGTTGGTTTTCATGGTTTTGTTTCAGATTATGATGATTCACGTCCATATATATATAATATGTGTATATATATATATAATGTATATATATATATAACGTATATATATATATATGTATGTGGTTACAGTTACTGTATGTTGCTTTATGTGGCTTTCTGTCAACCAATGGGTAGCTGGTCTGGATCATCCCCAAAAATATTGGATAGCATAGCCCCCTATATCGATCAACCAAAACTGGTTTGAACACTGCTCATTTGAATTCATTCAAGGACCTTAAGGCTCTGAGAATTGCGCTGAAAAAAAATAATCACAAAGCCTTCGCCTATGAGTGGCCCTCATCTTGTCGAATTTGGGACTGCATACACGCTGTAGACATGGCGTTGTAGAAAAAAATGGAACTTGAGTTTTGCCTATAAATTCTTGCATCTCAGAAATAAAAACAACAGACGGTAGTACCAACGGTGCTGACACGGGGTTTTGGCCTGGGTTCCATGGCCCAGTTGGCTATAAAACCATATAAATCCAAACAGCCCCTTCAGATCCGATGATGGATTGTCAATTGATGAAACATGAAATTCAGTGAAGTGCCACACTGGTGAAGGATGGTGGAGGTTGGAGACTAGTCATCAAACATGGTTGGTTGGGAAATCCCCCCATTTTTTAAGCTGCCCATTTTTTTGAATTCAAAATGGGAAAATCATTGAACTAAAAGGGGATTTTCCAGCCAGGCTAACATGCCAAACACGGCACATCCATTTGACAAACACCACATTTTTGGAATCGGGCTTCGTTGCATAAACGCTCAGGCGCGTCCAGCGCATCCATTCCGTATCCTACGGTCACCTCAAACATGGCTTGAAAGCTCCCCATTTGAAGATGATTTTCCCTTTGAAAGCTGAATTTACAGTTGATTTTCCGATACGTTCCCATGATTGTTCCATTAAAACACCATTAATCATGATTTTCCAGCCATCTTTGACAGCAGTGTCACCTGTCCTGGGACTGGTGGATTCAATGTTGTATAGTATGGACAAAGCTCCTCCAGCGACACTTGGGATGGTATGGGACGGTAATACCGTGCTGCCTGATATTGAGATTCCACATGTTTCTTTGTTAAAAAACTGAATGCTTTTGGGGCACCAGAAATTCAATGGATGCGGTGGATATAACCAGTCAATGATGGGTCGAAATGGACACATTATACAGTATACATAAGCAATATAAGCAGGATAGACATGTATGTATTGCAGTAACAGGCTTCGATTGGAAAATGCAAAACTAACAAAATCGAAAAAATGCGAAACAAATGTAGAAAACCATATGTGAAAAAAGGTGCAATGGAAAACACATGATTTATAAAAAGCAAGCACAAAGAAACCTTGGCAGAAATGAACGCCTGCAGCACATGTGCGCCCGCAAGTGTGCATCAGAGATGGTACTTTGTTGTTTTTTTAGTGTGTTTCATTTTTTGTAAACTCATTGTTTTCCTATCCCGTTGCTTTTGCTTTTGTGCGGTCACATTTTTGGGCACTTTGCTTTGACAATTTGATTTTCTATGATGTTCTTGATGTTCACTTTGTTCGTATTTTTTATTATCTTAAAGATTTCCAGTCAGTCGAAGCCTGCAAAAACATATTGCATATACATGACGGAAACTATTGTAGAGAATTGGCCTACCAAAGTATGCCAACAGAAAGGAGACACATAGGTGTCAGAATGCACCAAGTAGATAAGAACAATCATTCCGTTGCCCTTCCGTTTCGTGGCAAAGTGCTATCCCAGGCCGCAGCGGTAAGTCCTCAATGGCCTGCTCAGTACGGTAAGGCCTGGGAACGGAGTGTAATCCCATGTAACACCCCCATTGTATGATCCCAAATATGTAATTTCATCCCCTACATTTATCATGGTTTCTAGGGAAGTAATGTTAGATTGGTTTTTTATATATATATATATAATGAATTCAATATGATTATATAAACATATACCTTGACCCTCCGAACCCGCAAAATTCGCAGGGTGGCACTTAAAACCCAGGGTTTCAAAACAAAACCCAAGGTTTTTCTATTTCCACAAATTTCAAGACCATGCCCCCAAATGCTCTGATTTTATTAATGCGGTGGGTCCTCAAAAAGTGTTGCATTTCTGTCCAGTCTACTGGTCATCGACGCCCAAACACAAGCCCAACACACAACAAAAACATATTATATTTTCACCAGTTCCAAGGGGTTCCAACTTCCAACCCATGTTTATATCATGGGTGCACACGGGTAAATCACGGGATGAACATGGGTTGAACACGGGTTAGAGAAAACCTGGTTATTTTCAAAATACACGAGGTTTAGCCTACAAACCCTGGGTATTCCTCAAGAAAACACGGGTTGACACGGGTAAATCACGGGTTGAACACGGTTTGCTAGAGGCTTGAATTCCCGACCCGTACTTTTCCATGTTGGGGTTGCGTTTTTCTCTACTTCAGATGTATAATGTAGATGTGGTTTCCTGACGGTAAGGCTGAATGGAGGAAAATCTAAGAAACATATGATGAAGCAAAGTAGGAGAAGTGTTGGAAGCAAGCACTATATCGAATTCGGACAGTTTGTAAGAAAACCCTGTTTTTTTGTGACAAACCCAAGGTTTTTAGCATGATCACGGCTAAACCCAGGGTTTTAGTTTGCACCCGACAAATTTGTAGGGTTTGGAAGCTAAGGGTATATATAAACTATATTACACTCATCAAGCACCATGCTAACTTCATCGTATCCATTCAATTTGGTGATCGAGGTTTGGGCACTGGGATGCCACACAAGCGCGTCTTGCCGGTGCTGCCCAAGTGCTGCAAACCAAAGAACCTCAGGATGTGGAGGGGATCTTGACAAGGTGCTATGGGTCAGGCTCATTATCATTCTCATTATTACTAGCATTATTATCATTAATTTCACTATCATTATTATCATTAATTTCACTATCATGATCACAGTTTATATATTATTATGTAGAATGTATATATATATATATAAATAATTTATCAAATACTGTAGCACAATAGTCAAACCGTGATTCGAAATGATGTGCAATCCTGTCATCTACCCATTGAATCATTGTTGAGATCCCGAGGCTGCGAGTCAGCAGCCGAAGGGCTCCGAGGGATCAATTTCGCCGATGATGAAGAAGCGTTCCTTCCCCAACTTGGAAGCATAGAACCTGGATGAAAAGCAGCTCATCCCGGGGAAATGGTGCAAATCACGGGTGAAAGATGGTGAAAGCCTGCAACATCTAAGAGTTACCATCAAAAATGGGAATATAAAACCAACTATGATATTTGGGTGTGAAAGTACCACGGTACCACAGACCTCAAGGTTCATGTTGTTGTCCGGTAATGTCGGCCTGGTCCTATCTGCCTTCAAATAGACCCAGCGATTCAATATGTTCCATTGAGGGTACTGAAGTTGTATACTGTAGGGTTAATATAGTTTGATCCATATCAATATATCCTTCAAACAAAAACACACATTTAAACATATTTAAACAATTGCTGGGGTATATTTGATATACCTTAATATTTAACTTATGGGGTATATCATGGTATATCTTCAAAGTATGAGTATGAGCTCAATTATGTTATACTTATATATACTATTATCACAGTTTATATATGGGGTATATCGGTATATCCAAATTATATAAACAAAATCTTGGGCTTCGAACATCTTCGGCCCGAAAAACTGGTCGCATGCCTGGTCTGCGTGGAGAGGTAGGTGGTAAAGTCTGAGCTGATGTAGGCAGCCGAAGACCTGAAATCGCTCGAAGAATCCGGTCGTCTTTTTTTAAAGATGGACAATTGGTACAATATAACATAATATAACCATATGGTGAATCTTAGATACCTGATACCTGCCAAAATGATATATGTTTTAGCTGGTTACCCTCTGGTAAACTAACATAGCTATGGAAAATCACCATTTTTAATGGAAAAAACTCACTATAAATGGCTTTTCAATAGCTATGTTAGTTTACCATTGATGTCCCTTGATAGCAAAATATTACTAAAGTATCTAACCACGGTTGACCATCTGGTCAGGTTGGACTCAATTGATCCACGGATTTTTTTGGTCAAAGGATCTAACTTCTAACAAAGATTGACCCAGTAACATAAATGAAATAAAATGATGGAAACTGATGAAAAATGATGGAAACATCTGGAACATGATATATAATAAACCACAATATCCAAGATTTTAAGGTGAAATACCGCCAGTCATGCGTAAACTCAGATTTTAGCTACATGAGAGAACACCATGAACATCTGTAGTTGTCCCCAAAGTCTTGAAATATGAGATATCAGAAATCAACATGTTGTTGTTTGTTCCTTGAGTCCCTAATCATATCCCAGATCCCATCAGCAGCCGAGCTACAGTCTGAAACCATCGATGTCTGCATAGGCAATCCAATACTTCAAGAGGTTGGTATAGACCTGGCACTTTCAAGGGCCAACACGTGGCAAACCTGAGTAATCGACTTTTATCAAAATGATAGTTGTTTCTTGTGTGTTGTATATATATATATATGAGTGTTTTGCAGAATACATATAGTTTAAAGTTATATAAATATCGTTGTTGTAGTAGTTTATCTATGTATATATATAGCAGTGTGTCAAAACCTTGTACCCCTGGTGAACATCAAAATAGCTGGTAAATGGATGTTCATCCCACTAAAAATGGTATTAATAGGTATTGATCCATAGCCATATATATATACACACATTTATTTAATACATCTATATGTGGCCAAAACATGACAAATCAACTTCCCAGGAGTCGCATCCCAAGGCCCTGAGACTTCCTGCTCCCATGTTGTGAAAAACAACAGCTGGGGCCCACTAGATAGCTAAGTTAGTGTTATTTTTATATGTTTACAAAACTAGTATAACTAGGGTTTATGGGCATTATATATAATTATATATATATATATATACATAGTATTTGGTTGATTCCTGTGGGTTACAAACCAACAAACATGACGAGGGAGGCCCGCCTTCTATGATTTCAAAAAAGTCCCTCCGAACAGTTCCACGGACCCTTCCCAGAACAGCTTGGTGACTCCTGCGATTTCTCGATCTTTGCACATGGTGATTCGCCCCAGGAAAAGACATTTTGGCTTGTTTAAAAATGGATCAACGGTCCTTATGGCAATCTATGGCAATCTATGGCATATGCGAAAATATCTTGAGGATGTTGTCTGAGGAAATTTAAGGATAGTTGTCCGTGACTGAACCCATGGATATTCCGATTTTTTCCAACATGTTCAGCAAATTGACCCCACGACCTCCTGAAAAGCTTCATTCATTGTGTCCTCAGCGGGAAATGATGCGTCAAGGAAGATGAAATAAAATCAACATGATACTCTTCAGTAAACAATTCACACGCATGTAGTGGACAATCTCTCATTCATATGCATTTATTATATACATACACATGTTTATATATGTATATGATGTATATATTATATCATTATATATCATTATGTTTAATCTGTATATAAGAATATCTCAATATACATAAGAATCATGATTGGAAATTGTTTTTTTGTTAACTGGGCGTTCTATTGCTACCCAAAGAAATCATAGCAAGCCCACACGATTGTCATCAGAGAACCTGCAGAAACAACTCAAAGGAGACCAACTCTTGGTTTTGGATAAGAAACCCCTTCCATGTGTTGATCAATCCCTTTTAATGTTAAAGAGACAGCCAGGCACCGAATGGCACCGAGAATTTCCCTGACAGTGAATCATCGATTGGGAAGACCAAACACTAACAATACTAGGGAAAGCATCAAGAAGTACTCTCTGGTAAACTAACAGTTTGCTATTGAAAATTGCCATTTATAGTTGATGTACCCATTAACATGGTTATTTTCCATAGTTTTGCTGTATGTTTACCAGGCCCGGTACTGTTTGTATCTGTTTCTTGTACCCAACCTGGAAGCTGGAGCTGCCACCAGCCACGACATTTTTCTGAGATCCCCCAGCGAATTCAAAGTGATCGTCGCCCAAGAAGTCGGTCCAAAGAAGTGCTGCCTGTCATGGTGGAAAGTTTGCGATTGAAAATAGCGATCATAGAATAATGTCATTAAGATTATATATGTATATGATGTATATATTATTGATCATGATTATTGATCTGGTGGTTGACTAAGATGTTTTAACTGGTTTCAACCGAACCCCTCTGAAAAATATGATGGAGTAAAAGTCAGTTGGGGAGCTACTAGTCCCAATATATGGAAAAAAAACAAACCACCAACCAGTGATGATATTGATCTTCATATTCTGCATTTTCTCTTAAAGCAATAGGATCAATAGGAGTCAGCATCCCCAATGCCACCATGTTTATGGTACAAACCATCAAGATATGCCCAAAAAATCGTGAGCAGTGGGATGGTCGTCGCGAGAAGGTGGTTGCTTTTGCCCATGCCCGGCCCTGACAAGTCTAGTTGTTCTCTTGGATCATATCTGTGCCTAAGATTGGTGATGGGTCAAACTTCCGGAATCCATGGCACGGTCATTTTAGTAATTTTGGATATTCTGAACCATCTACTTTGGGAACCTTTGGGAGAACCCAAGCACTTAACCCACGTCCAAGTCTGTTCTTAGCCGCTTGAAACAGCTTGGATAACCCGCAAAACTGTCAGTTCATTCATCTCAAAAGATCCAGCTTCTCAAGATGCAAATGCATTTAAATAGTACAAACAACTTTGTGGGCTCAATTCTCGGTCATCCACTTGTGGGGTCCAAGCCTTTTAAAGAAAAAAGGTCCCGAGGTCCGCCAAGATTACCAGGCGAGGGATTACCAGGAATATGGCTTAGTGTGAAAATAGGGTATTCATTCCCAAGTTATACCCTCTGGTAAACATACAAAAAACTATGGAAAATCACAATTTTTCATGGGAAATTCCACTATTTCTATGGCCATGTTCAATAGCTATAACCATTTTTTAAGAGTGAAAAGGATGATTCATCAGTGGATTTAGAGATTCGCAGCATTTTTTTTTCTCCACTGATGTTGCAGGCACCAGGGTCGCCCCGCACGGCGCGACAGGAGGCATCACGGTGTTTCAACACTGAGCAGCCACGCAGCCACGACTCTTCTTCCAGAAAAGCATCTTCAGGGGATCCAGAACAAATGGAAAGTAAACCAACATCTCATAGTGATTCAGAATGATTGAGAGTTCAATCTATTTTATGAGCCATTGTTTTTAACAGATCTGAACAGAAGATTGTTTCGTCCAATGATAGATCATAGCATTTTCCCTTGATCGTTTTGAAGGAACGCCTAAAGGGGTATCATCAATGCCCTCTGAACATCCAACACAAAAAGGTCTGGAGAACCAACTGAAACTGGCCCTTTGCTGCCAGGCACTCCAAGAAAATCCCTGTCATTGTATACATATATATATATAGGTATAACAATATAAAAGTCTAGTTATATATTGTTACTAGTATTGTGATTATCATCATTAGAATTATTGTTTTTGTTGTCATCATTATTATTACTATTAGTATTACTATTATCATCACTATAATCATCATAATCATCATAATCATCATAATCATCATCATCATCATCATCATTGTAATCATCATCATCATCATCATATCAGTGTATATATATATATATGCATTATATATCCTGCAGTTCCAAGCACAATCTCTGTGATTTCTGGAAGGTCGTTGTAAAGACAGTCACAGCACCAGGGTTCGGGCAGCTTTGGCCCAAAACGGCTTTGGGGTGAAAGTCCAAATCTGTCACAGCCATGGCCCGGCAACTTCCGTAGCTGGGTGGATTGGGTCTGCTGAAGGGCTCCGGATTTCTCATGGGATCCTATGACTCTGAAAATGGAGGACCCGCACTTGTTTATCACATGTTCATAGGAAAACAATGGACAACATAAACACACACATACACATATATATATATATATCGATCCAGTTTGGGACAATTCTCTTCATTGAAATCACCATTGGCTTCTGTTTTTGTCCGTCATGGTGGAATAGATTTCAGGAATGGTGAACACAATTTCCATCCCATGGTCTATCATCGTTTTCACCAATAGAAACAAAAAAAGCACGTTGATCCATTTTGGGATATTCGTCATCTTGAGACAAAACGACGTTGCTGTTGATCATTTAAAAAAAAAACAAACATCTTGGTCGACACCGTTTTTAGACGATATCACCTGACGTCATATTAGTCATATGTTTCAACTGCCCAATCCAGGTGTTGCCACTTGTAGCAGATGGGACAAGCCTTGCATAAGTTATAACTTCATGGAAGCTTGGAAATCCCTGCTAAGCTCAGTTGTCACTCCTTCATGATGGCTTCTGTGGTTCCCCGGGTCTTACAAATTCACCACCTAACCATCAATAAACAAGAGGAACATCCATGATCAACCACCATCATGTATAATTATATATATATTCATGTATATGCCTAATTATACGTGATGGTCACTAATCATATATGACGGTTGATATATGGATTATAACTACAAATTGACCACCTAACCATCATAATAGTCCTGGTAGCCGTGGGATCCCCGTTGAACATGCCGTCAATGTCCACATTGCCCACAGACCCAAGCTATCTCGGAGTTCCCCAAACTATGAGATCTAGGTACGAACCAATCCATATCCGATGAGAACACCTACTCTAAGTCCACATAAAACTAATAGACTCAACAATCACCAAGACTTACCAGATCGCTAGAAGGATGTTCTAACCTGTTGACCTAGAAAAAATCGGCACAAGACCCATCTGCACATCAGGCGAGTTGGCGATTTTGAAAGCCGCCTGGAAGACCGATACCTGGTGATGCGGAACTTCGCTTCCCGTAGCCGGACATCGTTTGCACCGACGCACCTGACAAATTGTCAGCCCCACGCAGCGGCATGATGAGCGACTTCGGCGTCATCAAACATGGCTAGCTGGGAAATCCCCGGACAAAATGGACACTTTAATATATATATATATATAATATTATATATATATACATATCATATATATATATATATAATAATGTGAAAATTGATGAAGGGAGTCTAAATGAAGGTTTCTAGCTGGGAAAATCATCAAAGTAGATGGTGGGATTTGCCAGCAAGCCATGTTTGATTGCCAGATGGCACGCGCGGCCATGAAGAAGACTAATGCTTCTAAAATTCATCAGCATCAGCATCAGCATCCCATCACCATCACCATCACCACCACCACCACCAACAACAACAACATCATAATAATAATGATCATCATCATCATCCTCACTAGCACCTTCATCATCACTGGCACCTTCATCAAATAGAATCTTCAATGTTGAGGACAATAATCAATTGGGCAAGAGGTATCCTGGTATATAATGTTCTCATGTCTGAAATTCCAAAGACTCTGGCCCTGTGGGGGCATTGTGGTCCCAATGCATATGTACTCCTGGAATGACAAGAAATCGCAGAACCTTCAAGGGAATAATCAATCTGGTAAACCCAAACATAAACATTAACTTTCGAAATATGGGTGTCACCGGGTGTGTCTGAAAATGAGGGATACCAGCCCGAAAACTACAAGTTCAACCGGGAAAATGATGATAAACCATGATACACCATCAGTTTGGAGGGTTTTCCCACAACTCTCTAAAGTCTCAAGCAAAACCATATGTGAAAACGGTAATTTTACATGATATGTCCAAACACATGGAGGTTCCAATCATGGGGGTGCCCACCAACAGTCCTGGAGCCGCGCCTGGCGCCACTTGCGATTTCCGCGGCGAGCCAATGCCGTTCCCTGTCTGGAGGCCGTTGGGACTTCCCGTCAGCGGTGATTGCCTCAGGTATAAAAAAGCCCGTCAAGTGAGATAAGCCCAGGGATAGAATAAGAATAAACTATCCCCACTTGGGTTTTATAAATGATGATTATATAGAATATATATATATAATTAATAATGTATACATATACATCTGTATATATATATATATATATATTAATTAGAGTTCATGATTGGGATGATTTAGATATGATATGATATGATGGGAAATTTCAGACACTGTCACGATAAATGGATAGGTATATCCATGACTGGGATGATTTATGGCATTGGGGTCATTGGGTTTGCCTCAGTGTCTGTTTCACCTGACCTGCTGAGCCAAAAAGCTGGGCAGTGGATATAGGTGGTCATCCATGAACGGTTGTCCTACAGCGGATATCATCATCGTTCATTTATGTTCCCCAAAGACCAACGAAACTCCATCAGTTACAGTAACATCTCGCCATGGTATTGGTGTCCTAGGACGGCTTGATAACTGAGAACCATCACAATGGGATCCAATGAGAGCCTTTTTTGAGGCTTCAATAGTTCAATCCCCATTTCTCTGCGTTTTACCATGGCAAAAACTTGCCCATACTTAAATATCTTCTACCAAAAAGTGCCTAATTTTTTAAATTATGATCCATGAACTCCTGGCGAAATCGCCCTGGACATCGTACAAGTCAGGTCACGGATTCTGCCCCGGGGAGCGCGCCATGCCCGGCACGCCGCCGCTTCCAACGGCTGGCCGTGGGACGTTACTGGCTTTGGTGTAGGAGACCACGGGCACCGAAAGGACACGGAGGATGCTGTCCAGCTCAGCCTGTACACCATGGGGCTGCTGGGTAGATATTCGTCGTTTCTTTGGGGGGATCTATTTCTATATATATATATTAATATATATATATATATATTGATATACATATATATATAGGTAAATAATGGTAAATAGAGATCGCGTTAGTCTTATTTTCATGGATCGTTGGCTTAGCTTATTATGTAATTTTACACCTTTGATGAACCTGAATAGTATGTATTTACCTTCAAGACTTCGTCATGTTTGGTCTTGATACCACCAGGCATGGATTGGCATGGATCATTTGGGATGTAGGGGTGATGGAGAACCATGGGAATTCAGTGATTGAGGAACCCAAAATGGATCGAATGGGTACATAATCAATACCAGGTGTTTGTTTCTGACTATTGTTGGGAAAAATCTTGCATACTATG